CTATAAAATTTTAGATATCCTTTTTAATTAATACGGTAATTAGCTTAGATTAATTACTAAATATTTAAAAATGCCGCCTATAAAGGATTATTTTCCTTTATCTTAAAAGACTTTCGATTTAACTCTCCTAAATTAAGTTTTCAAATTCGAGTATTTTACTATTTAAAGAAAAGAAAAAGAAGTTTACATAAAGGAGTTATAAATAAATAAAAATAATTTTTAATATTTATAAAAAGATTAAAAAAATCAATATAGTATATGCAGGTAATATAATAATATATAATCACCTGTGTAATTACCTATATAATTACCCATATATTTACCTATATAATATATATTTGAAAACTAATAATATTTACAATATAATATCCTCTTTAGTCTATGTCGTACCGATCTCGATTCTTATATTACATATTAATTATTAAACTAGTCGTATATCCTTTTGCTATAGTATTACTCACTTTATATAAATTATATAGAGGTTTAAATTTTCTATTTAGTATTAATAATTATAAAATAAAATAGAATTAAAAATATATTCTTAAATATCGATATTAAGAATACTTTTATAGCTTTTTATATTATATTTAAAATATTATTTTAAAAACGAAGATAAGGGTTTATATTATATATAACCTCGCGAATAAGCCACTAAAAAAGTAGCTTCCCTAATAATAAATTAATACTTTTTTATTAAGCTCTAATTTTTTTCAAAGCTACGGCTATATATATATTAAAATTAAATTCTTGTTAAAATACGAATAATTTATTTATTTCTTAGTCTATATCTTTTTTTTTTCTTCGGCTTATTAACTATTATAACTTTCTTAAATATAGTTTTTTTTTAAAAGGAATAACTTTTTTTAATAGAGGAGATTTTATAAATATTTTCCGAATAGTACGCCGTAATTTATTTTATAGCTTTTTTTTTTTTTTTAATCCGAATAATAGTTTTTATTATTTTGACTTTTGGCTTAGGTTAACTTGCTTTAATAATACGCTCTTTTATTAGGTAAAGGTCTATATCCTTTAGTTTATATTAGCTAATATTAGGATTATTTGATTAATAAGAGCCTAGATTAAGCGATATTAATCGCTTTATACCCCGATTTAGTGTTTTTAATACCTTAATAAGAGGCGAATTCTATTTATTTCGTTATAATAGAAGTAGTAAGTACTTTAAGGATATAATAGATTCTTTTTGAAATAGAGATAATAGCCCTCGAAATAGTATTAATAGTTTTTGTAGTTAAGAAATAACGTTTAACTTAAGTAAAGGTTATAGATCGATATTATTTAAAATAATATTTAGTTAGTTAGTTTGAAATAAATATTCTCTACTTATTTGTAGTGATTTTAATATAAGAGGTTTTATTCTCGTTTATAGTAGGGATTCTAACCCCTTTAGCCTATTAATTATTGTTAATATTTTTATATAGTTTAAAAGGAAAAGGATATCTTATACATAAAGAGGAAAAATAAAGTTTAAAATCCTTAGCATATTAAGATAAGATAATTAAATAAGGACGATTACTAAGGGTCTTAATGCCTTACCTTATTAAACTTTTATAATTATTTATTATAATTATATTTAACTTACGTTTATATTTTTTAAATCCTTTTATATAAAATAACTTTTGCTATTTATAACAGCCTCACAAAATAATTTTTAGGATCCCCTAACTAAACTTTTAAACTTAAGTTATATTTCCTTTTTTAGAGATTTAAGATATTAATATAGTATTATATATTTTAAATTAAACTCTTTATTTAAGGGCTAGTAGGCCTAGATAAGCTATTATTAAATATATATTTATAATAGTACTCGTAGCCCTTAGAGAAAAAAGGACTATAATATAAGAGTATTATTTATTTAGAAAATATAGTAATTTAAATCTTAGCGTTCTCTTATTTAAATTAAATTTTAATAAAAAGCCCGTCGAGATAATAAAGATCTTATTATTATTTATACGTCTTATTATTATCACTTTATTTATCTAGGGCCTAGAACCTAAAGAACGTTATTTATAAAAAATTATTATTTTAAGAAATCTTATTTTAAAAAGGTAACTATGCGCGTTAATGGTAATCGATAATATATTTACCTTAGCTTATAATTTAAATACCTTTAAAATATATATAATCACTTTATATAATAATATTATATAATAATCTGATGTAATAACCCCGTATAATAATCCTATATAATAATTTTATATAATAACCCCGTATAATAATTAAATTTATTAAATCTTTTTTTTAATTTTAATTAAATTATATTTAGATGCTTAATAAAAGAAGGAATATAAATAGCGCTATTATATTTTATTATAAAAGCTAATTTTTTTTTTAATATAGTAAAAAAAGGCTTTTTTTGAGCGTTTTACGAGCGGTTGAACTTTTTTTTTATTTTTTTGTTTTTATTTATTATATTTAATTGAATTCGAAAAGAGGTTATTTGGATTCGTATAGTTATATTCGTTATAATATTAAAAAACTCGAAGGTTTCTTTTATAATTAATATCTAGACTATACTAAGCTCGAAGTATTCTTTATTAAATATTATATATTATTTTATTAACTTAAATTGGAATCGATGAGCTATCCTTTTAGGAACCCCGAACGTCTTTAAACGATATATATAAAACTAAATATTTAGCAAAATTATTTCGATATTCCGAAACCTTAGCCTTTTAAATTTATTACGATTTAAAATAGTTATTATAAATAACGTATTTAATTTTAAATTAAAAAACTTTATAAAGTATTATATTAAGGAGTTTTATGTCTCTTTTTTGAAAATAAGATATATTTATTATTTAACTTATATTTTTAACCTCATTATAAAAGTATTTTATATATAGTTAGAAATTAAGCCTACGGCTGAGATATATTAAATTAGTTAATAAAATAAAAAGCTAATAGATTCCTTAAATAAAGATTTTCAAAATCTTAATACGTCCGATCTCGAAAAGGAAAATAATAATTTTAATACTTTTTCAAATCTTATTAAAATACTTAAAAAGGAATTAATAATTTCTCAATATTCTATAATTAGAATAACTATTTTAAAGGTATTTTATTTTCTAAAATATATTTTTATAAACTTATTATTAATATAAAATTAGATCCGATATTTTATATTTAAAATGAAATATAGTTTAAAACGTACTTCCGACTTTCTTTAACTATAGAAAAATGCTGAGCTAAAGAAAGCCTTTTATCGACTAATTTTTAATATTTATATATGTTAAAACTCGATTATATTAATATATATACGCGTATATAAGCTTTGTAAATACGTTAATTCGTATTTCGCTATTTATTTAATAGATAGTATATATCTGAAGATATTTAATATTAAATGGGAGTAATTAGTAATTATTTTAGACGTTTTTAAGATTTTTTTGTTTTTTATTAATATCCTAAGCCGGGATATATTTGTTAATATTTTTTTTATTATGAATTTTTTGAAATTAATACGGTAATATTTTATACGATATGCGAATACTTTTACGAAAAAGAAAAACTTTGAGAACTCGTTTTAATTAAATCTATTAGATAAAGCTATTATATAAGCTTCTTAAAAATTTTAGAAGTATGAAGACCTTTAAGGTGCTGATTATGAGATCTATACTATAGCCCTCCTCCTTACCCCTCTGGATAAAGGAGTTAATAAATCCGATAATCCTTGTTTTATGGGGCTTAATAATTACGATGGTATTATATTTAAAAATATGTATAATACGTTTAAGAGACTATATATTAATAATTATTACCTTATTATTAAGTAGAACGACATAGTACGACCTTAGATTAGCCGTTTAATTTATAGCATTATAGCCTAGGTATTTATAAGCCTTGAGAAACCGGTACGTGTTTTTTCTCTTAATTAATTTACGTAATAATTGATATAATAATTGATATAATAATCTAATCATAATATTAATATTTTTTTTAAACCTCTAGTACTAACTAGTCTGCAAGTCGTATTATTAATAGCTTTATAAAAAAGCGTAAGCTTATAATTTTAATTATCGATATATTTATTTTTAATTCGTAATTCGTATTAAGAAAACTTTATATAAAGATTATATTCGGGTTTTAATAGCGATTGTAACGTCGTCTATTATATAAAGGCCTTTATAATATAGTATAGGATTATTTTTATATTATATTTACTTTTATTCCTTTAAAACGGACTTTTAACTATAGCCGATATATTTACTATTACTCTTGCTATAATATAGCTGTATAAATAATTAAAGCTTAACTTATTTTTATTATTAAGCAATATTAATAGGATTAGTTAATATTTAGCGTATTAGAGCTTATAATACCTAAGGAGTATTAGCTATTAAAAGTTATTTAAAAACGAAGCGAGACTATTTTTTATAATTTAAGTTATTTAATGTTCGTTATTATAAAAGAGGTTAAAATAATTAAAATAATAGTAGAAATGGAGCTAGAACGTATAATTATGGTCTTAGGGTCTAATAAAGTATTTAGTAATTCTTAATAATTTAAGCGTTTATTAACGCTAATATTTAAGGCATCTCGTTATACGTTATTATTTTTATTTAACTCTTTATTAATTATTAATATTTAAAATTAAATATAATTATAATATTTATTTAAACCCTTTTTAGATACGTTTAATAGGGAAGAGAGTAGTTTAAAATTATTTATAAAGCGGTTACGGAGCCGGCGTTAAATTTAGATTTAATTTATAAATATAGTCTTAAAATAATTTTATTAATTTTAAAAATTAGAATTATAATTTTAATTTTTTATTTTAGATTTTAAAAAGTTTATTTATATTTAAATACCTATACTTAAAATCCTTAGTTCTTTATTTAGGTATGCTTTAAATCCCTATTTTTAAAACTCAATTAAGTCCCTATGCCTTATACGATACCTACGACCTATATGGGGACCCATTGATCCCCATGGGTAAAATGGGTGCATACCCAAATGGGTACCCATGGGGATTTTTAAGCCTAGATATCAGCGACGGAGCCGCAGAGGACCTTGATGCCATCCTTCTTGCCAACGGGACTCTTTGCTCCGAGGGGCAGGACCTCAATGCTGATTGCGTAGTTTACAATTTCAATGAGTGGAACAGATTGCTGGCTCTTGACTTCCTTGGGCCGAGCCAGATACGCCAAGCCTCCGTTGTCCCACACCGTAGGTACAATGTGACGCTCAGTCACGGCGGGCCTGGGCTTGGCAAATTTGTTGACGTGGAGACTAATGACAGGATTGGGCTTCTCGTAGTAAGTAGGAACGTTGTACTCCACCGGGATGAGGTCGAGCTTATCTGTGCCGGTGAAGTTACTGCCTACATGTAGTGTCAGTGTGTTTTCGGTGAATTACTCTGATAAGGTACAGGAATAACAACTTACCCAATTGCGATGCGGGCGGATGATTCTTCGGCAATCTTCCACTTTGCGAATAGCCCTTTTTGAACATCAATTGCCTTGTAGTACATGATACACTATGCTGTGTGAGCTCTCGAAGCTGTTGAATGTTGCTTTCTCGCGCACTTTATTCGGGTTGGGTCCTTTGGTAGGCTATTGAATCACATTTTAGCAATCAAAAGCTCGCAGTTGAAATTTAACCTCATTAAGACTTACCACAAGAGACTACAAATCCTTGTCGCGATCGAGAGAGCCGAACAAAGCCAGGAGGAACTTGTCGTCGCCGTCGCCTAGCATCGTTTGGGTCAGCCAGCTGTTGCAAGTCCTCAAAGTGTCGAGTTATTGACAATCAAAAACACACCATCGAAGTCGGCACAGACGATACAGTGGCCGGGACTGTCGCCATATTTCATGAGCTGCTTGGGTGTGCTGTAAATGTCCAAAATATGATGTTTCCACTGCGAGTCTTTCATGCCACGAACCTTGGACAAGATACAGACAGTCGTGCCGTGGAAGGGATCCAGGATCTCGATGTGAACAAATGGGTCGTCGCCGATTTTACCAGTATCGGCACAGCCAGTGCCCCAATGTTCACCAGACCCCGGTGACAGAGAATTGGGTTGTTACCGGTCCTCTTTCAGCTCTCCACTCGACAGGAGCTGTCTTTTCCTGGAGCCCTCTTCGTAGTAAAGCCAGTTGGCATCTTCGCGAGATGATACCATGATGGAATTAAGTCCAGTAGGGCCATTGAATCTGACTCCTATTAGCATAGAGGGTGACTTTTATCAGCATGCTACGTGGCAAGGCATAAACCTACTTCTTGACCGTCAACTTAAAGTTTGGCGCCGAGGCCTCCAAGTACATTGACACAGACTACACGTTTGTCATTTGGCATCGCGGAGAGGGCAACCTGGACTCCATCAAGTTCAACGTTCGGGGTGCCGACCTGGATCCACTACAATGTCAACCACGGCGTCAGAGAGACCATTGTCACTGTTCCCATTTCTGCGGTTCACTCGGACAATGGCGTTGAGATTAAATTGCAGTTTGACGGGGACTTTTAGGCCACGGTTATCCGAGGGTCTTCTGGCTTGAGGAAGATGATAGGTAGCGCAAAAGATTCAAATTCTTCGTGGTTGAAATTTTACTTTTCGTTGGCTTCAGGTTTGTACCCCCAATTCATGATACTGCACAACGCACATTCATAAGAACCGGGTCAAGTCTCAAGATTAGATAGAATGTTTTTGGTTTCTATGGGGGCCCATTAGCAGCAAAACTATTCGTCAACACGGCTTCCTCCTCGTCGTCTGTTTTTCTCGCGACACCATCAACACGAACTTCGCATGTTTTCTGAACGTATATCCTTCCATCAAACTGTTCACTCCTATGCCTATCATCCAATGGAATAGACTCGGCAACCATGACGGACCGGGAAGTGTTGTTTGGGCCGTAGCCGTTGCCGCGCTCGCCTCTGCAGTTGATGTACGACTTATTGCGGTTCGTCCTGCTTCCGTTGTACTTCCTCACGCTTCGAGTGAGAAGAGCCTTAAGCGGCGGCAGCGATCCCACGATGATGGCGACACCGAGCTCGGTCAGACTCCACACAGACAAGCCGACCATGTCCACCGTCTCTCCCTTGAGCACCTGCGTCATGCGAACGATGGCAGTGACGATCGTAATCAAGGCCAGGCAAAAGGCCACCCCAAGACCGAGCTTTTTCTTGAAATCAAGTTGTAAGGAGGGGAGCACGGCGATCGGCAGCCCCATGATCAATAAATCTGTGAAGACGTCGGCCGCAGTCGCGAAGAAGATGGCGAAGCGGGAATAGAAGACTTCCTTTGAGGAGTTGCATTTCTCTAAAGGTTCCCGTCGGTCAGATACGGTACGCCTCCAAGATTTGAACGTCAGACCGAGTCCTTACCTGCTCTAAAGTAGTCGGATGGAATGTCGCACACGAGTGAACCCGCGAGCCAGCCCCCAATGTACGCAAGAAGACAAAACGCCGCGATCCCGTACCAAACCTTGCGTAGCCACGGGATCGGACTGACAAGCCTGAAAAAGACGTTTAAAAAGCTCGCCTTCACCGCGAACAATCCCGACCAGAAGACAAACGTGAGCGCGTAGGACCAGCGCAACCACTGCTCCAGCTGCGCGTTCGCCTCTTCCTTGGACGCCGGGCGAAACCTCCCGGCCCTGAGCGCTACGACGTACCAGAGCGCATCCATCTGCTGCATCTGGAGGATCCCCATTGTCAGGAGACACAGCCAGGCAAGGACCATCCAGAAGTCGTCGCGCAAAAGGTGCCGGTTTCGACGCCAGCGGACGAAGAGACGCAAGGACAGAAAGACGTAGGAGGTGGCGACGTTTGCCCACGTGATGGCCGTGAGAAGCGGACGGAAGACGCTGTGAGCAACGCCGAACAATGGTGCGTTGGGGTCGGCCTGCGGTTGTGACATTGTCGGCAATAGGCCGCTGTGCAGCTGATACCGCCGATATCCCAACGATGGTGTAACGGAACGGAGCCTTCGAGATTCTAGAAATGTTTCGAAACGCCACCAGCTTTTCTTCGAGAAAGAATTAAAGGCAAAAAGTTGCCGGAGTGAGGTCTCTCAGCGTCGCATTACAGGTAGGGAGGGTGGCATACCTATTTGAAGGTGAGCATTCGGCGATGCGACAAGGGCTTTCGCCGAACGCAAGGGATCGTATTCCCTGTTCCTTACGGCGTGATCATCCAAGAGCCTAACAAGCACGAGTCTTGCCGGTTGAGACGTACGATTGTGCGAGTGGCGTGGGCAAACACTGCTATGCGTTGAATTAAACTGTTGGTTGTGACCAAACAACTTTGCTACTTTGGGATCAGCGTCGTGCCAAGTTCTTGACTGAGAGCGCGATGCGGGAAAAGAGTCGAATAGATTTATGCAAAGCCAAGTTTGTGCAGATATCTCCTCTTTTCATTCCATCACTTCCTGTATGAGTTGAAGTGTCTATCATGATGAGTGCTGGTTCCATCCTGTTTGCTCAACCAAATTGTTGCCTTTGGAGATCAGTCTGATGATACAACGTAGGAAACCCGGCAACCGCGGCACCGTATGTCCCCGTACCTCGGATCTTGTGCGGTACAATGTGACATGAATACCCAAGTCTCATCTCACAAAAGACATGATCTCTAACAAGGATGCATCGGCGTTTTTCGATCGTGGTTGGCACCGCCTACATCGACGTTGGTACGCGGTCCCCAGCCAGGAAGTCAGGAACTCTTGACAAACCTTTCGGTTTCCCTTGCGGAAATCCCTGCACCCAACACAAACAGTACTATCAATCCCAGGCGGCAAGCTTGGTTGTGCGGGATTTACGGGGGCGTTGAGAGGACTTTTGAAGATCCAGAGAAGCCGCGCAACCCACGGCATTTGATGTCTGTAGAGCCAATGCAACGCAAACTTGGCGTCCATGATTAAGTTTTTTTGAAGCAGCGGTCTACCTTCTTAGGGATTCGAAAAGATTTGCTGTTCTTTCTTCTTCACGGCCATTCGAGACCGCGAACATGAGGCCGACGCTGGGGTCTGCTGCGTTTCCTATCGACTGCGCCGCATCCCGCCGCATCGATGCAGATCGAGCCAGACCATTTTTTGACGCTTAGAGCGCAGAATGCGCAGAAATCAAGCCTCCGAGGACAGCAGACTTTCTGGATTGATGTTGTGAAAGGACCTGTTCACCCGGAGACCTGATGAGTTTGACGTTGAAATCGACTAGTCCTCTGGATGACGAGTCTCGTGTATGACTGAGTCAGCTAAGCCTCCTAGTCTCCCAGCTTACAGACTCTGATAGCTCAGGGATATTTCTGGGAGTCTCTTACATCCCTTGAATGAATTCAACAGGGGCCGAACACGTGCGAGCTAGCTATCATAGATCAGGCGTCCTCACCAATGATCATCAATGAAGCCATTGTCTCAGGAGTGAGCTCGATTCAAAATGCAGAGTGGAAGACACGATGTTCTTTTTTGACCTACGTCGCCATTTTAGAAGCAGAATCAAGAGACTCTTGGTCTTTCAATTCTGAGCGGTAAATCCTCACAGCTTTCTTTGTACCCGAGTTGACAATATTGCCAATTCCGGGTGGTTCAAGAAGGGCATGATCAACATCGAACAGGTCACAAAGCGAATCCGGTCCGTCAAGACACGGAGATACGCCGTCTCTGAATGCTTGACATATGACCGTTTCCATTCTTGCCATTTGGATGGATATATTTGGATGTTTAAGCCTTTGCTCTCTTCAGCGGTGGCCTCACCCTTTGCTAAGGCCTTGTCGCTCGAGACTCGGGCTGACGACGAAGCCGCGTTTGTAGACTTAAGAAATGAGACATTATCATGGACACGAGGAGGAGCAAGCCATCGTCGACTCAGCATCAAGTTTGAAAGCGGGCTTCAAACCTCCAATGACCAGAACACACAGCTCTTTTCCTCCAAATTGACGTCGACCGCAGCCATGTGCATCAAACACGCCCAATTCTACAGCTGTCCCGCCAGCGCGCGTCCCAAGGCCCCCAAGAGACGTCACCGCGTCACTGCAAACATTCTCTGCTCGCACATCTTCCCCTGTCCAGCCTCCCAATGGGAGAAGCGCACCAGCTTCTACGACTACATGTGCCCCGGCTGCTCGGGCGAGTTCCCCGCCGTGCCGCGCGGCACCCCCTCGCACGACGAGTGGCACCGTGACGACCTCCAGGACAACGCCTGGGCCCAGAGCTACATGACGGAGTACTGCCACTCCGTCCTGCTCTGGATCCGTAGCAGGTTCCCCTCCGACGACGTCACGAACAAGGAGATTGTCGAAGCGTGGTCTCGGTCCTTCTTCATGGAGCGCCGGTGCAAGGAAGACGACCACCGCGTCGGCGTGTGCTCCTGCGAAGCGAACAGCCCGCTGACATTCTACTATAATCCGGCCACGGCGGCTCGTAAACACCTCACGGACAAGGCTACTGAAAAGACTGAGACGGATCGTCGCATCCAGAACCCCACCATGCATAGCCTCTTCAGTTTCCGTCACACCCTGCTTTCTGGTTTCTGTCAAGCGCAGAACCTGTACTTCAAGGGTGGACTCTCCCGCCAGCCTCTATTCTCGAACAAACTCGTCGAAAGCCGCCGCAAGACACTGGACGACGATATCCGCATCCACTCGGAGGCGGCGTCGGTTTTGGTGATGGAGAACGCGGAGTCCGGCACCGGGTGGACTGACGCGCACACCCTAGAGGCGAGCTTCATCTCGAGGCGCGCCAATCTGGTCAAGTTCATGGGCGAAGTCCTGCTACACGACAACGGCATCTCCAACAGCCGGTTCAGCCTCGCGGTCACGGTAATCTGCAGCATCATCAAGCCCATCGTATACCGCGGCCCTTCGACCGTCGAGGGACTGGACAATCTCGCCGAGATTGCGAGCTCGACCGACCAGGCGTTGATGCCGGACAAGCCGTTCATGGGCTTTGTCCAGCTGATTCAAAAGTACTACCATGACCGCACTGAAGAGTGGAACACGGAGGTCATTGCCTACAAGGCGCGACGGAGCCTGGTGGATTCCGTGTCGGTGGACGTGGACGACTGGGAGGGGCCGGCGGGGCAAGTATGTCCCGTCTGCGAAAAGAAGTACTACGATGAGACGCCGGGGACCATGTTCCGGGATCTCGATCATGGTGTTCCCGGCTGCCCCCTCGGAGAGCCAATGGTGCGAATGAAGAAATGCCGTTGTCACATTGGGAAGCGATGCCTGTTTCAGTGGTTGACGAACAAGGCCGCGGGGAATAAGGAGCTTACTTGTCCCGGATGCAAGGAGCCGCTGCCACAGGTCGCTTTTAAGCTAGTAGAGACCAGTTTTTCGCCTGGTAATCTGTAATGATGAATTCTGAGACTTTGTTTTGGAGCATGTTGTTCCAAGTCTGGTTAGACTGACTGGCGCCGGTGGGAGTTTAGAGCTAATAGAGTGAGATGGGATATCGAGTGGCTTCAACTCTTTTACCAAGCAATCCGGGGCTTGAGTGGTTATTTCGACGTTGTTTTTGAGCCTGTGTGGGGAGTTCAATATCAGTTCATGTTGTCTTTGGTAAATTAGTCGTCCGAAGTACGACCAGAGCTAGAACACGGATTAGACTCATCTTTTTCTAGGTCATATCCGAGGGGTATGAGATTAGTAGATTAGTAGATTAGTAGATTCATCTTTCCGTTACGATGGACTCATGAATATCATGTCAGCTAAGTTTAGTCTTTATATTCACAATTTCGGATTATTGACAACCGCCTCAACGACGCTTCCTTGAATCTATCACGGTGGATCTGAATAGTAGCAAGAGCCTTAGTCAACTGCTCTATCCATCACAGATATGATGGTGCCAATAACCGACACATAGTATCAGCGATGTATAGAGGTAAATCTTACTTCAGTTTCCTTGCCCCTTCGAAATTCCTTCTACAGTCGTTTCAGATTTGTTCCAACTCAATATCGTCCTTGATGAACAGAGTGTCGGTAAGACGGTATTCTGTGACTGAGAGTTACCTACATATTCACCTCAAGGGAAAGTATCCAGTCCCAAAAATGGACATTATAGACCAAGTCTTTTCCATGAGTAAAGGTGTCCTTTGTTCACAAATTGCAAGATGATATAAAGCCAAGGGTCTATATGAATCTCTCGGGATTGTTGGGTGGAACGATAGAGCCTGTTACAAAAGTGGAAGAAATCTTGGAACCAGGGACCTAGATACCATTCAGATATCTTTTATACAAATTAAGGGCTTTCCAAGTCCTATGCTATGTGCTATCGTCCAGTCGGCTTTGAAGTATTGATCTTCGCTGATTTTACAAGACAAGAGACAAGAAATATCGGTCTCATCTTCATAGGTCGGCGGGAGGGTTAGAAGGATCTTGCAAATGATTCACTGATGATGTCTCTGGGGGCCAACAACATCGATAACTTTCTAACGGGTGCAAAACGAGTGCAGTATCCATGAGTAGACTTTCCCTCGCGATTCTCATGTATTTAGGAAAACTAAAATAAACAAATATCTGCGCCTTTGTCGGGTTCTAGCCCTTGTGACTTGACAAGCCGTCATCAATATCGCAGACTAGTCAGAATAAAAGCCTGCAAGGTGCATTATTGGCCTCTTTCGCCTATTTCCTGAAACTGTTTACCAACCAAAAGTATGCCCTATGCAGATCCTCTAGGTCTCGTTCGTCCGCCTCATTCTTCTTGATACGACGATGCAAACTCTCAATTTTCCTTTGGCAGTTCTTAATCAACGCTGTCTTTGATAAAGCCCACATAATGGACCAATGGTAGCCTATTACACAAGTCATGTAGGCAGCCGAGACGCCAAATGCCTCCTTGTAGTGGGATATGTGCCACAGAAAGCTGGGTTCATCAAATGCACGTAAGCAAAGGTCACTGGAATGTGGACTCCAACTCACTATACGCCTGCAGAAGTCGACAATGCAGAGGCAGCGAGAACACCCTGTCTCGGCGAAGGGGCAGCTCTCGGTTTGAGATATTCGAGCGTCTCGTGCATGGCCAGCAGATCACGGGCAAGACTGTCGCGCGAGATCATGAGCCGCCATTGCTCCCTCGTCATGTCTGCAGAGTTCAAGCCTATCTCACGCGTAGCGAGGTCTGCAAGTAGCGATTGTCTATTAACACCAATATATGGCTAGCAGTACTCGGCGTACGTACCCATGGTGGAAACCTCATCATCGGAGTTTTCAATTGTATGTACATGCCTGGGGCGTTCCGCATGCACTTTCTGCAGGTGGTCTAAATATTGGTCCATGTACATATCCGCGGACCGTCGGTGGATTTCAACGTCGTCCCACAGCTCGCGCTCGGTTTCTGTCTCCGTTTGACAATTTGACAAGATGACCTGTAGCCGCTGGGAGAAGCCGCCGCTGTATCGAACAAGAGCAGAGGTTGAGTCTGCCATAGTTGGGTCAGGAATCAGGTTGGGCTGGCCAACCAGAGCCACGGCCTCGGATGTGCGATTGGGTTCCATTGAATCACAAGGCGAAACTATTCTGCAAGGCAGGAATAAAAGACAGAATATCCATACGAAAAGGTCTGAGTCAAAGAGGCAAGAAACCATCGAGGAAAGAGAGGTGATAAGTCAACAACATTTAGTATCAATGGCCGCGTGCCTCCGGTCAACCTGATGTGGCGTCCAAGTGCGGGGAAATTTTTCTCATGTTGGAAAGAACTGTCCTTTTCGTTTGCTAGATTGGAACATTTCCGACTTGACGCCCTGGTTGGTTGCTCGACGCCGTCGCTCAAAGGCTGCGAGAGAGAGTATGCAGGCGCGGACATGTGTTGTAACCCAACATGCACTGCTGCCTGAAAGTTGCCTCGCTTTTATCAAAATCGCCCGTCATCTATTTGACAAAGATAACGAAATGATAGGTGCGGACAAATGGCTTTTTTCTCAGAGGTGGATGGATGGCCATCTGGCGCTCCTGGGAAACTTTGCTCGAGAATCCGAGATTCCCTCTGGTACTCCCATTCTCACTTAAGGGAACGAGAATACCCCCTTTCCCCTCACGGAAATACTCTACATGTTGGAAAATCCCTCTCGCTTTGAATAAATACTCCTTCGAGTGATGGATAGCTCGTCCGGCCAGGAAAACACCACGCCAATGCAGCCTCCATCTTACGCAGAGGCTGAAGCGGAGATTCCATCTCGATCAGAAGGACGGTCTACTTTACTTGTTCATTTGCAAGTATGGCATCACCAAAGCGAATGCAGAAGCCTCAAAGATAATGCTGGGTTTGCCGCCCTCCTACGCAACCTCCCAGCCTGGGAAGTGAATCCTCAAGAAGTAGACGGAATCACAGGCCCGAGCTCACACGACCACTACGTTCCAGTCGAGGTAAGTGAGAGAAGACTCTCGAGAAAGCTTTATCATTTTCCCTACCCATTCGTGTACCAAAACGCCCAGAGAAGCTTACCCTCTCTGCCAACAGGTGCAATTTCGCCACCGGTTTTTGGCATACGACGATCCGGGTGAACGTCTCTTGGCGGACGTCCGAGAACTCTTCTACAAGGTGGTACCGCAGTTCATATACCAGTTCTTCATCCAGATCAGCAGTGTCCCCCGCAATCTCAACATCTTTCCCGTCGGGGTCCCAGACGAGTTCTTGTCGCGGTACACACATGCGTATAACCTGATCCCACTTGGCATCCGTGTCAATACACTCTTCGTTCCAGTCCCGGCGAGACCGAATGATGCGCAGTCCTGGTGGGTGCAATCCCGATCCGTTTTCTTTTCTTTTACCCGGCGTCTGGGCCACTCACTAACGGACCGCCTTGACAAGGCTGCGTGATGCCGCCAGCACGGCAGCCGATGTGTTGGGGATCCTCGCTGCGATAGTTGTCGTCTACCTCGAGCACCAAGAGAACCAAGATGGGGGCAACGAAAATGACCGTGCATTCTTTCAATGTATGGACCGGCATGCCCCCTTCTTGAATGTGCATGTACCAGAACGGTTTCCCCAGTTGCAAAGATTGTTCCACCAGGTAAGTACCTTGCCTGCTTGTCAGTTCAGCCTCGGACCGTTCATACCATGAAAAAGAGACTTGCTTCCCCCAGTCCGCAGCTCTAACTTCGCTTTGTGGCACAGTTCCGCCAATTCGACAGGGAATCCATGGCTCAGCCGCCAGCTCAGATCGCGACTATGCCAGCAGCATTGCATGAGGCCACAGATACCTATCTACGCCTCGCCAACCGCATGGAGAGCAGGCTGAAAAGTCTGGAGAACAGCCAGAGTGGGTTTCCTTCTCTCCGCGTCACATCGTCATTATGACGAACTACTTAATGCTATTGAATCTTTCATAAGCAAGTTGTCCGTCAGCTCTGAGTAAAGACACTAACAGTACGCAGCTCTTTCCAACCAAGATCTTTATGAGCTTGTCCACGATTCCCATACCGCTGTGGTCATGTTCTCTGCCCTGCAACAAGCAGTGCGGCCTCTGGTCAGAGGTCTCGAACAAGGTTACCATACGGAGACAGAGAGGTACCGGAGTGGCCAAGTCAAGTACGGCGCCTGCGGCGCGGTTGCCCGCATCACCGTAGCGGTTGCTGCCGGCCTTTTCTTCTCGAACCCTGCTGGCTGGCTGGCGGTCGGTGCCGGTGCCGGTTTCCTAGGAGGGGTGGGTGTCGGCGTTGGGATACGCTACGTGATCGATGCAGAAGGCAGGAAGGCATTCGGAAAGCTGGAAGGGATACGAGAGTGTAGGGCTTCCCCTCCCATTCCTTCTTTTTTTTTGAGTCTTGAAGCCCTGCGTATGTCACGCTGCGTCGACATTTGCGAATCGAATAGCCTGGTTTCTGCTCAGAAGTCCCCCATTCCCAATCATTTGCGGACGAGGAAAATAAACTGACACTGCATTTCTAGTTGACATCGCCGTCAAGCAGCTGAAAGAAAGTGCCATTCAAGCGCAAGCAACCGTTGCGATGGTGTTCAGTGCCCAGGTCATGCGAAAGCGGCTGGACGAAACCTTGCCGGAGCATGGCAGGAGAGCTATTCTCGCGTCGTTCGGCGTTGATGTGGATGTCTTGTCTAATTCCATTTACCGTGAAGAGATCCTCTGCGACCGGCTAGGAACCTTTCGCAAGCATAATGGCGATCTGCGCACCACGCGGGAGAAGGTACTTAAGGATGCAAATTTCGAGTTCTAAATCACTAGGCAAGCTGTGTAAGTAGCTTGGCTGCTGCTGTGTGTTTTGTTTAGACACTAGTGGAGGGAATTCCAGCGGTGGTGATCTTGTTGTTTTGTTTTTTCTACAACTTGGTGCTAGTTGCCTTCTCACAAGTTGCCTTCTCACAAGAAGTATCTCAAAGATCTACTGGCTCTACAAGTCGGCAATTCCCATCATATATTCAAGGATCACAAGTATGTCAGTGACCGTTTGATGAGAGCTCTCTGCCTGCCCGCACTCGCCAGGAGTACATCAATACCAGATGACTTTGAGCAGTGTGTTCAAGCGGAAGCCACTATACTTGAGGAAGAGGATGATGAGAAGCTGGATGAACTGGAGAAGTACTTTGCCCTACAGAGGCAGGCCAACTGTAATCATGTTGAGTGGTGGTACAATGTATAAGGCAGTGGCAGAAGAGGGGTGCAATTTCACAGCTAGGTAGGTCTGACTAGCTTCACTTGGCAATTACTTGCAATTAATTGGCAATCAATCAAGTTTGGCATCGAGATGTGGCAATCAAGTCAAGTTTGAGCCTCAAACTTGATTGATTGCCTTACGGGGAGCGCTGGTACGGTTAAACGGGTTGGGATCAGTCACCTGGTAATCGAAGAAAATGACCAAGAACGCGTAGACGTCTGTCATTACAGTACGAGAAACAGATCATTCCACATAACTAGCAATTGCCGCAAAGATGCCGTCGTCGAGAAACCCGTCCCATATCAATGATCTCAGATCCAGAAAAGCCATCTTCGTATCCACAGGGATCGTCAGGCCCGGAAACACATGTTGAAAACACATCACGCTTCCCATTGGCACATAACTTGCTCACAAGTCAATCGAAGCCGACTTATTGCAGGGCTAGCAGAGGCAGGTTGTCCACACGAATCCCGTCGTTTTGAGTAGGTGTTTATCCTGGTTTGCTGCGAGGACCCCCGTGTTCCGCTCGCCGAGATCCAGATTGTGACCCCGACAAGAACAACGAGTATCTTGACATGTGACACCCCCAGACTTTTCACCGGGCACACCGGTCGGAGACTAAATCGCACCCGCGCCGAATGCACCGTGTTAACAATTTCCACTGTTAAGGGGGTCTATGACGTTTACGGGGGATAAGCTTTCGGACTAAGTAATCCACCAACTGATGTCTCACCGTTGGTGATGGAGATCGTTAATGCAAAGCGGGCCGGCCCTCACAGTGAATTCCGTGCATCTCCTTCCCCGCGACTGGACTGCATCTGGTTAATTCCTCCGTTGTCTCCTTTCTCATCGGCAGATGTGTAGCTATGGCGTCACTAATGAGCCAAGCGGCCTCGGTTTGCCCTTGTCCAGTATGTGGCATGGAATTCCAGCGCCAAGACCATCTGAAAAGGCATGTGTTCCTCCATGAGGATTACAAACCTTTCGCATGTTCAAAATGCAGTCGCCATTTCTCTAGAAGGTATGTATTTGAACTGAGAGTACTCAAAGTATCACCAGATGTCTAGGTCAAACACTGAAGGCGGGAACCCGACAGAGACACCCTTGAGCGTCACGCATTGGTACACGAACCCTCAATCAACCAGCACTCGAAAGTGGCCGACAAGACACGGGGAGCCCAAGCTTGCGTCTCTTGTCGCACCTCCAAACAGAAGTGCGACGGTGACGGACTACATCCTTGTACTAGATGTGGGCAAAAGCAAAGACATTGTCAATATTTACCTCGTCGCGTCCGACAGGTGAGTACGCTTGGTTTCCTGTTCCTACCTAAATGCAATCTCGTAGCGTTCTTGACTAATAGTCCTCTCGCAGCCTTCGCGGCTGAAGTCGCAAGTGAGACGAGACTCATCAACAAGCGTGAGACCCTCCACTGAATTTGAGCGTACCTCAGCAGAAGCATTACCCTCAAATTTGACAGGCTCGTTGGATAACTCCAGCCTATCTCAGCTTGACACTTTTCACGCAGTTGGCGACGCAGATATGGCATTGGTCACCTCCGACGTCTCTCCCACGTTATGGGACGAGATGCTCACCACGACATGGGGCGAGGCGCAGTTGCCTGTCAATCTGTCTGCATTGCGAATGCTGAATTTCGCAAGTCCCATGGCCGTTGCGAATCTCCCGCCAGGAAATTGGTCAGCCCTGGGAGCGACTAACGAATCCTTTTCGATTGATCCCCTACCCACTACTCTCTTACTTCAACCTCCGACCCAGCACCAGCCCGGCCATACACTCATCTCAGCATCCCCGAGCTTGGACGCCGATCTGGAGAACTTAGGTCACATACCTGAGATCACCTCAGAGACATTCAAGAATCTGAGTACGTGGGCCTCCATGATGAGTCCTTCGTGGGAGACTTGCATCATAAGACCCTTCGATTCTTCATCAAACCCACCTCTCAACACCTTGAATGCTTTCATACAGCTATATTTCGAGGATTTTCATGAAATACTGCCTATAATTCATCAACCAACATTCGATCCCAACATCGCCCCATATTTGTTAGTATTGGCCATTGGCAACATCGGGCGTCGCTTCTCAAAGTTGGCTGAAGACCTTTTTTTTGGAACTGAACTTGACCAATTCGTCTACCACGCCACCCAATATCACGTACGTAATGTCACCTTTACTTCCGGGTTGTTTCTGGCGTCTGATACAGAGAATAGGTCGGGAATATGCCAACAAATGACACCATTCCAGCTTGGCTAGCTCAAGCAGTGCTTCTCAGTCAGGTATCCATGGCCTTCTCCAAGGACAAGCAAAATGTGGAAAGGAGCAAGGTGACAAGAGGTATTCTGGCTGTTACTTTGGGAAAACTTGAGCCTCTGTTGGATGCGGCCGCTGTGACCATTGCCAAAGACCCAGAGCGACCAGGCAACCAAATACGGTGGGAAAACTGGATTGAGTGGGAAGTATTGCGACGCACGGCGTTTGGTTTATGGGTGAGATGTTACCCTATTTCACACTTATCTCTCCTTTAGTCTAACGCTATCCTAGCTTCTGGATAGCCAGTGCTGCCTGCTCTTCGACCTTATGCCAGTTGTGCCTACGGAGGCTCTCGCTATGCAAATCCCACTTCCTTGTCATGAACGACTCTGGGAAAAGTCATCTGCTTTAGCATGGGAAAAGGCATGCAAAGGTAGGCTCTAAACCGCTTCCTACTGGTAAGCTCCAAGTGCTTACATCTTAGAAAACGACAATCTGCCTACATTAAGAGAAGAGATGCAGTCACTTTACAAACTGAATCCATTGTCAGAAAACGTTGGTGGCTTCACACTCTTACTCCTGCTTTTCTGCTATTCCCGAGACCATCTACTCCTGAAACAGATCGAAAGTCAAGGCCTCACGGCAGTGAATAACGACGAGGAACGAATCACTTCAGGCATGAGTTGTTGGTCAAAGACATGGGGGCTCTTAGACCCTACCAAACGATCAGGTTCCACGCGTATCAGAACCGTTGCAGTCCAGTATTATCATATCATTGGACTCATTACAGAACTGCCCCTGAAAGATCTACGTGATTTTGCAGGCTGGAGAGTCACAAGGTCCAAGCAGCGTGAGACTAGACAAAGATTAATAGCATGGGTAGCAGAGCACGGGAACAGGGCGAGATCTGCAGTGCTTCATGCTGGGAAGATAATTCGCCAGTGTCGAAGTCGCTCGTCCTGCGGTTATCAAGAGCCTTGCGCAGTTCTCATTGCAAGTCTCACTCTCTGGATGTACAACAGCTCATTGACGGCCCGTTTTCTGGCATGCCGGGAGAGCTATCGTGAGCAGAACCAAACCCCCACATTCCGACTCGACGAAGAAAGCGACCTTGAAGAGGTGTGGGATTGGATACAGACGGGAAAGAGGGCGCGTCCATTTGTTGCTGGCATTGGTGACATTCATATGCCCGGAGGTCACTCCAAGGCTGTGAATCAAGCCATCAATATGCTGTCGTCACTGAAGGAATGGCAAATTGGGCAGCTATTCTCTTTAGTTCTGAAGGACTTGATTGTGTCATTCGATAAAGACACTAGGAACTAGTATGAGAATTGCCTGTCCCGCCTGATTCGAAGGACATTATACGCTGACACGGTAGCTTTGAAGCTTCCACCTCGTTTAGTGACCTTGACCTGACAAACTTCTTTCGAACTCATGCTCGAGGTGACACCTTGAGAGGAAGACCTCCTTCAAGCTCTACGGTGAAGTTGTCGACTCGTCTTGGAGGTAAGAACCCAGAAGGGAAGGTGATCTTATACTTTCGAAGAATGGAAGCGAGAATAATTGTCATCTCGACAGGCACCAAACTAGAATTTCCAGCCACAGTCAGAATCAGAAAATGGGGTATCAGCGTGAGTAGAGCTGACATCAACTTACTTCTGTCCAATGCACATTCTAGCGCCTTTGCTGAAAGCAACCTGATACTGATCCAGTCCTTTTGCTTCGGGCCCCAACCAGCGATCGGGATTGAAGCATCGAGCATCAGGGCCCCAAATATCAACACTGGAATGCATCGTATGAGCTGACATGGAAACGACGGTCTGTCACAGTCAGTGGATGTCAGTTGATATCGTGCCAGCGCGGCTGCATCTCAAAAGTGAGAGAGGCGATCTAGGTTCCACTTACACCAGGAGGGACGATCTTTCCGTCTACAATGAAGGGTTCCGAATTGTTATACGGTACCACTCTTGGAAGGCGCGAGGGCACTGCTGAGGCCAGTCGGATGGCTTCTTTGACGCAAGCGGTCTGAAAGCACTTCATGTCAATCGTGATCCAATGTTGGACGTCATTCATTGCATGGGTTTCTCACCAAGTAATCAATCTTTTCCAACGTCTGAATCGGAGGCAAATCATTCTTGTCTGGAATAGCAGCATCAAGATCTTTGACCAGTCTCTTCTCCATGGCGGGATGACGCAGAATCTCAAATAGAGCCGTGGTCAATGACGTGGCGCTAGTGTCAGACCCAGCCACCAAAAGATCAAGAGCTTCGCCGACCAGCGCAATATCCGAGAGGGAGGTCAAATTCTCGAGAACAATGGGATGATCACCGGCTGCTTTTGATCTACCAGACTTGCGCCAGCGGGTCACACACAGCTTCGAGAACTAAACCAAGAGGATTGGGGGCATCAGCCGGAGATTCAGCTGTAGCTATGGAGAAGAATCTTCTGGGAACGGAGCGCTTACATCAGCCACTTGAAGGAGACTGCCGAGTTCTGGAGAGACGATCTTCAGGATCCCCGCTGGCAGCGCGTTGCTGATAATACGCAACGAGGGGTAGTGTTGCAGGGTCTTAACAGCCCGACCACCAACGCTGAAAGCTGTGAGAAAGTATGATTTAAAACTGTTGGGCTGCTCTTCTAGCATGCCGCCGCTATCAGCGAAGCAAAACTCCATAATGATGTTCGTAGTCAAGAGTCTACTAAAAGTGTCAATCCACGGACCAACCAGAATAAATCAGGGGTTGAAAGCATTTGATAACGGGGGTTTCACTAAGAGACGCACCGAAATGCATCATAAAAGTCGATATTCTGCTTCTCACGAAGCCTTTCAATCTTGCTCTCCAGGAGTGCCAGTCGCTCCCGAATAAGACCTTCCAGCTTCAGGACGCCTGCACGAGAAAACATGGGGTTCAGCAGGCGTCGGCGCTCCTTATGTTTAGCCTCATCCATCTCGGTGAAGGCCGTCGGAGACGGCACGTTGAATCCTAGATAGAAAGGTTCGTGCTTGGGGAACGGGTTTGATTGCCTGTAGATCACCTTATAAAGGTCCGTATCGGTAATATGAAGTTCATCAGGCGCGATTCTGATGGCTTTAGCGTCTACACTCGCCATCAGCTATGAAATTCAACTAGCGCTACGGGTGTTCAGACGGTAATCTCACTGTAGAGATGATGAAGTTGTTCATAAATGTGTTCAGGGTACGCCGTCTGGGTTTGAAGGTAGAGCCACTTGCGCGATTTGGCCGCTTCTTTCGGTCCAGGGAAGTTGCTTAGAGGATGCAGATAAACGCGGTAAAGCCCTCGAAGATAGGTAAAAAGGACGAAGAAGGGCACAACTGCAGACAAGCTAAAGATGATTTGAGATGAGAAGCCCGAACCATCCAAGTGCGGCTGCCATGCGGTAATATTGTCGAAAGACATGATTGTCCAAGGTGTTGAATTCTGATGTTCAAGAGAATTTCGAATAAAGGAACTGCAGGTCTGAAACTTCCTCCTCGACAACGTTTATATAGATGAAGCATCCCTCCTTTCCTACCGATTTCATTCTATCAGAAAACCTTGTGACATAATCGGCCTGTGATTTGAGGAGCCGATGAACCAAACCGCCGACGCTAAATTGAGGAGCCGACTGCGCTGGTGCCGTTGTTTAGACATTTCGGCTCCTCGATTTGTGGGGCGACGAGTTGGAGACGGGAGCCGGCCGAGCGGCGGGTCCCGATACTGGAGACTGGTTGGAGACCGAGCTCCCTGAGCATTATTGATGTCATTGCATTGCAGTTTGAGAAAGTCTTTTGACCGGAGAGAAGTGCTGGGAGTATCGCTAGGCTCAATGCATGTGCTCGCAGTCATCAAGATAATAGCCTCGCCTCCATGTGGAACTATACGGTAGGCATTCTGGGATTGGCTTTAGATGCCGATTATAGGACGTTGAAGACTGAGAGGAATAGCCTTAATATGGCCTGCTATTAAACCCACGAGCAACCGTAATATTGATAGTATTGTCGATAGTGACATTTATAGAGACGGGCACTACTCGTATGGGTTTCTGGGAGGCACGCGGCTGACAAAAAAGAAATCACATTTGAGGCAGCTATCTACTTTCTCCCCTATTTTATTTAATTATTAATAAATTTTAGTTTTAGTTAATAAAATTTAGAAATATGTAAAAAGTATATTTTGAAAGCTCTTATTTATTTTTAAATTCTTGTGAAGTTAAAATAAATATATTTTTTATTTTAGTATAATATGTTGAAACTCATAGTTAGTTGTACATGTGCCACCTTTTCTGTCAACAGCGTGGGAGGCCAGGTTATGAACGGCGGTGGAGACTACGTATACAATTATATGGACCCTGATTAGTTTAGTCGGGGCGTAATAAATCATGTATGAATACGGAGTCGTGTTTATAACACCCAGCCCACCACGCCCGCTCACCAACATCACCCTATTTACCGCTCCTCCACAGGTTCACTAAGAACTGCGACTGATACCTCCCGCCTGTATGCAGCCTATGCCGCCCGACGTTATGATTTACTATGCATTTGTCCAAACCTTCGAATTCAGGCATGATTGGATGTCGACCCTTCACCTCAAGGCTCATGGATTCTCCAGCATCGAAGATCACACCGCCAGGCCAAAGACTGATCTCAAGCTCGACAACTTCGCCGCGGCGTAATGCGTGCGATGCCGTATGTGGATGGTACACGTACGCCGGTCCCATCAGTTCCTTGTATGCGTCTTGACCAAGGCCCTCGAGCGACTCGTTTGCGACGGCGCGATGCGATGCACGAAGACGGCCGTTGGGTCCGATGTAGCGCCTGCGCATAGTTTGCCTGTGTCAGAACGTCCTGGAGTGCATGATTCTGACAATGCATGAGTGACTGAAGCACGGTTGTTGACTTACCAGACGTTCTCTTTCGGAATCTCTTCCACTGTTGTGCCCTTTGGGAGGTCTTGCATGGGAATATTCTGATGCCACAGTGCTTTGCCGTCCTTGTCGAGCTTGCGGAGCACGACGTAGACGTCCTGCGGAAGTTCGTTCAGAATTGAGCATTATAATGTACGCACACATGACACCTCTGAATGGGAAAAACCTACCAGATCGTCATGATCAAGTGTTGACATGTACAATTTGGCCTTGGAGACACCACACAGCTCAGTGTACTCCTCGACGGTGTGGAGGAACGAGAATCCATTGTCAGAGGGCGAATCGGCTTGGTACTCAATCACACTCTCAGTAGAGGGAATGCTGTGTCCCAAAGCTCCGCTCTTCGCATCAAGGAACAGGGTTTCGTACCTGAACTTCGCTGGCGGATACTTCGCAGCCGGCCGGTTGACCACGCTTGGACGATTGTAGCCCAGAAGTGAGTATCGGATACGGGGCGTACTCTCCCACCCATTATCTTTGTCGAGCATGTACTTGTCGAAGAACCGCTGCAAGTCGTCAAGATTCTCTTGCTGGTAAATGTCGTGCCATTCCTGGGTTGCAGTCCAGCGCAACCTATTACGGCGTGTTCAGCAACTGGGTAAGTAGACAATGCGCGTCACCCTAACAGTAGAATTACCATTTTTCCGATGATCGAGAGAGCTGGAAGCCTCGGACTGATCCTTCGGTATGTAGCCCGGTCGAGAAGCTGGCAGTAGCATACATCGGAGTGGTGATGTTGCGGAGCTTCGGCTTTTTGTCTTCCCAGTAGTCGTTCCAGGAACCATACTCGTCCACCATCGCGCCAACGTCCTCGCGGCTGCCGGGTCCTATGGAAGATTGCAATATCAGAAAAGGCCGGAAGAAGCAGCACCCAGAACCAAAAAGCACAACGACTTACCGCATGCCCACTCCATCAACACATCCCAGAAAGCATGGTCAGGAATGCCACCGCGACAGATGGACTCCCTGTAGTAGTCTCCAAGCCCTTCCCAAGGTGCCATGCAAGTAAGATGAGGAGGCTGCTCAGCAGCGATGAACCATTGCGTTGTCGCAAGCCATGAGTTCCCGGCCATGGCTACCCTCTTATTGCACCAAGGTTGCTGGGCGATCCACTCGATACAGTCGTATCCATCGCGGCCTTCTTGCGTCCCGTACACGTGAAGATCGCCGCCGGATTTGAACGACCCTCGAGCGTCGATGTTGACAACAGCATAACCGCGAGCGACCCACTCCGCGGGGTCAGGAGCCTCCCATTTTTCCAAGCCACTCGTCGCAGAGCGAGGCACGCCGACTCTCCACGGGAACATGTCGAGCTGCTGCACACCAGTTCCGGTCTTGCCATAGGGGCTCCAGGGCATGATGGCCGGGACAGGCTCGTCGTCGGATGTCAGTGGACGAAAAACGTCAGCCAATAGCTCGATACCATCTCGGAGCGGAATGCGGATGTCCTTCTCCCAGACTGTATCGACCGCAAAAGCCTTACGACCCTCCTCTTTGGTCCATCCTTTGGCAATGACTCGCCTCTCAGAAGGGCCATAGGCAACCCAGGTATTCTTTGGCTCATGATGGAGCTCCGTAAACAAGACGGGGACACTGAAGGGCTGTGCGGTTTGTGACATTCTGACAAGTTCTTCAGGATCCCAACATGCAACAAGGCACATTGAAAAGCTCGCCATGGGGGAAGGAAACATAGGACTTTGCACGTGTTATAAAGTATTCTCCCTACTAATACTCCGCAATTGCCTAGATTATGAGGTAACTCCAAGAACGGGCTCTCCACCCCCGCAATCGGAGACACGCCACACACCCAGGTTCAGAAACTGGGGTGAGCAGGGATGTGCTGAGCTATTCGACTTGCAACGGCACCTTAACCAGCTTCATACCGTGCTCTGTGCGTGCTCACAATGTGGAGTCGCCTGTCGATGATCTCGAAGGTCGGGAGGATAACCTTTGGCTTGCGACCCGAGAAGAGTAGAAATATCCTTGGCCATCCTCGAATCCGAGGACCCGCTTGCTATGATCCGTGACGCGTCTTTGTATAAACGAGGCGCGCTGCGGCCGCTGTGTAAGAGACCGACCCCCGTAATATGAGGTCTTTCATGATTTCTGGCTTCCAACCAGCCGCTCAAAAGATCCGCATCAACGAATTGGTCGAGTCGGATAATCTCCGTGCTGGACGTTCTCACGCTGGCCCCACTGCCAGCGGAATTGGGATCTTGCTGCTCAACAATATCCACGTACAGCACCATGTAGAGCACACAGACCAAGACGCTAAGAATGTCGAGGTATGTCGCAACTCTGTTGGTGCGGAAGTATTGGAGAACCTGCGCTGCGTAGTATAAGCAGTGCCTTGCTCTGCCGACATTGTGCCATACTATATCGAGCAGTTCGGACCGGGCGATGCTATGACCTACCTCTGTCGTCTGCCATTTGCTAAAGGGAAAGAGGAGCCGCGAGGGTGTAAATGAGAAAATGGCGAGGACTCGAGCAAGCAAGGCGAAGTCATTCGAGGTGGTGCCAGCGTCCGTTTCGCGCAACGGCTGAGAGCATCCTGCCTGCGACAAGGCATCAAAGGCTTTCTGAGAGAGCATTGTCACCATGCCTAGAGCTGGAGAAGCCGGTTGACCAGCAGTGTCGCCCACAAAGCCAAGTCTCATAGCTCGTAGCAAATCGCTTTCGGCGGCTTGCTGGACAAAGGCCGAAAGTAGAATTATAGATTTAGCCGGTTGCTCCAGCCTCGCCGGTGCCACGTCGCCGAGACCAACGCGTGCAAGTAGAGCACAAAGAGGTGATGAAGGCTGCGGTGGCGGTAAAAGGTGCCACTGCTCGTAGTTGGATGACCAATGTGAATCAGCTGCGGGTACCGGAATTTGCAGCTCGGCAATGGAGAGCAGAGGAGGAAGCATGAAGAATGTCGCCTGAAGACATTCGGACACTATTTGGCTAAGCTCGTAACCAAGGATCCTGGGTCCAGTGGAGATGACTTACTCCAAGTGAAGTAGATGATCCGACGTTTAGCTTCGGCTCGTATCCACTGCGACCATCCGTGATTCACATCTTCACCGGATGTATGCGTGTACATCAAAGTTCCCTCTCGAGACAGCAATTGGCGACAGAGGGTGACCAAGATGTTCCGGTAAAACTGCAGCTTGATGACCGTGTTCACCTCGCCCGAGAGCCACAGGTTTTGCTGGAATAATAAAAGGGACTGCGCAAAGGTCAAGTCTTCAATGTCGGATAGCTCTCGAATCTGCAATGCATTGAATGTCGCATCAGCAACGTTACCATGAAGAAGTAATTCCAAGTAGGATGGGCTTTACATCTCTTTCCTGCATGTGCTGGGCAAGTCGCTGTAGCAGTAGAACATGATCTTGCTTGCGGTGCGCTGAGGAGTACCGACTGCCGAGACACACCACACTGAGCACCAGCTGCCACGTCTCAGGCGACGCCTGAAATGTCGGGACGTGTAAGAAAGGCATCCGCGGATGGAAATGTTCAAAATACAACTGCATGTATGTATCAAGGTGTCGCAAAGATGGGAAATTGGCGTCAAGCCCTTGGGCTTCTTGCTCTGGCAGTCTGGCTTTGATGGCTTGGATCATGTATGCTCGCGTTTCCGCTGTCATAGGAGGTACATGAGGAATGTGCTCAGCGATCAGTATGTCTTCTTCTTCTTCTCCTTCTTCCGCTGTGAGATATTCCGATCCAGCAAAGGCATCAACAGCCTCCACGCCTACCGTCGCTGTTGCTCTTGCACCAAAGCTGTTTTGCACGCTCTGGTCAACCGGAGATTCACCGGCGGCAGCCAAATCGTTGTCTCCGAAGCAGAAGTGTGTTGTTGTCCCAGCTCCAAGCGAAGGCACTGGCGAGAACGGAAACAGGAACTGACCAGGGGTAAAGAGGGCGTCCCAAGGTAGGTCTGTCTCTAGTGAAGGTTGGTCTGAGACAGGAGACTGCGAAGTCATAGGGCGCAAGTGCTGACGGGGCGATAAAGGAGCAGCGGCTATGTCATTATCGGTTGCAGGCTGTGTAATCAAGATAGTCTCGTCGTCGCCAGAACTTGGTTGGTATAAGCAGCGACGACCTTTGTTTGTACAATTGCTACAAGGTGCCGGCCTGCGGCCATCGCAGCGTTGTTTGGCTCTGACGCAGGCTTCGCAAGCACGACGATGATCTCGTGAGAGCTGATCATCATTGTTCCGCGTCCATTCTGCGAATATTGCAGTGCCATGTGTGCGAACATGCCGTTTCAAAGTGTCCCTTTTTCCATTGAATTTTAGGCAGGGGGTCTAAATAGAGACAACACAGGCTACCTGGAGAATGCATACCTCCGAGAAAAGGCTCTCTTGCAAATACTGCAAATGTAAGAGCGACGGCCGGAGTGGCGGTCCAGATGTCGACTTAGATGCTCGCGCCGACGAAATGTCTGCCCGCATTCGGGACACGGCAGTGATGCTGAGGAGGAGGAGGAGGTTGAGGGGTCATTTCCGTCACTGTCGCCCGTCGCCGTCAGCAGCGCCATCGTTATCGGTGTTAGTCTCGATTGGCAGCTGCGGGGGAACGCGATCGCATGTTGAACGAGGTATTGAAGTGCGAGCTTGCGGTATGTCTGGGGGCGATATGGGGAATGTTGGGGTTACGCGATCTTGAGGCGGCGGGTTAGCCGGGGGTGGGGAAGTAAAGGGCCCGTACGGAGTACTCGTGCCCGATGTAGAAGAGAGGAGGAGAAAGGCGGCGGGGGTGGAGGGATGCCGAGGAGTAGCTTTCGTCTTGCATTCCAGGAACCGCAACTGCCACTTGCAAATGCAGAGAAGACGAGATACACTTCACTTACTCAATCAAACACGATAACTGTCGATGGGATACATTCATATATCAAGGTAGATCACCTTAAGCGTGTTTACAAACTGCCACACCTGACACCTTGTGGGTAATGGGCATTGTGTCGACGCCATCTTCGGAAAGGATTGTATTACAACCACTTTGCAGTTTTCAAAAGAGCCCATGCAATGTCCCTAGCTGCAGTGCAGTCACCTTGGAACCAGTCTCCTTCTCCATCGCTTGCGTAGCTGGGCTGACATTCACCTTCCACGGCTTGATCGGCGCGTCGTCGTGCAAACACCAAATCACCTTCTTCGGCTCTCCCAGCAGCTTCGAAACTTGCACCGCGAACTGCGCCGCCGATCCATCAAACGGTCGCCCGTTCAAGTTGGCCCGCCCAGCAATGGCCTGAATGAGCACGTCTGGCTGTGGCTGCACCGTATTCAATATCCCATCGTAGCCACCCAGATGCCCGTTCCAGAGCAGTGTCTTGCCCTCCCCGAACAGAAAGTTGTACATCAGCTGCCCTCCATCGAAATGGGACATGCATTTCCTCGCCGGACCGTTGATGTAGTCGGCAAAAGAGCGCATGCCCGAGTCCATGGCGTCGCGAGGCATGTGGTCGCTGATCTTGAAGAGGCCATATTTCATGCCAAATGTGATGTCCAGTGTGCAGGCGTACTGGCTTGCTCCAATGTACTCCTTGCCTGTATCCATGATCGCAGGCACATCAGCATGCGAGCTACCAGGCATCAGACAGTGCAATGAAGGCCAGACGTGGACGGAAGCCACTGCCAATCCAGCATCTGGAGCCGCGGGAGCGCCTGGTGGCCCGGGAGCGACATCGACTTCACCACGACCCGCGGCTCTACGACACTCGAGCGGGAAAAGAGGGATGCGCTCGCCACCAGATACCGGGATGAGCTGGTCCTCGGGCACTCCAGCTGACCGAAGGACGTTGATAGTTTCGCCGTTGGCGACAACGTGCGCCCCGGTTTTGATGGCTATCTTATCGGCTCCAGGAAGACTCAAAAACACACCTAGTGAGCCCGGCTTCGTATATCAATCGACGTGATTCGTAATGCTAGTGTGACAACTCACTGGTCAAAATGTGCGTGGGAGATGAAAATGTAATCCGCCTCAGCCACATCGTCGATGGCCAACACTTTGGGCAGAACATCTGGGCGCTCCAGCCATGTGTCCAAGAAGATGACGAGACCGTTGGCTTTCACGCGAAACGTGGTGGCACCTGGGATGATTAATGAGCCTCACGAAGCTTGGCCGAGTAAGAAAGAGACACTTGATGTGGTGGCAACTTACCGAACCACTCAATTGTTGCATCCATGCTGAAGCCGTCGCCCGTTAATCTGGTGAGGGGGAAAAGAAAGTAGGTCACAGTTCAACCACCTACCTAAATAACAGACTGCCCCAGCACATTCGTTACGCGAATTATCTCACCTCAAGCACATAACTTGTGTCTAAGCAGAGGTGGTGACAAAGCATGTAGAATTATCCTTGTATAAGGGGATTCAACACTCATTATATAGATATAAGATTTCTTCCCACAGTCGTTCCTTGGCCATACTCATCAAGATACACATGTGAACCTCTGACTGTTAACTAATGATCGATACTAAATTTAGCCGACTTGGAGCCAGAGACCCCGGAGACTCCGGAGACCAAGCCCGGGGAACCCCGCAACCCCGCACCGCAAGACGAACTTGTCCTACCTTACACTCCAAACCCCGCAGAAACGGTCCCGCCCAGCATCGCCTTTCCAACTACCTAGACAACTTTCAAGATCCTGTCAACAAGCCGCGTCCAGTCTTCGACTTTGGCCTGCGCCAATGATCCTCGCCAAGCGACAATCCCGTCGGGCCTCACAAGCACACCGCCAGACCCGTCTACACCGCGGTACCTCTTCCACTGCCCGGTCGTGTCTTGCCATCCATCTTGTCCAACGACCACCACGTGTATTCTGTCGTCGTCAATCCTCTCTTCCAGTGTATTCTCCGTAAATAGGGTCAGTACGTCTAGGTCGAGGAGATCAAGCAACGCCACTGTGCTGTCGTCGCGTGTCACCCACGCGTGGGGGAGATGATGCCCTGGAATGGTCGAAATGTAGTACGTGTCATGTACCAGCCTACCGTCCGCCAGCTGTTGTCCTCCATGCGTCGCTCCACCTTCACAGTTGATGTCTGCGCTCGGGTAGAACCAGCCTACTTCGTATCCTGGTGCCTTAAACTCAGTATCAAGCGCTTGTGATGCCAATTGCATGCGTCGCTGCTTCTCTGCGTAGTCAGGGTGTCCTTTGTCGAAGAATGCTGCACCTGCTGCGAGGTTCTCGGCTTTGCTCTGCGACGCGCTGACGCCCATGACAAGATCAATCTGACCTGCGTGAGAGCGCATGTTGTCGAGGCTGGTCTGTCCGACTCGTTTCCCGACCTCGGAGCGCTCCTCGTCGTACGTGTCGAGGAGACCATCATACTGCTTGCCTGACTTCTTGATGGCCATGGAAAGTTTCCAAACGAGATTATTTGCGTCTTGTATGCCAGAGTTCATTCCTAGGGCTTTTTCTAAAAATTAGTAATTGTTTGTTCGCCCCTCATGTCACACATCAGCGCGCGTGGTTTACTACTTACCGCCCCATGGCGGAATGCGATGAGCACTGTCGCCTACCAGGAAATAGCGTCCAACACGCCATTGCGATGCGTAAAGAGCATTCACGGTCCACTCGCTGAGGGAAATCAGCTCAATGTCAAGGTCCGGTATGCCGATGGTCTTCCTCGCTCGAGCCAGTGCCGTCTCCGCATCGAACTTTGTTGGGTCATCTGCCGCCTGGGCGCAAACAAACATCCACTCCTCTTTTTCTGGATTGCTCATCGCTTCTGGCCAAGGTCCCAACTGGTAAAGATAGCCGGTGAGCGTGCTGCCACCCATTGCTGGGTTCGTGAACCACGTTATGAAGTTGCGATTATCGGGATGCAGATTTCTGATCGGAGAGCGAATATGTGCGCTCATCATGGTCAAGAGATCGGCCTCGCCGCTCCACTCGACTCCCAGCTTTTTGGTAAACATACGACCGCCGTCCGCGACAATCACATACATCCCTCTGTGTCGGCAGACGTCACCCGTGTGGCGGTTCTTTACAGCAACTTCCGCGAAATCGCCATGATCCTCAGTCGTCAACACCTCATGCCCGTAGAAAATTTGATGAGGATTCAGCTCCGCGGCGCGTCGCTTCAAGATCGGTTCCAATCTCATTTGCGGCAGAATGCAGTATTTCGACGGACTGTGCTGGGCATACTCTGCTTCGTACTGGCCGCCTCCCCACGCATCTCTGGAGAATACTTCTTTCCCCCCTTCTCCAAGCGACGTGTACCACGCTGTTCGTCCAGCTATCTCGGCTGGTGCTGAAATTGCGTACACGTCTTCCTCCACTCCCATGACACGAAAGATCTCAGTGGTACGCTGATTGATGCCGCACGCCTTGGGATGGATTGAAGTTGACGGATGGCGCTCGAAAAGCATGTTTGAGATGCCTCGCAACGAGAGCAGTATGGAGCATGTCAGGCCAACTGGGCCGCCACCTATAATAACCACAGGAACGACTCTTTTGTTTTTTTCACTGGCCATGATCGCAGATCTTGCTGGATAACTCAAGTATAGGATATATCGAGAGTGTGCTAACGATAAAAATGCTCCAAGCGAGCGAAGGTCAAAATGGGTAGCGGAGGCCCGGTAGGCCCTGCGTTTCGCGATACATTCCGCGGCACCCTCCGCACGAGAGAACTCGCCTAATACGCGATACGACACTGCAAGGAGATGCCGAAACCACCGTGTCGTTTCTCACGGTGATGAAGCGGCGGGGTTCCCCGTTTGGTGCGGAGAATGCTCAAGGACACAAGGAGTGGGTGTTCACTCCAAGGGTATCTACAGAGGGCAATAGGAGGCACTGTTACAGAATCCCCCTGGCCGTTTCTCTTCGGATTTAAACCATCAGCATCGTAGTCATCGGGTACCTAGAGATGCAATGAATCATATACGTTAGCAGCGGGGTCGCACGGCAGTAAGTGGCTAGTAAATTTCACGTTTCATACATCAGGTTGCAAAATGATAAGCTGGCTGCTACCACACACATGCTCTCTACTAAATACCCAGAACACAGTCCTAGCAGTCCGAAAGTTGATGAATGTAATTAGTTCTCTTTCTATCTCAAAGGAAGTAAGAAACTGAAAATTTATTGCTATATTCTTATACTGAGGATAAAGCGCAGATTAGTAAACCGCAATGAGCCACCGCAGTAACTACGCTATTAATCCGCGGAGAACCTGCATATCTTGGAATAAATTATTTTGGCCGTTATGGACTTGCCAACTCGTTTCGGTCACAGCATTCAACTAGGTTTAGAACTACGGCAGTGTTTTTGTCGTGCCAAAAATCAAGGAAACTAAGGTGAGGTATGATAGTCATTGAACCGCGGGACTATTCGATCGACACACTAACCTAATCAAGGACTTTTGCGATGAATTTGGGGTTTTGCAACAGTGACCCTGACGGGTCATTAGTATAGCCGCTAGCAGTATAATAATTGTAAGATAAGTTAGTTATCTCTTTTAAGGCAATCTTCTACTTTTCTAGTAGATCTTTATAAATGGGAAATATCTATCCCTTGTTACTCAAATCCTAGCTATATGTGCTCTGACTTAGTGAGGACTGTGTTGGGTGAGTTTCACGCTATTGTGGGGCTCCCAGGTTCTGACAGACCCCTTAAGCCTGCCATTGGTGTTTCTGGGCGGTAAAACAAGTTCATCGCTACGCAACATTCAGAACATCCTTCGAGATTATCAGCCCATTGGCTCAATTGCTGGATACAGATTTCCTACGTTCACTACTTCTCATGCGACATATAGTCTACCTTTACCTTGTCTTTCAAACCTACCATCTCCAAGGCTGAAACGAACCATCCCATCACGGTCATAGCCGTTCTAATAAAAGTTGCAATCGTCTTGCCCGACACCGTCGTCAAGTCCAGCGTAGTCACGGCCTCACTGGCCTTCACCATCTTGAATGCGCGCGTGTACATCTCTGCGTCGAATGTGCGCACTAACGCGGCAATCTCTCCATCATACGGCACACCCTGTTCGAACATTGTGTGGTGAAAAAGATTGACAAGATTGCCAGCGTCAGTCAATGCCTGGTTTGCACCCATGCCTCGACCGGGCGTCATGGGATGCACTGCGTCACCGAGGAGGATCACTCGGGAATTCTTGTCGACGCCATTTCGCCAATCCGTCTTTGGCTTGACAGAACTGGTCACAAGGCCCGTCCGGACGTAGTCAGTCGCCGACTGGATGATGAGTGGCAAAGGTTCGCCGTAACCAAGGTCGTTTCGTAAGTAACTGATAAGGTGAGGAACAATCTTCTGAGGATTCGAGCCGGCCTTCTCTATCAAGTCGTCACCCCGAGCTCTGGGTATAAGAATCGACCAGAACAATGTGTATGATTCTGTGCCGCCGAGACCAGGGTCTTTCTTGGGCTCATAGACAGATGCAAATCCAGTGGCATCTGTGCCCCCCAAGAACATCACTGAGCCAGACTGGACGAGCGACTCGGGTAGTTTATCGCGTACAGATCGTGAAATGGTGCCGCGAGACTGGATCAAGGTCTGGGCCTGTAGCTTGATCTTGTTTTTAAGGCCGACCTGCCGGTTGACCTGGCTGCCGCTGCCATCTGATGCGATGAGAATGTCGGCATCCTGTGAAGCCTGGCCATTGAAATGCACCCGCACGCCGCCTCGATCACCCGGCATGAGCTCAAAACGCGTAAAGGTATGGTCGAAGTGAACCCGCCCTTGGACGAGTAGCGGCTGCAGAAGAGCACCACGCAGTCCGTGTCTGGGTATGGCCTGACTCTTGGGATACAATTTAAGGTCGCCCAGGCGCTGGAAAATCGCAAAAGTACCGGGATCAACAATGGTAGGCGCTGCCGCCTGATCACCGGCCCAGACCTCGCGAATTGAGGACCAAAGTTCAGGGTCAGACACTGTCTTTAGAGCATTTAGGCCATTGGCGCTGATGCGAAGCTGATACCCGCCCCGCTCCGAGTTGAATGCAATTGTGTCGCGTTCGAAGACCTGGACATCGAATTTCCCCCCAACTGGGTCCTTCAGCAAGCCGTTGGCAACGGCAAGTCCAGAGATTCCTGCGCCAATGATGGCGACTCGGATTTTGCGATGATTCCCCCCCTCGTGAGGCTCGTGAGGAAGAAATTTGGACGAGGCCATGATGGCTTATTTGGTTAAAGTGGTTGAAAGTTTTATATGCGCAACAACCAACCGCGATAGTTTGAATGAAAAAGAAAACGGCATCTTCCCGCCTCGAAAGCCATAAAGTCTGTCCATTATATCAAATCACTTGTGCCCAGACGCCGGTATTGTAGCCATATTGCTCTACGGGGACGGCACAACGACACCACACGGGAATACCCCACAATGCGGGGGTGTCCATATGGAGGAACCCTGTACGGCGCATGTTTTCTCCGCTGATAAAGCACCGGACGGGAGCTTGTGTGTTGAAGGTAGTGCATGTCTCCTGCAAGCCAGCTTTTAATTCAAATCATCTGACGTCTTGAAAAACATAATAGCGATGGCAACAATCAACATTTCAGGAATAGCTGTACCCCGCCTATCCTTCGGCTTAGGATCGCTGATGAAATGGGCACCCGGCCACACCCACCCACTGCCAACGGACAGCAGTGTCGAAGTTCAACAAGCGATTGACGCTGGCTTCCGCCACTTCAATACGTCCAACATTTACACCAACAACGAGAGCTTTGCAAAAGTCCTCCGCCGCAGCAATCTCAAACGCTCCGAGATCTTCCTGTCCCTCAAGATCAACACCTACGCATCCCTAGGATGCCGAGGCCGCGATCACATGATCCAGACCGTAAAGGACGAGATCGAGCGGTTGGGGCTAGAGGGCTATGTCGACATCCTGCAGCTGCATTTCCCGCCTCGCGGTTACGCTGGGAATATGACCAATCGCGAAGCTTGGCGTGTGCTGGAAGACCTCAAGGATCAAGGACTTGCTCGCATTATTGGTGTGTCGAACTGGTATGTTGTCGATGATAACAGAACAATGTGGTGCCAACCAGATGGAGGCTCACGAACGCGACTTATAGGACCTTGCCCGATTACCATGACATCTTCACCGCCAGCGACCTCAATCACACTCCGCAGCTCAATGAATACGAATTCAATCCTTTCCTACTATTTGATCCCAAGACCCAGCAACTCCAAGAGTTCCAAGTCAAGAACAACATTGTCCCAATGAGTATGAACGCCATCCAGTCAAGCCTTCTTAGGGAATAAAAGTCCCAAGCTGACAGCCCGCGCAGACTACGGCTTCTTGACCGCCATCAGCGGTCGCTTGCCTACTGAAGGCAGCACAGCATTGTTGCAGAAGTTAGAAGAGCAGTCGAAGCTGACGAAGCTATCCACAGCGGATCTGCTGCTCAGCTGGGCATACTACCGGCTCGGCGGCATTGTCGTGACATCTACATCCAAGGCAGACCGCGCTAACAAGACCTTCCAGCTCCTTTCGGCTGAGGAAGCGCCAGTGAACAGTCAGATCTACGAGGAAATTGAGAAGGCAGCAAACCTGGATGGCCTTGAAAGTAAGGTGTTCTATAGCCATCCTCATATGGAGAAAGCTCGTCAGGAGAATATGAATACTCAGAAGTGAGATAGTAAGTAGTTTTAGATATCTATCAGCTTCAGATGGCAGCTAGAACGCACTATCTCATATAGCCGTTATGCTATAAATATGCTTCTAAAATATCGCAATAATTATTAATTGACACATTTCGCTGTAATTATATCTAATGTTATTCTTAGGTGATTTCTAGAACTCCCGCGATGTTACGGTCAGCTTTCCGACAGTAGGGCCTGCTAACAGAAGATGTGGATTGACGCTGTAGATCAGATACCGTGGTACTGAGTCGTGGTATCGTAGGCTGTAGTAGATCAGGTTTCCAGAGGCCAAGGTGATCAGTCATAGACTCAACAAGTAATTCGCAGTGAAGGTGAGCTGAAAGTGTTCCGAAGAATGTTTACAAAGTTGATTGCTGAAGAGCTATGGAAGTCTGACCTTGAGCAAAGTTCAGGACAGACTATATACAAGTCTTGAATAGTATCTTTGTCCCTGTTACCGTTCCTGATTCTGACGGGGTCCGTCCCTTGTCCATAGGGGTCCCGTATGTGCCAAGCACGGCATCCGTATCCTTGGCGTTCGGATCTAATCCGTTATCTTATCATCACATAACTTGCACCACATTTCTTCCGTTCCCGAGTGAGTCCTGTTGTTCCCGTGATCCTGCAGTACAAAGCGGTTCAGTGGCCAGGAACGGCTCAAGTACCCAAGGAAGGTGGGGGCGGGAGGGGGGGGCACGGAGTGGGGACTGGGCAACCCGGCCGAGTGGATTTCCTCGCTTAATCCGCCTCCGTGAGTCGCTGCAGTTTCCGATATTCTTCCACCAAAGGACCCGCTCCGTCCTGGATCCTCCACTGTCTATCCGTACGTACCTAAGGTCTATAGGTACCTTAGGTAAGCTAAGGCAAGCCATCAAATGTTCCACACCGACATCTCCTACCACCAACCAACCAAACACAAGAAGAAGAAAAGACCAAGAAACGATCCCGGCTGCCAGGTTCACCATTTTTCTTCTCCTGGCGGCTCGCCGTCGTCCAACTAAGCGAATCGGAACGAAACAAAGCCAATTGACTGATGATTCCCTCCCTGCTTTAATTCCGTGTCGCCCGACATCGGCATGGACTGCGAAAGAGACGTTGGTGCTTGCGTTGCATTCGTCTCATCTGACGTTGGGCGAATGCGACGAGGTTCCGGAGCTCGGTGATCACTACATGATCACGTTGCATCGATCGCGCATCTCGCAAAAAAGAAGTCTCCACGCTCCAACCATGGCCAGGGGTGAAGAGGCAGGGGATTAATAACGGCTGATGTGGATGGCATTGTTGCACCTGTCGACTAACACATGCTATGGCCGGGCCAAATTAACATTTTTATTTTTTATTTTTTTCGATGACGACGACATGGCAGAGGCAGCGGGACCCTCGGCCCTCTGCACACGCGCAAACGCGCCGTTGGCACCGTTTCTTGAGTCAATGATGACATGAACCACCCGCCCACTTCTTCATGCGTCTGTCTGTCTCTCTCATGTATGCTTGGGCCGACGAGAGACACGATTGAAAAGAGAAGAGCTTTCGGATTGTCACCATCTCCCACACAACACCCAACACCATCTACGGTACCTGGGTCGCTTGTGCCACCCGAGCACACAACAACCACACTCTTACCAACACCAACACCAACACCAACACCAACACCAACACCACCACCACCACCACCATCTTAACCTAACCAAATCACCCAACCCTCATTGGCTTGCACTTTGAGAGAATTGTTCTTTGCCTCAAACTGGAAATTGTCTGGATCCGGTAAAAAGCCCGCATCAATAGACCACTTCTTGGTGCCGCGGAACAGTGGCCATCGCCGTCCGCCCTGCTACGGCCGTACCGTACCGCCCGCGCCGCCTCCTCCAAAACGGCTGCATGATAATATTACTCGGTAGGTTATACTACGGAGTCCTCTTTTCGGTTGCTCGTTTTGCCCATCGCTCCCCCCTCTACCTCGATAGAAGTCTGGGCAAGTTCCGAGGCATCGCAACCGACATTTCTTTTTGATCGGATCTGAGACTTTTCAATCTGCATTCTCTTCTGCTCGGAAGCCCGTCTCGCTGCAGGGTGCTTGGGTCTTTCTATGCTCCCCGTTCCATCTCACCAACACGCCGGGATAAAGTAGTCTCGATCAACCATTGACGACGGACAGTTTCTCATTCATGTCCGAACTGCTCTCTCTCACCTTGAACATCCACACACCCCTTGTCAACTAACCGACAACCACCCGCTCCTACGTCCGTAACCGTTTTCACCGCATTTCTGTTCCCCTCCCGGCCGGCGTTCGATACTCGCCTCTCGCAACTATAGCCATCTCGCTCGCGCACCACCCAGCGCGTGCCTTAAACCTGGTCCGACCAGTCAGTCACCCAGGTTTCCTCAGATCCATCTCACACACGCCACGCGGCACAGCTCCATTACCCCCGTTTGCCGAGTGCTCCTGGCGCTTGCTTGTACCATTGCCTCTTATCCTGTGCTGCAACACCTCTATGTAAGGGGATCCGTCCCATAGCCGTCGATACACACGTATGCATCCTGCCTACCTCCTTTAAAAGATCGCCATCCTCTTCCCTCTTTCTCACCTCCGCTCTGCAGCTTACCCAGGATCTCATCTTGTCCACGTGCCATCCACCTGTCCCGATTCACTGACAAGGGTCATTAGACGTTGCCAACCAACGATACTTGCTTCTTCTTGGGGGCCAAAGGGTCGTTCTTTTTGCATAACGGTTCATCACACCTTGGAGCCACCAGGTCCTTCAACAATCGTCCTCCCACACTGACACACCGAGCTTCACCGGCCACTTGCACCGATCCGTCGTTAGCAACCACCGGCTCAGCCATAGCGCAAGGTAGGTGGCTACCCGCCAGCTCACGTGGCGGTTTTCTTGTTTGTACCTCGCCTTGCACCTTCCACTTGACGTGTCTTGTTCATATTCATATATGAATACACTCACCTCTCTAACACCTACCTCATATCATATTCCCCTCTTCCACGCACTTTGCCAATGTTGCTAAACTTCACCTTTAGACGGCACTCGCCAAGCTGCCGACCCAGCACCGCAGAAACGCCAACTCTCAGTTTCTTTTTGTCCCAATAATCTCGCAAAATGGCCACCACCACAGCCACCTCCACCACCACCACGGCCACCTCCTCCTCCATAACAATGTCCGCCAATACCAAAATCCCAGCAAGAACCGTAAGGCGAACCGCCCAAGACGAGGCAGCAGACCTCCAAACATTCGAGGAGAACCGCCTCCGAGCGCCCTACGACGAGTGGCCAAACGAAGCAGGCGTAAGTCCCCTCGTCGTCGTCTCTCAGTCACCTATCGGTTCCCCGATACAGCAGCTAACAAACACCAGTTTGACGGCCTCACCGAAGAACGCGGCCCCATTGAGCTCCACGTCCAAGGCCAGATCCCCGTCTGGGCCGCCGGCGCCCTCTACCGAACCGGCCCGGGCAGCTGCAAGATCAAAGACACCCCCAAGGGCACCTACTACGTCTCCCACTGGTTCGACGGCTTCGCCCAGACGCACAAGTTTGACATCCTCCCCCCCGACGCCCCCGGCGGCCGCACCCGCGTGCTCTACTCCTCCCGACGGCAGTCCGACGACCTCGTCGCCTCCATCAAGGCCGCAGGCCACCAGAACCGCTACACCTTTGGCCAAAAAGCCGACCCCTGCGTCGGCCTGTTTGGCAAGTTCATGGGCGTCTTTGCCCGCGGCACCGCCCCCAACATCTGCGTCGCCGTCAATGCAAACATCCCCGGCCTCGACGCAAAAGATCAAGGCCCCGCCGGTCCCGGCCACCGCAACGCCGTCCGCAGCCTCTGGCTCTCGACCGACTCGAGCCCGCTCATGGAAATCGACCCGGCCACCCTCGAGCCCATCGGCCTCGCCAAGCAGGAGAAACTCCACCCGTCCCTCTCGGGCCCCATGTCCTGCGCCCACGCCCAGCGCGACCCCGTCACGGGCGACTTGTACAACTTCAACCTCGCCTTCGCCATGACGCCAACCTACCGCGTCTTCCGCACCAGCTTCGCGACGGGCGAGACGGACATCCTCGCCACCATTGCCGGACCGGACGCGAAACCGGCCTACATTCACAGCTTCTTCCTGACAGAGTCCTTTGTCGTGCTCTGCATCCCCTCGTCCCACCTCGGCTACAGAGGCCTCTCGGTCCCCTGGGAACGCAACATCCTCGACGCCATCGTGCCGTTTGGCCAGGCCAACACGTGCAAGTGGTACTTTATCGACCGCCGCCACGGACACGGCGTCGTCGCCTCCTTTGACACCCCCGCAGGCTTCTTCTTCCACACCACAAACGCCTTTGAGGAGCCGGCGGCCGACGTCACCGGCACCGGCACCGGCACCAGCACCGGCACCAGCACCACCCCCAACGAGGAGGCCCTCGACGTCTACTGCGAGATCGCAGGCTACCAGAACCTCAACATCCTCTACAACCTCTACTACGACGTCCTCCTCAACCGCAACGCCGCCGCCCAAACATTCTGGACAGACGACAACAAGCGCTACAAGAACAGCTACGCAACCCTCCAACGCTTCCGCTTCAGGATCCCCAAGCCCTCACCGGCAACCACATCGGCGCCCAAACCAAAGACGACGACATCCCCACCACCCGAACTCGTCGTCTCGATCCCGGCCCCGCACGCAGGCGAACTCCCCACAATCAACCCCGCCCACCTCACCAAACGCCACCGCTACGTCTACAGCCTCGCGGACCGCGGCCTCAGCACCCTCCTCGACACAATCGTCAAGACGGACGCCGACACCGCCGAGGCCCTCCTGTGGGAGTGTCCCACCGCCCACACCCCCGGCGAGCCAATCTTTGTTCCCCGGCCGCCTCCCTCTTCGTCTTCCTCTGCTTCGTCCGCTGGTGACGGCGACGGCGGCAGCAGCGGGACCGGGGAAGAAATGGCCGAAGACGACGGCGTCATCCTCAGCGTCGTGCTCGACGGCACCGCGCAGACGAGTTACCTGCTCTGCCTCGACGCCAGAACCATGACGGAGCTCGGCAGGGCCGAGTGCGGGTTTGCCGTCGGGATCGGGTTCCACGGCATCCATGCTCCTTCGGGGCCCGGCGCGGAGTGAGTGAGGGTTGTGTCTACGCCTCTCTCTCTCTATGTCTCTCTGTCTCTCTCTGCTTCTTTTGGAAGTCCTGTCACGATACCTTGATGATGAATGAAATGATTTGCGGCATTGGGCGGTGGTTTGGTTTGCTCTGCTTTGCTTTTAACCCAGGACATGGTGATCATGAATAAAGAAATTTCATTACCCTTGGGTTTTGATCATGGGGGATTCTGGACGTTAGCAAATTGATTTCATAGACGTTGCATCCAGTGTTCATTCTTTCTCATCTTCATTTTGGAATCATGAGCCTGTCCCTTTTCATTCGTTGCGGCTTGGCCGGTTGCGCTGTATGTATCCCTAGATTTGCCTGACTTGAAGACTCAAGCTGGTTACCCAGTACGCTCTACTCCGCCACCATTTGGCAAACTCATCGGAATGGCCTTGCGACACATCATTACAAGACGCGAAGACAGTGATGGTGATTCCAAGGTGTGGCTTAACTCTTCAAGGACAATACGTTGACCGTGGAATGCGGACAAGGCAGATAAAGTGTGAGACCGAGTCGCATCAACCTAACCAACCACCTTCACTGACATCCGCCAGTCAAGGTCTCAGATAGGTATGATTGTCTAGCACTGCTCAAGCCCAGTCGCGAATCATCACAGAAATCCCTCACAGAAAACCTTGGATACAAAATAACTAGAAATTATATTTAGGAGGATGCTTCATTCTGTACTGCTGATTGTAGCTCTTGGTAAATGGTCTGGCGCCTTTCATCAGAACGCCCAGTCGTTCTCCAGCCCAGTCTCAACCATGACGTGCCGGCCAATTTGTGTGTAACAAAAGAAACGGATCGAAAAAAGAAACGCGGATGCAGACGCGGCGTAAAGCAGTGGGGGTATCTCCAGCTCCCATCCTCAACTATGCCCAGATTCACTCAACGCCACTCGTGTTCGTTTGTATACCCAAGAAAATTCGACAAAAGAAAAAAAAAACAAGCGCGCTTGTCGCTGAAATGCTGAAGGCCGTGCTCATGTCGAGCCACGCAGACGTCGGTCTACCTTTCATAATCACTCCTCCAACACCTCCCGCAGCGCAGCGACGTCAACCAGGTCAGGCGACACCTTGCTCGGAGGACCGCGACGTTGGTGAGCCGCCAAGTACTCTTGGAAACCGGGTATGGCACCAGCTTGATTGATGCCCGTCGGTCTAAGAACCTCCTTCTGCCTTTCCTTTCCGCTTCGTTGCGCTGGTGTCGGTGTGGGCGGTGCCTGCGTAGGCGTTGTTGCTCGACCTGCTGCCGCGCCAGTCCACGGCCTCCAACTGACCCATCGGCCCAGTCCCCCCGAATGCTGTGAACCTTGAGAGTGCGTGCTTGCCGGCGAAGCGCTCCGAACCGGAGTGAATACCATCCTCGACATCGGTCGCCCAGCCAGACTATCGCGAAGCAAAGCATCACTCCGCCGATCGCTTCCTCTGGATATCGTCGATCGTGCCGTGACTCCCGTAAACACAGCATCGGCTCCACCCAATGGACGAAGGGTCAGTTGACTAGGTCGTACTTTCAGTGTGTGAATATCCAACCCTCCCGACAACGACATGATTGACTCGTGGGAGACGGCACGGCGCAGGCCCCTCCGCGGCAGCTCTTCATCCTTGGAAAAGGAATTTTCCGTCTCCGGCTCCGTCTCCGTCTCGGGTTGATCCTCTGTGTACGTGAGAAGCCCTGGCACTTCTTCTCCGTGGTGCTCCTCCCTTTCCTCTTCAATCGTAGACGAGATGGGCCGAGACACGTGCACTGTCGCGGCTGCTGGGGGCGCTGGCGAGCCCAAGTTCAGGAACTTTGGGGGTACGGAGAAACTTCGAATCGATGCCTCTGAAGGGCGCTTGTGATGAGAAATCTTCCAGGTAGGTGAAGTAGGATCCAGGCTGGTTGTTGGAGACATGGGCAAATCCGTCTCCAACATGGGCCTGTCGAACATGGAAAGACGAGGGTTCGACTGAGGTGAGCTTGGGACGGACGAGGGTGCAAACTCTGAGGGCTGTTCTGAGAAGACGGACCACCTGTTTGACGGCGGCACCGAAACCGTCGACGTCGATCCCGTGTGAGAGTGCGACGCCATGGGGGTCACTGGTGCGGGGCCCGGCCGCCACATGGCCGGAGGGGTGGATGATCGCGAGACGCTGGCGGGGGAGAAGATTGCCGGATTCAGGCTATGGCGCTTCTTCTTCTTGTTCTTTTCGGCAACGTGATAATGGTGGTGGATGTGCACTTGCTGGGAAATGTTCTGCATCGTTTCCCCTAATTCCGGCCCGATTTCCGCACGCAACGTCGATGCAGCGCTGGCGTCTTCCTCTCCAATGGGTTGATGGCACATGAGCTGGTCCCGCATGGCCTGGATTTCGTCGTTCGAATTGAGAAGCATCTCCCGCAATTCAGCCATGCCCAGCTGCAGATTTGCATTGTCCTGCAGCAAATCGCGGACAAAGTGAGACACCACGTTGGTGGCAGGCTTCCCGTCAGTGAGCGACTTGGCGGCGGCAGCTCCCTTGAGGCGTCCGGCGGCGAGGTTCAGTTCTTTTTCCATCTCACGCTGGCGTTCCACGCGGCCAAGAACCTCGGCATGGCGTTCACGCTCTTCTTTGGCCTCCGTTTCCATACGCTCCAGCTGCTCCTGAAGGTCAGATATGCCCCTCTCAGCCTTCCTCCATCGCTGCATGGCGGAGCGAGCCTCGGATTCGGTAGTGATTAGGGTATTTTGTAGCCGCAACTGCTCTTGTTCGAGAAGCGCAATATGCCTCTCCATCTCCGCTGCACGAGCTGCAGCGCCCTCGAGACGCCGCACTGCTTGGTGAGACGACAGCAGGGTAGCCTCGAGGGTCTGAATGCGGATATCGGAATCCTGAACCGTGTTGTTGAGCATCTCGAGCTGGTCTAGCAGGTTACGGTTCTCTTCGACGGTCCTTGCGTTCTCGGCCTGGAGTTCCACCTTTTCGTTTTCCAACTGTTCTATGCGACTCGTGAGGGATATGCGATCTCGTTCGGCATCGGCCATGTATGCCTCATGACGAGCAAGAAGGGCCTGGATTGGAAAGGTCAGCGACATGGCGACATGTGCAGCGGTAAAAGACGGTGCATTTGGCAGGATTTCCAGCTTTGGGCGCGAAAGCAGAGTTTGCGGGCTGGAACGGTGCCGGGACTCCCCATCATGAAGTTAATCACGGGAAATGAGGTGTTGGAATGTCTCGAGAGATTGGCACGGGCTTGGGGAGCGGCACGGCTGGAATGTTTCGACGGGTGAGGGAGAGAAGGGGAAAGCTAGAAAAGGAAGAGCGAGGACGCACCTTGCCCAGCTTAGCGGCGGTATGGACATCCTTTTCGACGGTTTCGAGCACGGAGCAGCTATGCTTCAAATAAGCACAATCGTGGCGACCGCAGCAGCATCGCATTCGGGGCCCCTCGTCCGGGTGGGGAGCGGAAATTTGGACGAAGTCTGCCATGGAATCGGCGTCGCGAGGTCGGGCGTCATCGGGGTTGCGAATGGTGTTGGTGTAGTCGCCGTTGTAGTCAGTGTCTGTCGTGTATGCTGTGTTGTTCTGGTCGAGGTCTGCGTCCTGGTCTGGGTCTGCACCTGGATCCGGAGGTGTACGGGTCCCGAGTTCTGCCATCGTTATTGCGGCAGAGTCGTCGCCCCGGCGGACAGCATACTGAGGGCCCAGAGGCGAAGGCACGGACGTTGGGATCGGGGTTCGGGGTGCCGGTCGAGCTAGTCAGGCAGAGCGAGAGCGGGGAGGACGAGGTTATCCGTAAAAGGACGAAATATGGTGGGAGTGTCTCTCTTTTTGTGAGTTGTGCGAGCCAGAGAGGGCCGGTTTATGTTGGAGTTGTGACTGTGTGTGCGCGTATGTGTGTGCGGGTGCGGGTGTGTATCGTTGGCACTCTGTATGGCCGTTGAGTTGGCGGCCGGTGACGCGATTGGGCTCTTGAAGGCCACCTGCAGCGAGGAGGGGATTGTATCTCCAAGGTGTGATTGCTATCGCGATGGACGCCCAGGCGCGACTTGGACCGGTTCTTTCTGACGGGGGACAGGGGTGTCGCTGGTGACTTGGTGACTCTTCACTGAAGACAGGCCCTGGACGGTCAGCAGGCTGCAGCAGCGTAGGACGACAGGGAGCAACCCAGACCAGCGGGGGTCGACTGCAGTTTCTTTTGAGAGCATGTGGTCCGAGCCGAGATTGGGCTCATATAAAAAATTGAAGAAAAGAAATCACCAAGAGGTTGAAGGTGGAGGGTTGTATTCGTAGGTGAAGAAGAGAGCGATTGTCGGAAAGTGTCGCAGAAGGTAGGTAGCCAGACGCATATAGGGTGGTGAAAGGCATCTGTTCGAATGTCTGGTTTGCTCGAGGACGCAGAGACCAAAGAAAGGAGAGACAAGATGACGGCGTAGGGATAGTCATTTTAGGTCGGACGGTAGTTGAGACGAGGGGTTGGACGAGAACAGGATGCGATGGGCGACTGAGAAGACGGGATAGACGAGGTAAGTACCTGAACGAGACTCAAGGAGTGGCTGGTTTCACAGGCGTTTCTGCACAATCCATTGTGGTTCCCATGTATCTTTCCTTTGCCCAAAAAAAGACTGCAAGAAACGTTCGCGTCAAGCCAAAAACACAGGTGCAGGCCGCACTCTGAGGGAACCTTGCCCAATCTGGCCCAATTTTCGGTAGCGCATCCTTTGTGACCCACTCTATACCCCCCAATCCAGGAACACCAGGAACCGCCCCACCCGCCCGAGGTGCAGGCACTTTAAGTACGTACCTTACTCATCTCTTCCATCTGTCTCTCCCTCCAACTGAGGCACCAAGTAAGGTACCTGACCTTGGAGGTATCTCTCTGGCTTGAATGGCACGTGGGATAGATAGTAGATACGGTAGGTACAGATACATTCACTCGCAGCGAACAAAACGTGGCTGGCCCTGCCACAATGACGGTAGACAGGTGACTTGGGAATTAGCCACTGTCCTGTGATGAAAGACTCGCCCAAACACGGCCGCGTCTGGACGGCCAGCGCGTCAGCACAACACCAGCCACCTCAATAAGTCAGTATCGCTTGACACAAAGCCTCTGGCTGGTCTTTTGACGGTCTTCAGCGACGACTCGAATGTATTGTTACTAGGATGGCGTTTGTTCGATAGGCAGGGCCACAATATGGAAGGATGCGGAAGGGTTGTCCATGTCCGGCTTCTGTGTACTAAGTAGTTGATCGCCACCTGCTCAAATCGGGATGCCCCCGCGAACAACTCCATTCCTGAGTCGAGACGTGCAAACTGACGCGAAACCGCGTTCTTTCACAACAAGGAAATATTTGCAAACTCAAACTTGTCCAAGTCGACTGTAACCCAAAGTCGTTTCGATGCTAACTCTATGCTGACTGTTCCGTTCCGTGCCACCGATTGCAGCAACCTGTGCTTTATCATTTGGAGAACACGGCAGACTCATCGTTTAGCAACTGGAATAGCCTGTGTGTGCACCAGAGAGTGAGATTGTCAGTCGAACACAGGGAACCACCAAGCGGATCTATAGTAAACCAGAACAATCACCGCGTCACTGGATGCGACAGCAAGCGAGAGAGAAAATGCCCATAATGAAACTCCACCACGGTGCGTCCTCCCGTCACTTTTAAGGATTCCCAGACGGGCGGTTCGCCTGCCCGTCCGGGTGCCTGCCCGGGTACTTGTGCCTGCCTGCCTGAAGTGCCCGGCAACGTGCCTTACGCCGCTGTGGATCCCCCGTCGGCCCGGCACACCCACCCCACCCGCACACCACCTTCGGCTCATCTCAGACGCTAATTCAGGGACGCCGTGGCCCCAAAAACCACCGTCGCCTCAACCACGTCTCCCGTACCGCACTGCACCGCACCGCACCCCCGTCCGAGGTCACACCCCCGACATACTCCCGGAGCCGCCGATCCAACTTCAATCCACTCACTCACTCTCTCACCGGATGACGAAATAATGGCAGCTTCCAAAGAACCACCTGTGCCCGTGTCCGCCCCGGTACACACAAACACCGACGCCAGCAAAACCGTCGTCCGCGGCGCCTCCCTCCTCATCATCCTCCAAATCGGCTCCCGCGCCGTCACCTTCATCGCAAACCAGCTCCTCCTCCGCTTCCTGACCGCCCGCCTTCTCGGCGTCTCGACCCAACTGGAAGTCTACTACCTCTCCGTGCTCTTCTTCGCCCGAGAATCCCTGCGCGTCGCCGTCCAGCGCCAGGAAACCCAGGACCGTTCCGCGGGTTCTTCCCCCCCAAGCAGCGGCAGCAAAACGAATGACGACAGTAACCTCAAAACCCGCGTCGGCCGCGAAAGCCAGGCCGTGATCAACCTCGGCTACCTCGCCATCCTCCTAGGCATCTTCGTCACTGTCGGCCTGGGATGGCTCTACCTCGCCTCCGTCGACGCGTCCACCGCCCAGACGCCAAACTTTTCCCTCGCCCTCCGTCTCTACGCCCTCGCCGCCGTCCTGGAGCTCCTCTCGGAACCCTGCTTCGTGCTCATGCAGACCCGCCTGCGCTTCGGCACCCGCGCCACCGCCGAGTCCGTCGCCACCTTCCTCCGGTGCACAGTCACCTTCGCCACCGCCTTCTGGGCCTCCAGGGCCGGCGTCGAGTTCGGCGTCCTCCCCTTCGCCGTCGGCCAGCTCACCTACGGCGCCAGCCTGCTCCTCGTCTACCTCTGGTCCGCCTCCCGCCTCGCCCGCGCCGACGGCTTCTCTCTCCTCCCCACGAGCCTCGGCGGCGCCGGCGCCGGGGGAGAGGACTACCTCGCTTCCTACTTTTACCGGCCCACCGTCAGCCTGGCCTCCAGCATGACGGCCCAGAGCCTCGTCAAGCACGTCCTCACCCAGGGCGACACCTTTCTCGTCTCCGTTCTGTCGACCCCCCAATCCCAGGGCGTCTACGCGCTAGCCAGCAACTACGGGGGTCTGCTGGCCCGCCTCGTCCTCCAGCCCATCGAGGAGAGCAGTCGCAGCTACTTTAGCCGTCTCCTCTCCTCCTCCTCACAGGATGCAAAGACCAAGCCATCATCCAAGGACAACACAACAGCGACAACCACGGCAAGCCAGCACCTCCACACCCTCCTTAAATTCTACCTTCTCCTCTCCTCCATCATCGTGAGCATCGGCCCCGTCGCCGCGCCCCCGCTCCTCGCCCTCGTCGCAGGCCGGCGCTGGGCCGCCGAGGGCGCAGGCGACGTCCTCGCCGTGTACTGCTACTACCTGCCCCTCCTCGCCCTCAACGGCGTCTCCGAGTCCTTTGTCGCCTCCGTCGCCTCCGAGGCCCAGGTCCACCGCCAATCCGCCTGGATGGGCGCCTTCTCCGTCGCCTTTGGCTCGGCCGCCTTCGTCTTCATGCGCGTCATGGACCTCGGCGCCCAGGGCCTCGTCTATGCCAACTGCATCAACATGCTGTGCCGCATCGTCTGGAGCCTCGCCTTCACCAAGTCTTACTTTGCAGGGTTGGAAACGCCGTTTGATCTCTTTTCGCTGCGGCCTAACGCCGTTACCTCTATCGTCTGTCTATCTGCGCCGCACCTCATTAGGAGATTCGCCGGGGTTGCCTCGGCGGGCGTTTCTGCCTCCCCTTTCAAGGACCTCGTCGCCATCGGCTTAGCCGCCGTTCCCGTCGTACTTTTGATGTGAGTCTTTTCCCGGTCTTTCGCGCCCCGTCTTTTGCGCCGCTGGCCAAGTGTGTGTCTCCATCTAACATGACCTCAGACTCTTTGCCGAACGCAGATTTCTCCTGCAGTGTTACAACTCGGCCCGCAGACAAAAAACTGCATAGGCGTGATTACACCTTTAATAAAGGGAAAGTACCAAGCATATAGAAATCCTCCCAAAAAGATAGAAATTAAATCAGTCAAATGTAATCTTGGTCGCCTTCTTCGTCATGTCAACGTCCTTGAAAAAGGCTCCATAGGTGCTGTGAGCCTTCTTCTTGACGGTCGTGCCGAACTTGAAGAGGTCATCGGGAACCTCCTGCTTGGCGCCCTTGAGGATGTTGATCAACCTGGTCAACTTGTTAGTCATCATCTCAATCGTCGGTTGTCTCAGTAAGCAGGGTGACTCACGATCCCGAGTGCGCCTTGTCGTGCTCGGTAAACAGGGTAATCGCCTCGCCAGTCTTGCCAGCACGGCCAGTACGTCCAATTCTGTGAACGTAATCCTCAATCGTCAAGGGGAACTTTTGGTAATTAGCTTTTGTTCTCGAAAGAAAAAAGGGGGGAGGAAGGGCGGATAAATCGCAAAACTCACAGTCACGTTGACAACCAGCTTGACCTCGGGAATATCCAAACCACGAGCAGCAACATCAGTAGCGACCAGCACGGGCGTAGTACCAGCTTTGAACGCCTCCAAACTCCGCGTGCGCTGCTCCTGGCGCAAATCACCGTGGATACCGCCAACACGAATACCGCGCTGCTGCAAAAACGTCTCGACGCGCGTGGCCTCCTTCTTGTACAGGCAGAACACCAGAATACGATCGTCCTTCTTGGAGCCCGTCTGCCACTGCTTCAGAATCTGCAGCAGCCTCTGCTCCTTGGCCCGCGGGTCCACGACCTCGACGCGCTGCGTGATGCGCGTGTTGGCCTGCAGCTCGACGGCGCCGTTGGCCGTCTCCTTGCCGCTCGAGCCAATGGTCACCTTGACGGGGTCGACCATGAAGGACTCGGCGAGCTTGCGCACCGATGCCGGCCAGGTGGCCGTGAACATGACCGTCTGGCGCTGCTCGCGCGGCGGCATGTCGCCGAGGATGAGCTTGATGTCCTCCTCGAACCCCTTGTCCAGCATGCGGTCCGCCTCGTCGAGGACGGCAAACTTGACGTCCTGGAGCGAGATGGTGCCGTCCTGCATAAAGTCCTTGAGGCGACCGGGCGTCGCGACGATGACGTCGGCGCCGCGGTTGAGGAGGTTGCGCTGCTCGTCCTTGGAGGCGCCGCCATAGATGCAGATGCTCTTGAGGCCGAGCAGGCTGGACACGTGCTCCATCTGCTCCTGGGTCTGCATGGCCAGCTCGCGAGTTGGGGAGACGACGACGGCCTTGATGCAGCGCTTCTTGATCTTGGAGATACCCTCGACGAGGGGCAGGGCAAAGGCCATGGTCTTTCCGGAGCCCGTCTCGGCGACGCCAATGACGTCGCGGCGGGAGAGGGTGTAGGGCCAGGAGGCGGACTGGATCGGCGTGGGCTTCTTGTAGGCGGCAAAGGGGTTCTTCTTGACGAGGTCGGTCTTGGGGAGGTAGGAGAACTCGAGGATCGAGCGGAGGGCGGCGTTGCTCGTTATCGGGTCGGTGACGGTGATGTTCTCGGCGGCCAGGAAGGCGTCGAGGTCCGATTGGGGGAGGGCCTTGAGCGCCGCGGCCTCCTCGTAGCCACCGAGAATTGAGGCCGTGGGAGTGGAAGCGGTGGTCGTAGTAGCCACTGCAGGTGCACTCTCGGCCCCCTTGGCCTCCTTCTCCCTCCTCTTCTTTTCCTTCTTCTCCTTCTTGAGTCTCTTCTTCTCGGCCTTGTCCTCCTCGGTCTCCTCCTTGGGCTCGGCAGCAGCCTCCTCCGTGGCAGATCCCTCGGCCTCAACAGCCTTGGTCTTCTTTTCCTTCTTCTCCTTCTTGCGCTCCTTCTTCTCCTTCTTCTTCTGCTTCTTCAGCTCCGCCGCCTCGTCGCTGTCGACATCGCCACTAGCGGCGAGGTCCTTCTTTTGCTTCTTGCTGGTGACACTGGCCTCAGCCTCGGTGTCGGCGAGAGAACGTTTTGTAGCGGCCATTATTGCGGTAGTAGTAGCGGAGATTGACGCAACAACTGATTCGCAAGAGAATTGCCGTGAGAAGTATCGGACTCTGGGGAGGGTCGTACGGTCGCAAATATCAAAGGGCGGGATGGGAGAAAAAAAAAGAATTTTGTTATCGATAGGCTGATAGCGGTGCTGCGGCATGGCAAAGCGATAAGACGAATCAGATAAGACCTGACAAAGACCGTGCGCTAATCTGGTTTCAGCCAGTAGTCCCCGCTGGCCGCCCCGTTCCAGAACCGGAGGCCCAGGTCCCACTCCGGCCTTTCGCACTCCAGAGTGGCCCCACCGTCCCCCGCCCTGCACGTCCGCTTCACTCAACAGCTTCCCCCTCACGCCTGCCCACCCCAAGTGCCAGCTGTCGCTTTCGCTCAGTATGATTATGCTGTTGCCAGAGCTTCTCCATCTGCATAGTATTGCTTCAGGCATTTTTTCACATGCGAAAAAACGTGCTAATGCGAACGGCTGCATGATGCCCCTGGCTCAGGAACACGAAGTGCCCTCGGTCTGCTTACAACACTCCTCTGGGCGAGATGAGGTAGTTACTTTCGTCACATCCGCCGTCTCTCACTCGAGTGAATATGGAAGAGGAGACAACCTTCAGAAACTCCCGAGCTATTCTCAAGAAGTCTTGAAAGTGGTGGATACGCTTGATTTCACGTCGGGGGCATGCGAGGAGAAGACGCAAGCGAAGCCCAACGGCGAGATGTCGACAGACGCCCTAACCCACAGCAGGCCACGAATGGTCGGGTTGCGGCTGCGGGCATCGAGGCCAGCTCATCAACCAATTACACGCTTGGCGTCAGCAAGACGGCCCAACCCTGCAAAGCGGGAGCTAAGCATCTGCTGCTGCCGTTCCCTTCCTTTCTTCGAGGCATTTCTGCAGGCAGCTGGCGATAGAGGGAAGACACATAGATCTGTCGTCCAACCCTGCGACATCCCGTTCCCCTCCAATGGGGTTTATCGTGATGCCACATAGGGGATGATGGTCGAGTATTGACCACAGCCACCGTGGGGAGCGTGGGGCAGGAGAGCACACATCACCCTGCAAGACGCAGTCCTTCCGGGGTCCAGCCATTGGTGATGTGCTCCGTCACACACATCTGACTGAGGTGTTGACCCTGGTAGCTGCCTTTCTTGATAGCATCCCACGTTGCATGTCGATGTTGGCAATGCGGTTCCCCTCGCGGAGCATGATGGAGGCAAGGAATATATGCAAAGGCGCATGGGGGGAGAGGTATATGAAGTCGTGAAGTGACGGCGCCCCTCGACCGAGGGTATCTCTCTCCTTCTGTTTCCTTCTTCCTTCGCGCGTTCAACATTTGTTAGGCCACCATGGCGAGCTGCCAGGTGCAGGGCGAGCCCGACCTCTACGGGCTGGGCATCCGCGTCGCATTCTACATCCAATGGTTCGGCGCCATCGTCATCGAGTACCTCGGAATGGCAGACCTGCCCGATATCCGCCTCATCGGCCTCCTCTTCTCCGCAGCAGCCTTCCTCGGCCTCATCATAAAGCTCTCCGTGGCCACCGCGCTGCAACCAGCCGACGTCTACATCGTCCTCCTGCTGGCGATGGGCATCTACCTTCCCCTCGTCCCGCTCTACCTCTGGAAGGCGGCGACGTGCTTCAACCGCTACTGGGACCCCTTCCGCTGGTCCGAGGAGACGCCGAGCCCGGCGTTCAAGGGGCTCAATTTTACGCTCCTCCTGGCAATCGCCTCGCTGGCGGTATGGTACTGGTGCTCCTTCGCGCCGGAGCACCCCTGTTCCGGGGAGCAGTACGGCTTCTTCTTCAGCCGCGTGAGCTTGGGCAACAAGGCGTTTGTAGCATTCAATGCCATCATGTACTTTGTCATTCTCTTCGTCTGCCTTGTCGTCTTCCTGCGCAAGGTCGGTTGGAAAGTGCCCTTTTGGAGGGAGAGGCGGAAGAAGCGGAGAGTCAAGTGAGTGGTGGCCTCTTGTCTGAGGATGCAGGACTTCAGTAACTGACGACGCTCGTGTCTAGGAGAATGCACGTCATGGCCATCAAGGAGATGAAGACGCTAAGCAACGTCGCCGTCGCCGCGACGCTCATTGCAGCCGTCGAACTGGCCGTCGTCTGGAATAGGATCCCCGACGTGAATAACGTCGCGGACGTGGCTCAGGTGCTGCCCCTCCTCGTCAGCGCCGGCTTTTTCGTCCGGATACTCTTCCTTCACTTCGCGGGCGTGAGCGGGGGCTCGGATTCGTCAGAGGAGGATAGCGATGGAGGATCGCACAGCTACATGACGGAGTCCCAGGGTGGGTTGCCGCCCGCACCGCCACCTGTTCACGCGCGGTGACCGCGCAGTAGTTACGTTGGTTGGGCGTATTGATAAATGATGGTTCGGACGGTGAGGTGTTCATTGTCCTTCCGAGATACCCAGGCAGCACTAAGATAAACAATACGAGACAGGGTTCAGAGCATGTGGGCATTTCTCCACGATGGCATTGTTTGCGAGTCTTGGAGCAATACCAAAGATGTAAATCTATACATTGATTGGAGATGCAAAGAAAATCGCAGCTCAGGCTCGTCCATTTAAGAAGATTTGTCGCACCACCACCGCTTCCTCTTTGTAACATGTCCCCATGATCTCATGATACCACTCACAGTAACAGCCAATCTAGCCTTTACATTATTCAACTCTCGGCATTGGCCATCCAACCAGGCACAGTCGTAACCTTCCTCATCTCATCCACAGTCTCATCCCACAACAAACCCTGGAGCCTCACACCCTCTTCCGAAACCGCAAATCCCTCCGGTCTAAGTAGCATCGTCAGTTAGAAAAATTCCTTCTCTCATAGCACAGCAGGGTAAGAACGTTGAGAAAAAAAGAAGAAGAAAAACTCACTCCCAAATCTCCTTATCCCCCAGCGTCTTCCCATGGGTCTCCGCACCCGCGACAGCGACAGCGTGAAGCCCAATCCATCCAGCCTTCTCCGGCCTCCTCGCCCTCACAGCCTTGACGGCGTCGGCGATAAGGCGAAAGGGCTGCGAAAGGACGTCGCTCAAGTTCGTATCCACCATCCCGGGACAGAAAGCGTTAACAATAACCCGTTGCTGGTGCTCATCGGTCCCGGTGCCATAATGCCTAGGCAGCTCCCGCAGGAACAAAAACCCAAGCAGCTTGCTATCCGCGTACCGCGACATGCCGAAGAAGTTGGCCTCGGCGTCCAGGTGCTTCAGTATCGACTCCCCAGGCCCGAGAGGAGACTTGGTCGCCAGGCTCGTGTGTCCGATGGCGCGGCTCCCCGTCCAGGTAAGTCTGCCAGGCCGTCCCGTCTCGCGCGCCGTGGCCTCCAATAGCGGGAGGAGCTCCAGCATGAGAAGCACATTCGAGAGATAATTCACCTGCACGGTCCCTTCATGGCCCGTAGGAGCGACACGGCGCCTGAACCCGGGGACGCCGGCGTTGAGCATCACGGTGTGGAGATGGGGGTGGTCCGCCTTGAATGCTTGTGCAAAAGCCTTGACACTCTCATAGTCTTCCGCATCCAAATGTATGACTTTGAGAACGGCGGTCGGGTGCAGAGAGCGGACGGCTGGATCCGCGAGGAGGTTGCGCCCTACGGATTCGCCCTTCGGGACATCCCGGACGGCGAGGATAACGGGGGAGGCGCCGAGGAGGAGGAGCTGGCGGGCTAGTGCGAGGCCGATTCCCGATGTTGCGCCCGTCACTATCGCGGTCTGGCCGTGGAGATTCAGGTTGTCGGGGAGGGGTGTGACCGGAGGCTGGAAAAAGGGCATGGTGAATCGAGTGTAGGTTAATTAGGTTTGAATTGCTTCCAAGTAAGCTTCCTCGTCCGACACGGTCGCTCGCTGTAGGCGATCATTTTCTTTATGAAGCCATCGCAAAGATGCCATTTCCACGATTTACTCTCATCTCCGCCGAGTACCAGTCTCAGTAGTCCAAAGTCCGCCGTCTGGGGCTATTCACTTTCTAAACGACTGCAAAGGATCCGTGGAGAAGGATTTGGCGGAGTCGGAATTCGTTGCGTTTGCTTGCAGCGCAATTAGTCATCTTTGAAGTCGCCCGCTGCTTGACGCATTTCCTGGTCGTCAGTAGTTGGCACCCGAGCGGAGACGATGTAAGGTGGTTAGTGTATTGTATGAGCGGCCACAGTCGACATCACAACGAGAAGTCTCCGAAGACATCCCGAAGCCCGGTGGATCGGAACTGGAGCCGGCCATCGGCTCGCGTACCGTCAGCCGATCACCTGTTGAGTGACTCAGCACGTCCTACTCGCCACGAGGGGAAGAAACGAAGAATTGGTCTCAGAAACACCTGCCCTGGTCGAGATGCGCAAGCAACCGTTGGTGGACGTAGACTTCGCCCGCATTGTTATCACCGGGTTGGATCCTTGCGGATGTGATCCCCGAGGTCACCAAGCCCCGCTCCCTCGTTCTCGCAGCTGCGCAACTCTGGAAACTCAGTCACACCTTCGGCGCTCACATTGTCCTGTGCAAAACTTAAGCTCATTGTGAAGGTTTTTTTTTTTTTGGTATGAATTGAAGCGCAGAGTGGTGTTTGAGTGGCAGGACAATGTCGTTCTCTGGCATTTCGTCTCTGTCGGGTCGCTTATAAGCTGGCCACTAACTAAATGGTATTCTCAACACTGATGTACAACCAACCCTGCCCTCGAGCCTTCTGGTGGGCATGAAAGAAGGCCTGTTTCGCGGCAGCGTCGATCCTTCGTGTAGCGACCGCAGTCGCCGTGGGGAGCTCTCATCCCATACAAGCCCTGCGAAAAACTATCATTTCCTTCCCGAACTCCGGATTTTGTTGAAAAAAGTCGATGAAAAAAAAACAAAAAAACGGCAGTAACTCTCGTTTTGTTGGCGAAGTCTGCCCTGCCCACTTGGCCTCACTCCCGAGAACGTCCCCTCTTCGCTCCCCTCACCCAAACTCCGATAACATGTGACGAAAGGAAGGTATCGATCATGTTGTTTATGCGGAAGCGGAGGCCGCAGACTCTGCTTTGACCTCGGTGCCGGCCAGGTTGGTGGGCTTCGCGTTGGGGTTCTTGGTGTAGTAGTCGGAGATGGCGGCCTTGATCGCGTCCTCGGCAAGCATGCTGCAGTGGAGCTGTGTTGTGTCAGTCGCTGGGCGTTACGGCAAGAGTAGACGCAGTCGTTCACGTACCTTGACGGGGGGCAGCTTGAGCTCCTGGGCAATCTCAGTGTTCTTGACGCGGCCGGCCTGCTCCAAGCTTGAGGGTAAGTTAGCACCGGTGCGATCAATATGACAAATGCGAGGTCACTCACGTCATGCCCCGGACAAGTTCGGTAAGGTAGCTTGAGGAAGCGATGGCGGATCCGCAGCCGAAGGTCTTGAACTTGACGTCGGAGATGGTGTTGGTCTTGGGGTCGACACGAATGTTGAGCCTAGCGAGTTTGTCAGCGCATGTAACGTGATGGCAAAAAGATGTGAAAATCGGAGTCGCGGATGACAGGTGATGCACGTCAGGTCGCAGGTCGTGGGAGGGGAGGCGGCGCTTTGTTTTGGGGCTCGAATGCACGCCGCCACGACCCCAACGTCCCGTACAATAGGATTGTCATTTCGAGGGTGTGAACCGAGGATAGCTTACTTCATGACATCGCCGCAAGCAGGCGCACCGACGAGACCTTGGCCGACGTCCTGGTCGCCCTTGGGCATGGAACCGACGTTACGGGGACGGGAGTAGCTGTACACCTCGAGTTAACACTCTCCTTCTTCCCATTGGGATATCAAGGGTTGCATACTGATCCAGGACCTTCTCATGGTATCCTCTCGTCGCGCCGACGGTAGCAGCAGGTGCAAGCTGACGGGCGGGCAGGGTAGAAGGGCGGACAGAGGTCGCAAGGACCCTGCGAGAGGCGACACGAAGGGATCTGGAGAACATTTTGATCGAGTTTCGGACTGGTGATTTTTCGACGAGGTGCAGATCGCTGACTGTCGGGTTTGGGTAGCTTTTGCTGGTACGAGAGGAGTCGCACAGGTCGATTTAGGGTATCTGTGATGAGTTGAGATGGCGATGGCGACAAAAGGTGGTCGATATAGCAATCTGCGTTTGGCAAAGAATTGAGGTGTCGAGGGGGGAGGCGAGGATTTAGCTGGAAGGATAAATGGAAATTGTTGGAGATGGCTGCGGGACTTGTGACGGAGAACGATGGCGATCTCGGGGGGTAGCAGAAGCCGACGGGCCAATAGGAGCGTTCAATGACCATGCATTAAGTCATGGATAGTGGACGCTTCCAGTGGATGGGCTCGGCGCCTCGGAGAAGACAAAATTTCATCCGCCTCACAGCGCCGAGGGTCCCAGGGCCCTGTTGCTCTCTAAGGTAGTTCTTTTTTAGTGCCTTTTGAGAGTGTCAGAGTGCCAGAGCTGCAGGCCAGCCCGTTATCTGATCCACACCCTGTGGAAACGGAGAGATCTGATTGGATAAATGGATGCCGCGTCTCCTCAGCAGTCCACGTCGTGACTCTGCCTTATCGGACCCACACGGCGAAGGTGCACCATTCTACCAGCTGGCAAAATGGGAAATCGATAGCTGCGTGTGCTGTGGTGGGGACAGCTGACGAGTTTGCCGGGGCATGACGGGGCCTGACGGGGCGGCAACAATTTGTCATGGTCTTCGCCGTTCTCGCCAACGAAGGAGATTAAATCTGATTAGATACCTTACGCCACCTCCGTGCTCGCTGACTCTGACGCATTTGTGCATGTCCGCTCCCAATGGCAGCCTAAGTCCGGGGAAGCTGCTTACATGCATTTCATCACCAAAGAGGGCTCCGCATATGTAGCAAGAATGACCTCTAGCTACGGACATGCACGTAAAGACAGATATGGATGTATCCATCCATGCACACTCTGCTCTAGCTTCTCCACCTCACTACGTAATCCTCAAAACGTGAGGTGCACGCCACACTGTGCTCCCCTCCGAAGCTGAGCTAATGGACCCGCCCATCACAGTCACCTTAAGTGAATGGACTGGAGCTGCCAAAGTAACTCCAGGCACCATGTCCCTGTAACTCAACCTAACGCGGGGCACTCATTCCACCACCACTTTCTCCTCGTCTGCATCAGCTTTAGCTCAAGCACAGCCTTTCACCTCGTTGTTCAGCTCTGTCGCCTCTCGTTGGCTGCCTGCTCTGCGTATGTATCGACTGCGAGGCTGAACACAACCAAGACATAGAACCATCGCCCCGTCAGCCTCTTTCTACCTCCTCCTGTCGCATACACCTCCAGATTCGCGGACCAACCCCACACAAGGTATCTTAGAGACGACAAACTCATCCTGGAAGCCTTCTGGATCACTCCCACCATGGCGTGCCCGCATCTTGAGTCTATAGCTGCAGGTAAATCTACCCTGGTCTATCTTCCTCTTAGCTCCGTTTATTACGTTGAGGCTGACTGACTGACTTTGGCACAGCGCTCCAGCCGCCTGCGCCTTTCAACTCCGTTTACCGAGAAGACTGCACCCAGTGCTTCGACTCCATTGTGTGCATCACCCGCCAATAACTTACTTCTACTGCTTGCTGACCTTTCCAACCAGGACGACTCTGCCGGTGTCGATGTTTGTCTCCAGTGCTTCAACGGCGGCTGTGCGGGTGACCGCAACCATGCACAACTCCACCGACAGCTTTGGAGCCACCCGCTCGTTCTCAACATCCGCCGCACTCGCAAAGTCGTTGTGCGAGATGAACCTCCCCTGAAGATGTCCAAGCTCGCCATCGCCGCCGAGACCGAGGCCGATCGATACGATACCATAACCACTGTCAAGTGTCTCGAATGCAACCAGGAGCTGGACAAGACGAGCGACAAGCTTGCCCACATTGTGGACGGCATCATGAAGGCGAATACCTTTTCGAGGAAGGAGGAGGTAAAGGCATGGGAGCAGGAGCTTACGAGCTGCGAGCACATCCTCCTAATGCAGCAGGCCGAATCACGAACCATCCAGTCTGGTGATCTTGGACACTGCTCCGCATGCGATCTGCATGAGAACCTGTGGCTTTGCTTGGATTGTGGAAACCTGGGCTGTGGGCGGAAGCAGATGGGCGGTGTCGACGGTAATTCTCACGCCCTCGCACACTCGGATCAGTCCGGTCACGGCGTCGCTGTCAAGCTTGGTTCCATCACCCCCGAGGGAACGGCCGACGTCTACTGCTACAAGTGCGACGAAGAGCGAATTGACGGCGATCTTGGCCAGCACCTGGCACACTGGGGCATCAACCTGGCGAACCAACAAAAAACGGAGAAGAGCTTGACCGAGATGCAGATTGAGCAGAACCTGCGCTGGGACTTCAGCATGACCACAGAGGACGGCAAGGAGCTTAAGCCTCTGTTCGGCGCTGGTTTGACCGGCCTCAAGAACCTGGGCAACAGCTGCTACCTTGCCAGCATCGTTCAGTGTCTCTTCGATACCCCTGCCTTCAAGAACCGGTATTACTTGCCCGACCGCGACCTTCCCAATATACAGGAGCCTGCGGCAGACTTGGAGACCCAGCTTCGCAAGATTGCAGACGGCCTGCTCTCGGGTCGGTACTCAAAACCCGATTCAGACGTGGCTGCATCTGAGCACTCGCCCGAGATCTCGCACCAAAAGGGCTTGGCCCCGGCCATGTTGAAGCATCTGATTGGAAGAGGCCACGAAGAGTTCTCGACTATGCGGCAGCAGGATGCTTTCGAGTTGCTGCAGCACATTTTCAAGCTTGTCACTCGGTCTCAGCACCCCTCCGATCTCGGCGATCCGACCCAGCCATTCCGGTTCACTCTGGAGCAGCGGCTGCAGTGCCTGGGATGCAAAAAGGTGCGGTATTCAACTAACGACCAAGACAATATCTTTATCGACGTTCCTTTAGAGAAAGAGCAGGCTGTCGAGGGTGAGGAGACCAAGGCAGACGCATACAAGGCCGTGACTCTCAAGCAGTGTCTCGACAACTTCACGGCAGAGGAGGTCGTTGAGCTGACCTGCTCCGCATGCGGCAGCAAGGATGGCTACACTAAGCGCTCCTTGTTCAAGACTCTCCCCGAGAACTTGGTCGTCAATGCCCGAAAGATGGCAGTCATCAACTGGGTCCCTGTCAAGATTGACGTTCCCGTCATCGTTCCCGACGAGCCCTTCCTCCTGGACGACTACCTTTCCAAAGGTCTGCAGTCCTCTGAAGAGACCCTTCCCGACGAGCCTGAGAATAGCGCTCCGGCTTTTGTTGCCAACCCGGAAGCTGTTAGCCAGTTGGAGGCCATGGGCTTCGGACGCAACCGCTGCGACCGAGCGCTGCACGCTACTGGCAACTCTGACGCCAACGCTGCCATGGAGTGGTTGTTTGGTCACATGGAAGACCCCGACATTGATGAGCCCCTCGTTTTGAGTGGTGGCGGCGGCGCGGCAGCCGGAGGAGCGTCGGCAGATCCGGAAAAGATTGAGATGCTCGGTGCCATGGGCTTTTCAGTACCCCAAGCAAAGAAGGCCCTACGTGAGACGAGTGGTGACGTGGAGCGAGCTGTCGAGTGGCTCTTTAGTCACCCAGAAGACCAGGGCATCTTTGACGACGAAGCCCCAGCCGCCGGAGCTGATACTGCTGCTCCCAAGACGGACGCCGGCAGCGCGGCTACTCCTGCAAAGTACCAGCTCCAGTCTATTGCCTGCCACAAGGGCACAAGCATCCATGCTGGGTATGTGGACAACAGCTACCATGAGGCGAAAACTTTACCCAGAGTTTGCTAACATTTTTCGCAGTCACTACGTCGCCTTCGTTCGCAAGGAGGTCAACAACCAACCCACTTGGGTTCTTTTCAATGATGAAAAGGTAGTCGAGGCGGGCGAGATTGAGGAGATGAGAAAATTTGCCTACGTCTACTTCTTCAAGCGTGTTTAGGTTGGATTTGGCGTACCAAGAAAGGCGTTTTTAGGGGTTGGAGAAAAGGTGGTCATGACGGAAAATAGAGCCAGGCTCACACTGAGGTAGTCCTGCGCAATTCGTGACGGCGGTGGTGAGATAGGGTTCATGGATGCATCCGAGGGGAAACGGGGAAACGGGGGATGATTGCATTACAGCATTGGCGGAGCGGTGGTTTTACTGAAGATCAGAGACGAGACAGAGACAGCGAGTGCATCCAATAGTAGGGAGTAGAAACGAAAAAAGGGAGGTTCAGGGCTAGTTATGTAGCCATCCATTGTCAAGAAAGGACTTTTTTCCAGAGACCAAAGACTGCCAGTCCTGTTGTAACTCTTTTTTTCTCATGGCAACATAATCCAGTGGTTATTCTACCGGAGTTGACTGAAGACACCACCAAAACGCCCCGACGCCGCACACATATCATAGTACATACACACAGATCCATGGTATTTGCCCCCATTTCTTCGACTTTTTTTCTCCCTGGTGGTATGCATCGTCTGTAAAAGAAGCACCACCACCACCATTTATGCCATCATACACCCTGACTGCGACCAGTCACATGGGACGGACTGACTGACTGCCCATGTCCTAATCAGCGAGGCGGTAGCTGACGAGTGTATCAACGCGGTGGTTGCTGGTGCTAAACCCGCGCAGCTGGACGCGCTCGCCATTGACAATCTCCTTGGCATCGCTGTCGCCCCACTCGACGGGCACCTCGGAGTCGGCGTCGGCGTAGACGAGGACGTTGAAGGTGCAGTCACCGTCGAGCTGGGGCAGGAAGGTGACGGAGGCGGTGATTTGGCGAAAGATGGCTGCGATTTCGGATTGGATTTCTTGTTCTGTTTTTTCGGGGGCGGCGGCGGCGGCGTCTTCCGCGGGTGATGCGGCGTTTTCTTGGTCTGTTGGTTTTGAGGAGGAGGAGGAAGAGGAGGAGGATTTGGAGGTCTTGGATGACTTTGATTTGGCGGGTCTGCCAAATATTTCAACGTCGAATTGCCAGCGCTCGACGTGTTCGCCCGTGTCCTTGTCTGTGATTACGATGACGAGCTTGGAGATTTTGCCGCGGAGCATCCAGCGGTCTAGCTGGGACATGATCTTTTTGATGTAGGCTCGGACCTGGTCGTCGGAGGAGACTGGAGGGGGGGGAAGCGCGTTGGTTAGCTGGCGGGGGACTTTGCTGGGGGAAGAAGAGGAGAGTGGCAGGGAACAGGGAGGAGGAGGATGCGATGGCGGGATGGGGATGGGAGGGAGTCTGGTCGAACCTAGCATGTTGAGGCCGTATTTCTTGACGCTGTGCGGGGGGTATTGTCAGTGGGTTGCTTATCGCGGGAGAAGGGGAAAAGAGTATAATGCTAGACGTACGCTGAGAAGTCTTCTGCCGGATAGACACCTCGTTGGAAGCTGTTTGGGAATAGGTCAGTATTCGAACCGGCGCATGTTGGCGAGCTATTGGGGGAATCAAGCTTCGTACAGGATGGTGTGTATCGAGTATTGGAACTGTAGGTAAAAGAGTTAGCTCGGGACGCAATGACAGCCTGGGCGCGGGAAGAGACTGACGAATTCGGCCACAAGCTTGGCGCTTCCCTTGAGGGCCAGCTTGTGCACCTTGGACTTGTCCTCCTTGTCCGACTTGTCGGCCTTGGTGGCCTTGGTGGCTCTGGCAGGTTTGGCGTCGGAGCCCATCGTGGCGGTTGGGTGTTGACAGCTCGGAGTGATCGATTGATTGACGGTGGTTGTCGGCGTCGAGCGAGGAACGGAGTAGGTTGGAAGGATTCAGTGTCGTGACGTCGGACGGAGGTGGTGTTGGATCCGGGACTGAGGCGGACGGGGGCCGGGGGGGGGAGGATGACTTTGTTTACTTTCGGGTTTGAGATTGAGATTTGGGATTGATTTTTGGGGGTTCGGTTGCGGGGTGATTGGGTGCAGCCGGCGGTGCTGGCTCGTCATTGCTCGCGGCTGATTGCCCCGCCGCCTGGGCCGACCGGGGGTCGAAGCTCCCGCCCGGCAGTTTACCTGGGTACGTACCTTCATGTTGGCAAGGTGCAGCTCTGGCCCATCACCTGCGTCTCCCGCCAACTTTACCTTCAACCTCGGGACTCGTATCTTTAGAAATGATCTCACTCCCAGGATATCAAGACGAGTTATCAAACCTTGAGATACATGTAGCATAATGATGGCAGAGTCTTACTGCTGATCAATCCACATCTCCACCTGGGCCCTCACCGCCGACTTTGCTGTAGAGGACGAATGTGTCGTTGGGCAACTCATGATACTGTCATTCAAGATGCTGTCATTCATTGACTTCTTGTATACATGGCCACTATGCGTGGCAACCAACATTCAGTATTATGTTATTACAACATTATTACTCCCACCAAATCATGCCCCTCACTCGCCGTTGCCGTACCCCTGAATGGCATCAAAGAACTGCGCAGACCACGCCATCGAGTCCACAATCTCCGCCGGCCACTGACCAGGCGCCAGCGGAGCGACACCCATACCGAGCATGCCTATATCGTGCGCGGCGGCAGCATCTGGTATGCCGCTCAACGCATTCATCTCCACAGGCGACAGCATCGCCTGCTGCGCCTGCATAGAGCTGCCAGACACGTGCTGCTGCTGCGGCGGCACCTCGGCGAACACGGCAGGCCGCGGCGGGTTCTTGCTCTTCCAGTCGACGCCGCACTCCTTGAGACCCTTTAGCATGTCCCGCGCGCTCTTGGCGCTCGACGAGTTGCAGCTCAGCGCCTCAAACATCTTGAGACACGTCTCAGCATCGTCGGACAGGCCCTCGGCGTCAAAGACGGCCTCGTCCTCCGCCATGGGCTGCGTGAACGTGCTGGATATCAGCAGGATGGAGCTCGCGCACAAGAGGCACGAAATCATCTGCCACCAGGGAAAGTCGTGGACCAGGTCCTTCTCGCTTGAGACGCCGTGCAGCAGCCGCGCCGTCTCCCGCGCTTCGGCGACGCACGTCTTTTCGGACACGCTGACTAGGTGCCAGTCTACCTGGGACAGGGTCGAGGACGTGTCATCGAGGCCGCGGAGGAGTGGGTAGCACAGGTACGGCCGGTGGAGGAGGGCCCGGAGGTGGTGGAACTTGACTGCGAGGATGTTCCGCTGCCATCAGTCAGCTTTGGGTTCCGAGTTTCACATACACACATTCACTGCAGACAAAGCCGTAGCCCACATTGTTGGAGGCGCTTACCTGTCTTTTGAATGCAAAGTTCTGGTCAAACGCATGACCCAGATCGAACCGCAGCCGTCGCGGAAGCCTGGATTTCCAATCCACAAGCTGGCGGTCCAGATCCCTCGTCCTAAGCGCATTCTCAGAAGTGAGCTGCGCGTGCCTCGGCCCAAAGACGTCTCGCAGCGCGCGGCCCAGAATCTGCGAGAAGCCGATGACGGCGAGGAAGTAGTCCCCGCCCGAGGACTCCTCGACGGGCAGTTCCATGTGGCTGGCCTCCCAGTCAATCTCGAAGTCGGCGCGCCGCGAGGGCAGGGGCACGTCAAAGTCGTCCTCGTGCACGGCCGCAGGGCGCCCCAGCTGGAGGGACAGTAGACGGTCCAAGACGTAGATGGAGTACCATATCCGACGGCGCGTCTCGGTTTCCACCGTGTGCCTGGGGTTGTTCTTGTCTTTTTCGACGTGCAGGCCGATGCCTTGGGCAATCCGGACGGCTTGGCCGAGGGTCATCCAGCAGCTGTGTACGTCAGACCTACTCTTTTCACCATGCTGAGACAAAGTAAACGTACCTGTCCGTCCGGGATACGGCGAGATAGTAGAAACATTGCGTCAGGAGCAGTGAAACTTGGTTGATTGACCGATCTGACGACGCGGTTGAGGCGGCGAGAGCCAGTGCACGCTGGAAGTAGACGCCGTGAAAGTGGCGGGTATCCGAGTTCTTCTCTAGAAACGACGTGTAGTATGAACCAATGGCGCAGATAACATCTACGGGTTATGTTAGCCCGTCTCGCTCATCCAACCTGATGGTTTTCGGGAGCTGTTGATGAGCAGCCGCTGTGGGTTCAAACTAACAATAGAGAGCAGATTCCGTGCCGCCCAGACGATCACCGCCGTTGGGCGCACCTCCTATCCTGTCGCACAGTTTCGAGAAGGTGGACTGGGGTATGAAGGGATACGCGAGGTGAATGGTCGCAAAGTACACGTCGGTGAACTTGCGCTCCTGCTCGGGACCCGGGAGCTCCACCAGCCTCCCTCCCGCGGCTGCCCCGGCAAGCAAGGCGTCCCCGTCCTGCTCGTAGCTGTCAAAATCGTGGTCCGCCCCGCCACCTGGGGCGTCTTTGGTCTGCAGGATGCGCTTGATCACGTTAAAGAAGTGGACGTCGCTGACTTCGCCCAAGTATCTCTGGCTGCGCTTGAGAGAAGGTGTCGGCGATGGATGGTAGTCGTGTTGTTGGTGGCGTCCGTGATCCGCTTCCGGCGAGTATGACGGCGTCGTCTCTGCTGGTGCCGAATTCACGGCCTGATCAACCTGCGACTTGATGGTGTTGAGCTGCGCCTGAGCGTCTTGCTGCTGCTGCTGCGAGGGAAGCTGGGCGATGAGCTGCTGCACCAGGGCCTCGTACTGATCTACGGCGGTCCGAAGCCCAGTGTGAGTGCCAGTTCCCGGGCCAGGGCCGGCCGGGGCACTTCCTCCGGCGACATCTCCGTTCCCGGAGGCCTTTTCGCGTCGACGACGAGGCCTTCCTATGGAGTAGACACATTCATAGCCGTAGCCGACGCATCGTCCACACTTTGGCTGTTTCCCGTCACACTATAAACGTATGAGTAAGCTACCGTATGAGCACATCCCTATCTGCAGTATTGAAGAAGGGTGCAAGGGACATGGACTGGCTAATCTCACTTTGGATTTCATGGATCGGCAGGTCTGGCAGGCCTTTGCGACCCGCTTACGTTTGTATACGGGTTCATCGTCGGCGGTATCTGACATTCTCTGTAGGGTGCAAAGCCGACTTTCCCGACGAGATGGCTGGAATAGTGTTCCCTTTCAAATGGGCGCGAATAAGAAATACCAGGGGGGAAGGGTATGGCGGATGAGAGGGGGGGGAAAGAACGGCTGTATTGTACGAGAGCAGTGGGCAGATGGGAATGACGTTGAGAGACGGAGCCGGCGGTGCCGAGACATCCGTTTTATCCGGTGGTTGTAAGTGCCTACTGCTTACCTACACGCCTGCCTATTTTACTACTTATAACTCTGTACGTACTTCTCCCGCATCCGCCCTAGGGCCGAGCCAAGCACCTCGTGCCAAGAGGTAACAGCGCCCGGCCAAGGCGTTCTGGTTCAGAGTTGGTGTGGAGTTTTACTGTGACCTGTTTCAATCTCGTCTGTGCCTGGCTCGTTTGTCGACTTTGGACGGTGAGAGACGGTTACAAGCAAGGTCAACCGTAAACGAAGTAATTTGCGACACCTCTTCAATGGGACGCCTCTCGTTCTTATAATCTTGCAACGGTCCTTAACTCGGAGTAATGCTTCTGCTGACTGCGCATACACCCTTGCCAATGAGGAAAGAAAGAAAGAAAGGCTGAAAAGTAGACAAATGGTAAGCAGCAAGCTCGATTACACGGAGTATATCGTACCTACGGTATGTATGGAATTTACCAAAAGTAGATTCATCGCCTGCATTTTCAGACGCGTATCCGTACGTAGTATGTTTCTGAGCACCCAGCTTCTCATTGTTCTCTCCCTGGTGCTTGAGACGATCATGATATAGCACCTTGTCACCCTGCCGTTCTTATACAGGCTTGACACACACGTCGATCATGTAGTAAGTGCTGAATCGACAACCTGACACACAACGACTTGATAAACCCAATTTGATTCAACTTCCTCTCCCTTGCGTGCTCTCTACTCGCCACAGTCAACACATTTCCTTGACTCTTGCAAGAACTGGTATCCAAGAAATGAATGAGAACGACAGGAAGCGAAATTAAGTAGGGGAGGTGACATGGCAAGTCAAAGGGAACTATCCAGCTTACACCATCCTGTTAATTCGAAACCCGCCCACCTCTCATGCCTCAGCCTTGTCAACCTGCTCTATGCGATGCACAATATCGCTTCTGTCTGGGTTCGTTTCAATAACCATCGCCGAGAGCTCCTTTCCATACGCGCAGCCAGAATCCAAACCAAACGCATATCTAGTCCACAGTCCTCTGATTCCCTTCTCCTTGAATGTTTCCGGTACTTCTACGTCTGGTTGCACCTGAAGCCCTTCCTTGGCATCGTGACCATACACAACCACCGAGCGATTCTCTGGTTCTTCAGTTATGTTCTGCGTCTCGTTCCAGGCATCTCTCCAGCGCTTCCCATCCTTGAGCTCAATGGGTATGGTCCTTCCCTCCTGAACGGTTGAAATCTTTGAAGTCTCTTCACTATCCCACAAGCTCAAGACTCGCGCCAGTTCACCGTCGAGTCTCTCATCCTTTGTAGCTTGGAATGCCGCACGTCGACATAGGCGGGTCTTGATCCTTTTCGCAAGAGCCACCTCAATATTCTCCGGATGAGCGCCGTCGGTTGGGTACACAAGGCTGCGCATGTTCATGACAGCCCAGGGATCCTGCTCCTCCAGCGGGACCAACGGTACCAGACCACCATGTGCAACCACAACGGACCCGGCATTCCAGGGACAGCTCTTGGCGCCTTTGAATGGCCCGAGTTGCAGAATGAGAGGCAGAGACGAGAGCCAGGATACCTGCTCTCCGGAAAGCTGGGTCGCAGTGACGTAGTCGCTCGACACGGCGTACGGGATATCCGCCGGCAATTTCTCCTTGCTGTCTTCGAAAAAGAGTTTCCCGTCATCGCCCGTAGGGCCAATCACCACGCCGCGCTCGATGAACCCACGTGCCGCCAGCACGCGGTCCTCGTTGTTGCCCCTGACGCAGCTGGCGCCGAGGTCCATGGCGAGCTGCACCACGCCCGAGCTGTCGGGGCCCTTGTTGACGAGGTCGCCGGTGAAGACGAGGTGGTCTCCCGCATCCTTATCGAAGCCGACTTTTTCCAAGAGCTTTTGGAGCTGTGAAACTCGCCCGTGAACATCGCCCACGATGATCAGCCTCCGTCGGGGAGCGCCACTTTCCGCAGACGGCACGAGTTTCGGGTCCAATATTTGGACAGTCTTTTGGAAATCATGGTGAGCTCGTCCGGAGCTCTGTTTGAGATTGTCTTCGCTTGGGTTTATCATCGTCGCGAGGCGTTGGGTGCGTTTCAAGCGTTCGTGGTTTTGGTGTGCGGGGATTGAAATTGGTGGACCTAATGGCAACGAATCAGAAGAGGGAGCACGGAGAACTAAAGGAAACCACAAGCTGTGGTTAGAAATCTTTCTCCTCGAGCTGATTTCAAGTTACCGATGATGGAACGGATTGTTATTGATTTAAATCAGCCGTCAACTTGAGAAAAGTTCACAGAGCAATAGTGCTCAATAGGACCATTCGTCCTATATTTTGCTTCATTTGTTGAATGTAGTAGTAACTGGATTGATCACCAAGCTGCGATTTAATCCTTTTTTCCTTTTCCCGAATTGGGCCTTTTCCCTACATTGAGTGATACACTCTGTGGGTGAGCATCTAATAAAATTGAAAAACAACCATCGCAGCTCAACAATCATGTTGTATTTCAATTTCTTGGGCATGCTCCGATATCGGAATCTTTCATATAGCTCATTAGTACATGCAGACGTCTCTTCCATTCCTTAATCGTCTTACTTTATTACCTCCTTCAAGTTCAGCCTTGACTTTCAGCCTTGACTTTGGCATGCTCACATCAAGAACCGAATTCCATCTGAAAACCTCAACCACGTTCGATATTACCTGATGCCATCCGAATTTGAATCCTTGTCTTGGAGGAAGAAAAAACACCCCATTCTATTCAGAGTTCTTAGTGGGTCAAGCTAGAGGAATGTTTTTTGTCTATATTTTGTGAGCATGCTTTGTAATGATAACAAAAAGCTTCAGAGGCAGCCTGCTTGGCAAATGGTAATGCGGGATAGAGAGGGTATATCTGGCTGAATCCGGCTATTCATACAAAACATGCTTCACATAGAGTGATTAAACAGTGTGATCTTGGCATTGTCATTACATGGACTTTTAATAAATCGCCCATCTCTATAATATTGTTTGGACAGCTCTCAAAGCTCTTTGCTTCGTTTCCCTCAGATAGCATCACAAGTCAAGTTACTAGCCACCTTCAGAACACCTGCACTATATCTACACATCCGGTACGTTCGATCTAAAGCGAAAGCAAAGATGAATTCACTAAACCCCGAGAGGGAAAAAGTACTTCAGAAACGCTCAAAAAGAGAAACTACAAATGGTCGGTATCCCATAGTCAGCGCCGGCATCAGATCCGTGCTGGCTTCACTCGTCGGCCCTTTCCGTAGCTCTGAGCTATCTTCAGAGCCAAAACCTACCGTAAAAGCCAAGCGCCACCGCGATATCAGTGCAGAACCGACTCGACTCAGCATCACGGGAGGCCAGCCTGACGCCGCGACTGACGTCAGAGGGACGTCAAAGGGGCCTGTAATCTCTACGACAACTATAACCAGGCCCGCCATGGGCTCTGTCATGTCAGCTCTCGACGAAGAAGTTAGACAGTACGAGACACGAAAGGACCAGACGTCATCCTGACCATCGCCCGATTTGTTGATAATGTCGTCGCTAGCTTTGGCGGTTCTAGAAAACAGATCGCGAAAGATGCCAACTTCCTTGTGATCCGGGCCCTTTGAGAACTTGATTAAGAATGGAAAGAGCCCTACCGCGATCCGCAATTGGGTCATCGTCGCAGCCCTGGCCGCCGTAAGTGGGGTAGGTGCTGCCAAACGAAGCTCAACTTCCCCGCAAGCCCCACTCAAAGGCCGGGACCCGCCTCAGGCTCCGCCGTAACAAGACCTCCGGATCTTGGCCGCATCCCGGACGAGGGTCTACCGTCTGATCGGAAAAAGACACCCCATTCGCGCTATGCCAGGCAGTTCGCAAAATATTCAGTTCGGGGCTAGCAGATATCCCTATCCCCACCACGTGGGCACGGGGTACTCCCCGAAGCCGGTGAATTAACAGACCTAGCAGAGTCTCCTCGCAGACAAACAGTGGCCGGAGGAGTGCTTGGGCGCATATAGGATGAAGAGTTCTGCAAAATGGTTCGCCTTTCGTGGTGTCTCGATGCTCTAACAAACACGCAATATTGGCGGGAATATTCCAGACCCCGCCACACTGATTGAGGACATGGCCCTTGCCCAGACAAGGTAGAAACCAGTACGCGCCAGGCGGTGTCGCCTAGGACGATGGAAGGCTGTACTTATCACATTTTCAAACCAGTAAACGCATTTGCAAGAGATTGAAAAATGAGCACCTAGGCTCATCAAGGTACATGAGGTTAGTTGATAGACTGCTTTCAATGTTATCTAAATGGTGTAACTATTCCAAGTGATTTGCTCGAGGTACCACTATTGTAAATAAGTACTTACACCACTCTCGTGGCTAATAAGTATCATTTGCAGTAGCATCACCTCTCTCCCGACGCATGCACGTTGAATGCACAATTCCGGTTCGCTTTGCCTTCCACCACAAAAGAAGTAGCGCGATTCCCGGAACAGCCAGTTAATGAGAACCTCCATCTACCGACTCTCTTGTCCAACATCCTGTCTAAATATCCCTCCACAAAGAAAAGAATTTTAAACCTCCAGCCGTTTTGATTACCAAGCGTCCCTTTGTCTCTCAGACTCTTCGCACTTTAGTAGTTCGACCTCCAGGAGAACTTGCCCCTAGCCCACAGTTCGAAATCCACATTAACCTTTAGAGTCGTCTCGACCGTCTTGCCGGCCCCGACGTTCTTGGCCATGATATCTTTGCTCTTGGAGGAATTATGAAAGTCGAAAGCCTCTATGTAGGCAACAATTTCCTTATCCAGGCCATTTTCCACGGTGACATGGATCTCCCCTTCACTGTAGGTCAAGAACAGGTCAACGCCGTCAAGCTCTTCCTTGCTACCCCTCAAGTGGGTTGAAAAAGTGAACGAATAACGTCCACTATCAGGAAGCCGCCTGATGCGAAGGTTAGTTGGAACGTATCAATATGAATAATGGCGGATCCTTACTTTACGAGACCATTGAGGTCCTCTGCCGCTGACGAAAGGTCCTGCAAGTTCCTAGAGTTATCCGTTTAGTGAAGTCTGATTTGCTCGGGGTCCCGCAGAGTCTGTACCTCTCTTGGACCTCGACGTTGGCCTGGTCGATGGAGGCTTTAGAGGAGCTGAGCGGTGCAGCGAAACTAGTGGTGGCCGCTAGGATAGCGAGGGCAGCAGCGGGGTGGAAACGCATGTTTACTGAGCGACTGATGATATATGTCAGTGTTAGAAATGTGAGATCTGGTGGTAGGGCTGCTATTGAGCGCTGTCGACTTGAGCTCTCGAGCTTCTTAAATAGTCCCAGCACGCGGTCTGCTCAGTCTGCTCGTGAACCAGAATCCCCCAATGCCGAAAAAGACCTCGAGGAAGCTCAGCTCAGGACCAGGAACATTTGAAACTCTCCTCGCGTTAATTCCGGTCGAGCTGCTGGGCAATCAATTAATCCTTTCTTCATTTACGACATAGGCAGAAACTCTGAGTCCTTCGATGTGGGATATAATACCTACGAACGCAGACAAGTGCACTCGTCCGTAACATTCAATCACTAGAGTCATACTCGCTTTCGGATCGAGCAGGGGTCATTCCATAGTATTCTCCTTCCAGCACGAAAGAAGCTTTGTTGGTATTAAGATGTCAGCAGCCTTAAAATAGGTCTTAATGTAGTAATATTCACCCCTTCCCCCTAGCCCTGGCCCTTGCGCGTGACCAAAATGCGACCATTATAGAGTTTCTTATACACTAATCGCGGACGCCGAAATGACGCTGGACATGTAGGTCAGTCACCGAAACTTTCTTTTGCTCTTTTCGACTAACACATCGCCGACTTCGCCGAGATAGTCTGTGAGATATCGGCGCAGGCCAACACGAAGATGTGCCGCACACCACATGCTGCAATTAAGGAGCTACGATTGATCATGCATATATTTCCGGCGCCCACTCTCGCACTCTCAAGCATAGCGAGAGCAGCTCGCATACCTGTAGACCGGACGCCGTCGGGCAGTCGAAGCTAGTGGGGCGATTCCCAGCATGTTAGAATGAAGCTGAAGTTGTCATAGAGCCATTGTGGCGGAGAAGCGCCGCAGCCCACGAGGGCCGGGTTTCAAGAAGAAGGGGCCTCCATTTAGCTGGCTTCTCGTCACTGAGTGGCAGAAGCCAAGATTCAGCTTCTGTTCAATACCAGACCTGCCTCATGAAGAGCACTATTTTCATACCTAGTTGACTTGCCCGTTACAGAATTTAAGAAGAATCTATTATGTAAAGGGGGAGCTGAGGTTTCGTAAAATGATTGAGGTTGCTAAATGAGGTAGGAATGTTAGTTCGAGTAGTTCAGGTGGATAACAGAGACAAAGAGAAGGGACAGTAAACAGACTATCATGTATGTAATGTAATGAATGCTGGCAGCGGCAGTATTACACTACCTTAGGTATCACTCGGGCCCGCCGCTCCCGAGTCCTTCTCCACCGTCGGTAGCATACACCGTGCTGGCACGTTCCATAGCCGTCGACCTGGCAATCTTGCTGCGTTGAGCAATGACGTCATAATATAGTGCACATAATTTGGCCGACTGAGCCTCGATCTGGCCACTTTGGCTTCTGCCCGTTTCCTTGCGAGGTCCTTTTGATTTCAAGATATCGCCGCATCGCTCGCTTGCGTAAAGCTGAATCACATCATCCCCCATTCTGCTATGATTGAGCCAAACCCAGATCCTAGAGTGGCCTCGTTGGTGGTTCACGGTCAGCTTTCGATCGCGCAGGAGTCTTTGATGTTCGCCGGCTTCGCTTCCAACAGGACGAGCACACAGAATAGTTCCAACCGAGGTTGATGAACACAACAAACGGCGCAAGTGACAGTGATTGAATAGCCTGGCTTGACGGACCCGTTCCAGCAGGGATGTCCAGTCTGGTTCCAACACTGGAATAACTGGTTGGGTCGTACCAGTTACCGCGCATCATCCTCAGCGCGCGAGGCTGCTGCGGATGCTGGATTTCATCACACTATATAGTTTGCTTCATTTGGGTTGTGATAATTCTCAACCCCATCTCGAATCAGAATCCGGACACGCGGCATCAGACACTCAAGTACGTGCCAACCCATTTTTGAGTCATAGTCTTTAGATGGAGCGGTTTTTGAGCACGGGCTCGATTCGAGGGTTTGGATGACCACGACGACAGATGTCATCATCTCGGAAGCCCTAGATCAACGCAAATGGGTCGATATGGGGTTGTAGATCCTGGCGACAGATCCTAGCCGCGCTTCACGCTTGTCTTGGGACTGATGCTGCAATCGTACAGGGTAGATGTGTGTCGAAAGGATATGAGGGATTTCCCTGGATTAACGGGATAGCCCGCTTCAGCAACACGAAACAAGCCTTTCGGCCAACCGCTCAATCAGATACGTAAACCCGTTTAGCCTCTTACTGCTTTGACGCCCGGTCCGACGCGGACTTTAAACTTTCTACTACGCCGTGTATTCTTTACGTAGTAGAAACTAATAACTCTCATCGTCCGCTCTCGGGCTAGTCTACCTTGTCTCTGACGGTACTGGGCACTATGTGTACGAGCCCGACTCGATCTAAAAGACGATGGCTAACACCTCCTCAACAGCATAGCCCCATGAGAGACCGATGTATTATTTTTCTCATGACATACATCTCAGCATAGCGCCAGTGAATCTCCGGGGGAGAATCTTCTTCATTCCATTCGCCCAACTGCTCTGAAACTTGAAGTTGCTGAATTCTCCCTTCTAGTTAGACTAATGAAAAGTGCCCGCACCATAATTAAGTTTGCTTATATTCCCCGCAAAATCTGGAAGCGTCGAGGAATGCACCCAGCTCTCAGATGCCGATTTTCTGGTTTCAGCCTCCAGCTCTTCAAGCCACCATAGGCATCACACCTAGACCATGATGGTCCCGAGGAGAAAACCAAATGGTACTAACCGCTCCCGCTCGCCCGCCCCACACGATGAACGAAGTCTTCTGCGAAGCACAATACGCCGGATATTATCTCGCATATCTACAATAAGTCCTCAATTCGGTTCAGCTGGGTTTGCGCATAAGCTCTGCAAAGCCCCTCGCTGGGTAAGAGCAACTATAAAGCTTGAGATAGTAGCCAAGCCATCATAGTTGACATACTCTTCTCGGCATCACAATCATCCTCACCTTCAATACAAACCACAGCAACAATCACAATAAGATTCTCCATTTCCACCACCTTAGCTGTAGTCTTCGCAACCCCAAGTGCCCAGCAAGACCCTCAACTCCACAAGGATCTTAGGGATAAGCACAACCGCCAGGCAACTTAACGATTTGATTCGCCAACGTTAGCCTCAGCTGAGTGCCACAAGAACTTCAATTGCTGCCCTACTGACACAGGATCTGAAGCCTTTATTTACTGCCAACGTAAAAGAAGACCATCGCAATAAGTCCGAAGAACGGGAACTAACCAGAATTACTAGCGGACAATACCTCTTCAACTAAGTACCAATGCAGACACTTTGGTAACCACTGGGCCTGGTATCAAAACAACTCTGGACAGTGCGGAGATTAGGATCACTTGTCTTAGACTTCTCATGAGGGAGAACCAGTGAAATTGTATCATGATGGAATGGCTTCGCCAACGACGATCGCGCCTTGCAATATGTACAACCAGTCGCGTTTACATAACAATCAGGAGCAGCAATCCTTGCATGAGAATCAACCTTTATTGGCGTACAGCTTTGGCTTCAAGACTTTCGATATTGATAACGCTTCAGTCAGGTTTGGGGGAGTTTGGACGCGCACACACATTTTAGTACTAGGCGCACTTCCGGGAGCAGCTACTGGATCAACTTCGTTTTCCTGCATAGCGGGAAAGAGAGAAGCTTAATCTTCAGTCGTTAATAAAAGTTTCAAGTTGCTCAATCAGAGCATTACATGCGATCACCTATTTTGTGATTGTCTCGAGTGCAACGTTTATCGGGAATACGCAGATCATAATCATGGGCTGACGTCTGATACGACAACCAGAGCCGGGGAATAGGCCACTCCAAAGAAATTATGACACTTGCGGCTGAGCCACGAGCCGACCCTTGAACATCTCCTTGCTCGGGGGCTATGTGAGTTGCGTAAAATAGAGGCTTCAATGACCGAGCTGTTAAGTTTGCAAAAAGATTGTCAACGCCAGAGTTCAAGTTCACAAATACGCCAGAGAGATGGTGTATCTTCGTAGTATCGAGACGAGTCTCGTGGATATCTTTGAGCGCTATGATAGATGAGAAGATGTACAATGAAATCCCTGTGGAAGCCGACTATCCAATAAAAAAAGGTGAAATTTTCATCCTCCAAATCCAGGCCGAAATTGGGACGCTGAGCGGGGAAGAAAATGAAGCTGAAGAGGTTTTCTGCCATCCGTGTTAGTATGACAACGTTATTATGCATAGAGAAACAGCTCACCTGTCTTTATCATGGGAATCTAAAACGGGCAAACCCATAGGTTTGACTCCATGTACAAAGGATCGTCGCACTCGATGAAGCCGTTCTTCAGTTGAGTTCCGGCGCGCTCCATTGTGCGAGCAGTCGTCGTGTACTTACCGCAAGCCATAGGTATGTGGCCAGCGAACGTGCACATACCAACTTCGTGAGTATACGTGGCACCCCCCGCAATACCCATCTCGGCCGTACGGCCATTCTTGGGGTCCAAAGCCCAGGCAATGTCACCTGTTGACACGGGTTCATCGTCGACACAGCAGTAGGAGGTGAAGTCGGCATAGGCGACAGAAACAAGAGCGGCGGCTGTAAGGGTAGAGAAACGCATTTTAGCTGATAATAGGTGGTTGATTTGGGAAAACGGTTGAATTCAGTAATGAGTAAATGTTGCTAGAACATAGTCATGATGGAGGTAAGCTGATCAAGGAGGTTGATAGTCTTATACATTGAGCCTCAGCTTGGCTTTTTTCTTCTAGTTTTTTATATCTAATGAAATTCTACGTTTGGCTGTTGAGAGGCATCATGAGTTAACTAGTTAATCTGTTACACGCAAATTCAGTTTCATCTTAAATATTGGGATGAGACGAACTAATTAAATAGAGTTTAAATAAGCTAGTACGCTGGCGATATTCGCCTTGTCGGCCCATCTTTCCTTGGGGGAACCATACTGGCGGATTCCTGACTCAAGACAAATAAATTGAACATAATGGACTTTTAGTTGACCGAAGTATCCGGTCCAGTGGCAGAGCACTGGGCCCGGCCTTTAGAACCGCTACCGGTAACGTCTCTACGCTTTTCCCTACTGAATCCACCGCCCTAAGTGGAGCGGGGAGCTGTTTACCGAAACTCTACGTAGGCGCTTTAATTATCATAAAACTGAATTTTTAGAACTGAAAATCCTGTACTTGTATTGGCGGCTCGCTATTGCTAGCAGTGTCCATGTGACATTTCCCTAGAAATTCCTCGTAGTATGGCTACATCTTAGACGCGACCCCGTGTATTTAAACGGGATTAACGTGTCCCTCTTTTATGGAAGGATAATAATAAGAAACTTATTTCACGATACCTATCTTGCCTTTTATGCTCTTCTGTATTAGTCTTTGATCGCGTTACTCTTAATAAGCAACACGCCTAACCCATATAACCACCCGGTTAGACTACAGTTTTACCCCCTCTAACATGGACGCCATCTGCCAGGGAGACTGTGTTAGACCGGGAGTCCGCTTCCCCGTAGTTCACTTGAGATTTGTAATATTTTTATCTTTCTGAATATTAATATTAATATTAAAAAGCAGAAAGGCTATTAAAATAACGTGTCGGATTGGAAGTCTAATTCGACCTCGAGTCAGCTCAAGCGCAGGGGCCATCTACGGACCTCTATATCAGCTTCCAACTGACGGGCTACCCTACGGTGAGAGCCTCTCTTTTCCACTTCACGCAGAGATCAATATATAGTCAATTGACCCTTCGTCACCACGGAGAACTACGGTTCGAACCCGATTATTCTGTGATACGGATACCAACATAACGTTTGCCGTTACCTGTGTTTATACCTGTGTTTAAATACTGACCTCGACGGAGTAGATTTCTAACTAGCGTACTTTAAATTAGGACCGCCGTGTACATTGGTACGAGAAGAAGATAACGTAGGAAAAGCATAGTGATAGTCGAAAATTAAGATTTGTTTTAATGGGGATGTTGAGGTAGCGTTTATTTAAATGTGGATACAGGGCTGGCCCGTAGCTAGCATAAGCTATAATAGTCTTTCGTATTAAATCTATTTAAATTAGTTTATCCAACGGTCATTAATATATATGAACAACCCTAGCCTTGAAAATACATGACACTCTCTGCCTGGGCCCTTAATATTCGTTTCAGCATTGGAATTTCTGCCGAAAGCCGGTAACCTCAATCATGACTTAACTGATTAGACCGCAACTGTGCAGCACCTGGCCGAAACCTATATGAGTCAGTCTTTTTTTAAACCCAGACAGGTACGTCGAGTATGCAATAGTGTTACGACCCAACTTGCATGGCTCACGGCGGCTACGATTGATCGATATCCTACACGGTTATCAGCCGCTCTTATGTCAGCAGCTATGCCCGGATAGCGGGCTTGGCCACTAGACTTCACTCGTCGCCCAAGTAGAACCGTAGTAGGTCGCTAAAGGTCTGTTGATGCGTAATACGACGTCTAGTATTAAATTGCTACACTAGTCGGGACCATTTTCTTAATAATGCTCCTTGCATTACGGAGGACCACTTCAACAAGCATGCATTCACGCCGAGAGACACCGACGTCATCAACCCGAGCGTACTTCCATGACCAAAACTGCTTTGGCTGAGACTAGACCGTCGGCGCAAGATACAGGCTCACCATGGTAGCCGGCCATGACAAAGAATGAGTTTGGGTCGTCGGGGGGAAGCCGTTGGATGCCGTGGAATGCCCTGACGAGGTCATCCAGCTTCCATGTGGAAAGCCTACATATGTTCTTTCTTGTGATTGTTCCTCGTATACTGAGATTCTTGTTGAATGGATCTGTATCAGAAGGAATTGAGTTTGGTATGTCAGGGAGGAAGTTGGCGGATTGAAATTTTGCTGATGGGAGGAGTCGACCAGGTGGATATAGGCCGACAAACTCGCAATTTCCATGTCTGGACTGCTCGACTTGTTTCCACGTCTCTAGACATGTTTTCGACCATTCTTGTGAAGCTTGCCCAGCTCCAAGTGGACCGGAGACTGAAGCTCAACGCATGCCATTCCGAGTGAATATCGGGCTCTGCGTTGGCTGGATGCCAAAGCTAGTGTTTCTTGCATCTTCGAAGAAGCTCCATCGACGCATCTGGCAACCCGGCTCGCATGGCTGGAAGCTGAAGCTCTGAGACAGAAAGTTGAGGAAATGTCTCACCGTTGACACGCTTTCACTGAACCGTTCCGTCTGCCGCTGTCTTCAGCTGTTTCCAGTCATACTGGTCCGATGAATTGCAAAGGAGATGACATGCCTAAACCGGTAGGTCAATAATGCTGAAAATTGGGACCGACTTCAACATCTTCTATCGTGAGGAGATTTGACCAGGTACTTGAGTTGGAACCTATTGGTACGAGATCATGGTCACACAAGACCCCTCCTAGTCGGTGTTATACCCTTCCACTTGCTCGTTCAAAAGTTTGCAAAGATGGAACTGAATTCAGGCCCTCGTCATCACTTTTCTACGCCTCAATTGTCGGGGTACAAACGGTCTAACGGAGATCTAGACCATGTGACATACCAGAGTTGCCTAAGCAAAGACTTAAACGCCCACTAAATTTGTCGTTTTTTATGGAGGTGCACAGATGGCCCTCGAATCCACAAACCCAATGATCACGGCTTGCCAAGTTGTCATGTCTGGGATTGCATTGTTTTTTTATAGAATTTTCAACAAGATTGGAAAGATTGGGACGATGAATTGTCAGTTAAGCAAAGATGCGATGAAATCTACTTGTATGACCTGATTCCCTTTTATTCAGCGGAAGCCGATCGAAGCTCTTGCTAGTAAGGAGCGTAGCGGCTCGACGTGGGGTACTGCTATGATTTTAGCCCCCTTCTCAAGATCCGCAATTCATCTTGCCTTGTAACAAACTCATCTGCACCGATGTCCCCTTCTTCGCTGATATTGGAATCTTCCACAGGCGTTGCTTTACCCTCGCTATGTAGGGAAACGCCAAGCGGCAACTCACTTGGATCAGCGCTGCTACAGCCAAATCTTGAAATCGGCCCTGAACCATCATCAAACCTAGGCTTGTTTGTCTTAAAGAGAGTATTACGAGTCCTCCCCGTAACTAGTGTACTGGGGTAACTGAGAAATCTACTACCTCCTAAACCGACCCCGAATCGACTCTGCTGTTGCTCTCTATTCCTCATCTCAGACCACTTGAGTGGCGATGGCTGGCAGGAGCAAGCGAAACAAAAGCATCCTTTCTTCATCAACGGGCTGATCTTACCTCCTAGATCTGGTGGAATTGCTGAACTCATCATTCATAATCACGAGCCGTAACGCGCAGCAACAAATGAGAAACAGGGAAAATGTGACTCCTTCTCAAAGATGAAGAGACAAAATAGAGTCATTATACGCCTGATTGAAGCATCTAGTCTACAAATGAAGAGCTCATAACAACAGCCCTCATTATTAAAGAGGCTGTCCTCCAATGTGAAAATATACATGAGTTGAGTTATAATTCAAATGACAAACTCCCATCAACTATTACGATTCCACCAAATAACCACTCAAAACATTCACCCAGTGCCACAAAGCTCAGTCAACCCTCACAGCACCGCAAAAAGAAACCCTCTCAAAAGCCGTACCAAAGACCTCATCAGCATCCTCTCGCCTCTCACCCACCCTCCACCCAATAAACCCATCCGGCCGAACCAACACAGCCCCGGACCTCCCAACCCCAAACGTCGCCTCAAACCCCTCACTCTCCCTCTCATCAACCTCGAAAACCTCCCTCCCCACATGGACAAACTCACACCCAACAGCCGTCCCCTCAACAGCCCCCCTCCACCCCGCCTCCCTCGAAAGCAAAACCCACCCACGCCCAAACAAATCCAGACTCGAAATCACCTCGCCATCCCGCCTCCTCATCGCCACGTGAGGCGCCCTCGTCCCCGGCTGACCCTTCCACTCATCAGGCCTCAACGCATCAGGCAACCCCGCCCCGTCAACCCCCAAAACCACCCCCCTCGACCGATAAATCTGCCCCAGCTCCATGGCCACATCATCAAGAACCTCAACCCCCTTACTCTCCTTCCCCTCCGCACCCCTCACATACGCCTTATAATCATCCCTCGCAAAAAGCTGATCATGCCTCACCAGCGCAACAGGCCTCCTCTCCTCATCATACGTCTCCAACAACGCCGGGTCCGCATGCCCCCCTCGCACAGCAGCAATCTTCCACGCAAGGTTATGCGCGTCCGCGAACCCCGTGTTGGCGCCGTACCCGCCCCGGTTCGGCGGCAACGTATGCGCCGCGTCCCCGGCGAGAAACACTCGTCCCCGCGAAAACCGCTCGGCGATCCGCGCGCTCATCTCCCAGAACCCAATCGTCACCAGCTCCACGTCACCGTCCTGGATCTCGTCCTCGCCGAGACCGAGGGCTTTGCGAATGAGGTCCTTTTGCGCGCGGGCGTCCATGTTGCTGCTGCTGCTGCTGCTGCTGCTGACGTCGATGGTATCTTTGTTGTCGTCCTTGGTGTCGCCCTTGTTGTTGTTGTCCTTCTTCTTGTTCCTCGTCTCCTCGGCAGCATTCCACATCAAAGCCCACCTCCCATCCTGATAACTCACCAAAAAGGCCTCAAACCCATCATCCCGCCCTTCAATCGAAAACTGCACGAATCCCCGCTCCAAGTACTTTTCAATCGGCGCGCACCGGAACATGATACTGCACAAACTCCGCAGGTGCCCCACCCCCGTGGTCGAAATCCCCAACCCCTCGCGGAAGACGCTGCGCGCCCCGTCGCAGGCGACAATGTAGGACCCCTCGATGACGACTTGTTCCGCTGATTCTTTCCTGCTCGCCGTGACCTTCACGCCGTCGGCGGACTGGCTCCAGCCGGTCATCGTCCAACCCAGCCGGAGATCCGCGCCGAGCTCGACGGCGCGCTTGCGGAGGATGGGTTCCAGACGGTCCTGGGCAATGGCCGTGCCCATAATGGGAGCGTAGACTTTGCCCCCTGTTGGCGGATGTGACCCGCCCGCCGGACCACCGCTCTCCGCCTTGGCATTCGTATTCCAAAGCTGCTCATCAGCCCACTCCCCTGCCAGACTCTTGACCTTTACCCGGCGAGGCTTGCCCCCCTGCCGGCCCGATCCGACACGCAGCTGGTCGGGGGAGATTCCAACAGTCTGCAGGAGCTCCAGCGTCCGCGAGGTGTATCCGATGGCGCGCGGGTGCGGTGAGCTCGCGGCGTGGCGCTCCAAAAGGACGACGGGGACGTCACGGGCCGAGAGGAAGAGCGCGCTGGCGAGGCCTACGAGGCTACCGCCTATGATGATCACGGGTGCTTGGTTTTGCGTTGTCATGGTTGCGATTTGTGTGGCAAGTCTGGGTCGAGGTTATTATGGTCAATGTGACGAGGAGGTATGTAAGTCAACAAGAGGGGAGCCAACAAGAAAAAGGTAAGCTTTGAGACTGCAGGTGAGATTAGATGAAAATTGTAGTGTGATTGGCACGTTCATCCAGATTCATGTCACATATGCACGATGTGGCCTTTATACATGTTTAATCCCGCCATAGTGACGGCGGTGACGGCGGTGGTTAGCAAGCCCCGCACTTGTCCGGCTCCGGTCGTCCTGGCGTTGCCGGATGCGCAGTCACGCCCCACACCGGGCATCTCGGGTGCGAACGCAACGCTCGGTCCCGAGTGGTCCGCCACCAGTAATCCTCTCCACAAGAAAACCTCCATGAGTCCTCGGTTCCCGGTCCCGCTTGCCTTTGTACGGGCTTTCAGATCCCGCGATCACGGCATGTGTCACTAGCTGTGGAACATCACACATACGGAGCATGTTGGCTAAAATTCATCGTCATGTTTTGCCATTTGCCTAAGCCTATCCGATTACGCCAGAGATTACGTCCTACATTCTTTCCATTGGTACCACCCAATCATGCGCAAATATGTTGTTTACGCAATTATGCCTCCAGTGGGCCGATGGTGTTGATGTCAAGGCCTTTGGCCAGCTCCGATTTCGTAGGCATCTTTCCGAGTGACATCAACTCTGCCGATTGGACCATGGCAGGGTCCTTGCCCATCGATGCCACGGCGACGACTGTCTCGCCGTTTGTGTAGTACGCGACAAAGGCCGACTCCTCTACGTTACCCTGAATCACAACATCGTCCCATCCGCCAACGGTGTTGCCGCAGTATCTCAGCTGCGAGCCCAGTGCAGACCAGAAGACGGGAATGAAGTGCGGCGTCTTGACGGCCGAGTTGATAATGTTGTTTGCAACGGAGCGACCTGCGTTCTGAGCGACGTTCCAGTGCTCGATGCGAGTGTACCGGCCGTCGCCTCCAGGGCCGTGGTAGGGGTATGTCGCAATGTCGCCGATGGCGTACACGTCCTTGAGGCCAACCACCTCAAAGTTCTCGTTGGTCTTGATCGAGCCGTCCTTCTCCAGTCTAATGACCTTGTTCTCCCTCAAGAACTCTGTAGCGGGAGCAACGCCAACGCCGAGGATGACCAAATCGGCCTCGAGTTTAGTGCCGTCCTTAAGGTAAACCGCGCCGACATTGGCAGCGTCCGTGGCTGATGGTTCGGCCTTGTCAACGCCAGCGTTCAGATGAAACTTGACGCCATTCTTCTCCAGACTCTTCTGGATGCCGGCGCCAATCTTTTCTCCAAGAACTCTTTCCAAGGGGACCTTTTCCATGCCGATGACGGTCACGGTATTTTCCTTGGCGGTGGCGTTGGCAACCTCCATGCCGATGAAAGAGGATCCGACAATGACGATTTTCTTGCCCTTGTCGCCGATGGCCTTGGCAATCTTCTGGGTGTCGTGGGCGGTTCTGAGGGTGAAGATGTTGCCTAGCACTTTGAAGCCCTGGAGAGGCAGGTTTCTGGGCGTGCCGCCGGTGGCCAAGATCAGCTTGGTGTAGGGGATGTCGTTGCCCTTCTTGGTGGTCACCTTGCGGTCAGAGAAGTCGACGTTGGTGACCTCGTCGGCGACCCAGTCGATAGAGCCGCTCTTGTACCAGGCCTCATCACGCCATTGCAAGGCGTTGACGTCGGTCAGGAGCGCCTTGGACAGCTTTGTGCGATCAATGGGAAAGTAGCCTTCAGAGGAGACGATGGTCAAAGGACCGTCGTAGCCGCCGTTGCGCAGACCCTCGACAGCTCCTAGGGCACCGGAACCTCCACCAACGATGACGACCTTGTCCTGGTCGGCCCCGCCAGCGGCGTTGCACTTGAAGTTGGGCTTACGGCGGCCTCCCTTGATGGCGGCCTCTTCGCCAGAGATGTAAACTGCGCCGTCGCGCTCGGTGACTTTGAAGACGGGAAGGGCGTCGAGGGCTGGGGCATCTTCGACGTCACCAGTTTTAGCGTTGAAGCAGGCTATGTGATTGTCAGTAAGGTGCAATGGAGTCCGACATGAGAGAAGAAGAGAGGGTAGCTACCTCCGTGCCAGGGACACGTCAAGCGACCAGAGGTAGTCAAGACTCCCTTTACGAGTGGTGCGCCAAAGTGGGTGCATTTGGGGCCAACCGCCTGGATGCTGCCGCCAGCGTTGACGAGGAGGACCTTTGCGCCCTCGATGCCTTCAACTTCGACCTCCTGCTTGTCTCCCGGTTTGAGGGACAGCGAGGAGACAGACTTGAGCTTATAGTCGGCCATGGCTCGTACACTTTGCGAAAAGGATTTCTGCTGGGTGGTTTGCCGGAGTAGAGATGGTATGTTTACGTAGTGGCGGAGGGGGGAGAGGAATTTGGTGGTTTGCATGAAGGACGAAGGGGGAGGGGGCCAGAAGAAGAAGCGCAAGCGAAAGAGAGGGGAAGAGATTACGGTCACCGTCGAGGGGTACTCCGACTGACTGCTGCTGACGGGATGTAAAGCACCGGAACGCGGGGAGGAGGGGTCAGACAGCAAAGCACAGGAGGCCAAGACTGCCTAGGTGTTCCCAGACGAAGCTACCCTAGCTAAGCTCAGGTAGACAGATGGCTGCTGGATGGTAAAAGCTTCCGGCCGTGTGAGGTCGACAGGTACTTTATGGTACGGTACGGTAAGGTAAGGTAAGGTGATGGTAGGCGGTCTTCTGGGAGATGGAGCAAATTGATGGGGATTCGCGTTCTCAGATGAGTGACATTGACGTTGACTCGTTGGTAACCGGGGGTGGTGGAGGGGTTCACTACCCAAGGCAAGGTAGAGCGGGCAGCAGGTATTGTTGTCTTTGTAACGTCGGGCGAGGGAGTGGTGAGGATTCAGAGCATCATCATTCATGCGGTGTGCTCGAGGGAAGCTCTCAATGGCTGCAGATAAACAACAGACGGCCAGAAACGACTCGGGATTATCAGGTAAGGTACTTGTGATGACAAAAGAGACGGAACTGCCTCCCCAAAATCGGACGGCCCTTCAACGATGACGCCATGAAAGTGAGCTCACTCCTCTCCAGGGAAGGATCTCCCTGGATTGGCGGTAGCGGCAGCCACCTTCCCCCAGATGCTGCTGTTGTTTCCATTGTGCCATTCCTTCCTTCCAGTGCAATTCATTCTGGTTGTGCAGGTGCCCTGTGCTTGACCCCCTGGTCGTCATTACCTATCCACATCCACCCCACCACATTCCGTCATCCCTGCCAGCTTGCAAACCACCTCCTTCTCACTGGTTGAAAGCTAGAAGCTCGGATCATCGCCATCAAAATCAGGTTTAGCGTTCAACTTGGCATGATGCCCCCGCTAATCCCACCTCAATGTCCCACCATTCGGTCCACCGTCCGAAGGCCCCGCCCGGGCCCACCCAAGCTCCCGTCTGTCGAATGCTTCTCCGAGTACGTACAGAGTACTCCAGCACCATTCAAGCACCAGCAACGACTCAACACCATCAGCTTTGTACATATGCACCGTCACTTAATCAAAATATTGGCTTACACGGCCACTATATCAATTCCGCTCCCGAGTCTCTTGTCTCTCCACATCAAAGCCGCGTGCAGGATTTACCTTTAACCTCAAAACATTCATTCCCACTGGACCTCGTGGACGACGCCAAACTCCCCGACCCAATAACGCCGATAAAATCTCACTGCCAGCCTCAGTAATGACTATGCCCGACTGTCACGGCTGCGCGACCCAATTCCCCTCGGAAATCCGCCAGCGAATCTGCCGCATCGGAACCAATCGTCACCGGCGACTCCTCCATGGCACCTCCGGCAAACGGCCCCTCAAAGTCCGCCATGTCTGTGCCCCCAAAGAAAATCACGTCCTCTTCGAATTGCATCCCAAATGGCAGCGCGTTGTCCATGGCCTCCACCACTGCTGCCGCCGCCGCTTGCTCGTCCCTCTTCCGCGCCACCTTGTCCACAGTCGCCATCGCCCGTCGGTGAAGCTCCCTCGCCACCTCGTGCAGCTTGCGAAAGTTATCGTTTGCCGAAATGCGCAGCATCATGTCGAATAGTTGCAGCGCCTGTTCGGCGAGCTCCTTATCCGTCATCAGATGCGGGTGTTCTGGGAACACAAACATATTGGACAGGAGAATGATGAGCCCCGAAAAGTGCGCGCACGCGTTGGACCAGATGCTGCAGTCTGTCTTGGGCGATTCCACAAACAGCTTCATGCAGCTCCGGCTGAGTTCCACGCAGCTTGCCCACCCTGTCGGTAACGACCCGATCGGCCTGCTAAACGGTGATCCCAATCCTTCCAGGGCTTGTATCGTCGCCCGACTAAACGAGCTGATTCTCTGCACCCAGTCCGCATCGTGCGAGTAGATGCCGTGTGTCATGACTGTAATCACAAAATAGTTGTGGTAAAGGAGCGACAGGTGCACTGCCGGTAGCGGCTCGACATTTTCGAGAAGCGATTCCAGCTGGAACTCTGACGGCACATTGCGACGCCACGTGTCCACCATCTCCCCCAGTCGCGTCACCCGCAGCTGCGCTTCGCCCTTTGCCACCTTGCGCGCCCTGGTGCTGTATAGGAGGTCGTACACTTTGCCCGCGATATGGCTGAGCTCCACTCTCGCCCGAAAGAAGTTGAACTTGCTTCCGTTGGACGCAGCCATGATACCGGCGCCGTCGTCCGGGTCCAGCTCCGGCAGCGGCAGGTCAATATCGGCATCCAGCTGGAACGAAGGCGTCTTGGCCTTTAGACTGATGTCCTTGTCCATGCAATACGCCATCCAAAAGAGCCGCGATCTCTGTCGGCCAACTGCGGCCGGGAAGTACTGGAGAGACTCCTTGTCGTGGAGGTGCATACGATGCGCCAGCCGGATGGCAGTCCCAATGAGGACCGAGGCCGGCTTGGGATCTTTTGTTCCTTGGAAGAGAACAACCATACCCACGAGGACTTGTATCCCCAGTAGGTCGTCCTCCCGCGTGACCAAGTCGGATACGACAGACTGCACGTTGCGCATGTGGTGCAGCACCTTCTGGTCGTCCACCAGGGCATCCAGGTTCCCCACCTCCTTCAACGTGCAACGGTACCCTAGCGCCAAGGCGATATTGATGGCTGCCCATACCGCGGATGACTGACATGAGGACGGCAGATACCAGTCGGAGAGCATGCGCATAAAGGTTGGCTGGTCGAAGAGCGGCATGATGGAATTGTACCGACTAAAGAACTCGTCAATGACGGGCATGATCTCCTCGAGCGGCGGCAGTTTCGGCTTCTCTGGCTCAACCACCCACTCGCTCGGACTCTCGCTGCACGAAAAGGCATTGATAAACTCGGCGCTGTCGGTCGAATCGCCGCCGCTATCCAGGGGCAACTCGATGGAGTCCGTAATGGGCGTCGATTGGAGTGGGACTGGGGCTGGGGCTGGGGCCGGGACTTGGCTGGAAAGACGAATATTCGCGTCCAATGCGCGCTGCAGCTGTTCTTCTATCTTTGCCAGGCGGCTCTCCAACTCTCCTACCCTTTTCGGGCTACAAAGGGGGTCGTCAACGGGCAAATCCTACGAATTGAGACGAGAATCAAGGAATTGACTCACTCTTCTGCGGCACTTTCTTTGGGCCGTTGCTGGCGCTCTTTCGTCGGCACCGCCCTACGGCGGACTGTGGTTGTACGGCACTCAGACTTATACAGCAGGCAGTTTGAGCAGGCCGGCTTGAGCATGTCACACTTGATCTTCTTGAGGAAGCACAAGTCGCAGGCTGTGAACGTATTAGTCATGGCTCGTAGAGGATGAATGGCCAAGTGGACCCTTTACCCTTGCGGCGTTGTGATGAAGTCTCCATGGTCACGTTGTCTCTGAGCTTTGCAGACTCAAAAGCCGTTAGTCAAGCCGATTATCCCGAAAAAGAGCTGTGGGTGAGTCTGATATTATAACCCATTCGAGACCTGAGTCGTGGTTTACGTCCCAAGAAAGGGAGCGAGGCAAGAGTCCGTTGGGAGGTCGCAGTAGCGGTGCAAGGATTGTGATGCTGGCCAAGATTACAAATCCAGAGCTGACCGATGCGCTTAGTGGCCCCTGTCAAGCCACGCTGCCACAGCAAGGTAAGTAAGCTCGCACTCCTTGTAGATCGTTTTGGTCTGGCGCGAGAGAATCCGAATCCTTCTCGGACTCGCAGCGATTGATGATTTGTCTCCTCCTGCAGGCTTACTCCAGTACATTTGACTGTCGCCGTGGAGTCGTCCGCGTTCACCACCGTGTGTCAATTGGTACTACTGTGCCTCACCGAGTCGTACCGAGGCTCACCGAGATGGCCACTCGAGCACTAACACACGATACTCAGTGAACAAAGGAGTCAATAAACCCACAAGCTTCAGAGTAAAGAGCATGTCTTATATACGTCTCGAAGTCAAACATCGAGGAAACCAAGAATCTAAATCTATCAACACCAAGGGGACATGGACCAACGTCTATAGCAAACACCAACAAGACCGCTACGCCTTGGAAGTCTGTCCATACGGCAACGTCTTGCCAGAGAACGTGACGCCGCCGTACTGCTCCAACTTGTCGCCATCAGCAAGCACCGCCCCATACCACGCCTGCATATCCTGCGCAAAAGTGCCCACCGACGCCGCATCGCTCGCGTCAAACGGCTCCTCGCCCCGGCCCACCTGGCGAATGTGCGCCGCCGCCGCCGTCAACCCGAACCCGAAATCCTTCTCCACCCTCTCGACGGGCTGCACGGCGCCCCGGACACGCCCCGAAATCACATCCGACGCGAACCGGAACTCCTGCGCGCCGGGCCGTCCCAGCCCCACCCCGTCCACCACCTCCAACGCCTTCACCATGGCGCCCACCGTCCGCATCCCGCCCACAATGTACGCCTTTGTCTTGCGCGACGCGGCGTCCTCGCCCAGCCCCTTGACGACCGTGTCCGCAAATTCGAGAAAGAACCCCTCCCGCTTCCGCGTGCTCTCCTTCTCCCACGCCATGCCCATCACCTCAAACGTGCCCCCCGAAATCTCCAAAAAGTCGAAGCCCAGCCCCGAAAGTAGAGCAGACATCTCCCGCGCCTCGTCCGAGGTCACCCCGTCCTCCTGGAACTCGACGCTGTTAATCTTGGCCGCGAGAATGAAACCCGGCGACGTCCGCGCGCGAATGGCCTTGCCAATGTCCGCAATGAGCCGTGTGCGGTTCTCGAGCGTCTGGGCGCCGTACTCGTCGGTCCGGCGGTTCGTCGTGTGGGAGAGGAACTGCGCGATGAGGTAGCCGTGCGCCGCGTGGAGCTGGATGCCGTCGAAGCCTGCTTTTTCGAGGTAGGCTGCCGCGTGGGCGAAGCCCTCGATGAAGCGGGCAATGTCTTGTTTTGTGGCTTCGCGCGGCGGGGCGAATTCCATACCCCTCCTGGGTCCTGCTTGTTGTTAGTCTCCACGTTTGACTTGGCGGACTCAATGGTCTGATTGGGAATGGGAAAGGGAGAGGAAAAACGAACCCAATGGAACGGCGGACGCGGACACGGGGTTGGGCTGGATCCTCTTCTCCACCTGTCTCCCGCCGTGGTTGACCTGTCCGAGCATGAGGCTGCCGTGGGCCTTGCCCGCGGCGGCGATGGCCTTGAAGCCTTCGAAGCGCGCGTCGCCGGCTTCGGGGATACACTCGGGCGTGATGATCATGTCGCCGAGGGTGCTCACGTTGTCGAACTCGATGACGATGTTACCCGTGGCGATGATGCCAAAGTTGTCTGGTCCTTCGCCCCATCTGTGAAAAGTTTTGGTTAGTTTTGAAGGGTCTTTCTAGGCAGAGACAACGAGAGACGAGGCAGATGGATGGGCTTACCGGCGGTAGACCTCGACGAGCTCGGGCGTGGGGATCCCCCGCTTCGTGGGCTCGGTGGCGCTCCAGGTCGCGAGGGACTCGGCCATGGCGCTCTTGAGGAAGCGGTTCTTGGCCGTCCTGCCGGAGAAGGGGAAGGTCAGGGGTTGGGCCAGGGGTTCCGGGCTGGCGGGGGAGCTTTCGTAGCGGGCAGACATGGTGGTGGTGGTGGTGGTGGTGTAATTCACTGGGGGTTTGTAGAGTTGTGGTGATGAAGAAGATGAGGATGCTGATGATAATGATGATGGTTTGGAGTTTTGGAGGGTCAAAGCTCACTTATAAAGGCAGTTGAAGTTTCCACGGCGCCAAGCCCGGACCGCGCCTTGCTTCCGACATGAAACTCGGGGATTCGAGTCCACGGCGGCTGCCGTGGTGGTGGTGGTCGGCCCGGCGAACTAGCGGACGCCGAACTCCACGGAGGGGGCCATACATCCGTGGGATACCCCGGCGGTTCCCGTGGCAGGTCCTGTGGTAGATTCAACTGCGCAGGGTGCTATGCAGCCCTCATCTCAGGGCGAGTGTTGTGACATCTCTGTATAGTTGCTTTCCGTCATGCGTCTCTCTCATAGAGACCACTCGCCCGCTTTCCCGGCTTCACAGTCACCTCCCTCCTGGGTGCAAACACTACATATACTCATTCCAGATGCTCACGCTGTAATCCAGGCTTGACTGTGAAGCCAACGTAATCAGCAACTTGACGTGCCCACACAATTTGAACCTTGAAAATCAGCCAGGTAGAGCATTCGTTGCTGCCCCGCGGTTGAACCACGAGACTGAGACCGCAAAAGTCGGGCGTGTAAGTCGGCTGGTCCGCGGTGAGCCTCGGTCAGTTCTCGGTGTGAGATCCACGGAACGCCGTGGAGTTTGCTCAAGCCACCGTGGCGGCCACGGCGGCCACGGCGCTCCGTGGAGTTCCACGGAGAAAAACGCCAAGGATCTGGATTAATAATGCTCTCGCCCCATCCCGTCAACCAGGATCGCATATGGATGACCTTGCCAGAAATGGATGTGGAGCTTGATCCTTCCGAGATCCTTTCTCTTTTTGAATGACAATCACCACAATTACGAGGCAATTTGCAACAGTGAATACATGCGCTGTACATGAATAGCGGTAGTCTGCATGTCAGAACTTGCCCAAACTCAAAGTAACATGTCATTGAGAAATGCTACTCAAGGGAGGTTACCGCGGTACTCCTATAGAATCTACTTTTACACGCTTTCGCATCTTTGCTCGCACTGCAATGACGCCTCTTACAACTCATCCTTGGCCGCCTCAGACGATGTCGCCTTCTTCTCCTCAGCCACCTTTGACTCCTCAACATCAGCATCCGCCTCCTCCTCGGCCTCTGACCCGTCCTGCCTGACCTTGAGAACCTGAGCCTTGACGGTGAACTCAATGTTCCTCTTGTTATTGGCCGTATCGGGACGGGTATGGCTGACGGGCCACGCCACGACGGCAGCATCCCTGGGCACGGCCTCGTAGCTGCTCAGGTCGGCGAGCGTTTCTGCAATCGAGTCGGTCAGTCCAATCCTTCCCAATACGTCTGAACAACTGCGGAAAAAGGGAAAAGTTGGTGAAGGGGAAAAAAAAAGAAGAAGAAGAAAACCGACGAATCCCACTCACCTTCACAGTCGCTCCCGTCGGCAACAAATAGAGGAAGAACAGGATACAGCGCCCCAGGCGCGAAAATAACAACCCTCTCACCATCGAGCTCGCGCTCCACGTCCCCAGCCTCGTCGGGAACAGCAACGCGCTCCGTAATCTTGTCCTCCTCGCCAGCAGGCTTCTCAAACACGGCAAACAGACCCTTGCCGCTGCCGCCGTCGCCGTCGCCGTCGGCGCGCCGCTCCTCCTCCTCAATCCACTCGCGCACGCGCACGGGAACGTCGGCGTACTCCATCATGAGCACGTTGCGGTCGTACATGTGGCGATCGAGGCCGGCCCAGCCGCCGGGGTACTCGCGGCCGGAAAAGAAGGTCTTGAGGCCCTCGCTCCACGGGAAGAGGCCCGTCGGCGGCTTGTCAAAGAGGTCGTGCAGGGTGTACTGCGTCGCTGAAAAGGTGTTTGAGGAGGAGCAGGTCGGGGTGTAGGTGTCTGCCGTCTTGGAGGTGAAGGGGTCGCGCCAGGGAAAGTTGTCTGCCATTGTGGTCTTTGCTTGGGGCACGGGGGGTTTGCCTACTTGGAAGGCGGAGGCGGCGCCGGCTACGAGGGTGGCGGCGAGGGGGAGGGATGTGGACTTCATTGTGATGATGTTTGTGTGCGTGACTGTGCAAGGCTTTGCCGTCTTTGGTTCCTGTGAGGACGATGCCTTGAGTGGTTTGAGTGCGATGAAGAGAGACTAACACGGGAGCATCGATGAGATATAGTATGTCTTTATTTTTTCCATCTCGCCGGCCCTCCTCATATAGAGAGATTTCCATGGGGCCAGGTTGGCATTTCCAACGATATTGTTGTCCTTTGCGGACGCAGCATGCTCCGGATTGCCATATTGGGTTGCGGGTTTCTGACGCCAATGTGGTATTGAATGCGGGAGAGCAACGAGTTCCTCCGTCTGGTCCTCTACCCCAACCTCTGCTGCATCCACCATTCAGAGCCCGTTCATTATCATCCTTTGGAGTTCTCCAGTTTCCCAATATAAAGGTAAAAAATTTCAGCAGTGTTTGCAATTATTCCCAGCCCAGCCCAGCCCATTTGTCTCCATGGATCTAGCCTACGAACTTCTGGCAAAATTGACTACAATGGTATGCCTTGCTAGCTAGTTCCAAATCATTGATAGTAGCCGACAACGCTCCTATGATGAGATTCAACAATGTAATAGTGTAATTCATTGCCTGCAAGAAAAGAGTACCGAGGCATGAAGAGCGATTGCGGGAGGGGAAGATGCAACGGCTCCTACGGCAGCTCCGATGACGATCACCATGGTGATGGGGATGGGCTTTAAGCTTCTATTATGGGAACGGTCAAAGCGAGTTTACCTAGGTCAAAAATTATTTATACTCGATCGGCAAGACGAGGTAGATGATGATGTAGAGAGCCGGCAGAGAAGCGAGGAAATCAACAGGAGATATACGCTGGGTTCAACAACCCGGGTCCCAAAAGCAGGGCGAGAAGTCGCACTTTGGGTGTTGCTTGGGCTTCAATGCAGAATTTTCAACTAATGGCTTCGTGTCCTGTATCATCGCGAACGTACAGAGTAGAGCACAACAAAATACACGATGCTGATGTGGGATTCAACGTGGCTGACCAAAGAGGTCTTGAGTAGTCAAATCTCTCTCTACTTCCACATACGACCATAACCACTGGAGAACTCGGGATCCCGTCCGCTCTCCCATAGATAAGCCAGTGAGTGCCGGATTAGTAGTTGGGTCGGTGACGACCAGCGAATCCCTGGTGTTGTATGTTTTTGTTTTCTGATCCTCTTTTTGGTGTCCATCAAAAGTGCAACAGGTACCTTACCGCAAGGCATAGAAAGGCCTTGATCCGACTCCACTTTCCCCTCATTGCCGGCTCGGCGGACCTTCATCCTGGTGCCCGCCGTTGCGTCTTTATTTCTCCCACCTGATTAACTCATCTGTCAATCCAAAATAATCATCCCCCCTGTCGCGCAACATTCTTACTAAATACACCCAGCTCAAGTCCCAGCTGGCGTCATATGGCTTGTCCTGGCCACATCGTAGGAGACGACCTAGCCGATCTCCGAGTGGTGACGTCTATCTTAGTTCAACGGCTCACCCCACCTCAGTCTCATGCCGAGCCTCGTTGGACTCGAGATGAGCGCTGTCTCTAATTCTTCGCGTTGATGCAAGAGAGAACCTTGATGACCTTGGCCTCAAATAAAGACATTTGATTTTCCTTTGTTAATTCCATCTTATTTGAAGTGAAACTCATTTCATTCAATATGTTCTAATCTTGAGCTTCTTATCCGCCACACATGCGACGAACACCCGAGATGCTCCTCAAACGAGATGAGCGTGGCCGTCTTCTAACTAACTCCCCTCTCGCCACAAACTGCCACCCTGCCTAGATCCACACGGACCGGATATCCAGACCTTCTCTCGACTCACTGCCGAGCTTACTCAAGCCTGACAAGCGCTTTCACGGCCTCGCCTGACGTCGTCTATTCTTGTAGCCGACGTAGAATACCAAATTTCCCGTCGCACAAGTCCGGACGCGAACCTGACGAACCATGCAACTCATCGAGTCTCCAGTTTCTGAGCAGGGGTGCGACGGGGGATCAAGGGGCAATATCGAAGTTTCCCCGAGCCATCGCCAATCTGCAAATGCCGTCGCCGTTTCCAATCCTCCCCAGCATCCTCTTTTGGATAAGCATGTTTTTTTCTTCAGCCTCGTTCGCCCCCCGTGGCCTTTGCCCACTCCTTATTTCCATCCTCTATCAAAACGGTTCAAAAGATGTGCCATGCACATCCGCTCCGAGCCGCAAAACTCCTCCTCATTGGCTCCAGGATCGAAAGCTCCGCTGCCATGCCCGTCTCTCTCTGGGGGCGCGGGATCCATGACGTCGCGCCTCTGTCGAAGATGACGCCGCCGCCCCGTCATGAACCTCAGTCTTGACCCGGCCAGTGTCGCATCGCGCTCATTGGACTGGTTCTTTTTGGGGGGCTTCTGGACCTGGCCGAGCCATTGACTGCCGTACTTGTGTGCTAATCATTTTGTTCGTGGCCGTCTATAAGGGTGAAATGATCCCATTGACTTGTGCAAGTGAAATTCCTTTGAGAAAACCCGTAGACTTGAGAACCTCATTCCTCTCTTTTTCAATCCCGGGAATTCATATCAGTACCAAGACATCACAATCAATCTGCAAAATGGCATCACAAGCAGCATATGCGGCCGAAAAGGCCATTGGCCACCAAGACGACGCCGTCACCGCCCAAGACGTCACCGAGTACAGCGGAGATAAAGGCGACGACAGCGAGCTCATGAAGGCCCTCGTCTGGCAAGGCAAGAACAAGGTCGAAATCGGTGAGTGATGAAACCAAAAGGAGAAACACAGCAGCGTCGCCAGCAAACGGTGGATCCTAACCAGGCCGCCGCCTAGTCACTGTGCCCAAGCCCAAGGTCCTAGAGGCAACCGACGTCATCCTCAAAGTCACCGGCAGCACGCTCTGTGGGAGCGATCTCCACCTCCTCCATGGCTCCGTCGTCCAGATGAACAAGGGCGACATCCTCGGCCACGAGTTCTGCGGCGTCGTCGACCAAGTCGGATCCGCCGTCACCAAAGCAAAGGTCGGCAAGCGCTACGTCGCCTCGTTCCAAATCGCATGCGGAAGCGTAAGCTCCTCCTCCTCCTCTCCTCATTCTTCCATACCCTACTTAAAGAAACTAATGACCTGACAACGCCAGTGCTTCTACTGCAAACAAAAGCTGTCCTCGCAGTGCGAGAGGACCAACTCCAACACAATGGAAAAGTCCATGTACGGCTCCCAGACGGCCGGCATGTTTGGCTACTCCCACTTCACCGGCGGATTCGCCGGCGGCCAAGCCGAGTACGTCCGCGTACCCCTCGGCGACGTGAACCTCCTCGCCATCCCGGACGACGTCCCGGACGAGAAGGCGCTCTACCTCTCCGACGTCCTCGCCACCTCCTACAACTGCGTCAAGGACACGGCCGTCTACCCAAACGACCGAGTCGCCATCTGGGGCGCCGGCCCCATTGGCCAAATGGCCGGCGCCTTCGCCCTCGACGAAGGCGCCTCCAAAGTCATCTTTGTCGACACCGAGCCCCGCCTGTCCTACATCAAATCCAAATGGCCCGCCGCCCACGCCGACAAGCTCGCCCTCATCGACTACAAGACGCTCTCGCACGGCGTGACCACAAAGGAAACCGTCGTCTCGCGCCTCAAAGACCTCTGCGGCGGCCGCGGCCCCGACGCCGCGCTCGAGTGCGCCGCGGGCGAGTACCCCAAGGGCTGGCTGCACACCGTCGAGATCGCCCTGGGCGCCGAGACGGACACGAGCGAAATCATCAACGAAATGGTCGAGGGCGTGCGCAACTTTGGCCGCGCGGGCGTCACGGGCGTGTACGTCGGGTACACGAACCACTTCAACATTGGGTCGTTGATGGAGCGCGGGGTGCGGCTGATTGGCAACGGGCAGGCGCCTGTTCATCTGTACTGGGAGGATCTGCTGCGCAAGATTCAGGAGGGCAAGATTGACGTGTACCAGATGCTTTCGCACCGCATCCGTCTCGACGATTTGGACAAGGTGTACTACAAGTTTGAGAAGCACGAGGATGGGATTCAAAAGATCTTTGTCGAGACAAAATTTTCGTTTCCTAGGGCTGAGGGGTCCCCCGAGTTGACGACGTACTGAAGGGGGGAGGCTGGTTGGGCAGTTGTTTGTTATGAGTAGCGTGAGCGTGTTGTAATGAAACTTTATGAACAATCCTCTATTGAGCTGTCCAAGTCGAGGAAATCAGATGAGAACTGACTTAACCGGCTGCCGCTCGCGATGAAACGGCCGAGCAAGTTGGCTAGCACCACGTATAAGAGCAAGTGAGATGAGTTGTGTTCAACAGTGCAAGTCGACAGTCCTAGTTTGGTTTCTCCACACTGATATATCAGAACATCGAGTCCGTCACGACGGGAGAGCGGGTCACTTGAACGAGGGGGATGAATATAACCCGGACTACATCGAAACGTCTCGACCGGACTACCAACGCCATTGATCTTAAGCGAAGACATCATGTGATCCCTTCAAGAATTTCCGTTCTTGTTCAATGTGCATTGGTAGCCGAGGCCTTTTAAAGTAGCCTCATGCCTGTGCAGAACTCACAATATCAAATGCTTCATCTTCAAGATTGCAAAAGACATGATCGTGGCAGGCAGGTAGCATAAAGTAGCTCAAAGCAACCCGTAATCGCCGTCACACCACACAATTTGATTACATTCTGTTCCTAGATTCAGACTTGAAGAAAGGAAAAACACCACGGCCTACTCAATCACCCATTACCACCATTCTCAACACAGTTAGTTAATCACATAGGTAAGTGTTCCCTTCGCCGTCTTCAACAACCCACATAAACCAAACTTGCTCAACGAACCCAAGTATTGAGTTGAATCAAGACATTGACGGTCCCTCCCCGCCTTTGACAACCTCATCCATGGCTACCGCCCCAACCCATAGACCTGATCGTCCTTGATCTTCTCAATCGTATCCCTCGACGCAACAGAAACCCTCGACCCCACGCCCATCCGCTCCTCCCTCACAGGCCTCTTGTTGTACTTGTTGTCAGCCCCATCTCTCTGCGTATACGCCGTCGGCAGGGGGTACCTCGACGTGGAAGCTGGGGTGGAGGGGTACGACCGAGGAGCCGAAAAGACTGATTTGACGGCGGTGGAAATTAAAGATGGAGAGGGTGCGTCGGTCTTTTGTTTGGCGTAGACGTTGGGCATTGGGTATCGCGAAGCCATTTGTGAAAGTTGGTAGCGGTCAGAGCGCTGTTGAAGCTGGCGGCAAAGAGTTCTGATTATTTTTGAGTGAAAACGTTGATTATCAGTGTAGATGAAGATATCCATCTGGAAAGGAAATCAAGCTCAAGTTGAGTGGCATCACCTCCCCCCCTTTTATATTCCTCTCCCTCGCCCACGCCGCTTCAACGTCGCCCTCTTCATCGAAGCGCCAGCAAACCCTTTCCGTTTGAATCATTTTCCGAAAAAAGACAAAACTGCTCCTTCCCTCGTAGACAGGTCACCACTGCTGGGCCGCCAAGCGAACGTAGCCAGCTGATCACCACCACCATTACCACCACCATCACGACATCAACGCAGGCGTTTCCGATGACATCGCCCACGTAGCTGCCTGGCTTACCATACCAACAGATGGAATATGCTTTCCTTCCCTTTTTTTGGTCCCTCCTGAAAGGTTCACGAAGCCTTCTCGACGCATCACGTATGACGCCCACAACCGCAACGGCCGCAGCAGGTGCCGGCCGCCAATCATAGCGAAGGTGGCGCCCGGCGATAAGCCGACCTGAGAGAGAGCAGGGGCTTGCCATCATTACCGTATTTGGTTGGGAATGCAACTTGAATCAGCGGAGTTGGAATAGGTAACTCCGTACATCCGGAGCTGAGCTGGAACCGGTAAATCCGTGCATCGGGAGGCGATTTCACGGGGGAATCGGGGAATGGGACCGGGCGGCGGGTGAACTTCGTTTGCAGCTTGTCGGACGCTGGCGCGAGAACTTTATGCCGGGCCGGAGACCCAGTTGGGGGCGAGCTATCATGGGCCGCGTGCCAACCGGGGCGAGGGTGCGACGTGTGCCGTGGACAAGGGCGGGTGGTTATGATGCCGCGATCCGTAGACGTTGAGGTGCCTACTTACAACAGACAGCACCGGCCTACCTATTTCTATGCATTTTATCAGCGGTCGTTGGCAAAATGATTTGTCTACACTTCTCAGGTATTCACTTCGTGACACCTTCACCAAGTGAGTGGTTGGATATGACTCCCTCTTACGCATTGTGCCACGCACATTGGACAGCCCGTCTGACAATCGCAAAACACTCCCTGTCAACTCGCAGCTTCACATGACATCAAGTAGCAAATTATTTCGAGCCAGATTTGAACTTCAAACTTTTTAAGTGGTATCGTCAAGTAAATAAAAACAGGCATATCCCATCATCCACCCGTCATGTCAGACATTAAGCTCTCGGTGGATCGACCATTACCTCCGCCTCGGCATCGCTATGCAGTGGAAACCATTCCGTTTATACAGCAACCATCTTCTCATGATGAGTAATATCACCATCGCTGTTGCCCACAGCCTTGTCGCCTTCGGCAGCCTGGCGCTCGCGGAAGTTGGTGGCAGGTCGCCAGCCGACCGACTTGCTGGCGACGCTGACCTCGGCGTACAGCTCTTCGACCTCCTCGAGGGTCAATCCCTTGGTCTCATAGATGAAGAAGTAGACAAAGGCGATGCAGACGAAGCAGCACCCGAACCAGATGAAGAAGATCTTTGACTGCAGGTTGGCGTAACCGTCACCGTAGTTGACGAGGTAGGGAGTGCTGTAAGCGATAGCCCAGTTCAGAAGCCACTATATCCCCCACATGTCAGCGTTCCGGTTCCAAATATTTCCAAGGCATTCCTTTTTTAGCAACTTACGTTGGTGGCAGTCGACAGAGACAGAGACTTGGCGCGGGTCTTGAGACCGAAAATCTCACCGTTGACAACCCAGGCGAGGGGGCCCCAGGTGGAGGCGAAGAAGAAGATGTAGATGCAGACAAAGGCAATAGCGGCCTTTTGCGCGGGCAGGTTGTACACGATGATATTGCCGGCGGCATCCTGGCCCGTGGTCAAGGTGCCCAGCATAGCCACGAGGAACTGCGAGACGCACATGCCAATGGCTCCCCAGAGAAGCAAGGGGCGGCGTCCCCAGCGGTCGACTGCCCACATACCCGGCAGAGTCGAAGCAACGTTGATTGACGAGGTAATCATGCCGATGACGAAGCCGTTTGAGAAGCCAGAGTTCTGGAAGTACTGCGTTCCGTAGTAAAAGATAAAGTTGATGCCAGTCAATTGCTGGAGCGCCTGGAGAGCACACCCAGTAAATTGACGCTTCAGCACCGGGGGCTTGAAGCAATCGAGGTAGCTAGCGTTGCCGAAGCTGGACTCGTAGTCGTGATTGGCCTTGATCTCGGCAATCTCCTCGGCAACGTAGGGGTCGTTCTCGGGAAGGCGGCGGATCTTGGCCAAGGCCTTGGTAGCACGGTCGATCTGGCCACGCTTGATGAGGAAACGGGGGGTTTCCGGCAAGATGAGCATGCCGCAGAAGAGGATAAGGGACCAGGCGAACTGGACAGCGATGGGGATGCGGTAGCATCCAGTGTCCTGACGGGCGTGGGTAGCGTTGTTGATAATGGCAGCCAGGAGCAGACCGATGGTGATGGCCCACTGGTAGGCGCCGACGATGGCACCGCGAATCCACTTGGGGGCGGTCTCGGACTGGTAGAGGGGAACTGGGTTCGTTTAGCATGAGTTGAGCGTCAGAAGGGAGGGGATCAAGACTGACCCAAGGCAGAGATCAAGCCGACACCGAAACCGGCGAAGAAACGGCCAGCCAGGAAAAGAGGAATGGCAGTGGCAATGGTTTGGAGGATAACGCCAAGGTTGAAAACCCAGCATGAAGCTGCGAGAGCCCAGCGACGTCCGATGGTATCGGCGAGGAAAGGGGAGGCCAGGGCACCGAAGAAAGTGCCGGCAGAGAGGATGGAGACGATGCCGGATTCTTGCTGGGGTGACACGTCCTTGTTGCCGGCGGTGTTCACGTAGCCAGTGCTGAAGAGGCGCTGCCAGTACGACTGTTTGGGATGCAATTAGCCTGGAGCGTCTCTCACAAAGGGGATAGGGGATTTTTCCCCCAAACATACCATCTCAAGGATGCCATTGATGGTACCCGTGTCATAGCCATAGAGGATACCACCAAAGGCGACGAAGAAGCCGATGGCAATGGCTGGCCAGGCCTTGCCTGGAACACCAGCAGGCTTGATACCCATGATGACGGCGGGCTGGAGTACCTGGGTTGGTTGAAGTTGACAATATGACGAGAAAAGTCAGGACGAGGTGAGCGGAAGGGATGAAGTGGCTCGGACTCTGCGTCTGAGGAAGTGGTGGGCAGTGAAAGGCTTGAGCGCGACGACGGAGAAGATGGACAAACATCTGGGGAAGAAATGGGAGGAAATGTCGAGCATATAAACTTGTCCCCAGAATGCGGTACAACGCGGAGCTCCCACACACCAGGAAACCTTCCCCATGGCGGGGGAGAGGTGCCACGGTGCGACCGCATGTTACGGAGGACTTTTCATGGTAGGCAGGCCATGACAAGGCAACAGGGTTCGCGGCAAAGGGGTGTAACCGACCTCGAGTTCAGACAAACGATGTGGAGAGACGTCCAACAGGCCACGATAGGGCCGATGGACGATCACGAGGTGATGTTGGGATGGGGAGGGAGGCGGAACCCAGTACCAGCCGTCGAGGCAGTCGAGCTACTGAGGATCGAGTATTGGATACCGGGTAATTTTGTGACGATCCATGGGCAAGGTGGCAGGGGAGATAGACTACAAAAAAAACCAGACACAATAAAACAGACTACCTTGGTGTATCCATCAAGTCCCGAGTTGAGCCCACCAGGTCCCCCATAGGTCCCCCTTGTCCCCCAGTAAGGTGAATGTGCACCAACAGGGGAATGGCCGGCGCTAGTCAGGCGGAGAGGGTGTGAAGGAGAAGGCGAGTGAGGAGGGATTCTGGGGTAGGTAGCTCCGGCTTGCACCTGTTTCATTGTTTCACAGCAATTGGATTCTGTTCTGGGCCAGCGAGAAGAATGGACCAAAGATCTAGAGACGCGCGATGGCGGCAGATCTCTGCTCTACGCGTTTAGTCTCCGACTTGGCCCAGTCAGGCAAGGTGAAGAAGGCATCGAGGCACGGGGCTAGGGGTTGAAGCCCGGGAACGGCACATGAGCAGCGCCCCCCAATGGTTCGTCGGACGGTCGACATTGATCGGCGCGACTGACGACGATGTGTTTGTTCCCGCTTGACGGTATGAGATGGTGGTGTAGTGGAAAATTGTACACCACCTGGGTGAAGTCGTTTGTTAGTCGTGGCGGCAGGTCGCATCGAGACGAATTTTGGGGGCTTGAGGACAATCCCCGCGAGTCGTTCGCCCAAGAATCGGCCAAGGTTTTCTGGAGAATGGGGGAGGACATGGAGAAGGTGGAGAAAGGGCGGGGAGTTTAGAGATTGCCAAGGCATGAGCAAGGCGTGGGTCGTGGGGCAGCATTTTTGCTGAAATGGAACACGCCCCTCCCCTCACCCCTTACATTGTAGGTAGTTCGATTCACCGTCGGTTTGCGTCTGTTTTTGGGTTCAACGTGGGCCTGTCTATAGGTCCAGCTGGCTAAAGTGTGCCGAAGAGAGTGGATGTCGCGTCCTGTTCACTGGCGTCACGTATTGTCGAGTTCGCCATTATCCAATGTTGGTGTTCTCGTTGATGCTGGCGTTGATGCTGTTGGTGAAGACTGCGGACTTGGGGACCTGTGATTGATCGATCGAGGTACCTTGCCCGAGGTGCGTGTACGGTTACCTAATCAGGTACCGTGAGGTGGAGTTTGGACGTTGAAGATGTGGGTGAGAGGAATGTATGGGAGCGAGAGAAAGTGCGGTTTACGGTTTGCGGTCTGCGGTTTGCGGCTCGCCAGCCAGTGACAGAGAACGGGCTGGGGAACCTGGAGGTGTGGAGGTGTATGGAGACCCCGCAACGGTCACGCCGCCAGAGGGCCTCGTTTAGAGATACGTACATTTTCTCCGTACGGAGGAGTCTGGGCGATCCAACCAGCCAAGCATCTCGCTGAGCTTAGAAGGAACAAGCAACGGCCAAGCCGCCAGGGAAGTTGCGGTTTCTAACAGTATCTGTATGTCGAGTGTTGGGTGCCTGCCTCCTTCCTTCCTTAGGTACCCACCTTCGTACCTAGATGTTTGGGGTGCCTTCCAGCTAACAATGCAGCCAAGACCCGCCGTGGCCGGCTCCGCTAACTGCCGTCTTCACAAGCTCACAGCGGTTGCTTCCTTTTCCTGTATTCTCCTCGCCCACCTTACCATAGGTACTCCTATCCCTCATGCATCGTGTCACCCCCCGTGATCTGCGGCCGGTCCTGCCCAGTCAATTCGAGACATCTGACATGCTGCTTCACGTTCCCGACTTGCTGGGTCGTGGCCACAATTGCCTGGCCTCGGTTCTGTGCCTCTCCCACCTAGTCAAAGTATTCAGTGCAAAGGTATCCGTAGACTAACTGACTACCTTAGCACTCTTAGATCTGTTGTAGTGAGGGACCCCGGCCATGATCGACTGAAAAGTGGAAACTCACTTTCGGCCCGTTTCCTCGCAGGCTGCAGCTGCCTCGTCCACACCTTAATGTGGACTACCTTACCTTGGGCACCCCAGGCTGGCGGTACGGTGTACCTCTTCACCTCTCCAAGTTGGACCCGCTGGTTCGCTCTCATTCGTTGCCCAATCACCCATTCATCTCCCACGCTATTTCTCTCGCTGCTTTCTTCATAACGTTTCCACCTTCATCGTCAGCTGCGGCATCACGCTTTTGTTCGTCCTCATTTCTGTACAGTCCCAAATTTCCGTCATTATTTTTCCCATAATTCAGCGGCTTCATCATTTCATGGCACAATCAATATTGGTCTCCTCGCCCTAATGCAACAAGTTGCCCGACCTGTCGGAAATGTCTGCTGCAAGCATGATCCGTCACCAGATTGTTGGGTCGCCTTTGAAGACGTAAGTGGCTTCCATCTAGATTCACCGACCATCTTTTATTCGGCCGCCCTCACACCATCTCGACACTCGCCGTCGCCGTCGCCGTGTCCCCGCCCCTCCAACCGCCGCCCGGCTTACAGCTTGTCGCCGCACCTTTGTCTTCGCCGCCATAAACTTAACGGCCACCCGATCATACAGTACACTGTACTTCTTTGCACCATCTTCTCCTGCTCGCTATTCTACGCCGTTAGTACGGATCCTCAGCATTGACCAGACCAGTGACAGTTGCCCTTCCAGCACTGATCCCTGCCAAGAACCCGTTTGCCTGTCACCCAGTTTACCTACTACTGTAAGTAGGTGCGAAACAAGTGTGCGAGATTTTAGCCGACCTGCAATGACTCTCATCCCAGCCAAACGTCTCCATCCGGCCCGATGCCTGTCAGATCGGCCGGGTTCCGTATTCTCGCTTTTTCTTAGCGCCTCTTTCCTACATGTAGTCGCCCACATTCCCGCTTCCTCTCTCGGCGCTTCTTCGTTGTCTCTGGCTGGGCTCCATCCGGCCTCGACCAACGATCCTGGCGCAAACCCACGACGACTTCACTTGAGCCGCCAATGTGCGCACCGAACTTGAACCTACTACCACGACCTCAACCTCTCCTCGCTGACCCTTTGCAAATGGTGCTCGCTGGATAGTTCTCGCCGTCTCAACACTCATTCTCTCAACAGACATCATCACTTTTCAGCCTTTCGATTCCCATCAGCCCACAACGCACTGCAACCTTCACCGTCTGCTTGGCCATGAGGATGGTTGTCTCCGTCTCAGACCCCTTGTTGCGGGCGCTCGCGCAGCTTCGCTTGCGAACAACCCATTAGTCCCACCAAAGGCCCGATATCTCCAGGAACGCGGGGTTTTCCTCTCCGCCACCGCCATGCTGGAATCTGGAGTCTAGAGAATCCTCGCGCATCGACTATATCCCTAGCTTCCCCGCAGTTGGGCGCCGACGCGTACTCGGTTCACAGGGCTTGCTCGCTCGTCTCAGACACAGAACGAATTGGCTCCGCCTCCTCTCGGAAAAGCGGCGGTCGAGTTCACTACGACTTTGTTATCAGTCTAAGCGCACTCTGGTCGGTAGGTTTACAACCTCACTTTCCATAATGTGGGAGATGGTGTGAGAGGTGTAAGATAGATACAAAGAGAAAGGACGAGAACAGAGTCGTTGCCGCTGCCGCTGCCGCTGCCGCACTTCTAATGAATGCGGATTGCTACCCAGCCAGCCGGCTACGCAGCCTCGAACGATGGCCGCCTCGCTGAGGATACCGCTCACATGATCAAATCAAGGGGCTACAGGATGGCCAGGCCATAGCCCCAGCGTTTCAAGGACTCTCGGCATGCTGTCGGCGGTGTGGCCAGACCGGCCTCTTTCCGGGGAAGGACCCCGGGACCGATGGATTCTTCTCCGTATTCCCCTGGTCCAATGACAAGTCGAGGAGCAGCTGGCCATGAGGCGGCCCAGTGGCTATAGAATCGGTAGCTGGGGTATGGGATTGATGGTCTGAATGCCTTCTGACCCAGTATTCATGTACCCCCCAACCGCATATCACGAGACAACGCGGAGAAGCTTGCTTATTCCAGGATGTAACGAAATCCCACATGCCACGCGCGGACCTGTACCGGACTGGAACATCCATCTGTCAACCGCCACCTTGGGTGAGGGTCAAGATCTGGTAATCGGCCCGTTATATAAATCCCCGACAAGGTGCATAAATCTGATAACCACCATCTTGATATTATATCACCTCTTTGATCGGTAAGCAAGAGTCCCGACGAAGACGAAGTCATCCGGAGATCTGTCTACCCTTACTTGGGCAGTCTAGAGAACGCCAAGGGGCGCACAACAGCGAGTCACAGTCTATGAGTTGAGGAGGGGGCAAGCTGCTGGACGCACCGATATCAGTTGTGTCAACAGTGTTTAAATGCGGCATTTGTTCCGAAACGTGCTAGATCGCTACCTGTCCCATGTATTCCTAGCCCGTGGAGCCGAACGAGATTTACAAAGCGAAACGCACAAATACCACGATCCTTTCCCGCTTATCGCGAAGCCAAAGCTCAGCAAGTCCACTACACGAACCATTAGCCCATACAAAATGATTTTGCCAAACCTCGCAGACTTACCTCCTTGCCACCGGGAGCCTCGTACGATGTGAATCCAGGCTGGTAGATCTACAGGGGTGCATATGTCAGCGACCAACCTCAAAACGTCACGTCACGGCTTTTTATGAGAAAGGCGACGCCTACGTTGACGGTGTACCCGGGATCAGTCTCCTTGAAGGCACCGGGAATGCTGAGGGTCGGCGCGAACGAGCTCGCCGGGGCGGTCGAGCCGGTGACATTGATCTGGGCGCACGAGATGTAGAACTGCGGGATGCCGGCCGGGTAGGGGTTATGGATTCCCAGCTGGTGGATGCGCAGCAGGTACTCGCCGTTGGGGAGGCACGTCGGGATCTTGTGCTCATAGGTTTCTGGATGGAAACGATTAGTCCAAACACTACCCCTTTGATGGAGAGGAATCGACAATGTTGTTGTCCCTTACGTCTCATTGGCCAGGTTGCCTGGCCGTTGCTAAAGGTCGGCAGGAAATCCTTGAACTTGGCCCACTTTCCAGCACCGTCGTAGTCTTGTACGTGAGAGGGCGCTTTGGAAAGGAAGCTGGACAATTGTCAGTAGACGATACTACGGCTGGCCAGAATACTCACAGCGAGATGGGGCCTTGGTGGTAGACGGCCGTGTCGAGGGTAAAGGTGAAGGAGTCGCCGGGCTTCACGCTGATGACCGTCGTCTGCACGCCGCTGGCACCTCCGACGTTGCATCGCAAATCGTTTGAGGCGAGGTCTGGGAGTAGGGACGTTTTTGGGTTCAGTTTGCATTCGTGACGGGAGAAAGAAACTCGGGTAGGTGATTTTCGGGCAACTGACCTGTGACGGGGGAGTTGTAGTTTGTATTCTTGCGGATGTGCTGGAAGACGTCGTACTTTGTGGACCCTATGGACAGCTGCTGGAAGATGTAGTGGCCAGAGACTTTTGAGATGGCTGCCGAGAGGACGGCGGCGACGGTGAAGAACTTCATCGTGGCGGTTTTTGTACGTTGCGTCTGGTCAAGGATATGAATGTACACCCGAAGCAGAAGCTTACGCGGAAGAGGGATGAGCGGGAGAGAATCACATCAACAGATTGTTTGCTCGGCATCCATCATTTAAAGGAGATACTGGATATTCACCATCTTCTTCGTCAGACCGGGAGCGAAACGGCTCGGAGGCTCTGCTTCCCTGATGCTACTCTAGAAGAGATGATCAATCAACGCTCTTAATCAATCAATCAAATCCCCCTATATGACAACGCTGAGATTTGGGGTAACTGCTATCGACGAGAAGCTGCCACGGTACATCGTCGATACGTTCGTCCGTCGCGTGATGGGCGGGTTTCTCTCGGTAGCGTGGGGACGGTACCAGGCGCTGTGTTGGCCTGATCGTGCCCAATATGCGCCAGCCAATGTTGAGCGGCATCGGGGAACCACGAGACTCGGCGTGGCTTGGTAAAAGATATAAAACACAGAGGTTGCGCTTTGTGCGTCTGTCTACTTCTGATACAACACCCAGAGCTCTGCTTTTCGTCAACTACCCACATGGATCTGTGGGAGGATTCATCGTGCTCAAAGACCGACTGACTTGGGTTTCGTGACGGATAAGGACATTCTCCAAGTTTGGACTATCTATTACTTTGAATCCGGAAAGAGAACAATGGAGAAAGTCGTAACGTTCCACGAGGCCAAGAAAAGGGTAGCGCTGGATTCTTTACAGCGTTGTTGGCGGTGATGTAGCCACCGGCAGAAGTCCTGCATGGCACACGAGCCCATCCATTTGCCGGAAGTGAAAATCTACCCCGGACTTTGCAATCTACTTAAATGAAGCTTATATGGGATAGCAGTTTAGCCGTTTGCGCCACTCGACGTCCTCGCCTCAGCTGTTCTTGAGAAGCAGTGCCCGGTATCACCACGCGAATCATGTCATGAGGCAAAGCAAGGTGAGAGAGCACTGGGGATAAGTAGACATCTTATTCTGGGTAATACCACTTCTAGCATGTACCGATGAGCTGTCAGCGAGATATCATTAGTTTCTACAACTCGTACTGTCCCTACCGCCATAGCAACGAGTCTCATGATGTACCGCAGACAGTAGGCCGCAGTCATTCCCGAAATCGAGAATTGAGAGACCCCAAAGGCACTAACTGGCTGTTTGAAGTTGGCAGCAAACTCCATCGGGGAAGCTATTCAGGGTCGTGAAACGGGGTCTCGCGGAGCCAGAGCCTCCGGGCTCTAAGCGATATGTCATTTACCCCTCCGCCCAGTGATCTTCCAATATCTAGCGGCTACCTTCCAAGCAACAGAATACTGAAGAGCCCTATAAAGATAGACAGTGATGGTTATGTAATCAAGGAAAGGATGGCCTCGACGCGAGGTTATACCGCAAGCGCGGCATGCCATGTTACCAGCGGCGGCTCATCTCCCAACGAGATGATTTCCAAACACAAAATATGGCTTAACTTGATTCAAGCCAGTTCCTACATCATCATCGACTGCTTTTCTCGGATACCTCTCCGGTCTTTCTCTCTCCCCGCGCGCGGGAGCGAGAAAGTGGACCATGACCGGCTCGCGCGGGAAGTGGAACACCATCGCACAACACCATGACGTCCGCCCCCTTGCTTTCGGGATCAGAGCTTCCGGCTTTCCCGCCGATCAGGTACCATGGCCCATGTTCACACCAAGCAGCATCGAGGAACTATTTATCCTGGCACTGACTGGTAGTTTTATTAAAGTTTTCTTCCGGTTCGGAGAAATAAACGATGGTTTCGTAGTTTATTGTTTGTGGTCGAGTAGTATAATTTGATCCCGCTTGATGGCTGCCGCGTGCTTATTTTCAGTCGGCCCGATACTTTATTAGGCTGAGGCTGTAGATGCCCTTGATTCGAGATTAATGACTTAAGAACAAAGTTGTTTAATGTTGGGGTTCACCTTGATCTTTATACGGACGGACGTCTATCTTGAAGATCCCCAAGCCGTCTTAGGATGTTTTTCTCCATTCTTTCCTCTTTTTGTTTCTGCGCCTATCATGACAACTCATTGAAGTTCAAGCGCGTCGGAATCTTGAGTCTGTAGCAGACGTCTAGAACTGGAAAATCAGAATCCACGCAACAGATTCTTTCCGACGTTGGAGCGAGCGAGGGTCGTCTCCCCCGATATCACTGCAAACGTAGTCTTCCCCCATGTGCGCCCTACCATTCCGAGTGCTGGAATGAAAGGAATCGGGCTCTCATGTGATGCGGTAGAAGTCACCGGGTAAATCCAGGCGAGTAACATCGTCCTGCCTCGGCACTTTAACGTCGACACCCCTTTGTGTATGTGGGCAACTACCGGATGGAGCAGCAAATAATCACAGTCTAGGTGAGGTCGGCAAGCCAGCATGACCGAGAGGCTTGGAAGGACGAAGAATTCTTGCAAATCAGCCGCTCGATGGCTTTAACTATCAAGCACCGCCGTCGAGATGAATGGCATCAAATATGGGTTGAAGTGTATCCTGAGAGTCGTACTGCAAACAAGTCTCCTAGGACCAGTCACAAAAAGTTCCAAAGATGAAGGCCATCATCCCCATCCTCACGGCGCTCGTCGCCCTGAGCGATTTCACCTCTGCCCATTGTGAGGAAGCCCAGAAGCAGACTCCCCCCCCCCCCCCCCCAACCCCACCCCCCCCCCCACCCCCCCCCCCCCCCCCCCCCCCCCCCCGGGGGGCCCCCCCGGGGGAAAGCCAAAAACCAACCCCCCCCCCCCCCCCAAAACTGACAGTCCACTCCCCAACCAGACCGCTTCACGAGCCTCGTCGTCGGGGGCGTCAACACGGGCGAATACACCTACGTCCGGCGCAACACAAACTACAACAGCCCAGTCACAGACGTCCTCAGCAGAGACATTGTCTGCAACGCCGGCGGTCTGTCCTCCGGTCCCGCAACCCAGACCGCCACCGTCGCCGCCGGTTCAACCGTGATTCTTCCCCTTTCTCCCCCTTTTCCGCCCCCTTTTTCCCGCAAACCCCCTACCCGTTTCCGTGTCAAACCACCGCAAGGCTCCACGGGAAACGCTCACTCACTCATATCCGCAGGTCGGTTTCGCAATGGACCAAGCAATCTACCACGACGGGCCCGTCATCGTCTGGCTCTCCCCCGCCGGAGCGTCCAGCAACGTCACAGCCTACGACGGCAGCGGTCCCTGGGCCAAGATCTGGGAGCTGGGCGCGCAGACGGGCAACGGCCAGATCAAGTTCCCCGCCGCGAACCAGGCCGCCTTCAACTTTGCGATTCCGGCATGTACACGTACGTCACGACTTGTCACGCTTCGTCTTGCTCTTGCTTCCTCCCCGTCGTCCCTCTTCTCCTGAACCCATGCAAACCGTAACCCATCAATGGTTTGAAAGATTTCTAAAGCCTGATGGTTCGCGTGGCGCGTCGGCGTACTGACGGGAGGCTAGCCCCGGGAGAGTACCTCCTCCGCATCGAGCAGATTGGACTGCACTCCGCCAGCGCCAAGGCCGGAGCCCAATTCTACATTTCGTGCGCCCAGATCAAGGTGACGGGAGCAGGGAGCGGCGGTTCGTTCTCGCCCACTGTTAGATTTCCGTGAGTTGTTCCAGTCCGTTTCTAGTCTTTGTGTTGCGATGCCAAGTTTCGTTCCCCAGAGAGAGAAAAAGCCCATATGCACATCAGATTCACCTGCAGGGCAGAGTAGGGCGTTTCGTGTCTCTGATGCGCAGCTCGGTTTCTTTTTTTAAAAAAAAAAAAAATTACCAAGTCTTGGCATGTCTTTTTGGCTGTAATTAATCTCTGTGGTATCATCTAGGGGTGCGTACACTGGCAACGAGCCTGGTATTTTGATCAATATCTACTACCCTGTGGTGAGTTTGAATTCTTACTCCACGACGAGAGCGAAACTCGAAAAAAGAAGAAGATGGCGAGTGAGTCGTGCTGATTCTCTTGGTGAAGCCAACGACGTACACCGTTCCGGGAGGTCCTGTGGCAAAGTGTTGATCTATCCGGGGCTTCCCCATCTCGTGTCATGAAGTAGGGATGACGCACGTTGCAGAGAGGCAAAGTTTGTTTTCTCGCTAATAGTAGGTTTACCGTCAAGGTTTCCATGGTTTCCATGGTTTCCACGACCTCGCGGAACAGTGGCAGGCGAGTAGGGGATGGGATGAATACGAGAATGAAAGACTAAACACTTGCAACTTTTGATCAAGTTTTTTGATTGATTGTCTACCAGAAGCTTCGTGATACACACGACCTGGCGAAGATTGTTGTGGGGGCATGGCTGCCTTGTCGAGACTCTGTTGTCCGACACTGATTATTTGGAAAGAAATAGGCGTTGAGAAAAAAAAAAACACCAGACTCCGGTCGCATAAAATCCCCCCCAAAAGAAACGCTCTTCCGGTCAGAACTCCTCCAGAAACAGGGAAAGTCTTTTCCCACACAAGTAGCCCTATTAATATCGTCCCTCCCAAAAGTAAAGTCCCAATCAAGCTCCCCATAAGTCATTATCCACGTCATCACCGGGCTCTCAAACACCCAGTCTCAAATCCCGCTCCAACAATAGCCCAACACCGGTGGAACTTTGCGATCAATAGCGACTCCACAACTTATCGGGGCTCCCGGGATAGTCGAGATATGACTCGGGGACGGGACTTGAAGTCGACAAGGGCGGAGGGACGATGCGGTACGCGTCGAGCGCAGACATGTCCAGCGCCAAGCTCCCGGCCGCGTTGGTACTGCTGCCGCTCATCAAGTTCCACGCCGCCGGAGCCGGCCCCGCGGCGGACATTTGCTGGCTCGCGCGGAGCCTGCAGCACTCGTTGGCCAAGAGTCTATACGCGCAGCAGAGCGCGTCGTTCTTTTGACTCATGTCCTGGATCTGGGCCTGGAGCTCCTCGAGACGGGACTCCTTGCGCTTTCGGTAGGCGCGCTGGTTGGCGCGGTTCTGGGCGCGGCGCTTCTAGACGGGGGGTGAGGTGGTTAGTCTTTGCTTTCTCGGATGTGGCCCGCGGGAGGTGAGATTGGGACTCCACGGGCGGGGGAGAGGGATGGAGAAGTGGATTGACTCACTGATAGCACTGTCTCGCTGCAGTTTTTATATCTGTTGCCTCGTCTTCCTTTCTCGGTGGGCTTGGAAGACTCTTCCGATCCGCTGGCGGGCGAATGTGCTTCATCATGCGAGTCGTCGGCCTTGCTGTGGTCGATACTTGAGGTCGGGCTTTGAGGGCTGGACCACAGTGACGTCGGAGTGCAGTAGCCGTTCTCGTTGGAGTTCTGTTCGAATTGTGAGTATCATGAGTACGTTGTGGTTGTGGTTGTAGATGTTGTCTGGGTTGAGCGGGTTATAGACATACAATGCGTGAGACAAACTGCGCGGCGATTATGTCGTAGGGCGTGCTGCCGCTCATCATTGAGGATAACTCGCTAGGCATGTTGTATGGCGGGAGCTCAGGTGATGTGCTGTCCATTGTGTAGATGTGTGTTTTTTTTTGGAGTAGTCGCCCCGATTTCTTTGCGGAACGGTGATTCGAAGCAAATGAGGTGGATATGGCACTGGTGTAGCAGTGCAAGGATCACGATGACCAAGATGGATGGCGAGCTAGTGGAAGAAATAAGAATAGTGTTGTAGATGGATCTGTGGGATAAAGAGGCGAAGAGGCAAAACGTGGAGGTGGAGGGCAGTGGCGTGGTAGGTGAGGCGGAGGGTGGGCAAGGGCAATTTATATATCCTGTCACCTCGGGTGAGAGCGAAGCATCGCCAAAGGATCTCCGAGGACGGCACGAGAAAAAAGATGCGACGATTCTACAATGGACAGAAACAGGACAGGAGACAAGGGGGGGGGAAGGGGGGAATGATGGGAAGGGGGGCGTGGGATATAGTTGTAGACTATCCGTACATGGAGAGCCGATGGAACCATGGGGAAACAAGAGCACGAGAACCGGGCTGGGACCAATGAGGGTGTATATTAATGTCAACGCTGGCCCAACGCGCGTGGACGAAGACATGAGCGAGAGTACCTGCATATGGAGTCAGTCGCTCTTCCATCCCAGTCCCGTCGCATCTGGAATTCGGTATTCGGTGCCGCGCCGGTCTACGGGGTACGTGTCCGGAGAGGGAGGGGGGTGTGTGGACAGATAGGAATGGCACCAAAGAGCTGTGGTGGGTCACCGTCCGTGTGTTTGTGGACAAAGTATACATGACGGGTGAGTCGGTGGCTGATGAAGAGCCGGAAGAAGAGACAGAGAGACAGAGAGAGAGAAAGGGGGGGCGTCTGTGTGGCTTTGAACGTGTAAGAGATACTTGAAAACACGGGAAAAGACGTGCCTGTCGAGAGTATCTAGACATTGAGCCAATACACAGAGCAACACATCGGACATACCTGCACCGGAATTACGACCGGAGCCAACGTCCCAGCAGCAACCGAGGACGGAGGGGGCACAGCGCAATAGTTGCGCATTATTCCAAGGTCTCGAGGGCTGGAAATGGAGGTAGAGGAAGGCCCCATTTGATTCCGGGACGCCGGGGACGAATCGCGTGTTTTGCAGAGGTCGAGGCCCGAAGTGAGCGGAGACGTCCCGGGAATAGCAGTGGGGGGGGAGACCACTGGGCCCGCCGTGAGTTGAGAGAGAAGTTGTGACTCCAGTCCCAGTGGGGTCCCATTGGGAGCTTTACAGATACCATACGTGCCATATTAGTAGTGAGACAAAGAGGTGGGTGTGCGGGTGAGAGGGAGGACCTGAGTGAATGATTCAGTACGGATAGGCGCGCTATTTTCCCTGCTGGCTGCGGGTTCGATCGGGTTGGTTTCCCAGCAAATCACTGCGGGAGCTAGTCCCATTCCGACTTAAGCTTTTGGCACCGGCTCAGAACACCTTATTTTCTGTCAAAAGGTGTGCGTACAAGAGGATTATCCGCGGACCGTGGACGGTGGACCGCATGTGAGTGGGAGTGGGAGTGGGAGTGGGAGTGGTGTGTGAGTTCTGTGAAACGCGAGTCCAGGCGAGCTCGGCCTCATCCGTTATGATATCATTTTCGTCCCTCCGCGACAAGGATGGCAGATGTATGAGCGTTTCTGGCATCTGTATCTTTCAGAGATGCAGCTGAACCTCACGCTGACCTGGTCTGGTCTGGTCTGGTCTGGCATGTGTTCGCAAAGGGGTTCAACCGCTCAGCTCAGTCGAGCGTACCAAAGTGTCAGTGAAGGCCCTGCAGAGACTTCGTCATCCATCATCTTTGCGCGGTGCTCCAGTGATTGTGCGCCTGGCGTGGGTCAGACGGTTTTGTTTCCTCCCGTGATATTTTCTCATTTCATTTCATTTCCCACTCCATTCTCTAGACTGTGTGTGTCACCTTGGGCTTCGTCCGGCATTTCGGCGTCTCGCAAAGTGGGCGCCGCTCCGAGGCCCCTTTTTTAACGCTCCCCATTGAAAAATTGAAGAGAAAATTTCAGGCGATATTTTTTCTCTGACCCCATTTCAGAAAAACCCTTCAGCTGAAAACACTTTGGATGGGACGGTTTTTCGTCGCTTTGAGCCCATGCGAATGCCCTCACAACGACATCATGGGACCGTGGCAGTGATCAGATCGACAGAAACTCAAAAAACTTGGACCTGCCCCCCCCCCCCCCTTCCAAGCCTTTGAACCGTTAATTCCGCCATGCATTGAAAAAGACCACTCCAGCCCAGAGAACGCCTACCGGTGCCCTTTCGGCCCCGACAGCGAATGCATTGGCCAATTCTATAGCCGCCATCGGGCGACGGGATGTGAGACTGGGGCCCGGGGTGGGACCAGCAGACACCCGAAAGGGGTGGGACGCAACCAAACTCTTCCTCCCTGGGGCGTCCCCGGCCCAGCCCTAGCAAAAGACGTCCAGCCCTCTTTTTTTTTTTTGTGGTTTCTTTCTTCCCGTCGGAACCACGAACTTGCGGCGCAGGGGGGGTTGCCGACCGCCTAACTCGGGTACGTCGGACTCGCGTCGGCGGCGCGTCGGTGGTCGGCTTCAGCTTGCGCCGGGGGGCAGTCAACATTGTCAAGGACTAGCGATAACTGGGTGGTATCCAGCAGACCCATCACTTTCATTCCCGATAGTTCCCATGGCGCAAAGTGTGGTTATATGGAGACAACTGGTGGACTCGCGTAAATCGGTAGATCGGGTCCCCGTTGGTGTCGAGTTTCTCGCTCGCAGAAACCTGAGTCGTCGCGGTACACGATATCCTTGAATAAGCTTATCCCACGGAGCACCTTGCTGCAAATGAATCCCTCTCCTCTCGTCTTTGGTTGTCTGTAGTTGGTTCATCATGCTTTCTGAGCTTGCTACCTAGAAGAAGCAGAATAGCCACCCCCCTCCCCGGCCCCCTACCCCGTCCCACCACCACCACCAGGCCAACCGCCAACGGTCCATCGCTGCACAGAAGGCTTGGCGTTTTCTTCTGATGCTTCGACACGCTTTCCAGCCGGTAGCCATCCCCTTCCATGTCGTGCTGATCAGTGTGGGTCGAATTGGTGATGTGCTGCATGCGGTCAACTGCATGTCGAGTCGTTAGTCGAATCTACAGATCACTTCTACTGACCTTTTGCCCACTCCAAAAAGCAGACGCATCTATCTCGGGATTACACATCGCCCACAGGCCCAAGATCTCTCCCTAGAACGCTACAACATGTGAAAGAACCATGTCTACCTAATACCCTGAGCACGTTCGGCACCGATTCTCGGAGAGGGAGGCCCTTGATGAACGAACACACGCCACAGCGCTAGGCGCTGCTGACGTCGTCGAACCCAAGAATTCCCTCCTTCCCACCGTGCGCGCCCCCTCCCCGCTTGGTCGCCGTTTTGAGCACGGATCCCGCCGTCAAGTTTCCAGTCCAGCCCAGCTATGAATATCTTACCGTACGCATGCCCTACCTACTCGATGGTTGGTCCCCGAAAATCGACGCTCTCATTCCCGACTTACCCGCCTGCAAAGGCGGATAGAAAACTTTATCCCGAGCCGTTGGAGCCGGGGGGGCGGGCGGCTGACTGGAGCCAGTGCATCGCCAGGACACCACCGCACCAGGACAATCTGGCGCACAAGACGCAAGGCGCCGCAGTAGCGCCTATTCGCGAAGCGGCTGATGCGACAGATGCGACGAGGTCCTGGGTTTCCCATGTCCCTTGCTCCTGTCGTTTCTGCCGATTCCAATTCGCATCACGGCAAGGTTGATTCAGTTGAATAAGGTAGAGTACCTTGTAGAGCATCACACCGTCATGTCGACTTTAACCTACCCGGCGGCGTGGCCGAGAATGAGAGCTGGGACATGGCCGACTCGCGACCCACATTCTCATCGGCACCGGGGCGGCGAAGCGGAGTCCCAGCGGAGTCCCGCACCGGGAACCCCCGCCGAGATACACCTCACCGCTGTCCACGCAACCATTATTGTGTGTCTGCCGCCCGTCAAATGCGCCAAGAAGAAAAAAAAGTGACTGGTTGAAGCGAGGGCGAGCAAGGGCGCAGTTTTCTGCAGAATGGTTTGACTTTTCGGGCGCTGTCAGAAACATCAGACTAAAAGATATGATTCCAAGGCTCCCCTCTCCAGTCGGTAATTATAGTAGGCAGATAACCAGCTACACCCCGTCAAGTCCCAATATCCGCCACACCGCAAGAGCCTCCCGCCTCTCCCAAACTCCCCCTCTCTTCCCTACCCCCTTCGCGACGCGAGCTTTCCCCCCGAGGCTCCAGCCACACACATGTCGACAGTTTGAACGTTCCTGAACCCTGAATTCTGGGGTTCGCCATCCCTCGACGCGCCCAATCTCGTTGGCTCGTTTTTTTCCCATTTCATCCCATCCTCGAGAAGGTGTTCAATACGAGGAAGCTCGAGCACCAACGAAATGCGGCTGGACCTCGGGGGACGGGGTAGGGTACCCCCTTCTCTTCGGCCAACGACATGTCGTCGCCGCCGGCTTGAAGGCTGGTACGCCGAGATTTCTGGATGGTTGCCTAACGAAACGGAGTCACACTGTCATACTTGAAGAAAATTTTTTGTGTGTGTCCTGAATAATCACTTCTTCGGTCTAGCTTTCTGATTCCAAACCTCGTTTGGGTTCCGTCATCAAGTCCATCTCATACCCTCCTCCCCCCGCCGTCCCAGACGTGAAGTGATGCCTTCTGCCGCGCTGCCGTGTAGTACTCCCAAACGCGTCGTCATCCGCCGCCTCATAGTCCGTACGCCACGCATGTCTAAAGAGTTCAGGACTAACTAAATTCGCTTAGCCTGGATTGTCTGTTCTAGTCCCTACGCTCATGATTTTCCGGGGTATCCCGCTGTTTTGTAAGTGGTTTCACTTGGTGAAGATCAAGCCTCGATCATGATCTATTTTCGGATTCCCGAGTACGATAATGCCAACTCCCTCTTTTTCAGAAAGGGGGGGCGGGGGGCGGTTGGTTCAACACCCATGACGTTCATTGATCGATGATAGCCAAAACAAATGTTCCAACCAAAGGATAGCACTCTCCAATTGCAAAATATGGCAAAAAAGGAAAAAAGGCCCTGGTGATTTTTGTCTCGTCCAGCCCATGTCGTCAGCACCTACGCATCTCTCAGGGACGAACTCCCAAGGTGAAAACACTCTCACTCCATGTACCTCAGGTACCCGCACCCTCGTGGCCGCACCACTAAGTGACTCCCAAGTGACTCACATCAAGACACCACGCCCCAAGAGGTATAGAAAGGTAAACAAAACGCAGCCTTCTGTCGTGGTGGGCGAGACAGGTCCACTTGGAGAAGTGATACAACGTATGACGTCCTCGCCTACGGGTCTGCCATCTAAAAGACTGGGACGGCCCGGCGATCCCTGCTTCAGCAAGATCTCTTTACATAGTTGACAATTTTGCCATTGGGAAGGAATTTTTGGTATTCGATTGATGGCCACTGACTCTAGTTTTACTGAATGATGTTAATGATTGTTCTCTTGATCGCGTGGGCGTGGTTAGGATCCTCGTGGCAAGGGGATGGGGAAGATGCCGTTGGTGAGCAGCGTGACCACCTTTTTGGGGGTTTCTTGCCAAGAGTGATGCATACTTTGCTTCAACTTTCTTGGTTCAAGAAAATACATCTCTACTCCACGAAAACGATTAGGATGATCGTTCTTTGACAACACGCAATGAGCAGCAGCGTGCAGAATGCTCACCATACCCAATATGTGAGCAGAACTCGGCAGTAAGTTGTGTCAATGTGCCCAAAAACACCGTGTATCCTACGAAATAATCGAAACAAAAAATTTTCTACTCATATCCGTTCGAACGCTCAGAAACGGCCAATCATCAGTCATCCGTGTTCGTTTTCCCACCGGCCACCTGCTATTTTGATCCATCAAACATTTCCCAAACGCCATTACACAGTGTCAAGAGCTATTGGCAAAAAACTTTGTAATCTTCTGCGTGCCGCCCTGCTTCGCCTTGACCGGACTCTTATTCCCGTTACTCGTCGGGTTGATCTTGCTCTGCCTCGACTTCACAGGCGACACCCTCGACGTCTTCCTGGGTGGCTCCTCGTCTGCGTCTCCGCCCGCGTCGGGCGCGTCCCGCTTGATGCCCGCCACCTCCGGACCGTCCTTTTCTTCATCCGCCTTGGCAATCGCTTCCGGCACCGGCTGGTCCTGGCCTGCCTGCGACTCACCCGGCTGTTCCTCCCTTGCCTCGACTGAGGGTTCAAGCTTGGTGGCCTCCTTGGACTTTTGCTTCGCGGACGCGTTGGCGAAAAAGTTTGCAATATTGGCCTTGTTCTCCTTACTCGCGACGGGAATGATGAAGGACGGCGAGTTATTGCCGACCTTGCCGACTTCCTTGCTGACGGGGTAGCATTCGAGTTGGCCGTCGAATGGTTTCAGGAGGTCCTGCAGCTCCTTGGACCACTCGTGCCGCTTAGGGTCCAGCCAGGTCTTGATCTCTTTGGAGCCCGGGTTGAGGATGACGGGCATCCTGTCGTGAAGAAACTTGAGCTGCTTGTTGGAGTCTGTCGTGATGATGGTATAGGTATACCGCTTATCCTGAGAATCTATCGCAAGGGTCAGATGTCTTGCTACAGAACATTGATATGTACCGGTGATTCCCATGCTTCGTGATCATGCTCACTCACCTTCATACTGGGCGCAATCCCACAACCCAGCAAAGCACATGAGCTGGCCGTCTCTCCTCTTTACAAAATGCGGCATCTTCTCCTTTCCGTTCTTCAACCACTCGTAGAACCCCTGAGCAACAACAATGCACCGTTTGCCCGCCTTCATGGTCGACCACATGCCGCCAGGCGTGCTCAACGAGTCGTCGCGGCAGTTGATCGTCTTGGAGAGCACGGCGTAGCCAGGATCGCGCTTGGTCCAAAAGGGGATCAACCCCCACTGCATCGACTGCATCTTGTATTTCACCGAGCTGTCGTCGATGCCGCCGCTGTTTTTGGGCTGGCTAGATGTTGCGTCAGCGGCGGCACTGTCCTGCTCGCCGCGGCTGTGATTGCGACGATGCACCGCACCGCGATCCGGGACATCGGCGCGGTAGACTACGCCGTGGTAGCCCGGTGCAAAATTGTACGTCTGGCGAGGGGACCCCTGGCCTTCATCCTCTGGCGCATCATCTACGGGCATGTCATCGTCCTCCAGCATCCGCCGGATCTGTGACGGCCGCTGTGGTTGCGTTAGTCTGGGCCATTAAGCTTTAAGATGGGTTGGACAGTTGCAGGCTTCTCTGAGACTCACCAGAGCTAGAACGTATCTTCCGCACATTGTCCTCAACGGCCGGCAATTGATAATTACCAAATCACTTTTACAATGGGTTACACTGAAAAGCGCTGGATAGTTTGCGAGACCAAAGGTCCCATCTGCAATGATGTCGTCATCGAGACGCGGGCCGCTGGGATGGACGTGACTAATCTACGCGCTAGATGCACGCCGGCACGTGACATCCTCCTCTGTCAAGTACACCTCACCACCGGATATCTCATGATGTCGTTCGTTTCTCGATTTGGGAGAAATATGAAAATACAATTGCTGTATACTATAATAATCTCAGCAAGCTCTACACTCTAGACGCCAACACAAGTCCAACTCGACGCAGCATTCACATCCCCCTTCCCATCCCACGATGCATACCCCGGATACTTACAAATCGGCCTCTGCCGCAACATCCCCTCGCCGACGGTATCATTCACAAACTTGGTCGCAACAACCTCCCTCACGCCTTCACCGCCCTCAACCCACGCAACAAGCGCAAGCAACACATCATGCCTAGCATCATCCACCCCAGGCACGGGAAACACATGCTGCCCGTTGCTCTCCAGATCCGCAGCGTGCCCGCTCCCGCCAAAGTACCACGGCGCATCATACACGCCCCCGGAGCAATGCTGCATCCCAGGCACGAAGAAGAGCCTGTAAAACTCGTCGAGGTCGACGCCCCGCGCCGCCATGGCCGCCCAGGTCTCGTCGTACAGCACGCGGCTCACGTCCGTGGGGATGAGGCCGTCCGCGTAGCCGTGGTACTGCACCAGCTTGCCGCCCCGTCCGTGGAAGGCCGAAAGGTCGAAATGATCCGCATTGACGTTGCCCGGGTTGAGCCTTGCAGCCTCGGCAAAAGTAGAATAGTCAAACTGCGTCGTCCAGTCCCACGACGGGTCGTCAAAGAGGTAGTTCTTGGCATACTCCGTCCCGTACAGGCTGGGCTCGTTTCCGGTCCCAAACGACGCCGGCATTTGCTGCTCAGAGCCGAGGCCAAAGTTGGGGTAGACGTACGTCACGTTGTGGACGTTTGCGTCGAGTTGGACGAGCGGGAGGTAGAGCTGCCTGAGCGTCGAGACCTGCGGCGCCGTCAGACAAGCGGAGCGGTTCGTCGTTGACGAGCTCGCGTTGCAGAGCAGCTTCTCCGGGCGGAAGTTGCAGTGCGCAGGGTCCATGATAACACCGTCAACGATACCATCGGACCCATCGCACTGCTGAAGAACCTCGTCGCTGATGACCTCAAAGATGGCAGGCGGGAGGTACCCGGGCCCCTCCTCGGGCAGGTTGACGGCTCCGACCTTGAGCTGCCACAGCTGCTGGCTGGTAGACATCCACGCCGGCGCGCCCGCAAGGATCCCGTCAAAGTCCTCCGGGTGATCCTGCGCCGACTTGACGCCCTGGCGCCCGCCGGTGGAGCAGCCCGAGTAGTACGACCTGTTCGCCGCGACGCCATAGTACCCCTCGACGATCTGCTTCGCGACAACAGTCGACCCGTGCAGACTGCGGCCGGCCCAATCGGCCTTGGTCTCGGGGTTGTTCAGCGCCCAGCCCATGTCCTGGTTCGACGAGTTGTGCCCCGTCGACGTCGACATCGTCGCGAAGCCGTACTTTACCCCCGTGCCCATGTCGTACCAGTTGATGCCTCCCGAGAAACCCCCGTTGCCGACCGCGAGGAACCGGTGATTCCACCCGTCTGGCAAAAATAGTCCAAAGGTGTAGGAAGATGTCGAAGAGGACGTGACGTTGACCGATACGACGCAGAGCGACGGCAGGTGAGTCGCATTTTTGGGATAGGCGATGTTGCCCACCTCGCCAAAGGTGCCATTGTCGCTCAAGTGCAAAGCCGTCAAGACCCCGGCTTGGTTATCTGGTGTGAGGAGGGCCGCGACCTTCTCAAGTGAACACTGACTTGAGGGCTTCTGGGCGGAGACCTGCGAGGCACAGCTCAGCGCCCAGAACAAGAGACTTCGGATACGCGGAGCGACGGGCGGCATTATGACGAAGAGAGAGAGGAGGCCCAGAAGATCATGCCACGTCGATGTCTTCCCAAAGGATCTGGCGCAGCCTACCTCAATCATGGCAGCGTACTTATACGGACGTAATCTGAACCGTTGCATTCATCCCACCCCGCCGTCTCCCCACTCCCATCTCCATAATCCCCCGCGTATGGTTGAGAAAGACTGTGGAGAGTGTCATTTGAACCCCGCAACCTGGTTGCGCTAATCTAATATCAGTCTTGTTAGATGAACATCTCGGAGGGGTAAACAATAAAAACCAAGTCCGAGACGCAAGGCTTGGAGCCAAATGTGACCTTGTTGTTGGCTCCGAGGATAAACAAAACTCCACGACGTTCGGCTGCGGCCCAAGAGTGCAGACCGCAAGGCGTCAGTTGCGGCCTTGTGTCACCGTCATTATCCATCTCAACTGCCGAGCTGCCGGATCCAAGAAACCAGGGGAGCCTCACAGAACAAGCTCTCTCCATGCTCACCATCCCAAGACATTGCACTGACACCATCAAAAGATACGGGCCATACGCTATTGATCTTTCATGTCTTCATTCCATCTGATTCCAGACCCTGTGTGAAAACCTTCAGCAAGTACTACTCTGTGGAATCATTTACAGAAATGTACAGTCCCTGATTGTTGGATGCTATGCCTCTCCACGTGAAAACTCCGTAACCCCCCCTCTTTTTTTAAACATTCCGCCTCGACTTGCGCTTGACTGCCGTCTGCGCCGCCCACGCATCCTCGAAAATAGTCTTGCGTTGCCCGACGTCTCCCCTCTCCATGGCGAGGCGGCGCACAACATGGAACGCACCGGTTCCCACCGTCATGGTTTGGCCCATGATGATACACTCACTCACGCCCTCGATTTGATCCGTCTTCATACCGGCTGCCGCCTCAAAGAGATGGTCAGGCGTCTTCTCGAACGAAGCCAACTGAAGAACGCTGTCTCTCATCTTGGACAGACCAAATCTCGTGATACCGAGGACCTCGCCTTTGTATGTCATGACATCTGCGAGCAACTGCATATGACGCGGGTCGATGCCCATGTCTCCCATGACCTCGCCAATTTCAAAGGCAATCGTGCTTCTTGCAGCCTCGATACCCAAGACATCTTTGCATTCCATAATGTTGTTTGACTTGACCTTTCGTCCCTCGACACCCTCTGTGTTCATGCAAGCGAGCAGCCCATAGCCTTCGACCAGAACAGTGTGGGTTTCTTGCTCTGATGTCTGGATGATGGCACGGGTAGCCTGAGGATAACCCGAGATGGCCACGGTCGGAATCGTTCGGCGGAGGTAGTTGGCCCGCACCAACAGGTCGCCAAGCTCGTCCACGGGTTTGGCCTTGACAGACCGCTTAGAAGCCGCGGAGTCGTCAAGGCGGACGCGAATCTCGATTCTCCCAGAGCCAATGTGCATATCGGATCTCGAGACCTTCATCTTCTTGTGCTTGCATATGGCCTCGGCTACATCGCCCAAGGTGATGCCCAATTGCATGTCGGACAAAGCATCCATGTCGACCTTGAGGACGACACTTCCTGACTCGGCAAACCATTCGTCTTCAATGTAGCTCAGAATGTCCTCGACATAGGTCTTTTCGATACGCGCCTTGACGATTTTCGCCGCCGTCATCTCCCTGTTCTGCATCAACGGGCAGGTGATGACGGGGGTGCTGATGGTCTTGGAGGCGTTGATGATTTCCTTGATACGAGGCACACCCTGGGTGATACTCATACCGGCGACACCAGCAAAATGGAAAGTCTTCAGGGTCATCTGAGTACCTGGCTCACCAATAGACTGCGCGCCGACAGCTCCCACGGCATGCCCGGGCTCTACGTGCGCCTTCTTGTACTTCTCCAGACAGAGTCGGATGAAGAGTCTCAACGTCGTCTCAGACATCTTGGCGACCCTGTCAGCAAAGGCCTTCTTGGCCCTGACCTCGACCTCGTCCTCGTCAACGTCCATGCTGTCGGCGCTGGCTGTCAGGCCGGTGAGCTCCATCACACGGGCAAGCTTTTTGGCTCGTCCGCCAATGTAAGACTCCAGGGACCGTAAAAAGTCTCTAGCGCCTTCGTGCTCGTCGGTGTATTTTTCTTCTTCATTATCGTAGTCGAGAGTCAGATCGCCCAGCAGTGACTTTCTGGGATAGCGCGCACGCTCTCGAGCAAGCAAGTTATCGCAGAGTTTTACCATCTCGTCGGGGAGCAATGCGGCCTCGTCGTTGTCCCAGGTAAGATTCTCGGCGTGAGAGAAGGTTCGATCAAAGTTGACGGGCTTTGCAGTGGCCTCCATATCTACGGGATCCAGTTTGTCGGCACCGAACTGGAACTGGACGATACCACCGCCGGAAGTCCGCACAGTATCGTCGTACTGTGTCGACAGATCTTCCAGAGATTTCATCAACCTGCGTGACATGTAACCGGTCTCGGCCGTCTTGACGGCGGTATCGACCAGACCTTCACGACCAGACATGGCGTGGAAGATGAACTCGGTGGGCAAGAGACCAGAGTAGAAACTATTCTCCACGAATCCCTTGGACGGCGGCTGAGGCGCGTTTTTGTGGAAATGAGGAAGTGTTCTGTCCTGGAAACCATCGGCAACACGCTTGCCGCCAATAATCTGCTGTCCGACTAGTGCAACCATCTGCGCCACGTTGATCTCTGAACCCTTGGATCCAGACTTGGCCATGACCAGCGGGGCGTTGTTCTTGCTGAGAGTCTCAATACAATGAGAACCTGCTTGCGTTCTGACCTTGCTGAGAAGACCCGAAATTGAGTTCTCCAGCGTCTCCTCCATGCTACAACCAGTGGCTTTGTCGAGCTTGTTCTTCTTGTACTTGTCGATCAGGACGTCGACTTCGATGCTCGCGCCTTTGACTAGCGTGCTCTTCCTCTCGAGCAGTCTCTCGGTGGGGAAAACATCACCAATACCGATTGAGAAGCCTCGGTTTGTCAGGTGTCGTGCACACAACTTGGCAAGGCGGTTCATCGTTACCACGGCTGCATCAGGACCGAAATCTCTCAGGATAACGTAAAACACAGAGTCTTTCTTTCCTGAGCCGACCGTCGACTTGTCCATGACACCGCACATGACTTCGGAATTGCGAATCACCAACCATCCGTCGTTGGGATCCATATCGGGGCATTGTCCGGCTCTGGCCTTGTATTCTCTGCACTTGGCGTCGAGGTTGATCTTGACCGGGCTGTCTTTGTTGGGCCGCATCATCATGCTGAAGACCTGCTTGCCGGTCCACAGAGCCTTGGGCTTCAAAATGGCAGGAGGGGGCAAGTCGAGGTGGACTTTGCCGTCCATCATGTGCATGCAGATGTAGGTGAACGTCTTGCGGTCGAAGAAGTTGTCCTTGCTGCTCAAAAGATAGGCCGCCGTGATGAAATCTTGCGTAGCAGCAATGACGGGCTCTCCGTTTTTGGGCGTTGCCAAGTTGTGTTTCACGCCCATGAGGTTGATAGCCTCTGCGCGGGCTTCCTCCGTCTGCGGAACGTGGAGATTCATTTCATCACCATCGAAATCGGCGTTGTAGGGGCCGCACACACACTCGTTCAGGCGGAATGTCCTCCAGGGTCGCACTTTAACCAAATGACTCATGATACTGAGCTTGTGCAGAGACGGTTGGCGGTTGAAGAGAACAATATCGTTGTCTTCCAAGTGGCGTTCGACAACATCACCGATCCTGAGATCCTGAGCGACCTGGTTCCTATTACCGAATTTCAAGGAGATTTTGTAGCCCCCCTCATCATTCTTGATGACCTGTTGAGCACCAGGCCAGATGTTAGGCCCGTTGCGAACGCACTCCTTCAACTTTTTAATGTTGTAATCCGATACTCGCTCAGGATAGGTCAAGTTCTTGGCAACGAGCTGGGGAACAGCGACCTGGTCGATACCAAGGTTCGGATCAGGCGAAATGACGGTTCGCCCAGAGAAGTCGACACGCTTTCCGGACAAATTACCACGGAATCGGCCCTGCTTTCCCTTCAACCGCTGGCAGAATCCTCTCACGGCTTTGCCGAATCCCGGCTGTTGCAGACCTGGTACATCACTGTTGACGTACATGGCAACCTGGAGCTGAAGATACTCCCATTGTTCCATAATGGTCTGAACTGGCGAGCCCTTCTGTAGCGCCGAGCGGATCATGCCGCTGACCCAGACAATGTCTGCAAGCTTCGTTGTGATGTCGTCTTCGTTACTGGCATTGTCCTGGGCTACTGATGGTCGAATGCACACAGGAGGCGCGGGAAGGAACTGCCAGATGAACATTTCGGGACGGCCCTCGGCGGGGTCCAGGCCAAGAAGCTCGCAGTCGGTCGGGCTTATCATCTTGAAAAGATTGAGAACCCTCAGGGGATTCATATCCTCCATGGCCTTGCGCAAATGCTTGTCCAGCTCGCCATTGTTCTTTCTGGCTTCTGCGAAGGAGTCATCAAACTTGATTTTGCTCTCGGGAGGGATCTTCTTGGCCGAAGTTGATTTGTTGTATGTGACGAACTTGTCGTGGACGAGCTTGAGGACACCGACTTTCTTGATCTGGCCTTGGACGGAACCGCAGTACATGCAATTCTTGACCTTTCTACATTGCTCGTTGATGCGTTTGCAGATCTGCGTCCGTCGCAGGTTGTCGAGCAGCGGCCGCCTGAGCTCCTTCAAGAACGACCTCTTCTCGTTCTCTGTGAGTAGCACTTTGCCACAGTCCTGGGTATCGTCAGTGGCAGTTGATGCAACCGAGACAATGCCGTGCTCACCTTGCAGATGTCCTGCAATATCATCATGACGAAGCGTAAGTAGCCGATATGGAAGGCTGGTAAAGGAAGCCTGACATGGCCAAAGTGACCTGTGCAGTTTTGGAGTGACTCATCACATGTTGAACATTTGCCTGTCTTGCTCGAGGTACCCTGTCGGCGAATATGTTAGATCATCTCATGAAGAGCTCGGTAAGAACCGCTTACGAGACGGGGGTCAAGAGGGCCATGTTGATACGGGGCTCTATTCTTTTCAATATCGTACAGAAGACGATCGGAGACTTCGAGGACGGCTTGATTCGCGATATCTTGGTTGGACCTGGGAGAAAGCGGACAGGGTTAGCACGTCGGTCTATCGCGCGAGTTGCGCATGTGGGAAAAGCGACTGACTGAATGCCAAACTTGATGCCTCTGAATCGCTTGGGCAGCTTGTCGACAAGCTGCGACTTGACGGGAGTCACAGTCGTGGTAGTCGCCATTGCAATTGCTCTTGGAGCGCACTCGTCTGGATCGGATGGGAGGCGGCGGCGGCGGGTGAGTCAACCCGAAAGGGCGAGGTCGAAGTCTACCGGAGGGAATCGATGGTGGTGGATTTTCGCATTCGGCGCAAGGTCATGATCAAGGTCCGAAGCCGAGAACCACGATAGTTGGAGGCGGCGGCAGGGTCGATGCGATGGAGTGCTAGGGTGCTGTGCTCATCGGGGGCCGGTCAGAAGGCGTGCAAAGGTCTAAGTCGTTGGTCTGGCTGGATTGGAGACGACGCTGCTGGAAATTTTGTGAAGATGGAGGCACGGCGGGACACTGGATAAGGCACGGCCTAGTGTGGGAATGAGGGACGGCATGCAGGTCGTACCCCACCCTCGAAAAACACAGCTCGCCCCGCTCTATCTATGCACCTAAGGTACTCCGAAGGTACTTTACCGTAGGTACGGTGCTCTGATGCGCGACAAGGAACGTATCGTATCGGCTTCCGCATCTCCTCCGTCTTGCGGATCGCGTATAAAAGCCTTGGCTAAAGTAGACCGTATATTACATACATGCCCTGTGATTTGCCCAGACGAGTTTGAGGTTTATTTCCCTGCAGTGAAATGACAAGGCTTTGAAATTGCCCGAGTCTTGCTGACTGTTCCTGAAATACAACCAAATCCGAGGAATTAGAAGGAGCACCGTGGGGTTGGCGGCATAAGGCCACCCAGGCAAGGTATCTCTGGGCACAATGCCGCTGTCGGTGTGAGTCTTTCAAAGTGAGTAACCTAAGGTAAGGTACCTTAAGGTACGGAAGGTAGGTAGCCATTAGTGAGTCTTGACTTTTGATTCTGCAGTGCAGACCGGGAGTGGATTCCCCGTTGCAGCTGGCTCGCTTCTGGCGGCCCGGGGGAGATGAGGTAAGCTCCCAAAGACACCTCCGTAGGGCCGCACCTCTGGCTCATGAACAGGGCGGCCCCTCGGCCTGCATTCCACCGCCGCTGTCCCGTTTACACGGGACTGCAAACTGCGTCATGGGGTCCCTGAAAGTGTGAAAGCTGGAGCTCCCCATGTCCATATGCAGCTGATTGGGGCCGTCTGCGCCCTTCATTCACCCACGTTGGACCTCCATACTCTGTACTGTGCCTAGGGAAGCACCTGCAGATGGATAGGCGGCCTCGTGTTCTTTTTACCGCATACCTACCTATTTCCCTTTGATCCAGAACTGCCCACTCTCATGTAAGCCTAGGTACTTGCCGTAAGAACGGATACAGCCAAAAGAGGAAGTACACGTTGTCCCTTTGACACTGCCAAACCCCCACGGCTTCTTGGATGCTCATTCTTCCTCGCCCGGGCTCTAAATACAGACAAGATTCCAAGATTCCATCACCCCCAACCTTGCTCTCTTGCTTTCGTTTGATGCCTCTCACCTCATTGTCGCCGCCTTAACCCTGCACCACTGCTCCAGTCTGAAACCAACTTTCCTAGGTAGTTCCCGCTCAACAAGCTCCTAGCTCCCCCGAAACTGCCGTCCAAACCGGTCATTGCTCTCCCCCGACAGTCGGCCACGTCCTCCCCCCAAGGACTCCAGTGACGCCCTCGCACTGATAAGTGCCCGTCTGCTGCTGCCTCCGTCAAGTTGGCGCCCGCGATTCTTCGCTCCAGACAAGCTTGGGGACGACATTGCCGACCGCCGAACCTCCTCGGCACCTACACCACCGTCACTTCCCACCGCTGCTGGGCATTTCGTCATACCTCCGCCGAATGGCATTCGGCCCAGTCGCAGATCATGGCTCCCGGCGGCGCTGACCGCAAACCAGAAAAGTCCTATTTGTCGTCCGCTGTCGATTCGATCAACCCTTGGGCCGTCAGCCGAAGTCCAACACCGACGCCCAAGGAGCCTCCTCCACAGCCCGTGCCCGTTCCGACCTCTCGCCCTGGCGATCACAGCATCACCCACTTATACGGCCAGAGCATCAAGACCTACCCCTCCGACTGTCCTCCTCTGAACGTCCTCTGGTACCACGCAACTGATGTGAGACCGCTCAACATCAACACACCCGAGACTGCCCATCGTCGTACTAACTCGATGCTGCCCAGGTCCCCAAACGCAAACCCCAGTTCCTCCGAGACAAAGCGAAGCCTGCCGAAGATGCCAAGCCCCCGGTCCAGCCAAAGAAGTTCCTGCCCTTTTCGAAGCTAGATTCTCGCGCAATCGAAACGACATACCAACGCTTATTGGAGGATTCTGAGAAGCGGAGAAGCGAACGATCGCTGCGTAGCGTTTCGTCGGGCTCCCAACGCGGTCGCCAGACAATTGACGAAGAGGGCACGCATAGCAGCTTGGAGACCAGTCCCGAGGGCACCCAGACTCCCAAAACCCGCGTTCCCGTGAACGAGGACTACCTTTTCGACGTCGACATCGAAAACCGGGAGCTGGGCCCGGTCTACTGGCTGGGCCCTGTGTATGAAGTACGTCGCGGTACTTGGTTCTACGACGAGGGGTCGTCGTTACGGCCATGTGAGGAGAACTTGGCTTCACAGCTGGAGGAGGGCTACCTCAAGGTCAAGCCCTGGACCTATCCCAAGTCGCGAGTTCGCAACGACCCGAAGAACAAGGACGCCAAGATCAAGGATGTGACGCCAAAAGCGTCCGTCGAAAATCTCAAGGCTGCTGCAGCTACAACTCCGACGAGCGACGGGAGCTTGAAGTCTCCGGCACCGCAGAACCAACACCAGCCATCTTCTCATCGCTTATTTGGCGCTTGGATGAACAATATTGCGACATATCAAGATGCAGGGACCGCGTGGCTCACCTCAGACAGCGTGTTATCATGGGTGACGTCTACCATGTACGAGAGATTCTCGGGCGGTGGTTACATGAGCGGTGTCAAGCTGGTGAGAGGTTATTCAGACGTGGCAAAGAACAAGAAACAACAAAAGCAGCCGGCCACGCCATCCGATGCTACTGCTACCCCGCAGCTAGATGAGAAGCAGCAAAGATTACTCAAGAGAAGGTCTGCGCCACCATCTTCGACGCCGTCGCAGTCGACCGACGACATTTCCCTTATAGAAGAGGACGATGACAGGGAAAACTCTCTTCAGAGACAAATCTCTTCTCTCATGGAGGGAGCCGAGCGTAATCAGGAGGAACAGGAGGAGGAGATCCGGAAACGAGAGGAGAAGGAAATCGAAAACGACTACAACGGCCAGCTTGGCGAAACCCAAGGGCGAGAAATTGAACATTTGGTACTAGTAACTCACGGGATCGGTCAGCTCCTGGGCATTCGGTAAGCATTCAAAGGTAGCGGATGTTGCCTACTTCAGATACTAACTCTAGCAGCATGGAGAGCGTGAATTTTGTTCACGATGTCAACATTTTGCGAAAGAACATCAAATCGGTGTATTCCAGCTCTGCTGATTTGAGAGCACTAAACTCGGAACTGGAAGATGGTCCTCGAAACTGCCGCGTACAGGTTTTGCCTGTATGCTGGAGACACCTGCTTGATTTTCCCAAGAGGCGTGAGAAGAAAAAGGAGCAAGACATTAGTGACGGTGCCCAAGACGAGGACGAATGTAAGTGAATGGCCTAGATCTCCTTGAGATGACACGACTAACAACCAGCACAAAGACCCTTCCCTGGAGGATATCACCATCGAAGGCGTGGCGTTCGCCAGGTCTTTGATCTCCGACCTTGCACTGGACGTTTTGTTATACCAGAGTGCCTACCGAGAACAGATTTCGGAGATTGTGCTAAAGGAGTCGAATCGTATCTTCAAGCTGTTCCTTGAGCGGAACCCAGAGTTCAAGGGCAAGGTCCACGTTGTTGGCCATTCCCTCGGTTCGGCCATCATGTTTGACATCTTGTGTCGGCAGAAGGAGAATCAAAAGACATTAGAAACCCCAAGAAATCCCCTGCGGTTCTGGCCGGCGCATGAAAAGGCGGAGAGCCATCGGGATCGCGAAGCCAACGAATTGCGATTTGAGTTCGACGTGGAAGATTTCTACTGTCTTGGGTCTCCGGTAGGGTTATTCCAGATGCTCAAGGGACGGTAAGTGGCTTTGATTCTTCGCCTCAAGCACAAAATGACTGACGTCGATTAGAACAATCTCGGCTCGCCATTTACCCAATGCCCGGCCGTCAGAAAGCCCCTTGAACCCGGATTTGTTGGACGACCCATTTCTCGCTGCGAACCCGGCTTCTCCTACAAACCGTGTCTCGGCAATCACCGGTCTGCCATATTCAGTCTCGTCTCCAAAGGTTTCGCAGCTCTTCAACGTCTTCCACCCGTCTGATCCAATCAGTTACCGACTCGAACCGTTGATTTCGCCCGCAATGTCCACATTGAAACCTCAAGTCTTACCATACACCAAGAAGGGCATCTTTGGCAACGTGGCGCAACAAGGCCTCTCGGGTATTGGTATGAAGGTTGGCCAGAGTGTCAGCGGGCTATGGTCCAGCTTGAGCGCCGGCATTGCAAGCAACATTCTCAACCGCAGTCTGGGCCTCAGCAACGAAGATGTGGCCAAGATGAACTCGGCAAACTCACCACAGCAAGTTTCCGGAGCAGGCACGAATATTGCAGACAGCGGGGTGATATCGGATGCGTCCAAGCTTGGAGAAAAGACGAATGAACGAAAGAAGCAACTTGCAGATTCCAAATCCATGATTGGCCGCACCAGCATCAGCGGCAACGAGATGACGCTGATTGATGACGAGCTCGAGACGTTGTACTCCAAATTCCAGGAGAAGCGTGTGGCACTGGCCAAGACGGACGACGACGGCGGCGCTGCAGACTGGCTTGAGGCAGAGCGTAAGGCGCAGAAGCTGCGGCGAGAGGAGATGAAGGTTCGGGCCCTAAATCGCAACGGGCGTGTCGATTACAGCATTCAAGAGTAAGTTGCGCACTTTGATTTGTGTCTCGGTGTGGGTACATGTACTGACAGGCAGTAGGAGCGTTCTCGACTTCAACCCCATGAACACAATTGCCTCGCACATGAGTTACTGGTCTGACGAGGACGTCAGCCATTTCATCCTATCACAACTTCTCTCCAATAGAAGTCGGGCAAAACGGAAGTAGACTTGGCACAGGCACCTTAGACTAGACGGTTCGGATGGGCGACCTGATCAATGCAAAAGGCATATAACACGTGAGGACTTTGCGCATTCCATTAGATATGCCATGAGTGTGACATTGCTCGATTTTGAAATTTGTTCGCGGCAGGTTGGGTATCTTTGTTCTCTCGTCTCTCCACATTCCTAAGCACGCAGCATACCGGCCTCGAGCAAGGCGCCCCAGTGAGCAGGCATGCCCTTGGCCACATCCTCGGCAGTCGTGCCGTTCTCCGTCCTCAGCGCGCGAATATCCTCGCCGACATCGTTGGTCAACCGCACAATCTGCAGCGCCTCGGCGGCCTGTCGCGCCGCGACCGGGAACGCGTCCGTGGGCAACCGCGACGCGATCCAGAGCAGCAACCACACGACCTCCTCCTGCGCCTTGTCGAGCGCAACGTGCAGCGCGCTCCTGCCGCCTGCGATCGGGTCCTGGTACCGGATGAGCTGGCCCAGTTGTGTCACGTCGCCGGCGAGCTCCTCGTTTGCGTCCTGAAGGAGGGAGACTATGCCCTCGACGTCGCCTTCTGCGCACATGAGGTGGTAGGCGCGGGCCGGGCGGGCGTCTGGGTTGGAGGCGAGGTAGGCTTCTTCCGTGATGGCGGGGAGGACGTCGAGGGCGTCTTGGAGGCCGCCTTCGTTTACGTAGCGGGTTAGGATGGCGGGCTCGCCGGAGGGGGTGGGGGTGGGGAGGTAGCGTTTGCAGGAGGGGCAGGATAGGGAGAGGGCTGTTTCTTCGGATTGATCTAGGAGGCATTGCCTGGGGTGTGTGTGTGTGGTTAGTATGTGAGTTGAGGATGAGTGTTTCTTGTGATGGGTTTGGAATGAGTGAGGCGAGGAGTGAGGTGAGACAGAAAGAGGTTAGGGGGTTTACCAGTGGAAGTGACAGCCGCAGGGGAGCTCGAGGTCATCGGGGACGTTTTGCGGCTCGTCGCCAGCTTGGTTGTCCTCGTCTTCGCTGTCCGGGTCGATTGTGATGATGAGGGGGTCCTCGCAGGCCTTGCAAACGGCTGCCATGGCGACTTTGGAGTTGGGTGAGAAGAAGCGGGTGGAGGGAATAAGAGTAAGGTAAGAAATTGTAGGTAGTGATAAACTAGTCCAATTGTGTGTATGGATCTGGCTCTTTTTCGTTTGTGTCTTGAGAACCGGCCGGGATAACAAGGTTGAATGGAGATCTCACAAGAGTCGACGTCGCGATGAGGGTATCGCCACCGGGATCAGAAAATTCGAGGTGGGGGGAAGGAAATCGGTGCGGGGACTGTGCTCAAACGATAAAAGCACAGTACTTTGCACCAATTTTGTTACTACTCACACAGTGCATCTCCCTCGGAGAGTGCATTGCCAGTACGTACCTGGTAATATGATGCATGAGGCAGGTAAGGTAAGGTAGTTAATCCCCTGAACCTGGTCGTTCCAGAAGATTACCTAGAGTGGCCTACGGGCAGTTGACGATTGGCATTTGGGAGTAATCTATTTCAAGGCTGGGAGTCTGGAGACTTTAGGCGCTTATTAGGCATTGATGGTCAGGAGTAAGGGGTCAGCGCAAGATCTCGGGATTGATCGTCGGGCCTTGCGCAGGACCAGGTTATTTTGAAGCATTGGGTACCTTATGGCTATCACTGTGAATGGCTGTGCATACAAGGAGCCTCTACCCCAAAGTGCTTTGCCTTATATAAGCACCATGCAGGGGAAGCCGTCGTGAGGCGGACCACGTCAATTGTCCCCGTGTTCGAGGGCGTCGTGGACGTGCAGAACATGTGTTTGGGTGCCTGGCGAGCCACGCGTGTACGTCGTCAACTTTTTCTACCTTTAGTGACTCGATGATTTGGCTAGATATCACCTTGTGTCAGAGAATGAGGCAAACATGGCAGCCTGTGATTGTCGTACGGCGAATTCGTACGCGAAACGAGAGCGAGGGGGACGGCACCTTGCCTTACGCAAGCCGTTGTGGCTGGTGGCCGTTGGTCGTCGGGCCCCTCGGGCGTCTCTTGGGGACGCGGACTTGCAAACCTGGAAGTGCCTTGGGTCTCGCGGGTACCCGGTTTGTCCGAATTCAGACAGGCTTCCCGCGGTGAGGTACCTTAATTTTCGCATTGATTCGGGTGGCAGGTCTTCCATGAGCGTGTGAGCATTGGAATGTGCCTCTCGCCCCGGTTTGGGCTGTTGGGTACCTAAAGTATGGGTCCATTAGTCTAGGCTCCCAAACCACGTGCTGAAGTTTCCTAAGCTTCAGCTGCCTTGCGTTGGGTAAAGTGTCGTAACGTACCTTAGGTAAGGCTCCCACAGTCGAGAGTAGCATGGAAGACACATTAGGTAATCAGTAGTACATGGCCAAAGTCCCCGATGCCTGTACAATTACATCAACGGCCCCTCCCCGCCCCCGCCATCGACTCAGGTAGAAGAAGGTACCTACGTAAGTCTCTCACATTCCATCCGGCCCCCTCTTCCCCCTCCTCGAGGTACCTTCCCGCGCAGCATAGCATTTTGCACAGCCAGCCCAGCCCATTGCGAGCATAGTACCTGCTTACTACCTGGCTCTTGTCTGCTTCCTTGAATAACCCTTTTTTGCCTTTAACCTGCTTGACCTGGGCAGGAAGAAGTACGACCTTGCTTAGCCCCGTTGGCCATCATCATCATCCTCCTCCTCTCCTCCTCCCTTCAGGCTACTAGACTTCCACAGCTTTCTTCCAACCTCTTCCTCCTGGCATACAACACCAATAACACCGCGATACATTCGCCCGTCCTCAAAGCACACTAGAGACCCGCAGCAACTCGTCTCCAACCTCTCGAATCCTCCATATCCAACAGGAGGACTCGCTCTTCCTCACTCCCCGTGAGGAACTCCACTACTCAGCCAACCTCCGTCGACGTCCGTGCGTTCCGGAGCTTCCTGCGCATCTGCCACTCCCGCTTGGTCCCTGATCAAGTGCTTCTTCTTCCGCGCCGAGCGCATTACGTAGAGAGACTCCTCCTTTTCTCTCCACCGTCCTCCCCAACGGCCTCGCTTCCCTTGAACTGCTGCTTCCCACACCGTCGTCCCCTCTCGCGCGTTCCCCAGAGACGACCGCAAACATGAACGTTCTCAAGCTTCAGAGGTGCGCACACAATGGCATTCTTGCCCCGCATCGCTGCGAGTGATTCACTCTCGTCAGAGTGAGAATCGCTCAGGGGCTCTGCTCTTGCCTTCGTGCTCCGTCGCTAACCACACATTCGCCGACAGGAAGTATCCTCAATTCCCGCAAAACGAAATCTACGGTCTCAGTGACGCATTCCGCAAGCTCGACATTGACGATAAGGGCTACGTTGACGAAGCCACCGCAATCAAGGCCACTCAGCAGAGCGAGCGCCAGCCCTACGATGTCGTACGACAGGCTCTGAAGGAGGTCGACCTCGACTCGTCCCGCCGAGTCGAGCTGGAGGATTATGTCGCCGTAAATTCCACCCACAGACTCTTATGATTGATTTCTGATCCCATGCTGACAACACGCCTTGCAGCTCATTGCCAAGCTCCGCGAGTCCTCTCCAGCTCAAAAACGCATGTCAACCGGTCCCGGCGGTGCTACCGGCGCATCCATCGTCGCGCAAGCAACCGGAGGCCTGGGCCATTCCTCAAAGTCGAGCATCGGCAAGATTCACGTCCAGGGCTCCAACGCCAACGTCACGCACACCATCAACGAGGATGAGCGGACCGAGTTCACTCGTCACATCAACGCCGTCTTGGCGGGTGACGCAGACATTGGAAGCCGCCTCCCCTTCCCTACTGATACCTTTGAAATGTTTGACGAGTGCAAGGATGGTTTGGTGTTGGCCAAGCTCATCAACGACAGTGTCGCCGACACCATTGACGAACGTGTTCTGAACCGACCCAAGAACAAGAAGCAGCTGAACGCTTTCCAGATGACGGAGAACAACAACATCGTCATTGAGTCTTCCAAGGGTATTGGTCTGTCCGTCGTCAACATTGGCAGCGGCGACATTATTGAGGGCAGAGAGCACTTGATTCTCGGTTTGATCTGGCAGATTATTCGCCGTGGTCTTTTGAGCAAGATTGACATCAAGCTACACCCCGAGCTCTACCGGTTGTTGGAGGATGACGAGACTCTTGAGCAGTTCCTCAGACTTCCTCCCGAACAGATCCTTCTCAGATGGTTCAACTACCACCTCAAGGCCGCTGGCTGGAACAGACGGTACGCGCTGGAACTCGGAACCGGTTGAAAAAGCACTGCTGACTTGCGTGTAGGGTGAACAACTTCTCTAGCGATATCAAGGACGGCGAGAACTACACTGTACTCCTGGCACAGATCGGCTCCGAATACGGCGCGACGAGAGCCCCTCTCCAAACACGAGATCTTCTGCAGCGCGCGGAGGAGATTCTGCAGACCGCCGACAACATGGGATGCCGCAAGTTCCTCACGCCATCATCTCTGGTCGCCGGTAACCCCAAGCTGAACCTGGCTTTCGTTGCCAATCTGTTCAACACCCACCCCGCCCTCGACCCCATCACCGAGGAGGAGAAGCTCGAGGTCGAGGATTTTGACGCTGAAGGAGAGAGAGAAGCCCGCGTGTTTACTCTGTGGCTCAACAGCTTGGATGTGCAGCCTGCTGTGCAATCATTCTTTGACGACCTGCGCGACGGTACGGTGCTTCTGCAAGCGTACGACAAGGTCATCAAGGGATCCGTCAATTGGCGTCATGTGAATAAGCCACCGGCGCACGGCGGAGAGATGCTGAGGTTCAAGGCGGTCGAGAACACCAACTACGCGATTGAACTCGGCAAGCAGAACCGCTTCTCGCTTGTGGGCGTTCAGGGTGCGGACATCACCGACGGTCAACGGACCCTGACTCTTGGCTTGGTGTGGCAATTGATGCGCAGGGATATCACCGTCACGCTGTCGACATTGGCGCAACGTCTTGGCAAGAAGGAGATTACGGACTCGGAGATGGTCAAATGGGCCAATGAAACGTCCCGCAAGGGCGGCAAATCATCCGCAATTCGATCCTTCAAGGATCCCTCCATTGGCACCGGTGTGTTTTTGCTGGATGTGCTCAGCGGTATGAAGAGCAGCTACGTCGACTACGACCTCGTCACCCCCGGCCATACGGACGACGACGCCTACCTCAACGCGAAGCTCAGCATTTCCATTGCGAGAAAGATGGGCGCCACCATCTGGCTGGTGCCGGAGGATATTTGCCAGATCCGTAGTCGCTTGGTGACCACCTTTATCGGTTCTCTCATGGCCACGGCAGAGAAGCAGGGACTGTGAAACCGACCCCGTCTTGACGACGAATGAAGTTTTTTTTCACGCTTGAATGTTTCTTGTCTATGAGGATAGAAAAAGGCCAAAACTGCGGCGAGGCTTTGTTGCTCGGTTTTTTTTAAAGTTGAATGAATCCATTACGAATACCACAAACTTTTGTAAACCTTTTTGGTAAACGTGACTTTTCCAAGGATTCGTAGTTCAGTCCTGAGGCATGTTTCCAACGATTCTAATTCGCTCAAGGTACTTTGTGCAGGAGTTGGCTTGATGAGCCTCATAAAACATACCGGCCAGCAGCACACATTGATAAATGGTACGAAATGTTTGTACGTATTCAAGAAACACCCCCAACCCCAAGGATTTTATTTCATACAATCTTTGCAAACCCTTCCCACATGTTGCCTCGCGGCAAACGTTTCTACATCCAACACATTACAATATAAGGTACAGACTACACAGCAAACTCGGACCCGTAAAGATGCCGAACCAAAACAGGACGTTGCCCAACACCTTGCGGTCCCTCATCCACCTCGTGCGGCTTATTCGTACAAGCTGGACGCGAGTCAGTCGAGCCCATGGGAGGTTCATGTACATCATCTCGGGTGGGACATTGGTCATTGGGGACCGAGGAAGGGGAGACAACTGTGCTGTGTTGTTTGGGGGGATTGGGATTAGGGTTTTGAGCGTACCGGTAACTGGCACATTTGCAAAAACAAGAGGTATCCCCTCAGTTTCTTAAAGATGCACCACATGACGAGCTCGTGGACGCAGGCGGACAGGAAAAAGGTGATGAGGGTGGCCGTGTGGCGGTTCACTTTCATGGAGGAGATTGAGCTGTGGTAGACGTGGCGGAGGAGGAAGTTGTGGACGGGCCTGTGTGGTTTTGTTTTGTTAACATTATCTTCATATACATGTAAACATGTTTGGTCTTTGAAGGGGGCGTTTGGAGGGGGTTCAGTTTTTGGGTGAGTAAGTCAGTGAGTGAGGGCTTACCGGTTCCAGTCGCGGGCGAATTGATCCCACGAGACTTTTGTAACGTTAGTGACTTAGAAGTGTCGGTAAGGGAAAAGGCAGTCGGTACATACCACTGTTCCACCACGCGTCGTAGAAGCTTCTGTCGGCGAAGTAGGTGAGCTCTGCGAGGGTGTTGAGGACGGTTTCCCAGATGAGGTACCATGCCATCTGCCTTGCGTATTAGCATTTTGTCTTTGCTGGTTTGCGGATACTAATGGTGTGCCCTCGCGGGGTCCTCGGGGGAAGAGGGCGTCTTGTCACTCACTATGTACTCCATGATGAACGGAAACATGAGATCGCTGAGCATCCAGGGAAAGTAGCGGAAGCGCTCGGCCAAGGGCATGCCCGTCTCCTTCATTACTACGGTCTGCATTACAACAGGGTCTGTCACGCGTGTTAGTGACCCGATGCGAAAACACAGCGGCGAGTAAAGCAGGAATAGTTGAGCCAGGGGGAAAGACCTACAGATGAAAGCCTGCGACACCATAATCATGACGAGTATAATACCAAACGTTGCCGCCGTCTTCTCGGCGACGTAATACCAGTCAATCGATTCGGAGCGAGGGTATTCGAGCTCGTATACGATCGTCGGCAGAGCAATGTACTCGTAGTGGTTCGCGAACGAGAGATTGTTGGGGTACGCCCGAACGACGCTCGTTGCTTGACCCTTTAGCTCGTCCGTGATGCCGTCAATCTCCCACCGGATGATGCGCTCAAAAACCCTGACCTGGTCGGCATCCAGGGGTTGCCCGGACTCGATGGCGCGAGAGATGCGGTCGAGATCCGTCAACGGCCGGTACTGGTCGTCGCCGCCGCCGCCGCTGCCGCCGTTGGCCTGGGCTTGGGCGATGGACTGCCTGCGCCCGTGCATCTCGGCGGCCGAGGGCGGGTTGGCCAGGTGCGAGACGGAGACGGTGGAGGCGGAGGGCGCGGTGGAGGAGGGAAACTCGGTCGGGGCGACGTGCTCGAGCTTCTTGAGCTTGGAGAGGAGGTACTTGCGCTTCTTGTAGGCCGAGGAGAGATAGCCGTTGTAAAAGGCGTACGAGTGCTGCTTCATGAGCATGACGAAGCCGTGTAGGACAAAGAAGACGGTATGTGTCCAGGGCCAGTCTCGGATCAGGGTCAAGCCTATCACGCCGCCGATATAGATTGACTGCCAGACCTAGTGAAGTGTGAGGGCCTACTCATGGAGACAAATGGTCATTCAGTCAGTCGACTTACATTCTGAAGAATCCAGCCTGACCTGTCCCAGTCAATGTAGCCGGTAAAAATCAGGCGCTGCAACACCCAGCTGACGCCCGTGATGCCGCACAGGACGCCGTCGGAGGCGAGGAGCACGAAGACGTCCCGGCGGAACATGGTCTTCATGATCTCGTTGGTGCCCAGGGGGCTCCCCGTCGCCCGCCAGTTGTTGGCGGCGATCCTGGCGACAAAGAGCGCCACAGCCAGCCAGAAGAACGTGTAGAAGCCGTGAAAGGGGCTGTTGGCCGTGTTTTGGTTGTGTCGATCAAATGTGGAGAACTGCCGCGTGAAGACGAGGTCGCTGAACTTGCCGGCACGTCGTGGCCTCTTGGGATCCCTTTCCTACAGTTGTGTTAGTCGTTCCGTAGCTGGCACGTTGTGCATAGAGCACTGACGACCTACCCTCTCGAGACCTCGTTTGATGACATCCCGCAACTCGCGGTCATCGGGAGACAGCACATACGTCTTTAGACGACCGGACCCATCCTTGATAGGCTCCTCGTCAATGCTCGAGGCCTCCGACAATGTCGAACCGTCTAGCGAGAGCGTCCTCTCGCGGATCGAAGACTTCTTTAGGGGCGATGCGCCGGGACGTGGTGGTGCTCGTTCTTTACGCAGCCTCGCTGACTGTTTCGGGTCGTCGTAATCCTCTTCACTTGGGCTTTCCGAAGGCGCCGACGTTGCCCGGTCCCCGCCCGCGGCCCGTAACGCGTCCCGGAGTGAACGGGGCTCCGGAGAAGCGGCCAATGAGGTCGACATTGCTGCCGGGCTCAAAAGTCCTTTGATTTGTGTCTTGGCAAAGCCGGAATCCCAAGAGGATGCCGATGCCAGATCATGCAAAGAATCTGGCTTACTTGAGACGAAATAAGCACCGTGCCGTGAGCCGCCCGCAGGCGATGATGTCGTCTGTAAAATACAGAGCAGCAGCTCAAACTCGAATAGACTGACAAAGGTGAGCAACAATTGTTGCTTCCTCCCTGGGATAGCGTCGCAATTCAATACAGGAGTGCTGGTTGTTTATAAGTGTTGACAGCAACGCGGCCCGAGGTCGATGTATCGACGCAACCGAGGACCCAACAACCTCGAAGCTAGTCCACTCGTGCAATCGGGATGCGAGAACGAGCACTGGGCAGTACAGTACAGGGGAATTGTAGTAATGACTCGGCACGAGTACGAGAGTACGAGCTGTTTCCACAATGTGTGGTTGAAGAAAAAAGGGTTCCAAATGATGCAGATGAGAGTAAACTTAAGAAGAGATGAAACATGAGCACGAGTAGGGAGGCGAGTTGGCTTGCAATGATATAAGAACAGCTTCTACGGGACTGCCGGACTCAGAGGGCAGTCAGGACGGGTCGTAAACGCCTTTGCCGTCCTACGAATCCATGGCTGACACAGGTACGAGAGAGATAATCTGAGATTGCTAGACAAAGGCGTTGGCGGGAGGCTCAATTTCGGCCGAGGTTTCCGGAGGGTTAATTGCACTCATCTCACGTATCGCACGCATCGCACGCATCGTACCATAACTTTGCGGCTCGCGCATGGTACGATGAGCAATAGCCCGACCCGAGGATTGTAAAGTTTCCGTTGGCACTACACTGCTCCCGCTTATCCCGCTCAAGGACGGGGAGCCTGGAGTCCAGGAGGCGACATCATGTGGGTGGTGCAGGTGGGCTCCGATAAAGTCAGGTAAAGTATAATAAAAGAAGATGACGAGAAAAAAGGACAGAGAGAGGGAGCGTGGGTAAAGACGGACTGGAATGGTGGCCCTTGCTACTCGGAATACAGGCGACCCCAGTTGGTAATTTGGTCGTTCCGATCGAGAGTTTTCGAGAAAACGACCCCCGTCCAGTATTGCATAACACGTGAAAAGGGAGAACACACAGGTGACAGAAGTCGTGTGCTACGGTAAGACATCAGTCTCCTCGAATGTCTCTGGTTGTTGCCTCGATTGTCTTGCTCAGCCAGGTAGATGCCGGCGAAGAAGTCCCATCTTCTTATTCGGTCTCTGACGCCTTTGTATAGGTGGAATACGCGAATAGCAAGAAATGGGTGAAGGCGGGGGGAGTAAGACAGATAGAGAACTGGCTCCTAGTAAGGCATCTCGCATCCGAGGAGGAAATACATATGTGGCTCAGAATATGAAGTGGGATGCGGTGCCGTCTCTCTTTTTCGCGTTTCTCTGACAGGAAGCTGTCGCAAGGTGTGGCCGGAAGCGGAGACACGTACTCGCATCCGGGCACAGGCCGACTTCCCCCGTCGGTGCGCTGTCTGATCTTTGTTGTCCTGAAGAGGGAGAAACACGTGGTGTTGATTTCTGTGTTCCGGTCACGGTCTGGTTGTTGGCCTGCTGAACAGGCGGATAGTTTGCAGGGGAATTACAAAGTACGAAGGAGCTTCGGCATTTTTCGGTGAGCGTGTTCGGTCACCTTGGATTGTTTGCAAAAATAGGACTCCTGTCCTGTTCTGCAATGACATCACTAGCTCCCCGAATGGGCCGGGTAGGTGCCTGACCTCTCTGCCTTTGGTTAGCCGGGCAGGTGCCGTGCTGCTTGCTGCTTGCTGCTTATGAAACAGTGTCGCAGTGGACGGGACGCACCTGCCAGCTCCGCGCGTTTCGACCTCCACTGGCCTTCTGGAAGGTACGCAGTTGACTGTGGAGGGGAGCGACGGCCTGGAGGTGGCAGGCAAAGAGGCCACAGCGGTGACAGCTCCGTTTAAAAAACACTGGATGCGACCCGCTTTACGTAAGCTTCGCTCTCAATTTCCAGCCTCCAAGCGCCGTGTCAAACGAACAACCTGACGACGTCCTTCCACGGAGGTGCCCTGGTCCACCGGTACGTACCCGAGCTCGCTCCCGTAACCAAAATCTTTTTGTTGCGCCAGGGCCGATCCAAGCAACCTCTCGTTTCCTCTCTTCTTCTTCCGACCGTGCCATTTCCATCATCACCAAACCACCACGCGCATCCCGATTTCTTCCCTCCTTGTCCCCGTCACGAGGCTCTGCTCCATCAGGCCCCCGTCCATCGCTTCATCTCCATTGCGAGATACACACTTGCCTCTTCTCCTTCCATTCCATTTCATTGAGTCCCTTTCAGCCAAGTCAATCACCAACATCATGTCGCGCGGTGGCACCACCCTGTACGTGACTGGCTTCAGCCACGGCACTCGCGCCCGAGACCTCGCCTACGAATTCGAACGGTATGTCAACTGAAAATCAGAAAATTCCACGTCGATGCCTCCGTCCGTCCTGTTTTCCTCCCGGCACGCGAGAGCCTTCCGAGATTTCCGATATTCCATCTCCTTCCCTCGCTGCTCCCCGCCCACGCCTCCGTCCACGTCTACGTCTCCGTATTCGTCCTCCGCCCGTCCTCCCGCTCTCGCACTCGCTGCTTCCACCTCACGCATCAATACAATATGCCTCCCTCGCCCGTCCTCCGTTTCCGTCCTCGTCCTCGTCCTCGTCCTCCGTCCCCCATCGATGCGTCCTCTCGTTCGCTCGGGCTGCCTCCTCCCAACCCACCGCCCGTTGGCCGCGCCGCTGTGGCCTGCCAACACTCCGTGGCACACCGAACACAATACAGCTAGCTGCCTTGTGCTGCGCCGACGACGGCCCGCGTTTCGTCTCGAATGGAGCAAACGAAGAATCTCATGTATGTATCGACGTGCTGACATTCTGACTCGAATATAGCTATGGACACCTTGTCCGATGCGACATCCCCGCTCCTCGCTCGGCATCCAGCAGACTGTGCGTTCTCCGTCCGAAGCTCTCCAGCTTCCCATTCACAGCCGACCAAACTGCTAACACCATGCCAGGTTTGCCTTTGTCGAGTACGAGGATCGTCGCGATGCTGACGATGCTTACCATGAGATGCATAACAAGCGCATTGGACGTGACGACATCTTGAAGATCGAGGTAAGACGGCACAGGACGGAGTTTCTGGGGAATGTTTGCTGATGTGCTTCAGTGGGCTCGCACCCCTCCTTCCGCCTCATGGCGCTTCGACTCTGGTCGTGATCGTGAGCGCGCTCCGCGCCGCTCTTCTCCCCGTCGCGGCCGCTCGCCCTCCCCTCGCCGCAGCACTCGCGACTACTCCCCCAGAAAGGACGATCGCCGGGACCGCGACCGCGACTATGACCGCGGCGACCGACGCGATACCCGCGACCGTTCCCGCAGCCCTGACCGACGGTGTGTTGACTCTCCTAGAAAAGACTCTCCCAAAGACTCTCCCAAAGATTCTCCCAAAGACTCTCCAAGAAAGGCCGAATTTGAGCTAGTGATCCTGACTGGCCAGAAGTGATCGAGACGCCAAGGATGACCGCGACGACCGGGAACCTCGTGAGAACGGTACCAACGGTGACGATAGAAAGGGTACGTAGAACGGCGAATAGACGTGCGGTAGGCGGCACGACGGCAAAAGTTTGGCTAACATTACTTTCCCCACAGCACTGGACAGCCCTCCCCCTGCCCATGACGACCTGGACGTTGCTGCGGAGTGATAAGTATACCTGGCAATTTCTCTTGTCGGGTTGTGCGCGGCTGTGCCAAAAGTTTTTCTGATTTCTCACCCGGTTCTCCTCTCTCTCACACCATCTGAATCCTGGATCTGTAAAGTGTCCTCACCTTCTGGGAGATTTTTAGTCTCGATGCGACCGATCCGGCTTCTTCGAGCTCAGCACACGACACCCGGGCTGCCCGATATTGGCAGCATCCGAGTTACTAGACATACCTATCCAAGACTCGATAATCGGCGGGACATCCGTTTCGGAAACGAATGCGAAACGACACGAGGTTTTTGGCGAGGCGGCCTTTTGAAAGCATTACTCCCATAGTAGTTTAGAAATTGAAATGTAGGTTTTTACAGAAGCTTGCAAATGTGGTCCAATGGCGTGATTGTTTGAGGCTCATTGGCATATTCGAGCTTCAGGGTGTAGATGGGTTGACCACCTGAGGATGGCAATCGTGACCACCAATACAAGAATGAAACCAGACCTTGGAGCAGCACTCGCTGACGTCGTCCACGTGTTGAGGGTGGCTTCAGCTGCTGCTGCCCTCTTGAAGCAACTTGATGAAAGACGGGGTGCGTGAGCCAAGTAAATCGAGAGGCACACGGTGGTCCCAGCAAGATATTGAGTAGCTCTGGGCCAATCCCCGGCTGTCAGGTGCCGAGGGTTTTGCTCCTCGTATCGAAAGACGAGAACTGGCAGAAGCTGGAAAGAGATCAACTTGATTATGAGCACCATTAGCAGAAAATACCAGGTACAGGGCACTGAATGTCCGGCGGAGATTATTAAAAGTGGGCTTCTAGGAACGCAAGATCAAAATACTGAGGTGTCATCGGGCAGTGATTATGTACTGAGCCATCCTGATTAGGTGCGTGGGAGGTTTTCGCGGTAGCGGGTGCGCTTGTCAATTGTTTGCTGGAGAAACGTCGATATCGTAAACGTTGTGTGATGCGGGGAAAGATGGAGGAGGGCGGGGTGATCTCCGAAGACTAGGGTTAGCATGGTACGCAGTTTGTCGTTGATAGGGAGGATCCGGAGAGTCGGGGTGCCGAAGGGAGGGTTTCTCGGTAAACTCGCGCCGATGTGACCCGGACGCCGCCGAGATGGAGGGGGAAAAGACGGAGGCAAGACCAGACCTGACTGTCGGGATTGGCAGGACTTGGTTGGGATACTTTGTCCAGGCAGGATTGGCGGTGTTGAGGGATGAGTGAGAGAAAGAGAAGAGGACGGGAAGGTTGTACATGTTCGTGTGGTTTGGGTGAAATGTGATGCGGCTATATCTATGATAGTATTCTCGGTATGAGATTGGATCTTTTCCTCGGTATCAGGACTGTCACTGTGGTCATCTCCCGTCTTGCGAGCCCGTTTTCTTTTTTCCATGACGAAGCTGGGTTCCCCGTTTTCCCCCAGATTGTCGTCAAGGGAGTGGAGCTCAAGGTGAGGACAGCAACAAGGCCGGAGACGGAGAGCACTCCATCCACTCATCCAGTTAGAGAGAGGAAGGTTGGGAATGCAACAAGAGGAGAGGAGAGGAGGCCGTCGACTGAAATCGAGTTGCATGTTTCGGTACCTGACATCATTTCCGGTATCATCTTGATGGATGGTATCAGCGATAAAGGGTGGTACGCCGTGGTTGGTTTCCAGTGTTGTCAGAAGCATCCGCTTGTCGGGGGAAAGTAAAGGTACCGGGCCAGAGGTACACGTTCTGAGGTTCCTCAGATGTGGCTGTGACCAATGGACAGTTTCCGTCCCCAGAGCCGAGCCAGGCGGGAAGCTGGCAGGTGAGCCACAGCCGCTCTGGGGGCAGGGGGGCCTTCTAAGGTACTCTCTGTGCTCTCGTCATCTCCAGCTTTTGGTCAGGTTGAAGTGTGGTACTTCGTCATAAGTACCTCAAGTACCTCACGTACCTTACCCCCCCGAGGTTCCAGCGGTCACTGCTTCCGCCTGGGAGGCCTGGGAGGGAGCTGAAATTCAATCTGCGTCGTTGGCATCTGGTCGTTGCGTCTGCCCCTTCACAACTAGCTAATTCGTTCCTCGCGGCCTCTTTCTCCCACCTCACGCCTCGACAACCTACCACCACATTCAACGGCCAAGGGTCTAGGCGCAAAAGCTCCAAGCTCGACGAGCTTTCTCTCTGGACTTTGCGCGCCTTGTCAATTCCGCCCCCCTCCCCATTCGTCTCGTCGCTTTCCCCCGTCGACCGAAACGACTTCGTCCCACGGCAACACCTCCAATCCTCGACCTCGACCTCGACCTCTACCCTTCCCGATCAAGGGTTTCTCGCAGGCGTACCCCTCGAAACGACCCTCATCTCTTCGTACCAAAACACCAATTCGTCGAGAACTCGTTAGCCTTCACCAGTCGAGCCTTCCTCTGCCATACCCTCTTCGTCGTTGTCAGCATAGCCGCGGCACATGGGAAATACCCTCGTCGAAAACCATCGACCCAAAAAAACCCGCGATACACACGACCACCTTCCAGCCGCACCAGCTCGCGGCCACGAGACTCCTTTGACGCTCAGAAACCTCACGTTTATATCGACCGCCCACTCGACTATGCCTCCGTCGTCGTTCCCATTCATCTTTTAGACTATCTGAATCTTTTTTCTTTGGACTTTTTTGCGTCGTTCTTTTTCCAAGCATCTTTCCCCCCTTCAGCGCTCCGTCGCCTTCCCAAAAAGTCGCAAAACTTTTTGAATACCGCGAATCTTCCCATATCCCACCCTCAACAGCCTTAAATGCAAGCACAGTCATAGCAATAAGGTGGCTTCGGAGGTTCAGCAGTGTGGTCGTCAGTCACGAGTCTTGCGCTTGCAACAACACACGCATCCGCACTGCTCCTTGACCAGAGTCTGAAGTCATGTCGCCTGTAAGTGCACACACTCGCTCCTGCTGCATTTCCCACCACCCTTCGTACCCTGCTCTATCGCTTTGCTCCGCTCGGCGTCTCGGAAATTTGTCCCTACAGGAAATCAACGTTTGCTGATACCCAGTCTGCACTTGCAGTCTCCCAATGGCGCGGCTGTCCCTGCGGCTGTGGCTCCGGGCCCAGCTCCGGCCCCGGTCAAGTACCTCTACCTTCGTGATACAGTTTCCCAGCCTGTTGTCGCCGCCTTCTGCGCCGGCGGTGTGGCTGGTGCTGTCTCTCGAACTGTCGTCTCGCCTCTTGAGCGACTCAAGATCCTGTTCCAGGTCCAGAGCGTTGGACGAGATGCCTACAAGCTGTCTGTAGGCCAAGGTCTGGCTAAGATGTGGAGAGAGGAAGGTTGGAGAGGCTTCATGGCAGGTAATGGCACCAACTGTGTGCGCATTGTGCCGTACTCTGCTGTTCAATTCGGCAGCTACAACTTTTACAAGCGGGTGAGTTACATTGGCCTTTGACCACCTTGTGCTGGGACTGGTTGTGAAGAGTGGCTTGGATGAGAGCGTTTGGAAAGTACCAAGACTAATGTGATACAACTCACAGAGCTTCTTTGAGAAGACACCTGGTGCAGACCTCTCTCCTCTTGCACGTCTGACGTGCGGTGGTTTCGCCGGCATCACCTCCGTCTTCTGCACATACCCCCTTGACATTGTTCGCACCCGACTGTCTATCCAGACTGCCTCCTTTGCAGAGCTGGGTCCCAGAGCTGAGAAACTGCCGGGCATGTGGTCTGTCATGGCCACAATGTACAAGACGGAGGGTGGTTTCTCTGCCCTGTACCGAGGCATCGTCCCCACTGTCGCCGGTGTTGCACCCTATGTATGTGGTTCTCTCGAGTTGGATCGACTTGGCGCTTGACTCTAATTTGGCAAACCAGGTTGGCCTCAATTTTATGGTCTACGAATATGTCCGCAAGTATCTGACCCCCGAGGGTGACAAGAATCCCAGCGCCGTTAGGAAGCTGCTTGCCGGAGCCATCTCTGGAGCTGTCGCTCAGACCTGCACCTATCCCTTGTGAGTTGGTTCAGTGGAAATGAGGCGCTCTCCCATATGTTCCTTCTACTAACAAGAGGTAGCGACGTCCTTCGCCGAAGATTCCAGATTAACACCATGACGGGCATGGGCTACCAGTACAAGTCGATAACTGATGCTGTCCGAGTCATCATTGCCCAAGAGGGTATCAAGGGCATGTACAAGGGCATCGTCCCTAACCTCCTCAAGGTTGCGCCGAGCATGGCATCCAGCTGGCTCAGCTTTGAGCTATCGCGCGACTTCTTGGTCTCTCTAAAGCCTGATGGTGACGGTGAGACTGCTCTCTGAGACGAGATGCAGCTAGTACTATTTTAACAGTGCCGGCTGGGCTCAATCAAGACGCCTTTTCGGTACAAGGATTCCAAAGAACCTCAGGATTGAGGATGGGGATGCCTTTATTAGACGGTGGCTGGCATAACAGTCGCATTGAGGCAGAGAGACTGCCTCGCCCAGGGTTGTACTTTTCCAACCTGGCATTCAACCACCAGTGTTTTGATAATGTATTACAACAAGACTAGCTCGAGTACCCCAAGACAGGCGGGGGATATCACAGGTTTTGCCTGGATTGCATCATGGAAAGGTGAAACTGGGCACTGCTCTCCCTAAAGGATGAGTGTACAAGAACCAAATAGGTAGATCAAGCATTAGCTCGAAACATGACATGGATTGAGCTCATAAGAGTGTATGCTTTCATGTTGTTGATGCCGTTTCTGTGAAGGGCCTTGACTGTTCTTCTTCTCATTGCCTCTGCGCTATTTCAGCTCGGAAGCCGAAAGTAAGAGCCTCCGGTCGACCCTTGATGGCTTCCTATTCGTCACGTTGTAAAGAATGTTTCCAAACACCCCCTTTCTAATCCGCGTCACCTTGACAAATCTGACCTTGACAGAGAAAGCATCTCACCGAGACTGACCGAAAAGGCAGGGGTTCTTCTCGCCCCGCTCCTCCCTGCAGGCAGACTTTACAGAGTGGGGCCTTCTTGGGTCCACGGTCCACCGGTCAGCAAATGTTTAGATCCCCATCCGAGACGGACCCACCGGAAAATTTATTGATCCACTCGGCCTTGATTGCAGTTGCCCTAAAGCCCACACAGCCCGATTTTTCCGCCTGGCGAGGAGCGTAATTCTAGTGTGGCCGGGCGGAAATCTTTTGAAAGTTTTCCTTTCCCACCGACGACGACAACATCACGGCCACCCATTTGACTCAAATCGCCAACTCCGGGAGTCTTTCGACAAAATGGGTACGTAGGAATTTTCCATTCCAAGCCTTTACATGCGAGTGGAATTGTGCAACGTGCGGTCCTTTGCATCTCTCTGTTTATTGTCTTCTCCGTCGTCGGAAAAGACTTGCGACACCAAGAGAGAAATGAACTGGATTTGCCGTTGCCATTCTGCGAACTAGGCGCGGCGGAAAGAAAAGGAATCCTCTCCTCCCATTGGATGATGCCATCGTCTCTTCTCCTGCGCTCTGCGGGGAGAGAAAAAGATTCGACTAGAGCTCTTCGTGGTTGACGGATGATGGACTTTTCCCGCCTCCATTCAGAGCATGTTTGAACCAAAGGCTGACGATTGGGCTCTTCACCCCCGTTTATAGGTATCGATCTCGACCGCCACCACGTGCGCAGCACGCACCGCAAGGCTCCCAAGAGCGACAATGTGTACCTCAAGCTTCTCGTGAAGCTGTACCGCTTCTTGACCCGTACGTCTACCCGAGCCGCCATCGACGGATCCCATGTGGTTCGACACCCGAAAGACGACATGCTAATCTTTTGACAAATAGGTCGCACCGACTCCAACTTCAACAAGGTCATCCTGCGCCGTCTCTTCATGTCGCGCATCAACCGCCCCCCCGTCTCCATCTCCCGCATTGTCGGCAACCTCGACAAGGAGGACAAGCGCACCGTCGTCATCGTCGGCACCGTCACTGACGACAACCGTCTCCTGACCGTCCCCAAGCTGACCGTCGCTGCCCTGCGCTTCACCGCCACCGCCCGCGCTCGCATTGTCGCTGCCGGCGGAGAGGCCATCACCCTCGACCAGCTTGCCCTCCGCGCCCCCACCGGCGGCAACACCCTGCTGCTCCGCGGACCCAAGAACTCCCGTGAGGCCGTCAAGCACTTCGGCTTCGGTCCCCACAAGCACAAGGTACGATCTCTCTCGATTCGCCGCAACCCCGGTTCAGAGTCAGGGAAGAAAATCACAAGAATAGCACTGACACCCTCTGCAGAAGCCCTACGTCGAGTCCAAGGGCCGCAAGTTCGAGAAGGCCCGTGGTCGCAGAAGGTCCCGCGGTTTCAAGGTCTAAGCGATGGTGGGAACTTTTCATCTCTCCATCATTGCCGGGATCTTTCTCACTCTGGGGTTTGGTCGTGCGTGATATGGTCGCGCTGGTGGACAAAACACGCCATTATAAGGCTATGGTATGCCGGTGTGGGCGGGGGGTTGAGATATACCCCCCCTTTCGTCGTGCTTTACAGGGAAATTCTTTCTGCATGGTATGGCGTGTTTAGGTATCCAAAAAAAGAATTGACGACTACGAACTCTAATGGCGTCGAATGGCATTTCTTGGGCTGGTTTTTTAACACTTTACATTGCTGTACATGCCCCTTTCCTGTGACTCGCGCATGTGATAGGTCATCGAACAAGACCCTCGACATTCATCTTGGACAAGATCACCCAAACTGCCTTGGCTTAGGGAGGATGACGAAGCACAATTCCTCCATCACAACAGACCCATCCCGCTCCTTGCCACTACAGACTGGTTCTGCCTAAATCGGCAAAAGAGCCATCCCATCGTTCACCCAGGCTCCATTTCATCATCGTCTCCAACAACCGGGCAAAATCCCTGACTGACTCGACCGATGATGGCCAAGCCAACTCCCGTCTGCTCAGATATGTCGCAATCACAAGCGTAGGATGTCCAGTACAAAAGGGAGAGAAAAAAAAGACACATACCTTTCTCAACCACGGCAGGAAACAGCCTCGAACATGAGGGGCAGAGATTGTCGGGGATGCTTGAGAAAGCCCTCCCCAGGCCGACATGACTTGAGGTAGCAAGCCACGCCGCGCTTTTCCCGCCTGAAGCGATGAGGCAAAGATTGACCTTTGCAAACCCCACGTCTTGGGCGCCGCGATGCGGAGGCATCTTTAGCCCTTTCTTCCCCTCCCCATCTTCCTCTCGCCTCTTCGCGGCGATCCTCCACGCGTGCAGAAATCTCGTCAGTCCCAGCCCGATCAGAGACATCTGAGTACGCACAGCTCTTATCTATCGAAGTGGGAAAGAGCATCCTTTTCGAAATTGACACTGAGACGAAGGGATGGTGCTCGCCAATGTAGTAATTGAGAAATGTATGACCTTCGGACTCCTGGGTGGCCTCATCGTCAACCCCAAGCATATCAGAGCCACTTCGCCGATATTTACTCCCCAATTGACTTACACTTGCCATTTAACACCGCTTAAAAGCAGATCGATTTCGGGGATTATGTCTTGGGGTGCGTCTCTAATCTTAACCCTGGCATGTAGGAAACTCCTCGCCCAAGATGACGATTTCTCACGTTTGATCCTCTACCGGCAGCATTGATTTCAGCTGATCTGGGCCAAGATGATGTTGCATCACTTCCCGGCGAGGAACTCCTGGTGTAACTCCGTGTCCTCTTTGGTGATTTTCTAGCGCATGCTGTACAGCTTATGGCGCCGCCTTGGGGGAATTTGAGGGTATACACTAGAGCAGCTCACTATGATCATCCTTGGGTTATACGGACGGTGGTCGTTGGAAGAGGACTTCCATTCCATATTCTACATCCATGAATAATGCAAGAAGAAGATTCGTCATGGGCTTGTCTAGTCTTACAAAGTAAGATAATTATATGGGTTGGTCAATCAAATTTTCTTGTAAACTATGCTCGTTCCAAGTCCCCGTTGCCTTTGTTGATGAATCAGGTACCCTAAATAGATGTGATTCCTAGATCCATGAGATTGTTCCATCCCGCGGCGAATTCCGGAGTTCATGGTTGCTCATCCTGGCAATATAGATCCCAACATTGAAAACTGTTGATAGATTCCGATCCGCCTCTACCAAGGATGTACTGATCGCTCCATGACTCCGTCCCAGTAACGCTCTCCGCCCCTTAATCAACTCGCATTGGGCCAAAGCAGGGAAAGAACTTGGCAAAGTCTTGACTTTTAGAACTAGACCATGTCCCCGCAAGACCAACAGTCACAAAGTCCTCACCGCATACCCCCAACTCGTGGGATACAAATATGAAGGGGGTACTCGACCGACGCCGGGCAGTCTTGCCCAAATCCTACTGGTTGTGTGCAAATTGGACGATGTAGGTAGTTTATTCGGAGCCACGACAAGGCTATGGTCTATCAAAGACGAAGAACGGGAGAGCCAGAACCGTAGCGCTTGACCGGCTGACCTCCTTTTCTCTTCTTCTGGCATCGATGGAGGAAATTAACCATTCATTACGGGAAAGAAGATTGCACCTAAATCTGTCGCCGGCTCGCAATTCGTTTGGATCGGGGCGTTCAACACCGGGAGCTACTATTTCCTCCTCGGGATATGGTTGTTCTTTTTATGGCAAATTGACGATAGACATGGACCGTTATTCTTGGGCGTGACCCATTGCTTCCAATAACGGGGGGCAGAACACAGGCCAACCAAGGTGGGGGCGAGAACGCAGTGCCCCCCTCTTGCTAAAGTATTTACTCACAAAAGCAAGGGAAATCGATGCTAGCCAAGAGCTCATCGCAGGCACCAACCCCGAAGCCTCCAGTCCCAAGAGCATAGGAGACTCGCCCTGCTTCCTCCCCCGATTATCGAGGCCGCAGCACTTCCACCTTTGACGCTTACGCTCAGTCATATGTGTTGCCGCATGTCACTAATCTTCGTCAACCTCGTCACAGCTGGACCAAACGTTTGGGTCCTGTTAACAACCATTCCCAGTCCTCGTGGTCTAGTTCCAACATTCACACCTTCCGTCATCGCCTCGGTCCCATTCGACGGCGCAGAACTGTCCCTGAATTGGTCCCGTATCATAGGGGAGATTGAGCTTCATGGTGACGGTGGGGATTTCCGTGATGTTCTGGTACGATGATGTGAATTGAGGGTCGGTTCAAGTCGTCTTGGTTCAATGATGATACGCAGTGCCTTTATATCTTGGCTATGTTAAATAGAAACTGAGCACGGAAATGGTTGATGGTTAGTTTTTCAGCTACTTTATGTGATAAATTTGAGTAAGGATCGTAAAATATTAATAAATGCCTCCTCTTGAAAAGGTGCATTTACCACCACCCACAACTAACAAAAATGCTTCAAGTATGTTTTAGTCGGGCCTACCACCGGCTGACATGGCGTCCTGTTCGTGCCCAGACCTGTCATTGACTCTCGGACCTCGACGTCCGTTCAACACATCAAGATGCTGTAGTCTGGTTTTCGGATCTTTACTAAAGTGTCTTGCATGCTCTTATTGGTTCACTAGTACTAATTTCGTCCGTGCATAAGCAAGAGGAATGTTGTGTCCCAAGCCAGTCAATGAACTACAATCGTTGCCGCCGCCATTGTGTTGCCAGTCACTCACACAGCCCTATGCGAACCACACCAATGGAAAAAACACCAGATTTTTGGAGCTCATGAACTCATTGAACGACTATGGCTAACGTAAAGGAAATAAGGTAATATCCGTTTGTCTAAGATCGTACAGTCTACAGGTCGGTATCTACAACTTGGAAATGATGGCGCCGGCAAACTCGCCAGTCTTGGCCTTGCCGCCCAGGTCGCCGGTGAGGGCCTTTCCTTCCGCGAGGGTATCAAAAGCGGCCTTTTCAATTCTGTCGGCGTACTCGCCGAGGCTCATGTGTCTCAGCATCATCATGGAGCTGAGGAGCAGAGCGGTGGGGTTGGCCAGGCCCTTGCCGGCAATGTCGGGGGCGGAGCCGTGGACGGCCTCGAAGATGGAGCACTCGTCACCAATGTTTCCAGAGGGGGTGAGGCCGAGACCGCCAATGAGACCGGCGCACATGTCGGAGAGAATGTCACCGTACAAGTTGGGCATGACGAGGACCTTGTCGTTGTAGGGGAGGGGGTCGGTGACCATCTTCAGGCAGGTGTTGTCGAGGAGCTCGGCGTCGAACTCAATCTCGGGGAAGTCCTTGGCGACGTCGCGGGCGGTCTTGAGGAAGAGACCGTCGGACATCTTCATGATGGTGGCCTTGTGGACAACGCGGACCTTCTTGCGGCCAATCTCCTGGGCCTGCTGGAAGGCGAAACGGAGGACGCGCTCGGAAGCCTCGCGGGTGATGAGCTTGATGGACTGGACGACGCCATCGACGACGACGTGCTCGATGCCAGAGTATTCACCCTCGGTGTTCTCGCGGATCAGGACGGTGTCGACGTTGTCGTAGGGGGTCTTGTAGCCGGCGACGGATCGGCAAGGACGGAGGTTGGCAAAAAGGTTGAAGGTGCGGCGGAGAGTCAGGTTGAGGGAGACGTGGCCCTTGCCAATGGGGGTCTACATGTTTAGGTTAGAATGGTGGGACAAAAGTTCATGGTCGGTCCAACGTACGGCCAGGGGGCCCTTGAGGGCAACCTTGTTGCGCTTGATGCTCTCGATGGCGGCATCGGGGATGGCGGTCTTGCCGTCCTTAATGATGGGGGTGACATCGACGGGCTCCCAGGTGACGGGGGCCTTGGCCGCGGCAAAGATGTCCTTGACGGCCTGGGAGATCTCGGGACCGATACCGTCACCCTCAATCAAGCTGACTGGGTAGTTGCCCTACAATATTGGTGGTTAGTCTTTTTCAAATCTTCTAGATGTCGCAGGTTTGAGCAGCGCCAATTGAGTGATTTTGGCCCGCGCAAAGGGCCGAGTCGGGACTCCATTGTTGCGAAAGTACCCGTCCTTCTTCACATGGACATATCCCCCGAATGACGTCTGCGTTGACGAGCAGTGAAAGCAGTCCAGTGTTGAGGTCGGGTGCGCCAGCAACAACAAAGCCGAGGTCCTGACTTTGCGCGTAAAATTTTATGGGGCGGGTAGTAACGGAGGAGGGAATGGGATTGGGACGGCATACGTTGGAGTCCTTGACACCGTGGAACTTGGCGACACGCTCGCTCGAGTAGAATCTGGAGTTCTATAAAGGTTGTTAGCTTCTGTTTCTACTTCAATGGCTGGCCTGCAGCTATGCGCAGCGAGGCTCTGCACGTGGGCATCGTCGACCGTCGACGGGTGGGCGGAATCGCGGGACGGCAAGGAGCAAGACGAATTGCGCGCACCTGGAACTGGGAAACGGCGGCGGCGCGGGGAGCAGCGCGCATGGCCTGCTGCCGGAGAGGCGCAGCGAAGGTACGGGCGGCCAGCATCGTGACTGATGTGTGAGGTAATACGGTCCTTGAGGAGTGAAGGATACGTAGAGACGGAGGAGTAGTGGCTGGTCGGGAGCAGGTTTCGTCGTTTATCGGGGGACGGGAATTTTAAGGTCGGGAGAAGGAAGTGTACGTAGCAGATACGCCAGCCGGGGTTGACAGGTGAGAAAATAACTCGCCGCTTTACTGGAAGAGTCTTGGCTCCGCTGGCATTGGGTAGTGGGCGTAGAAGGCGGGTTCGCTGCAGAATTAAATGATACCGGTACCAATGTACCTGGGTAGCACCAGGAATCAGCGAATTCACTTCTTGACAGATGCGAGTTTCAATACCGCCACCTCTCTCAAACTTGACGACCACAGACGCGGATTTGCAGAAACTGCCGTCAGTCAGTCCAAGTTGACGAAAAACTGGACTTCTGAGTGTCTGGGTCACAGCTGTGGACAGCCAGAAAGTGGCAATTGAATTGGGATTGCAAAGTCTATCTCTCAGAGGATTCTGTATTCTATCTTCATCTTCGTTTACATGAATTGAACACGGCGTTTCCTACAAGATGCCAACTATTTAGTCTTGCAACTCTACTTATCTTATATACTTGAATTGTCTTTATCCGAGGTCGAACATCCCGAAAGTGGGATCCCCAGTAAAGCGGCGCCCCGTCTTCACTGGGAAAAGAAAACATCCCGCGGGATTATCGATGACCGACCTCTAGCACCGACCAATGCCGAAGGTTCAGCCACAGCGCAAGCCGTTGATGTGGCTAGTGCAGACCCCTTCTTCTCCAATTTTCTTCGGGCGGCAGGAACGGAGATGGACTTTTCTGGCCGACCAAGGGTCAGCCCGCCTGACCGAGCTTACCTTCCAGAATCCAGGTACACCGACGGGTGTACTCGGTGTGCCATACCTTACCTTAAGACGGCGCTAAGTGGGCTGCACCGTTGTCACCAGGTGCCTAGGTAGCTGTACCACCTTGAACAGAACACAAACAGTTCACGCTTCCAGTCCAAAGAGTTGCTTCTTACTCCATCGCACTCACACAGTGCTCTTCGCGGCTCCGGGACTTGGTTGTTTTTGGTGTTGTGTGGCATTGTCAATCACTCATCTTTGGCCAATGGAATTCTTCGTCTTGTACCTTTGAAACGGCTACACGTATTGCAAGTAGCAAGCTCCCTCGCCGAGCCCCCAGCCGTTCCTCGGCCGGCTGGGACAACGATCGCTTCCCTCCCCCTTTGCCAACCACGAATCGAGATACCGAAACCCCATAATGTCATCAGACTACGAGAGAACGATCCTGGATTTTTATCAGCTTCCAAACCCGTACCCGGACGAATGGCCAGCCGAGAAGAACCACAGTGACGCATCCGACGATGAAGATGAGGCCAAGGACGAGAAGAAGGCGAAGCTGCAGCGCCGGAAATCGCGATACCAGGCGCTCGAGAGAGCCGTAAGCGATCGGCGCAGCATCATTCCCGGGGCTCAGTCGGACAAGGGAGGTGTCGCCAACATCGTCCAGCGCGACGAGCCCGATCCCTTGGGCACCACCGACAGCGTGGTTAGGACTCTCCGCCAGCTGGGAGTTCCCATTCAAGACGACCCGCGCTTGCGTACGTGGTACTCGACGCCGTTATGAGTACCAGATAAGACTGACGTGCATCCAGGGAACCGATTCCTCCTGTCCTCCACCACCTTCTCCCCCGCCTTGTTTCTGTCCCAGATGCACGCGACTGCCGACACCCAAAGCTTGCTGACCGGCCTGGACATGCTGTCCCAGTCAATTGATCAAAAATCCGCATCACTCAAGGTTCTGGTGGAAACCAACTTTGAGCGTTTCGTCAAGGCCAAGGCCACCATAGATAATGTGTACAAGGAGATGAAGTATCGCGGCGCTGAGCCGCCTCCGCCGCCAACGACGGGCCGTGCTCGAGCTCACTCCCGCCACGCCAGTCGAAGCAGCTTTCGGGGCAGCACCAGCGGCATGAACCTCGCCGCCTCCCTGGGATCCCCCACCTCGGACGCCCGCAAGAAGAACGCCTTGGTCAAGGAAAGTGAATATGGCGTCTCGGGAATCAAGGTACCGCTTCTGGACGTGTCCGCCAAAGCGGAAGATGTGTGGGGTCCGGCACTGGGAGGACGTGAGAAGGAGGAGAATCTCAAGATTATTTCGGCAAACCTGGACCAATTCAAGGAATATGTTGAGCTAAGCTCTGCAATCGCCGAGAGCATCAAACGAAGAGACTATGAGAGCCTTGTGGAGGAGTACAACAAGGCGCGCAAGTTCTCAGACGACGCAAAAGCACTGGCAGCCAACGTCTCTGCTGGCTCCTCGAGCGAAACAGACATTTATCATATCGTTTTGGCGGCACGCATATGGCACGATGTGGATGAGCAGATTCAGGCCTTCAAGCGGGATGTGTGGCGGAAGCTCGTCACGCTCCACGGCGTTTCCAAGGCCGACAACCTGGGCCAGCAAGACCAGCACATGGAGCTGATCAGTCTGCTCCTAGAGCTGGGCGTGGACGATAATCCAATTTGGGTCTGGCTGCTTAGTCGATACGACCACCTGAAGGGGAAGATTCAATCGACGTCAGACCGCTCCAAGGTCGAGGTGGAAGTGTTGCGGCGACGCCTGGCCAACGCTGACAAGCCCGGCCCCCACGCGGTTGCATCGCATCTACGGTCTCTGGGCCGTGCCACCGTGGAGAACAAGATAGCATCGGCCGACTCCGCCGACGTCATAGAGCTGTGGGAGAAGATGCTGGCTTTCTTGTCCAGTATCCTGTCCGCAAATGGTATTCTGGGAGAGGTGGTGGATTTCTGGCAGACGGTACAGGGCTTCCTGGACGGCAAAATCCAGCGCACGCTGCCTTTGGGTTACAATGGGGAGTCGCAGACCCATCACCAGCTGCCAGAGGAGCGCGCTGGGGACTTGCAAAAGGGCACGTTGGAGCTCGTTGACATGATCCGCGAGACCGTCTTTGCCTTTTTCGCAGGCCCACCACCCGAAGATATCTCCCTACTATTCTCGCCCCTCCCCTTGTCGCCCAAGAGCCCACCCTCTGCGGGAGCTGGAAACCTCACACCCACCGGACTTTTAGATCCTCGCCTCAATCTCGACCCCAACAATATTCCTCCCCCTTCGCCCAAGCGCGGCGAGACGTGGGAGAAGCTGGCCTTCTGGCCTCCGTGGTCAAACTCCGTCAGTGGTGTCCACTACCTCTCCAAGATGCTCGCCCTGGTGGGTTCAGGAGCGTCCGACTTGGCGAGCATCGGCCCGGTCGCCAATGGATCGGACGCCGGCGTCCTGGACAGGCTCAAGGCGCTCGTCAACATTTCCAGGGAGCGATGCGTCACTGCTCTTTGCGCAGCATGGAATAAGGACGCCGAGAATATCAAGTTCGTCGAGGACTGGTATCGGTCACCAGAACTCGGCGACCTCACCCGCATGCCCTCGAGCTTTTCCGCCTTTGAAGGTGCGTTGCTTACCGGCATGCAGAAGATTCTGTACATATCCGAAGCCATGTCCAAGCCTGGTGCGGGGGATATTGTCCTCCCACCGCCTAGTAAACTCTTGCAGATGGTCAGAAGCCAGTACGTCACGACGCTCTATAAGGCGTTGAGCGGCATGGTGGAGAACGCCGAGCGATCTGTCAAGAAGGCTGACGACGATTGGACGACGGAAATGGATGGAACCATTGTCGCCTCCGCCGCGCCCGCTCCCAGCGGCGGAAGAGCGACACTCGACGCGGGTGACAGGGTGAGTTTGATGGTGCATATGTTTTGAAAGACGCGTCTGCTGACACCAGATTTAGAATGTTCGCATGCTCCTCACCCTCAGCAACCTGCAGTCACTCCGAGCCAAGGTCGTCCCGAGTCTCAATTCGCAGTTTGAGAACGCGTTCTCGGTCAAGCTCAGCGACGAATCCAAAACGATCAAGGATGTTCTGGGCCAGATTGACGCTAGGCTCTTCCAATCTTACACCCGCCCATCCATCGACGAGTTGCGGAACATTGTCAGAGCCGGTGTTACCTCGCCCGATTGGATTCCCGAGACGGGCCAGAAACCGCGCGAAGCCAGGCCCTACGTCTACGAGGCTCTCCTCAGTCTTGTGCTCGTCCACACCCAAGTTTCCACCACGGCGCCGACGCTCATTTCGCAAGTGCTCTCGTATCTCCTCGAACAAACTAGCCGAGAGCTCCTCGAGGCGTTCCGCACGCGACAGAGGTATACGCTCGAGGCGCTGATGCAAGCTACCCTGGACGTCGAGTTCGTCGCCCAGACGCTCAGCCAGTACACCACCGACCGCGCCTCTGCACTCCAGAGCGAGATCTACCAGGAGCTCGACGGGCGCACGGACAACGACGCCCGCGCGCGCCTGCAGAGCGAGCTTCCTGAGATGAGGAGCGTGTTGAAGCGGTTGCGTGAGGCGAGCAAGAACGAGTTTACGTGCTTTAGGAAGATCAAGCGGCCCGGCGTGGGACCTACGAGGACTGGTACGGGAGATTCTGCGGCTAGTATCAAGGGCTAGTGGCCCCCTCCTCAATGCAGAATGAGGTAGTCGAGTCTTTGGGAATAATGAGCGTTGCAAGGCAGCCAAGGGATTTGGCTACGAAGGAGTAGAGTTATCGATTGGGTTGGGCGCGGCGTAGCAGGTCCTGGAGTAGTCATGGGGCTGAAGTTGCGTTTGGGGGAGAGAATCGCGTCTGCCACGTACGAGGCGCATGAGTGATGAAAATATTCAATGTCGGATAGCCCCATGTTTTTGCAATAACAAACAAGTTCACGTAAATGACAATGGTTCCGTGAGTTGTGAGAGTTTGACTTGAAGGGGGGGTATCTATCTACCTCGACGAATTCTAATTGAACCTTTTTCTTTGGAAAAACCCTTGGGATTCTATCTACCTAGGGGTGTTTGTGTCAAACCATCCATCCCATCTGTCTCAACGGAGAATCATGTTATGTACAGTGTGACTTTTTTGCTTTTCCTTTTTCCCAATTCCCAAAGTCTTCATTCAGTCCTGTGGTTTCCTTTTTTGGTATCCTTTTTTCTTCTTCTTTTTATGGGTTTGCCTTCTGTTTGCCCTTTTTTTTTTTTTTTTTTTTTTTTTTTTTTTTTTTTTTTCTTTTTTTTTTTTTTGTTTTTTTTTTTTTTTTTTTTTTTTTTTTTTTTTTTTTTTTTTTTGTTTTTTTTTTTTTTTTTTTTTTTTTTTTTTTTTTTTTTTTTGGGGATCTCCAACGGGAGGTAATAATAGTCGTACATCATTATTGCCTTTTTTTGTATTATCTCGGTGAGGTATCTTTCGTTCCAATCATTCATCGTGAATTGTGCGTGTGTGCGTGCGTGCGTACTTGCTTCTTCCATTCACATACACACACGCAGCATGCTGCCTTTGTCGTCATCACAGCAGCAGCCTTTAGTATCCAGTGTAGTAACGCCAGGACCAATCTCCAACCTAAGGTAGATCAGGCGGCATCGAATCTGTAGGAGTAGGGTCGGGAGAGGCTCCCGTCATGGTGGCGTCGGGAACAGGGGAATCCACAGCGGTTGAGGGGTGGTGCGGAGCATGAGGGTGAGGAGGAGGAGGCGTGCTGTGCCCGGAGCTGGATGCAGTAACGGCGTGATGGTGTCCGTGGTCGCCCTCCTTGGGTGGGAGCAGGACATGGCTGCAAAAGTGCAGTTCCAGAGAGCGTGATGTCTCGGGGCTGAAGGCGCAGTTTTCAAGCTTGCGTACAACGTCGTCGTCTGAGAGATGGAGTTAGTCAGCAACCTTTTTTTCCCCTTTCTTGAGAGGATAGATAGCTAGACACAAACTTACACTCAAGGTTCAAGGCCTGAAAGAACTCCGCCATCATGTCAAAGTCCGATTCGCCAAGGTCGACAACGCTCAGCCGGCCGTCGAGGGCTCGGAAGGTCTTGGGGTGGGACTTTCGAAGAGTGAGGAGCATCTTCAAGAGGTCGGCAATGTCCCGGCCCTGGTTGACGTACATGGTGGGAGGGCGGTCGAGGGGCCAGCGCTGACGAAAGTCGTCCATCTCCCATACCTTGAAGGTCCAGGTGGTCTTCTCGAGGCAGTGGAGGAGGATGAGGATGGAGAGGTAGACGTCAAAGTTGATCTTGGCCTTTCCGTTTTCCAGGCATCGCTGGAGCTCGCTGATGAGCTTGTTCGAGACGTTGTTGGCCTTGCGCTCCGTGGCGGCGGACAGTTGGAAGGTGATGAGGTTGTAAATGTCCTGGTCGTCGGTGCCGGCGAACTCTTCGGGGCCAATGGGTACAACGACGCCTTGGCGCTCTTCGGATATGCACCAGCCCCGCTCTCGATCGAGAATCTCAATGAGACCCCAGAGCTCAATGGCAAGCTTCAAGTTCTTGCCCGTTGTCTTGTTGTCGGGGAACTTTTGCGCCGCTTCCAAGACGACCTGCATAAAGTGGGAGGGTTCGCGTTGAATGAGTGTCGGTAGAATCAACTTTAGAAACTCCTCCATACGGGCAGGGAGGTCCTCCTTGTCCTGGTCGATCATGACAACCCGGAAGTCGCTCTTTACGTCTCCGCTCGTCTGCTCCTCCGTCTCCCCCTCGGTGACGGGAGGCTGCGGGCGAGGCGTGAGTAGGGCGGCGAGCGTCAGGCTCGGGCTGTCTTCCCACAACGAGACAACGAGGGAGGTGCCGTTGGAGAGCAACTGGTACTTCTGTCTGGCATGCTTGACCCTAGTCTGCGCCAGGACTACTATCAAAGCGGCCGAGTATAGGGTGAGCTCTTGGTTGAGACGGGTGCGAACGCAAGGGTAGGTCCAGTGACGCGGGCCTTGGATCTTTCGGCATTGGTCGCAGGGGTCGTTGGTGCCGCAGGTCTTGCGGAGAATACGGCATCGTATGCAAGCACCCTTTTTGCGAGCGGCCTGGACCTCCTTGCGCCGGAGCGGGTTGTACGCCTTGCGCTTGTGCTCACTCTGCGTTCCGTTGCCGATTGGCATCCTGGTGCCGCCTCTGTTGGGAGGAGGGACGATCGGGGCCACGTGAGTGGTCACTGTGGGGATGTGGTTCGTAGTCATGTAAGTCATCTCACCCCAGGGCTGTTGAGGTTGTTGCTGAGATTGCTGAGGTAGAGTCGGTCCGGAAAGGGTTTCGACAGGGACAATGACATCTGCCTTGAGTGCCTCGTCTGTTTCCATCACAGGACTGACGACTTGAGGCAGATCGTTGTGCTCAGCGGCAGCCAACTGAGGGTCCATTAGGGAATGGGTGAGGCGGGCAGTTGCTGCGGCTGCGACCGTAAGATCCGATGAATCCAAAGGCGGATCGTTTGGATGCTGAGTGGCAGCCTGCAGGTGTTCCATCTTCTCCTCCGTTGTGAGGAAACTGAGAGGGTTGGTGCTGTCATTCGAGGTGGACTCTGCTGGAAGGTAAGCAACAACTCATCAGAGTTTTGGATTTTGAGTCGGAATGAAAAGAGATGAGAAATCAATAAACGCTCCTGCCTCGAGCGAAATATTATTTGATGGAAAGGAAAGCCCCAAAGAACAACGGTTGAAAAAAAAAAAAAAAAATAAGTCAAACGTACCCTTTCGCTCACGACCAGGCCGATTCTCATAACTGCACGGCGGGTTCTCGAGGGTGAATTGCTCTTGGACTTCAAAGCCGATTCCGAGTTGTCGAGCAGCGGACTCGGATCGGTCGCGACCTAATGCTGAAGGCGCACCCATCTCATTCTCTCCGACTTGCCGCGAGGCTTCTGCGAGGGTTCGAAGCGCAGACCAGTTCTCAGGTGCTTCGGGTGCGACCTCGGCAACGGCAACGTCGAGCTGGTTGAGTGGGAGATTCATTGATCGCGGGGCTGACGAGCCGGAGTGCAGTCCGGCGAAACCGAGTGCGGCGTTGATGCGTTCTTCAGGCGTAATGGCTGGACATTTCTCTGTGATGTGCTTGTGCAGGACTTCACCTCGGCCTTTGGGGAAGTTTTCACCACACAGTTTGCAGGTGTGAGGATATCGGTTGCTGGAATCCGGGAGTTTGGGACCCCTCGTGAAGTATTCCCCAACCACGGGGTTTGGTTTTCGGCCCATGGTGACGTATATTCTGCCGGTGGTCCAGGCCAAACAATTCGAGGGCTGCTATTTTAGAGCCAAACTTGTTTCGTTGACCTCCAAAGGCTCGATACTCGAGATACAGCCCACCGCAGAGTGGTGGTGACCGCCCAAGAAATTCTGCCCTCGAGGTCGATATGTAGGAATTGCCGGCGGATCAGCAATCTGGGAATCCGAGAAGATTGACGGTTTGATCCGAAGCAGGTCAGAGACACCACTGGCCAAAAAATGCCTCGCCAGGCTTTTACCAGCGGGCGACAATGAACAATTACCTGGACTGGACCGGCGCAAAGCGATGCGATTCACAGATTCTGCCACGGCTCACCGACGTTGGAATCGACAAAATTCTCACACCGCTTCCCATGTCGGATAAATTTCGTGGTGGGGCCGAGCAGATCTTTTTGGTCACGTGGTGACCCACCTTGATCGGAAACCGCTCTGTGATCTCGATGTCCGTGACTTAATTAGACCCCAACTGTTTTGTGCGGGTGGAATATGCATGCCATGCTCCCGGCTTTGACTCTTCGAACCGGAAAGCTGCAATGTCGTGAGTATGCAACTAAGAGTACACTGTCATTTCGCAGCGTTGACTACTGAGACTGGGTGAGCACGTGAGGTAGTCTCAGGTCTCGACTCGCATTTTTGCACTGTTGATGGGGCTCTCTGGTTACCTGCAACGTCGAAAGCGAATGAAGCAAGTGATGTGCACCTAGAAGAGTAGCAAATACGAATGACGCACAGCTTCAACTTCAAGTTCAGCAGGAGGATGCAACGATGTGCCACACGTGCATTGGCGAGATTATCTAATAGGTGTTTTCTTACCGCCAAATCTCCTCCTGCATCGTGCAGCAGCAGCAGCCCCCTCGCAAATTGTAGAGCGTCAAGAGGAAATTTCGAGATTCCAAGGAACGCTGGCGAAGGCTGCCCAGAATCTCAAGAGACTTTCAGCAACAGATCATCATCGGCCTCTGCCTACCGTTAGTGTGTGGTCAAGAGGCAGTGGCTCGTGTTTAATTGTTCCTGGAAAAGGTGAGGGAGGGGCAGCTCGGTCGGGGGTACTTCTCGGGGGGGGCCGCGAATAAGTGGGTAACCCCGGCACGGGGCCGAATCAAACGACACGACTGAGTGTCCCGAGTTTGTGTCCTTTGGTCGCCATCTCACAAACAAGAATGCGCCGCATGCGCTAGTGTCCCTTCGCCTTAGTTTCGTCTTCTTTTCTCCAATGAAGCCGGGTCTCGGCATTTAGGGGCCCCAGATTTCGCAGTCAGATTAAATCGCATAATGAATTGTATGTCAACGAATTGGTTCACAACACACTTGGATACTCTCACGATTCGTAGGGCGGAAAGTCTACCCTTGGCAACTCTGCTTCAACATGCGCCACAGTTTCCATGCAAGATGCCCCGGACGGAGAAATCATAGAACCAATGTACTACCAACTACGGATAGACGTCGTGGGTTGCATCCGTCTTTTCCGCGCCCCGGCCGGGCGCCCACAGCCCCAGGGGGCCAAGGGACGGCCGAGCATGGTGTGGGTTACTATGCTAACCCCCCTCGGAACGAACCAGTCAAACCACCAAGACCTCCCTCCATGGCATTTCTGTGCCGAACCGAACCCAAGCTTGTTAGCTGCAGATATCTGTTCCCTTTGGAGGGTATGTCTTGAACACTTTATGCCCGCGCTCTCTGCATTTCTCTCCCTTCCTCTCTCTTAACCTCCCATCTTCACGGGGCCATTATTCTGCTCGAAGCTGCACTCTGCCGTCGCAGAAACTCCCCTTCGTCCAGTCACAATCCCTTATTTTGGCACGTTGCTTGTCCCTCGTTACCACCCTCTCTCTCTCTCTCTCTCACGATCCTTACAGCGACGGGATCACAACCCCGTGGAAACTCCTGCAACGTCGTTTCGCACCTTCTTGTCGAGAGCCAAGTCCGCCCGTTTGGATTGGGATCCTGACCGTCGTTCGTTTTCTTCTCTCTTTGAACCATCATATTGAGGGGTCATCAAGGAGTTTTGATCCGGGGCCCAACTTTGCTCATTGCGTTGATAACAAGAGTATAAAAACATCACCTCGTCCCCGTGTCCTGTATGAGTGTTGTGTCTGCCTAGGTCAATCAAGACCGTAAGAGATCAGAATCAAAATGCGTCGAACCACTCTATTCCACATTGCATCCACCGTGGTAGCCTTACATTCCGCCGATCTCGCCAGCCATGTCTTGACAGACGTGAGTTCAAAACCCTCAAAAATAAAAGCGTCCGCAGGACCGTAGTGGCTAACATGCCCAGACCGGCTCTGTGGGGGGAGGAAATACCTTCCCGGGGGTATCTAGACCCCTGGGTATGGTAAAGCTGGGCCCAGACTTGGAAAACGGCGTGGACGCGTACTCGGGCTACCTGCCGGACGGCCACTTCACCGGCTTCTCCATGCTCCATGAGTCCGGCACCGGCGGGGCCCCCAAGTACGGCGTAGTCAACCAGATGCCGATCGTAGGCGCCGTCGACAACCCGCTCAGCCAGAACACCGACACCCGGGCCCGGCCGGACGAGACGGAGCTCGGCTACTACAGGGCGTTTCTCGGCTCCGGGGTTGTGGTGGAGCTGGGCGCGTCGGAGAGGGCCGGGATGTACCAGTACACTTTTCCCGGGAACGATAGCAGCAGCGACGGCAGCAGGACCCCGAGGAATCACATCATTGTGGATGTCTCGCACGTCTTGCCGTCGTACAGAGGGCAAGGCCTCGGTCAGAAGTATCTCGGTGGAGGAATCGAGGTCATTGACGGCAGCGACGGATTTCACTATGAGGGATACGGATCCTACGACAATGTATAGGTTGTCTCTCATGTTCATTGGGCTTTGGCTGACACATTCCAGGGTTGGAATCGTGCCGCCGAGTGGAAAGTCTACTTTTGCGGCTCCTTCGACCAGCCGCCCTCGTCTTACAAGACCTTCCTCGGTACCGACCTCACCTCGGACAAACTCTCCAAATACAGCAATGAGACAAAGTCCTACTCCTCCAGGACGCAGCGCCTAGGCGCCATCTTCACTTTTGCCGAAACTTCATCTTCCGCGCCGACGGTCGTCAAGTCTCGTGTCGGCGTCTCCTTCATCTCGACCTCCCAGGCATGCCGCAACGTCAACGCCGAGATCCCGGCCGGAACGAGCCTCTCGTCCCTCAGGACGGCAACCCGCGAAGCGTGGACCGCCAAAGTACTCTCCAAGGTCACGACGACGGAGACGAACAAGACGAAGCTAAACCAGCTGTACTCGGCGCTGTACTTCATGAACCTCTTACCCACCAACAAGACGGGGGAGAACCCGCTCTGGAACTCGTCCGAGCCGTACTACGACGACATCTTTACCTTTTGGGATACGGTGCGTCCTCTCTTGCTTTGTGTGATAGGCATCTTGAGCTCAAGTAACACTCGCTCCAGTTCCGCTGCACCACGTCCCTCCTACACATCCTCCAACCCCAAGCCCACGAAGAATTCATCCGCTCCACAATCGACATCTGGCGGCACGAAGGCTTCGCCTCGGACGCCCGCTCCTCCCTGTACAACGGCGCCGTCCAGGGCGGCTCCAACAGCGACAACGTCCTCGCCGACGCCTACGTAAAGGGCGTCCGCGGCGCCGTCGACTGGAACGACGGCCTCGCGGCCATGCTCACAAACGGGAAAGTCGTCCCGCCCCCCAACAACGACCCGCGCGACCCCTCCTCCTCCACAAAGGAAGGCCGCGGCGCCCTCCCAGACTGGCTCGATCTCGGCTGGGTCTCCTCCCCCCGGTTCGCCCGCGCCGTCACCCGCGCCGTCGAGTACGCCGTCAACGACTTTGCCATCCACCAAGTCGCGCGCGGCCTCGGCCAAGACGCCCTCGCAACCACGTACCTGAACCGCTCGCGCAACTGGCGAAACCACTGGAACGAAAACATGACGGCCCACGGCTTCACCGGCTTCCTGGGCCCCCGCAACGCGAACGGCACATTCCCCTCCCCGCCGCAGGACCCCCTCAACTGCGGCGGCTGCTACTGGGCAGAGGCGTACTACCAGGCCACGCCTTGGGAGTACACCTTCAACGCGCACCACGACGTCGCCCACTTGATCACGCTGGCCGGGGGACCCACGCGGTACGCCGACAGGCTAGAAAAGACGTTCGAGCCGGGCGGGTACAGCGGCAACGGCGCCTTTGGCAATACAATCTTCAACCCGGGCAACGAGCCGTCCTTCGGGACGCCGTATCTCTTCAACTTTGTCAACAAGCAGCATCTCTCAGTCAAGCACGCCCGCTTCGTGGCCAAGTCATATTATAAGCCCACGCCGGACGGCTTGCCGGGGAACTCGGACGCCGGGGCGATGGAGTCCTGGCTCCTCTGGAACATGATCGGGCTCTATCCGCTGACAGGGCAGACGACGTTCCTGATTGGGTCACCCTGGTTCTCCGACCTGAAGATATCGCTCGGCGGCGGTCGGGAGCTACAGATCACTTCGTCGGGCGGATCCGAGGATGTGTACTACGTTCAGAGCCTGCGCGTCAACGGTAAAAAGTGGGACAAGACGTGGGTGACGTGGGAGGACATTTTCGCCAAGGGCGGGACGCTGAAGTTTGAGCTGGGACCTGAGCCGGTGGAGTGGGCGACCGGAGAGCTGCCGCCGAGCCCGGCGAGCGTGGGTGGCCAGAAGGAGAAGATTGTGGCGCTGAGGGAGCAACGGTAGCGGCCGTGGCGTCAGGAGGAGCGGGACGAACAAGAGGTGATTGGATGACTCCCGGTTCTGTTGAGCGGGCGCGCGACGTGTTTGCATGAAGAGATGGGTGCCCCTATTTGGGCAATGGTGAACGTACGACCATCTGGATGGAGATGAACATAATCAAGGGACTGGAGTGTATACCAAAGGTTTGGAGGATCCAACCAACATGTTCAAGTAATAAAAATATGTCTACGAGAATATATCCGGTTGTATTGATACACAGCGAAACCCCCAACTGAGATCATCCTCTCGTGATGAACAATGTACTCGTATTCCTCGCAAACTCCTCGCTATGCCAATATTGCTGAAACATAGAACACGAGAGTAAGGGTATCGAACTCGGAAAAATTGCAAAGCAAAGTTGATCTGCCAGACTCCTTCAACAGGACTCGCCACCGCCCCAAACATTCTTGTTGATCTCGTCGTCGTCCCCGACACCAAAGTTCTTGTTGAAATCATTCTCTTGCTCGCTCTCCGCCCATGGCGATGCCGTAGCTTCTTGCAAAAGGGGAGACTCTTCCGGCTCGCTGTAGGGGTTATGTACACTCGTTTCCGGTTCGGGCTCTTTCTCGGCTGCAATGGGGGCCTTTGTCGGCCTAGGGGATGGGCTTTGAGGCTTGGATGAAGGTCCCGAACTGGCACGATCGGGGGACGATGCCGAGCCTGCTGTCTCGGCAGCAGCAACTTGCTTCTGTTTCTGTTTCTTCTTCTTCTTGCTCGTGACAAGAGCCGGCTCGCGAGGCCGAGGAGACACTCGCAGACGCTCAACCGTCGACCGTGGCTCGGACACGAATCCTAGGCTTCCCTGAGAGGACATGTACCGTTGACTCAGGGGCACATTTGCAGTGATGACGGGATACTGTGGTTCGTTAGCAACTTCGGCCATTGATCATGTCTTGTGAAATGTCTCGCTGCACTCACATTCCAATCGCCAAACTCCAACTCACGCGCTTTACCATAGAGTCGTTCGTCGTCATTATCCATCTCCGGCTCGCCACCGAGACCTTCATTGAAGGTGCCGTTGGCGGAGTTGTACTCTTCACTCGGGCCGCCCGCGGTTCCTTGAAGCAACGGGTCTCGCTCATTCAAGGTACGGTTCGTCTGACGGTCGACCTGGCCGGGTGTCGGGATCCAATACTTTGCCTTACCGCCTCTTGTGTATCGCATGCCTTCGTCGAGTCTGCCCAACCTGGCGCGAGACTCTTCGTGCGCCATGATCTTGTCGCCCGAGTCGAAGAAACGGTAGCCATACTTATCACCCTTGAACGTCTCTTTGGAATCTTCAATGAGATCCTTGACACCAAACGCATCGCGGAACGCAAATTTGACGGGCATTCGCGCCGATGAAACGCTATTATCGGCGAAATCATGCCATGAGAAGGCATACCAATGAGCGATGGCGAACGCCGGCATCTCGATGCAGATCAGAGCGTCCTGGATGGCAGCGGCCAAGTTGTCGGGGCTGTAACCCTCTACGTTGTCCGGGATGGCTCCCAGCCAGACGAGGATGGACAGGAAGAACCCTTGCCAATACGAGGCAAAGATGATGAGCTTAATGCACAAGAACTTGGGTACAGGACGGAAGGGCAGCAGATCGTGGTGCATGCAGACCCAGAACAAACCGAGCGAGTACAAGCTCACCGTCATGCTGATGTTATAGATGATACCGCTCCACAGGTAGCCCGACTCGACACCGATGTAGCCCTCCTGGTAGGTATCTGTGGCCTTCATGATGACGGTGGCCAAAGCCAGAATGGGCTTCAACCATGCGTACTGTAAAATGCCGCGTTTGATTGCGAGGAATGTGTGAGGATCGGATATGTCGACGCGGGGGAGCACATGGTTCAAAGGCCACAGGTGGGAGACTGGCTCCCGGCCGTGGGTCATGATAATCAGAGCGCGTTCTCCGCTGAGATAATTGATGAGGAGCTGGAAGAAGGTGTAGATGGTGAAAGCCTGGGCTTATTAGCATCCGTAGATTTAAAAAGTGCGGCCAAGCTGGTTTCACCTCGTAGATGTCTCGGACAGGGTCGAGGAAAGACGAGGCTTTGATAGAGATCATGCTTGTCCAAGACGATATCGAGTATATGGGGACCCTTTGACAGTTGTTAGACCCGTCCCTTATTGTAGTCTCGGGAAGCGGCCAACGTACATGAGCAAGATTCGAACGACATATCGCTGAAGGAGAGGCTTTCGGTAGTTTTTCCTAGATGGCGTCAGTCGTCATTTGTCGGTGGAGGGAAATTCGCCGGGGGGATAGGCAGCGTACGACTGGAGAAAGATGGACCTGTGAGTTGCTCGTTAGCCTCAGTTGCGCCAGACTGGTAGCATAACAAGTACTTACATGGCTGATAGGAAAGTAGCTACCAGCGCGGCGACACCTGCGACGATGATGGTCGCCGTGGTCAGCTTCTCGCCTGTGCCGCCCGCCATGTTGACTCGGAGGCGGGATATGGCGTAGGGTGTTGTGTTGTGTGTTTGAGGAATGTCGTCTACCTCATGGCTGTGAACGGTGTCGGGAGAGACAGAGATGGTCAGTGGAACAGCAAGCTCCAGGCCCAAGTGTCGGCGTCACAGGGCGCAGTGCGAGAATGTGTGAGGGAAAAGAAAGAGAAGAGGATGACGATGGAGGTGCTGCGAGGTTGTGATGAGCTAGCTGCTCGTGACAGGTGCGTAATTCGGTACGTATGCGCGGCTCAAGGTGGAAAGGTCAAGCTGCAGAGGCCGCACCTAAGAGAAGTGGCAGCTGCGCATCATGGCCAATGACCTCGCATCAATTGTTAGAGAGGCCCATACCGGCAGCTCCCCTGAAGCTTTGGTTTCACAGCGTGCTTGAGCGTGTGGGGTAACACCAGAGTGACCTTCCATCCGGGCAGTCATCCACTGACCCGCCCGTGTCCACCGGGATTGACGTGCTGGGGGGTGCGGAAGCTACAACCAGCTCCGCCGATGGGGCGCGGGCTGTCATTAGCGCGAGACACCCGGGCCCCGTCGTTGGGAACGCTCGGCGCGACTTGGAAATGCGACTGCTGAGAGCTGCTGGCCTGTGATCCCACCTAATCCAACCTCAACCGCATCCCGCCCATCGCACCCGTCGCACACCGCACATGCTCGACGGGACACTGTCTTACCAACTCCTCACCCGTCCGACTCTGCCTTGAACATTTGACACAACCAACGCCTCCAATGACATCTGCCGTGCACTGCCAGCACATTCCGTAACCATCGACAACCTACGAATCGATCACGTCCACAACACCAAGCGAGCGACGACAACGAAACCACGAGACATGGCAGTGGACAGACTCGGCCAGCTCCGACGTTTATGTTAGCAGCCTTGGCTCGCCAACCCTGAGGCATTGGTCATTGATCCACCGCCGTCAGGATGCCGCAAGAAGGGGGACCGAACCCCACGCCGACCGAAACGCCGGCCTTCAGATGGGAGTTCCTTGTCTACCTGGTTATATGCGGTGCTCTCGCCGTCTTCTTCCTCCTCTACTTCAACCGAGCCTTTGGATCCCTGCTCTCGTGGGGCATACGAACGTACACATGGCATCGCTACCGCCTCTACATAGACATACAGGCGCTCCAGGTCTCCCTTCTTGGCGGACGCATCTTCTTCACCGGTCTACGATATCACGGCAACAACGAGACGTTCCTGATTCAACATGGCTATGTTACATGGCGATACTGGTTACGTCGAGTGCGCGAGGTGGATATAAAGGCCTCGGCGCAGCAGCAAGCTGAGCAGGCTTCCGCCGCTGCAAACGGACGACATTCGAATCTGCCCTGCCGCGTCACCATGTCCCTGGCTGGTCTGGAATGGTTTATATATAATCGAAGTCCCGCCTATGACAGCGTTCTGGCTGGTCTGAAGGAGCCCTCAGCAACTGCCGAGAACGTTTCGACGGCCTTCGAGACCAAAGACGAAAACGCGTCGATGAGAAACCGAGGGCAGAGGACGAATGAGAAGCCGGAGCCGTCACCGGATTCCGCAGAACATGAAAAGGAGACATCTGGAGCAGCTCTGCTCTCAAGGATTGGCAATGCCTTTGGACGTCGTGGATCTTCGGCCAGTCAGACTAGTACGCCTTCCGATGCCCCGGCCGGCAGCAGCGATGATGTCCAGACGGACTCCGATTTGCCGTTCCTTTTGCAGCTGTTCCCAATCTTTGTGACGTGCCAAAAGGCAGCAGTAGTCGTGGGAAACGACAATACCAAGGCTATCTTGATTGTCAAGGCCGATGGGCTTTCAGGAGAAATTGACGCCTCAAAGACATCCACTCCGGACCCGTACAAGCAGATCTTCAAGATCAAGTTCCAGCACCCAATCGTAGAGATGCGAGAGAATGACGACTTCAAGGAGGACCAGGCAACGAGGGCGAGCCGTGAAAAACAGGCCGCCCAGGAACCTAGCCCTACCCACAAGACGTCTTTCTTTCGGCGGCAGCGACGCCGCACGCTCGGGACGTTAAGGAACCTGGTGCCGTACTGGCGGAAATCCGTCGAATCCTTCTCTCTGGGCTCGCGCAGTCCACTCACGACCGCGGTGTCCCAAATACCAGGCTCCAACCAATGGCAAGGCCTGGCCCGCTACTTGGACGAAGACGAGCAGGATTCAAGGCTGCGGTGGGCGGGCGTCGAGTACGCTGCCGAGTCCACCATAGTGGACAGTCCAGAAGGGACGTTGACCGTCTACTGGGATGTCGTAGGCAAGGTGACGGCCGAAGCCGCTAGCCGACGGTCAAAGGAGAACGCGGCGACATACATCAATGGTGACGAGGCTCCTGCATGGGGCATGAGTCTTGCCATCAAGGGCGGCGTAGTCAATTACGGACCTTGGGCAGACCGACACAGGGCGGACCTTCAGCGCGTCTTTGTTCCCAGTTTGTCAAAAGACGCCGTTCCTGCGACCCCTTTGGAGGAGGGTGCCTATCGCGTTCCTACTCAGTTCAAATTGTTTGTCGAGTTGGACGATGAGGTGACGCTGCGTATCCCGACTCGAGAAGATTCGAAGAATTGGAAGTGGAAGGGCAAAGAGCCGCCCATGAAGTCTCCGCCACAGCCGCATAAGCGGAAGCAGAGAAACCGTGCAAAGAAGAACTCCAAGACAGACGCCGCACCCACACGCCCGGGAGGCTGGCTTGACTTCACCGTGCCTGGCAATTCCACAATCTCCTTCACCATGGACATGCTTGCCAGTCCGTCGGGGTACCAGATGAAGCTCGATGTCGACCTGCCCAGCACTGAGCTCGCGACCAGCGTGAACCACGAGCTTCTCTGGCGTTCAGGGCCCCAACGTATATCCTGCGATCTATCCACACCCCTCAAATGGAACACCCTCAGGTCGTGGTACTTCGACATTGTTGCAGATGGAATGGAACTCTTTATTTTGAGGGACCACGTCTTCCTCATCATAGACTTGATCGATGACTGGGCCTCGGGGCCGCCGGCCGAGTATCTGGTCTTCACGCCCTTCAGATACTATCTCAATCTCGAGCTCCGCGACGCCACGCTTTATCTGAACGCTAATGATGGCAACATCATCAACAATCCCACCGATCTCGAGGATAACGCCTACGTTGTAGCCAAGAGCCCCTCCCTCATTGTAAACTCCTGCATTCCGATTGACAAGTTCCGACCCAACATGAACACCGTACCATTTGTTCTCAGAGCCGAGACCTTCTCGCTGTGGCTACATGTACCACCATGGAATACGCAGGGCACGTTCCTTACTTCGAAAGAAATCGGCCACGGCGAGAACTTTGAAGTTGACGGGAAATATCACTATAACGCCACTACATCTCCGGCCAACATCGATACCCTAGAACTCAACCTAAGTCTCCAGTCTCCTACAGCAACAATTTACGGATTCATTATACGATATGTCATGGTTCTCAAGGACAACTACCTCGGTGACTATATTCACTTCAAGACGCTCGAAGAGTACCAAGACCTCTTGCGGCTCAAGGAAAGCAACCCTGATGCGGAACTCGCAAATCGCCCTCCCCCGAAAAAGTCGAATGACCTGGATGTGATTCTAAGCGTCAGAATCGACGACCTGCGTCTGCTGTTACCTGCCAACCTGTACTCTAGTCAACGCAATGTCCAGGTCGAAACCGCTGGCCTGTCTCTAGACCTCCGATTTACCAACTACTATATGGACTTGCAGGTTAATCTCAACCCCCTGAACCTGTCTCTCGGAAATGCAGAGTCGGGCTTGGAAACGCCCATAAGCGCGGTCTCCAGTACCCAATTATTCATTGACGGCCTCACCATCTACGGCCACCGTCTATTCGGGCTCCCTCCCAGTGAACCGACATACATGTGCAACTGGGACATCTCCGTAGGCACCGTATCAGGAGAATGTTCTGCCGACTTCTTGACGGCACTGATGGGCGTGGGTAAAGGTTTCGCATTCGAATTCGACGATGACGAGAACGCTTTGATACCGCTCTCTTCCGTCATCGTCTACGACGTCACTTTCTTGAGGGTGGCTGTCGAAGCGGTCCGCGTTTGGTGTCACGTTGACGAAGCGGCATTCCTTTTCTCGACCGGTACACTCGATATCAAATTCAACGATTGGGCCCGCACGCACTACTCTAGAAGAGCCGACATCAGACTCCCGGATCTGCAGGTTTCGTGTGTCAATTCGGAATCGGCCATGAGGCACAAGTGGAAGTCTCAGCATGGCGTCGAAACAGACGCATTCTTCCAAGCTAGTATACGTGTGGCAATCATTGGAAGAAAGTTCCATTTCTCCAAAGAGCGCAAGCTGCAGCAGGAGCTCATCCGTCGCGAGGATCAACGGGCTGGGCGAACTGAATTTCTGCTTCTACCAGGGATCTTGGAGGAAACGCTTCCCGACCAGCTCGACCCGCCGGCCCAGGGCTTCCCGCCGGTTCCGCACCCGAAAGTCTTGGATGGCGCCCAGGGAGACCAGAGGTCTTTTGACAGTCGCTCAGCCTTTAGTCGATCTCGTCCTCTCCGCCACAAGAGCTCATTCCTGTCTACCTCCACCGCCTCCAGCACTAGCAGTGTAGTGAGGCCCAGAAGCTCAGTCAGATCAAGAGCAAAGTCCAGACAGTCAGACATGTTGCAACCGGACGGGCGAGGAACGCATCAGCGAGATGTTTCTACCTCTACTGGCCGACACTCGGCCTTTTACAGCGCCATTGGAGACTTTAGAGATGCAAGTCACCATTCGTCAGTGGCATTCTCGAGCCAATTCTACACCCCGCCGTTCCCACTTGAGAGTGTTCGACCCGACATGTCAGAGGCCGTCATGCAAAGCATTGAAGACGAGGAAGATGCATCCGCGTTTGGCTTCTCAGATTTTAGTCTCGACGACATTGACCCCGATTCTTTGGCAGAAGATCGTGCTCACAACAGCATCATACTAGAAATTCCATCGGGCGTCACTGCATTCTTGAATCCTTCAGCGGTCAAGAACGTGTCGCTATTGCTCGCGGCTCTGCAACCGAGCAACCCGGACGACATTCTCGACAGCCTACAGATATCATCAATGACCGACATCTTTGACCTCCAAAAGAAGAGGAAGATTGCCGGTGAAATCACTGATATACTCGTCAGGGTTCCAAAAGCCAGCATCCGTTTCCTGAACTCTTCCACCATCGACCGTCTTAATCCCGGCGGGGAAGAACAGGACCAATACGATGTGACGGTATCAAGATTGTCGCTGTCTCTCCGCTCGACTGATGCGTGGGAGGACCCATCGAATCCCGTTGAGAGCAACAAGAGAACGTCTGTCCTGTTAAAGCTTGGATCTGCCGAGGTCTCAGCTTCGGAACGACTTTCAGGGGCTGAAGAGAACCAAGCAGCGTTCATGGCGCAGATCGAAAGCGTCATGGTGTCACTCGGCTCAAAGGACGTCACTTACATTGACGCAGACATTGGCAGCATCAAGAGCAGCACGGCATCAGAAAAGATTGAGTACCTTGCGTCACTCATCCACAGGACCGGAGTCGTCGCTGCGGAGCTCGGCGAGGTACTAGGGCAGACGATGTCTCGGCACGAGGACCGCATCAAGCATTTTGTCTACAAGCTCATGACCGAAGGTCACCCCATTGGCGACCCTTCCTTCTTGACTCGCCCATCGGCAGTCTTGCGGTCTGCCACTGAGCATCTGCGAACATTTGATTCATGGAAGATGGCTGCGAGGCTTCGTCAAGTATGGATACATTTGCCGACGGCCTTCAAAGAAGACCTGCAACTGAGCTGCCTCGCGGCATCGGCCTCGCCGCCCGCTGATGCTTCTCAGCGCGTCATTGATGCCTTTCAACGATGGCGCAGCTGGGACTTGTACGACGTGGCTGATTCCTCACTGATCAAGAACGTTTTCGGCGCAATAAAGGTGGACGACAAGCCCGCATCGCCCGATCTGCCCATCTTGGCCGCCCTGCGCCTGAAAGACGTCCAGTTGCTCCTAGACCCTGGGCCAAAAGAAAACAGAATCGTGTTTTCCGACTTGACGACGAGGCTGGAGAAGAAAAGAGTGCCAAACGCCGATGGCACAGAAGAGATGCCGAAGAACATGACCGTTCTCAATGTGTATTGCGGCGAAGCAGCCGTCATCTTCAACTGGGAACTTTGCGAGCTAGCTGAGGATGTCCTGCGACTGTGCAACAAATCCAGCCGGACTGCCAAATCGTCTCCAGAGCCCAAGACAGAGCCCAAAGAGGATATTGCCTCGGCCAGCAAGTCGAAATCCCAAAACGCATTCCACGTTGTGTTGGCCATTGGGCGAGGCTCCGTCGAGGTGGACACTATCAACCTCAGCGCCACCTCTCTCGGCCATAATATGAAAGTATCCTGCTTGGTTGATGCGTACGAGAAGACCGGCTCGTCCATCAACTTCATTCTCAGCTGCGATGCCGTGACATCCCGCCTTCATCATCGATCGGAACTGCTGGGGCTTTTCCAGATCAAGGACCCAAGCATTATTGTTTCTCACGAACTCTTGGAGACAGACACGACATCTTGTCACACAATCAAATCGACGGCCACCAGTCGCACATTGACTCTGGCTGTGAAGCAAGATCCCCTTTACCTCGTCGAAGTTGCCGACTATCTGGTCAAGGACGAGTTGACGCAGATACACAAGCTCCAGAAACAGTTGCCGGAGTCCCCGGCGCCACCTCGAAGGAACAGCGTCAAAATTGCCGAACGTCTCTCTTCCTTCCGAGTCAACGTTGCAATGTTCCTGGACGAGTACCGTATCAGCGTACCATTGCTGCAGTCAATGACTTATAACATTTCGGGTGTTGTTGCACGGGCAGCCGTGGCCGCCAACTTTGGAAAGGAGCTCATTTTCGACTTTGATGTCAAGGAGAACTCCCACGAGGTCCGCATGGATGTCAGGGACCGACAGCACAGCATATCGATTCTCCGTATCCCGCCGACCAATGGTCGCATCGTCAGTCACATTGGACAAGGGGAGCATTCGGTGTCGGTGTTTGGCTCTGTAGAGCTCGTGCAGTTGGACGCCTCTGCGGTTTACAGCCTTCTGACAGCTCTCAACCGACCCCAGATATCAAGTGCCGTCACCGAGCTACAGGAGGGTACAAAGGCAATCCAGGGACATATTAGTGAAATTTTTGGCGAAAAGGCGACTCCCAAAGAGAAGCCATCGACCGAACCCGATTCGAATCTCATCTACACCATCCATCTCACCCTAGCCGGGATTGAAGTGTTTGGAAACACACCCCTTGTGTCCGAAAAGGATCCTACGGCGTGTCTCTCATTCAAGCTCGACAGAGTGCACCTAGAGGTGGCCAACCGTCGCGGTTCCCAGGGGCCCATACTGACTCAACCAGAACTGCACATCAACCTGCGCCAAATTCTGATCGATGTGCAGAAAGGCAGGGAAAACGCTATGAGATCCTGCGGCAGCCTCGCTTTGGGCGCTCTCATCTCTATGAATACGCGATGCATCGAGGACGGTACAGAAGAGAGGTCATTCAACTTCAGAAGCGACGGCCTGGAGATCAACTTGTCCCCGGAAACCGTCTCAACGGTGGTAGCCGCCCTGGGTTATATGGGCGACAAGATCAAAGACCTCGATACGTCGCGCGAGCTCGAGTACTTGCGCAAGATTCGACAGACAAGGCCCCGCATCGCCATTAATGATCATGAAGAAGCAGAGGAATCCGATATTATTGACTCGTTCCTGTCGTCAGTTGTCTACTGCTTTGAAGTGCGCGACACGCAGATTTCCTGGCTCGTTGGCGACCCCTCGGACGAGCTGCTACCGTTAGCGGCCAGCAAAGAAGATCTCATCTTGTCGGTCCAGCTCGTCAGCTTCGGAACACGCCAGACGAAATCAGCCAGGCTCTCGATCGAGAACTTTCAACTCCAGATGGTCCCTCCTGGCCAGGACAAGAGTCTCAGATCGCTCCACTCGGCGCTGCTTCCCGAGGTCGTCTTCAACATCGCCTACGTGTCGAACCCAAACACCCGCAGCTTGGCATTCCAGGCAGTTGGCAAGTCGCTCGACCTGCGTCTGACCTCGGGCTTCATCATCCCTGCCGCAATCCTCAAGGATTCTATCAGCCTGTCGATGCAGAACGTACAGAGAGCATCCCAAAACTGGATTACGGGGACCGCTCCGCCCAAGGTCGAGAAGGTCGACGAGATCAAGGAACCGGCGCAACCGCAGAGAAGCATACTCGGCACAAAGCGCCTGGAGTCTCTGCTAGTAGATGCAGACTTTTCGGGTGCCGTCGTTTACGTATCAGGAAAGAAGCCAACAGACGGACTGCGTGGGAGCTCGAGGACGGGGCGTCCCTCCTTGGCAGGCAAGTATGGCCAGTTCAGCACGGATGACACCGGCAGCAGCACTGTTCTCAGATCGCCAGGTCTGGCCTGGAAGTTTGAGTATCGCGACAACGGAAACGAAGACCCTTCTCTGTATGGCGAAATCAAGATTGACGCCTCGAGCAACATCTTGTATCCTTCCGTAGTACCACTCATTATGGACATGACTACAAGCGTCAAAGAAGTCGTGGGAAAGGACAAGGACACGCCCGCGGCAGCTCCGACACCGGTGGCCGCGGCGAAGCCAAAGACTGGCAACGAGGATAACATCCTTACTGCTGATCCGAATGCCGTCATTGGACGCTTGAAGCTGAACCTGGGTCTTCGGATCTGCCGCCAGGAGTTTTCGCTAAGCTGCCAACCCATTGCACGCGTGGCCGCGACAACTTGCTTCGACGACATCTACTTTACCGTCAACACGGTACGCTCGCAGGAGCAAGGCAACTTCTTTTCCATTTCGGGAGCGTTCTCCAAGCTGCAGGCGTCCGTTCAGCACGTCTACTCCCGAGAATCCACAGGAAGCTTTGACGTCGACTCGATCGTGCTGTCTCTTATGAACAGCAAGCACGTCAGTGGAACGAGCGGTGTTTCTGCCATTCTCAAGGTCAGCCCGATGAACGTGTCCATCAACGCCAAGCAACTCCAGGACTTTTTGCTGTTCCGCGAGATTTGGTACCCGACGGAGCTGCGGAATACCTCGACAGCACCGGTCGCGAAGCTTAACACGGAAACATCTCAACAAGGTCATCTAGTGCAGAGGTATCAGCAGGTGGCCGCAACAGCAGCGTTTCCATGGACGGCTACCATTTCCATCACGTCTCTCGATGTCAGCGTAGACATGGGCCAGGCCATTGGCAAGTCAGTCTTCGCCATCAAGGAATTTTGGGTCTCGTCAAAGAAGACGTCGGACTGGGAGCAAAATCTGTGTCTCGGATTCGAAAAGATTGGCATCGACTGTACGGGCCGGTTGAGCGGCTTCATCGCGCTGCAAAAGTTCCAGCTGCGCACATCGATCCAGTGGCCAGAGCGAGAGGCGGCGCTCAACGAGACGCCCCTTGTGCAGGCATCTATCGGATTTAGCCAGTTCCGGGTGAAGGCCGCCTTTGACTACCAGGCGTTCCTCGTCGCCGACATCACATCCCTGGAGCTGCTCATGTACAACGTCCGGCGTAGCCTTGAAGGCACCGGCGATAGGCTTGTCGCCATCTTTGACGGAGACGCCGTACAAATATTTGGCACCACGACGTCGGCAGCACAGGCTGTATCCCTCTACCAAGCTTTCCAAAAACTTATACAGGAGAGGCGGGCCAACTTTGAAATGTCTCTGCAAGAGATTGAAAAGTTTATGAGGAGACGGTCATACCAAAGCGCCGCCTTGTCTCCCCATCTCACGAGCGCGCCAAAGCTTCCAGCCGAAGACACGCTGTCGAAAGCGCCAATCTCACTGGACACGGACGTCGTTGTTACCCTCAAGGCGTTGAATCTGGGTGTGTTCCCGAGCACGTTTTCCGATCACCAAGTGTTCAAGATGGAGGCGCTCGGTGCAGAGGCACGATTCGCAGCCAGCATCGAGCAGCGGCGCGTCCACAGCATCCTGGCACTCACTCTCGGCCAGCTGCGCATCGGACTCGCGGGTGTCAGGAACATTGAAGCGCCCAAGACGCTCAGCGAGATATCAGTGGAAGACGTTGTCGAGAGAGCGACGGGGTCACGCGGGGGGACCATTCTCAAAGTTCCCAAGGTGGGCGCTGTGATGCAAACGTGGCAAACACCGAATCGCAACCGCATCGACTACATCTTCAAGAGCGCCTTCGAAGGCAAAGTCGAGGTGGGATGGAACTACTCGCGCATCAGCTACATCCGCGGCATGTGGGCCAGCCACGCCAAGTCACTGGAGCAGACGTGGGGCAAGTTGCTCCCGCTCACGGCGGCTATCACGGCTATCAAGGTGACAGGAGTGCCAGATACGGAGGGCGAACAGGCTGGTGGGACGTCGCAGCAAAAGATCACGGCCGAGGTCAACGTGCCGCAGTCCAAGTACGACTACGTCGCGCTTGAGCCGCCGATTATCGAAACGCCTCAGTTGAGGGACATGGGCGAGGCAACGCCGCCGCTGGAATGGATCGGGCTTCACAGAGATCGGCTGCCGACTCTGACACACCAGATAGTCATTGTGGCGCTGCTTGAGCTGGCCGGTGAGGTGGAGGATGCTTATTCAAAGATTCTGGGCTCATGAGAGGACTGGCGGCGTTGACTCATTCGGCGGACAGTTGTTTTCGGCGTTTGGGGAGTTTAGCTTTTGGGACGTAAGCTTCAGCATCACTCAGTAGGGTAAGGTACGGCACATGGAAGGGGGATACCCGCGATGGAGAGTGGTTCATCAAGTATCGACTTAGTAATCAACAGACTTAATAATCAACACGACATTATCTTCCTCCGGCGACTGACACACTTGTGACAAGCCCGCTGTGGGATGAGGCGCATGCAGTGACAGACTGGAGGTGCAAGTAAAGTAGAAAAAGAAACCTTGGTCGACGGGAGGAGCCAGACGGATATATGGTTCAAGGCTGGCGACGCCGATGAGTCGAAGCCCCGGCCGGCAGTGAGTGGGCACGTCGCGCCGGTTAGACGCATGGAGAAGCTTCCGTCTTGGTGTCCTGGAGTACACCGTAATTACAACTAACATCGACAAGCCCGGCCGGGTCTCAGATCTCCCGTCACCCCGGATGATTCGCTTCGACGGCGGGCAGAGATGTACAGAGTAACTTTGTAAGGTAGGGTGCACTCATCTCCAACGCCGGCTCCGTCATTGGATTCTTTACAGGGCTTTGGAGGAGCCCAAATCGCAGCCACGGGCGGTTGTAGTGTTGATCGTTGATCTCACCACCTCACTGTACCGGGGTGGGCTGTTCTGAGAACAGTGTGGTTTACTGTAGAACAGCAAGCAAGGCGGGGGAGGTGGTGGTTAGATAAGCAGGGAGAGAGCTTTGATTTTGCGCCTCAAGGTGGTACATTGGCATGCTTAAGTAAGCAAACGGTAAGGAAGCTTTGGACCTCGAGGAAAGAGTCCAGCTGCGTGCCCAAGCAACCAAAGCTGCTAGTAGGGCAATGGCCGTGATCTCTGAGCTTTGTCTAATTCAAACAAGAGGTGTATCAAAAGCGCCCCCAGTCCCCAATGAGAGGCAGTTGAGACGATCCGACGGGGGGTTGCAGCCTCAGTGTACCTACCTAGGTGGTGAGGTGTTCTGGTGCGAGGGGGCCAGGGTTACTGCCCTTTCTTCTCGCATAAGGTAAGGCAGCTTGCGCGCGCACGATGCCCCCTCCTTGCACAGACTGGCCGAGTGAGGTGCCCAGGGGAGAGATCTGACATTGGGCAGAGAGAGAGATACCTAGTATAAGGTAGTGCTAGGTGCTGACGAGATAGGAAGGCCGTTGCCGTGGCACCCCCATGCCTTGCCTTGGGTAAGGAAGCAAAAGGTAGAGAGAGGCGGCAGTATAAGGTGGCGCCACGGTTGTTAATGAGCAGAGAGGCTGGAAGAATGAATGAGTGGGTAGTCATCCGTAGATGAGGTGGGATTGAGAAGGTGTGTCCAATGCCCACAGTGCGTAGGTACCTAATAAGAGGACCTGAGAGGCCCTCAAGCCCCCTCAAGCCCCTCCATTTGATGCCCTGCCAAAGAAAATGCTTTGCAGCCGCTATGGTTGGAGAGGGGTGAGGGAGGGGAGGTCGAAAAAACCAGGAAGGAGGACCTCGAGAGTGGCGGGGTTTTTTTTTCTCTCACACTCTTTTGCGCTGCCCCACCTACCCATTTTTTTCTCACCCGGCCAGTCACTAACTTTTTTTTTTTTCCCTCGGGGCAACGCCTGCCATACACTGGGGCGGCCAAGGCAAGGACGCACCGCTTCCCTTTTTTCCTCTCCTTCCCTCCCATCTTTTTACCTCCTCCCCCCCTCCATCCCATTCACCTTTTCGACGATAAAAGAATCGGTAGAGGAGCTCATTAGTTCCCCTGTCGTTTCCTGGAACCGTCGACTTTCAACCTTTCGAGGCTACCTCACATCTTCATCTGTATTCCTTCATCTCTCCAGCAGAGAAAGGATTCAGCACTCTGTGAGCGCGGGGCAGATTCTTCAACCCCGCTTCGCCCAACTTCGACTACCTACATCCCACCCGACACAGAAATTTCAAAGAGCTCGCTGAGCCACCGCCGTCAAGATGGTCAAGTAAGTCCATCACCACAACCACCGAACCCAACAACATCAACTCCTTCTGCTGCTTCCTTGGATGTCTTGCAATGTCCGTTGCTCATCATCGCGATGGGCAATGGTTGCATATCTCGCCACACCGTTGGCGGAGGCTTCTGTTGCTTTGCTGAGCGATCGTCTACCCCGCCCCTCCTCACCTTACCTTCCCTCCTTCGGAGTTAAGCTCCCACATCAGCCCAAAGATGCTTCAGAGTAGCTGACCATGCCGTCACCACAGCTTCACCGTCGAGGAGATCCGTGGGCTCATGGACAAGCCCACCAACGTCCGTAACATGTCCGTCATTGCCCACGTCGATCACGGAAAGTCCACCCTCACCGACTCCCTTCTGTCCAAGGCCGGTATCATCTCCACTGCCAAGGCCGGAGACGCGAGAGCCACGGATACCCGTGCCGACGAGCAGGAGCGTGGTATTACCATCAAGTCTACCGCCATCTCCCTGTACCACAACGTCGACCCCGACGACGTCAAGGACATTGTCGGCCAGAAGACCGACGGCACCGACTTCCTCATTAACCTGATCGACTCCCCCGGTCACGTTGATTTCTCTTCCGAAGTCACTGCTGCTCTCCGTGTCACTGACGGTGCTCTCGTCGTCGTCGACACCGTCGAGGGTGTCTGCGTCCAGACCGAGACTGTCCTGCGTCAGGCCCTTGGTGAGCGCATCAAGCCCGTCGTCATCATCAACAAGGTCGACCGTGCTCTTCTCGAGCTTCAGGTCTCCAAGGAGGATCTGTACCAGTCCTTCTCCCGTACCATCGAGTCCGTCAACGTCATCATCTCCACCTACTTTGACAAGTCTCTCGGTGATGTCCAGGTTTACCCCGATAAGGGTACCATCGCCTTCGGTTCCGGTCTTCACGGCTGGGCCTTCACCATTCGCCAGTTCGCCGTTCGCTACGCCAAGAAATTTGGTGTCGACCGCAACAAGATGATGGAGCGTCTCTGGGGCGACAACTACTTCAACCCCCACACCAAGAAGTGGACCAACAAGAGCACCCACGAGGGCAAGCAGCTCGAGCGTGCCTTCAACCAATTCATCTTGGACCCCATCTTCAAGATCTTCTCCGCCGTCATGAACTTCAAGAAGGAGGAGGTCGCTACCCTTCTCCAGAAGCTCGACCTCAAGCTCCCGGTTGAGGACCGCGAGAAGGAGGGCAAGCAGCTCCTCAAGGCCGTCATGCGCACTTTCCTGCCCGCCGCCGACGCTCTTCTCGAGATGATGATTCTCCACCTTCCCTCCCCCGTCACCGCCCAGAAGTACCGTGTCGAGACTCTGTACGAGGGTCCCGCCGACGACGAGGCCGCCATTGCCATCCGCGACTGCGATGCCAAGGGTCCTCTCATGCTGTACGTCTCCAAGATGGTGCCCACCTCCGACAAGGGTCGCTTCTACGCCTTCGGTCGTGTCTTTGCCGGTACCGTCAAGTCCGGTATCAAGGTCCGCATCCAAGGCCCCAACTACACCCCCGGCAAGAAGGAGGACCTTTTCATCAAGGCCATCCAGCGTACCGTCCTGATGATGGGTGGCAAGGTCGAGGCCATCGACGATATGCCTGCCGGTAACATTGTCGGTCTGGTTGGTATTGACCAGTTCCTCCTCAAGTCCGGTACCCTCACCACCTCCGACACCGCCCACAACCTCAAGGTCATGAAGTTCTCCGTCTCCCCCGTCGTCCAGCGCTCCGTCCAGGTCAAGAACGCCCAGGATCTTCCCAAGCTTGTCGAGGGTCTCAAGCGTCTCTCCAAGTCCGACCCCTGTGTCCTGACCATGACCTCCGAGTCTGGCGAGCACATTGTCGCCGGTGCTGGTGAGCTCCACTTGGAGATTTGCCTGAACGATCTCATGAACGACCACGCCGGTGTTCCCCTCATCATTTCCGACCCCGTCGTCCAGTACCGCGAGACCGTTGTTGGCAAGTCCAGCATCACTGCTCTGTCCAAGTCTCCCAACAAGCACAACCGTATCTACATGATCGCTGAGCCTATCGACGAGGAGCTCTCCAAGGAGATCGAGGCTGGCAAGATCAGCCCCCGTGACGATTTCAAGGCCCGCGCCCGTGTCCTCGCTGACGACTTCGGCTGGGATGTCACTGATGCCCGTAAGATCTGGACCTTCGGTCCCGACACTACTGGCGCCAACTTGCTTGTCGACCAGACCAAGGCCGTCCAGTACCTCAACGAAATCAAGGACTCCGTCGTCTCTGGTTTCCAGTGGGCCACCCGCGAGGGTCCCGTTGCCGAGGAGCCCATGCGTTCCGTCCGCTGGAACATCATGGATGTTACCCTCCACGCCGATGCCATTCACCGTGGTGGTGGCCAGATCATCCCCACCTCCCGCCGTGTCCTGTACGCCGCCGCCCTTCTCGCCGAGCCCGCTCTTCTCGAGCCCGTCTTCTTGGTCGAGATCCAGGTTCCCGAGCAGGCCATGGGTGGTGTCTACGGTGTCCTTACCCGCAGACGTGGTCACGTCTTCGGTGAGGAGCAGCGTCCCGGTACTCCCCTGTTCACCATCAAGGCCTACCTGCCCGTCATGGAGTCCTTCGGCTTCAACAGCGACTTGCGCCAGGCCACCTCCGGACAGGCCTTCCCCCAGTCCGTCTTCGACCACTGGCAGCCCCTGCCCGGTGGCTCTCCTCTGGACGGCACCTCCAAGGTCGGCCAGATCGTCCAGGAGATGCGTAAGCGCAAGGGTCTCAAGGTTGAGGTCCCTGGTGTTGAGAACGTGAGTTTTCTCTTTCAACCCCCATGACTAGGATGATGCTAATTAGCTCTGCAGTACTACGACAAGTTGTAAACGCCTTTCCCACGGGTTAATAGAAAATGGCGTTGTGCCTTTTTGGGCATTTATGACGAACTGGGTTTGGTGGATGATATCAAAAATTATGACCCCGTTCTTTCCATAGCTTTCGCGTAGTCTCTGAATGAAGACAAGTTCAATATGTAACCCTGCTATGATTATATTCGTCGTGATTCCAAAAATTGAGCACAGTCTTTGGAGACTAAAACCCGCAATGAATTTTGTACGTTCCTCTAGCCAAGGACCCAGTTGCTTCGAAAATCTGCAGCGGGCAACAGCAGTGATACCTACGGGACCCGGGCATAGATCCCACTTTGGTAGGTTTAAAGTGGGCCTTGTTAGCGAGCTCTGCAAATAAAAGCTTTCAGCCTCGTTCCTACAAAGCTACCTCTGCCACCAACCTCTCCCACCTCTGGGCAAATTTTTGTTTGTTCGCGTGGCTTCTCGCCGAACAACGACAATGACTCCAGTTTGTCCACACATTACTTGAGTATCAGACTTATTGATGCGTCAGACTTTTTTTTCTTCTTCTTCTTGAATTCCATGGTCTGGCGCGAGTCCTACTGCTACGACAATGTTTCTAGCAGAGGAGGATGCGCCCTTGCTCAGGACGTGGCTCTTGAGCAAGCTACCTGAAGTGTTTGTCTCTCCGCCGACATCCAATCGCCCAACCATGCTGACTGGTTCCTTTTCCAGATCCGATACAGAGACCGACATCTTGGCGGACTATGTCCTAGCTCTTCTCGCCTCGCAGGAAGGCGACGCTGCGCACATTCGTGCGGCATGCGAAAGCGAATTGCCGCAGTTCCTCAACGCAGGTCAGCTCACCCATATTGCGCATAGATTGAACGCCGCGTCCTCTGATCCCTCGCTGACCAAGTGCTGCGCACCATAGATACTGCGCCAGAATTTGTTGACGAGTTGTTTCGCGTCATCGAGTACAAGTCTTTCATCCCAGGCGCGCCTCCCCCGCCCAAGAGATGGGCAAAAGCAGATGACCGCGCGGCGATTCCGGATTTTCCGTCTCAGGGTGGCTCGCGAAAGCGCTCATTCAATGAAAGAGGCGACACCGGCGCTTCGGGTGATGGGGACGTGGGCTTTGACGAGCGCGCATACAAGCAGCCTCGTCGGGGTCAATGGGACTCGACGGCCTCGGGTTCTGGAGGGTACCACGCGCAGCCTTTCCCTGCCGATGGCTCATTCCAGCTGTCCGCTGCCGCAGCGCCGTACGACCCAAACTTTCCGCGGGCGGCACCGCCTGGTCCCCAAAACTGGCGCGTGATATCCCAGATGCCGCCGGCCTACCCTCAGGGAGCCCCGCCGCATGGCACGCCTCAAGGCCCACGAAGAAATAGGCAGAAATGCCGCGACTTCGCGACCAAGGGATACTGCGCTCGCGGAAACTCGTGCCAGTTTGACCACGGCGTCGAGCCCATCTGGGTACCGCCTCCCAGTGGTCCCAGTGGGCCTCCCAGATTCGAGGGTGAGTTCGAAATCCGCTCTTTTCTATCATACATCCCATCCCACCCACCCGTAGCATGATGAGAAATCCGTCCGAGCATTTATGCGATGACTTTACAAATTTTATTATAAGGTTGACTACTGAAAGCTACAAGTCTTTTACCCAATTTTGTCATTCAAAATCGTTATTCAAGACTCAGGCTGACTCGCTGCCACAGACTTTGATCCCCGGGACGCGGCCATGATGATGTCGCAAAACTTCCAACAAATGCAGCAGCTCATGGAGGCATTCAATGCTGAAAGAGGTAGCCGAGACGGCCGTAAGAACCGCCGTAGTGCTAGAGGCAAACGGCGCCAGAACCGAGCCTCGTTCTCCGCCGAAGGCCCCGTCGAGGACAGAACAAAGACCACCATCGTCGTTGAGAATATCCCCGAGGAGCACTTGTCCGAGGAGGAAGTTCGCAAGTTCTTCTCCGAGTTTGGTAGCATTGAAGAGATCACGCTGCAGCAGCACAAGAGGCTCGCGACCGTCACATATGACACGTGGGATGCAGCCAATGCCGCGTATCGTTCTCCCAAGGTCATCTTCGACAATCGCTTTGTTAGAGTCTTTTGGTTTGTCGAAGAGAGTGAGCAGGCCGCTGCACGTGCTGCTGCCAATGGCGGCGAAGACCAAGAAGCCGAGCCCGAGATCGATCTGGAGGAGTTTATGAAGAAGCAAGAAGAGGCCCAGCGTCAGCACGAAGAAAAGGCGCAGAAGAAGGCGGAGCTAGACAAGCAACGCCAGGAACTAGAGCAGCGGCAGCGCGAACTGCTTACCCAGCACCGCGAGGTACAGCAGAAGCTCCAGGCTAAGCTGGCATCGAAGAATGGCGACGGAGGAGAGAATGCGGAAGACGGCTCGTTGAACTCGGCACTTCGTGCACAGCTCGCGGCTCTCGAAGACGAGGCTAAGCTCCTTGGTCTTGACCCGAGCGCGACGGATGAGCCGGTCGGCGCCTGGCATGCGAGCACTCGCGGTCGTGGCAGAGGCGGGTTCGTCCCCCGTGGCCGCGGCTATGCGCCTCGAGGAAGGGGATCCTACCGCGGTGGTGGGTACAGGGGCGACGTTCACGCTGCTTACGCCGCGTACTCGCTCGACAACCGTCCCAGGACTGTCTCTGTCACCGGCGTGGACTTTACTTCGCCTGAGAAGGACGAGGTGCTCCGGCAATACCTCCTCGCCGTCGGCGAATTCACAGAGATCAATACGACCTCTTCCAAAACCGAAGTCACCTTCAAGGACCGCAAGACGGCCGAGAAGTTCTTTTACGGTCTCCCAAAGCAGGAGATTCCGGGTATCGATGGCCAGCTCGAGTTGTCTTGGGTCGCCACACCGCTGGCGCTGGCCAAGACCGAGAACGGCTTGTCGTTGAAACCCCAGAGCGCGTCTGACCATGATATGACCATGGGCAACACCGCACCTAGTGGGTCTTTGGCAGCGCATGGCCTGGTGGACCAGCAACCGGAACAGCAGCGGGAGATGGACTACGATGTTGCGGACGATGATGACTGGGGAGTTGAGTAGGGGTTGAAGAATACCTCAGCTTCGACGAGAAGAAGCGCGTGGAGCGTGTGCTCTTTGCATCAGAGACAGGGCAGGAGGAGATGAATGGGCTCACGAATGATGAAATAGCCTGCAGTGTTACCTGTATACCATGGTAACATGGAGACGTTCCGAGTGGTGGGATGCAGGTTTGGGACGAGGGTTCGTCTCATGATGCCATCGGCCTGGTGATTACGATGGAAGTCGAATAGTGTACGTCACCACAACAATTGATACCAAGAATTTGATACCCCCACCTCGAGTCTTGTCTCCTGTCCGTAATGTGTAGTCCCGAGACGGAGTTGTCTGGTGTTTCGGTCGTTGACAAACGGCATCACTTTCCAAGCTCATTAAGACTAAGAAGCGATCTAATGCTGTGAATATGAACATTGTCTCTCTTTCCAGACAGAAAGCCAAAGGCACCGTGAGAATAAGGAGATAACGGAGAAGCTCGTAGAGGTTGGATTGTCACTGTGATAATATTGTAGCAGAGTCGCATAGCCGCGCTTGTGAGAGAGTGACGAGGCCAGTTTGAGTTTAAGAAATTCCCGATGGTAATTTGGCAATTCTCCAGAGCGTGCCGGTCGGTAACTCGGCTACCTGGTTTTTTCCTTTTTTTTTTTCCCCTGTTTTTTATAATATGTATACATGTGCAAAAAAGAAAAGAAAACCCCCTCTCTTGCACTCATTCTCCTTCCCTTTGTTTTTCCTGGGTAAATGTTGACCACTGTAAAGTGAGTTCGGGTTGATGCTTCTCTATTGTGCCTCGATATTTGAAAATGTCTTTAGTTCTTGGTCAGGGAAGCGATAACTAACTACTACGTATTTGCAAAGTTTTGATATTTGAGCCAAATGACTGACTTATCGTTCGATAGTGTTGATACTACATTTTTTGACTGGTTTGCCCTCGCGGACGATGGGATTTCCCGGCAGTAGGACTTTCATCATCAACGTCTACTTCCCACAGTCGAGAGAACTTGGCTTTCGACGCCAAATCTAACAGATCATGGTGGACTTCATAAAGCCAAAAAAAAGGTCAATCTCCACTCTTGAGCTCAATAAATGATCAAGATCGTCTGCAGCGCATCGGTGATAGTCAAAGACGGGACAGGAAGCGAGGCAGTTCAGCTGGTGTAAAAGGAAGGCCGGACCTAGCATTACGCAGAGAGACACCGGTGTCGATTCCAATCACTTTACCGCATTGAGATACGTGGTCTCGCGAGTTCAGTCCATTTCCCGGTTGGCAAGGACTATGGGCCAAGGTCCATCGGCTTCCGGTGTGTGAGTGTGAGCCAGCGAGGTGGTGAAGTCCAGAGTGGGGCCGAAGGTCCGGACCTATCCCGGGAGCATTTGGGGCGGTACGCTCAGCCCGGACGTGGATGGTTTTGCAGAGGATGTAGGCTTTGTGAGGATGCGAAAGCGGGACGTAACCAGGAACAGGATTCATGTAGGTGCATAGAGTCAAGGCGTTGATTCAAGAATCAAGACGTGGCCGACTGTTTCAGGTCCGGGAACTCGTTAGCATAGCTCGCCTGCGTATAACGAGAACGACTTGTTCCCCTCTTTCTTTCTCTTTTTTGACTCATACTGAATGGACACTGTCTTTTGGTCGCCTGTGCCTTGTACGCTACGAAGCTGATAGTTATCTCTTCCATGGCTGCAGCGGGAGTCGGGCATGGACAAGACGCATGGTAGGACGCCACACAAACGTGGCGCGAGTGGGACGACGCCGGGTCAAGTGCCAGCGCAAGGTGGATCTATGGCGGATAAGGGTTTATCAAGAAGACGTTGGTCTTGTTTGGTTCCGGCGGACGCATGAAGCAAGGGTCGGCATATCGGTCCAAGGAACTCAAGTCGTCGAGTGATTCTGTCGCCAAAGCGAGAGAAATGCCTTTGGAACAGGGCAACCCTGGACATGTCGGTGCACCCCGGGCCCCGCAAGGCCCCTTCGCTAAAGTTGGGACTTGCGCAGCTGACCAGAGTCCCCTTACCTGACCTGCCTTAGCACGCTGCAGTGGTGTGCTGGGCCCGCCTCTGCCAGCCCCGACGAACGACAGCTGCATGCTCTCTTCGTTAGCTCACTCGGACGGATGTGTTGCATGTCACTGACCGCAACTCTCCAACCTCTTTGGTTCTCCATCTATCTACTTCTACGGTTCTACCCGTACCACGGCCTTTGGCCCTTCCTCTCATGGGCAATTTATTTAGTCTCGTCTCAGACAGCCTCATTTTCGTACAACGCCAACGCCAGTGAATCACGCCAGAACCACCGGCACCCTTGCCTGACTCAGAACACAAGTCAGGGACAGGGAGCAAACTTGGGGGTGTCAGTGTCTTGGTCTGGCCGAAGCGGTGCGCTTATGACGTCCTACCGGGCCCGTTTGTTAAAGAATAATTAACCCGGTGACTAACACCACGACCCAGAATCACCCGACAAAGACGCACACCATACTCTGAACAAACTTGCAAACTCCAAACCACAAACTACACACGGAGCAGACGACAACACGGGAGGCATGACTGGCTTCCTCTCAACCGCCGCCAACATTGCGAACCCGACACCAGATCTGGGCCACAGCCGTGCTGTGGTTCAGACCTTGCCGACCAAACCATGCCCATCTTCCAGGACGATCTCGAACACCACCATCATCACCACCACCACCACCCGCCCGTAGCCGAGCAGATCACGGGTGCGGCTCCAGAAACACCACAATCAGTCCCACCCGTGGCAGACCAGCGACCGTCGCCGATGAGGAGGCTCTCAGAGGAGAGCATACGAACCGAACTATGCGAAGGTCCCGTCGTCGATAGCCCGACGAGGCCGTCGACTCCCGAGAGCGACACCGCCGCCGCCGTCACGTCGGATAGGGCTGAGCTGATTGAGCGGTTGAAGAGGGGGGAGAGCCCGACGTGGATTCCGAGCCGCCGTGTAGGATCTCCGACAGACGCCAGGCACAATCTAGTTGCTCACAACATCACACGGCTCGAGTCGCTCTTCAACAACCTGCCCCGTCCGAGCACGCCGCAGAGCTCCCGGCCGCCTTCGAGCTCGTCTAACAACCTCTTGCCGCCGGCGAGCATCACCCCGGACAGGGCCGAGGGCACGCGAGAGGAGGATGAGCGGTTGCGTGAGGGGCTGAGCATACAGAGGCCGCGGTCTGCTCTGCATAGCGGCGACTTTACAGAAGACCATCAGCCACGGCCGCGGTCGCAACAGCAGCAGCAGCAGCAGCAGCAGCAGACGGCGCAAGAGGAGGAGACTCATGGCACAGCGGACAAATCCTTGGCATCGCGCAATTCTTGGATCGCAACGTCACCACCACGCGAATTTTCCCCGTTTCATTTCGAGACGAGGTTGCCGTTTCCGGCAACGAATGACGACTACCGATCCGTCCCGTCCTCCTTGTCCTCCTCTTTTTCGTCAAGCTTCGTATACAAGCCGCCGACGAGCCCGCTGGTGCAGTCCGAGAGCAATGACCAAGTCGACCTGTCGGTACCGTTACACAGCATCACCATTGGCGCAGGCTCCCCGAGTTTCGCGAATTCCTCGCGCAGACACACCCTAAACTCGGTCACATCGTCCCCCTTTGCTTTCCCCTCGCCGAGCCACGCCGCGCTCCACAGGCAGTCCTCGTACCGGGGACCAGCGGCCGTGCCGTACCAGGCACACCAGCCGCGGCGCTCCCTCACGTCGATCCCACAGGTGCCGCCAGGGAGCGGCACCTCGCCGCAGACGCCCGCGTTTCTGAGACCTAGGCGGCCCTCGTTCAACTCGGACACCTCCCCCTTGCAGCACGCGTCCATGGTCGGGTCGTACGAGGAGAGCATCCTTCGCGGCCGAATGTCCACGACGCCGTCCAAGCCGCTCGACTTTCTCGCGCAGATTGGTGTGCTGGGTCTGGGGAAATGCAAATCCAGCCTGAGGTGTCCGGCTCATGTGACGTTACCGTTTCCTGCGGTGTTTTACAGCTACGGGGGAGGAGGAGCTTCGCAAGGTCGTGTGCGGTCAGAAGATGGCCCGAGTCCCTACGTCGGCCAGATCGACCTGGAAAATGGTCTACCCAATCCGGAGGAAGGGCAACGGTCCAAGAGGAAGATGCAGAGTAGGTACGTCGAGCGAAGGATCGTCGAGGACGACGTCCTCATGGCGGAAGGACCCGCGCTGGCGGACGGCTCCTCGGACCGTGAGGCGTGCCGTGCCGCTCAACGGGCCAGCCGGAGGCCGGCGTCACCGAGAGCGCCGCCGGGCGGGAGTTATCGGATACCCGAAAAGGGCCAGATCCAGATCGTGATCAAAAACCCCAACAAAACAGCGGTGAAGCTGTTCCTGGTCCCATACGACCTGGCTGGCATGGAGGCGGGGACCAAGACGTTTATCCGGCAGCGAAGCTACTCGGCGGGGCCCATCATGGAGAACACACCCGGGCTCGAGGAGGCGACCGTCACGGGCTCCGACCGCCCGATCCTGCGGTACCTCGTGCACCTCCACATCTGCTGCCCTTCCAGGGGGCGGTTCTACCTCTACAAGAATGTCCGGATCGTGTTTGCCAACCGCGTCCCCGACGGCAAGGAGAAGCTCCGAAACGAGACGACGAACCCTGAGCCGCGGTACACGCCGTACAAGCCCATCCGCGTGATGCACCCGCCAATGTCAACTAGTGGTAGTCATGGTCCGGCGGCGACGCTCGCAGCAGAGAAGGCGTTTAGGAGGCGGAGTGCCGGGTTTCCGTTCGGCCCGTCCATGTATGCGATTGACGGCACATTGGACGGATTCTCGCAGTCGCCGCAGGCCGCGGGGCCAGGCCAGCAGCAGCAGCAGCAGCAGCAGCAGCAGCAAATACTGGTGTCGTCATCCCCTTTCAGCTTTGGCGGCAATAATCAGCCCGTCGAGGCGGTGCCATTTGCGCTCCCGGGGCGCGCTCGTCTGGGCAGCGACATGAGCGACAGCACAAACACCACCAACACGACGGCCACGACTACAACCCCCGACATCCTCTCACCGCAGTCATCGCAGGTGAGCAGGCTGACGACAGGGGACGGCTGGGACGCGCAGATTGCGCGGTACGATAAGCTGAGTAAAGGGGACGTCGGATACGGCGGCAACGCCTTTGCCCCGTCGTCGGGCCGCGGAAGCCCTGGCGGCACGGAGGGTTTGCTTTCGCAGCGGCTTCGGTCGCTCGGGGTACAGAGCCAGAGCCAGAGCCAGAGCCACGGCGATATGATGCCTTTTGGTGGTCGAGACGGTCCGCAGCCGCCGCCGCCGCCGCCGAGGTAAGGGCAAGGTTCACGTCACGTACATGGTTTGTTTTTGTACATATTTGGTTTATACCCAACGTTTTGGTGTGTTTACTTAGTTATCCCCAGTTTATAAGGGTTTTAGGGGGCCACACAGACGGAGTTTTTTTTTTTTTTTTTTTTTCATCGGATGGGAAAGGGTTTCATCATAGAGGGTCGGTGTTTTTGGGAGGTTCTGGTGCGTTTGTACCGAGGCCGGTGCTGTGCATATCAAAGTAAAACAAATATTCACTACTCACTCAACCTGGTGCGTCCCAGGTATGCAATGTGGCTCATGATGAGAATCGGACCGATGAGAATTTGACCCGAGGAAGTGAGTATTGCTCCGAGAGGCCGGGATAGCAGTGGCGAAGGCCTAGGCTTTCCCGTGTTTTTTGCTTACAGCCTCATAGTCAGGTAGTCATCAATCACGCAGCTTTTCTGCGCGACCTCTTTTTTTGAGATCTTCCCCGACGGGGTCTCGCAGCGCCCCGCTCTCCCGTCCATTCTTTGCCGAGTGCGAAGCGCAAGGCGTTTTATGGCATTGGCTTTTGTTGTTGAGGTGTAGACCAAGAGGGGCACAGATGATCTGGCTGGGACACAGACGTTCTGGTTCGTTCTGGTTGGTCAGAGACAGTCTTGGTTGGGAGGAAGATGGGCTGAAGGGGAGGGGGTATGAGGTAAGAAGAGAGAACAGAGGGCCAGAGTCCAGACCGAGGATGTCGGACCCATTGTGGTGAATGTGCTGGCTGGGAATGATGCCAGACGTTGGGCCGACGAGGCGGGGGAGAGGGTTTGTCGAGAGTAATGCGGTGTGGTGGTCCCACGAATGTCTCTTCCTCTTACACTCCACCCCTAACCGCCCTGCGCTGCGGCCGATTTTCAAGCACTTCAAAAAATGACGGAGCCCCTCGCACACCAAAGTCCGAGCAACATCTTTTTTGCGCTGTCATTGGGGCTTTACAAGATCAATCTGGTGTTGTTTCGACATCAGACGGTTTCAACCCGCGGCACATCCTCGCCGTCGTCCGCAGCGGGTGGTGAAACGACTTCGCCTTTGCGTTTTGTACGGGGGAGGAAGGCGGGAGGGGGCTGCGTCGTTTGTATCTTTCTTCTTCTCTGCTGATGAGAGATTTCCATGTGTGTCTGCGACTTTCTCTCACAATGCCCCCTCACAATGCCCAGATGAGGCCGCGTCGTCTGAAGCGATGTGGTTGTGTCTACGCAATGAGCCCCTCCCGTCATCGTCGTCGTCGTCTTCATCGGCGAGCTCACCCACTTCATCCCAGGTGCGTGTCAGTGACGCACTTAATCAACGACCAGGACGTTTGGATACCGCAAGGCACATGTCAAAGCTTTGAAATACTCTGAACGACCCCCCTTTTTTTTCAACTCCTTTGGGGTTTCTCTTGCAATCGTTAGGTCGCCCCCTCTCAGTCTTGAGTTGATGATCAACCCGAACTCCCAACCCCCCTGTCTGGGTACACACGAAAACGAAACAAAGTCACCTCACACCTCACCTCTTGGCACGAGGTACATCCCAAAGGAAAGGGCGCGATGAGGCCATCATCCGCCCTGCTCCTCTCGTCAGCGGCCCTGCTGTGCCAGCACCAGCAGACCGCCACGGCGCTGACGATACCGACGATACCCAACGCAAAGAACCCGTACCACCGCGACAGGGACCTCTCGAGCCTCCTCTCCGGCTCCCTTGACGTCCTCGACCGCGTGCCGGGCCTGGCGGACAAGATTGTCAACACGACGCTGCTCGTCGTCCGCGCGCTCAGGGAAACGGTAGCCGACAACGGCATCACGCAAAACGACCTTGACTTGGCGCTGGGGATCAACGGCACCACGGGCATGCCGCTACTAGGAAACACCACCAGGGCCGTGACGTGCCCCGACGTAGCTGTTCTCTACGCCAGGGGAACGAATGAGCCTGGTATGTATAGTCTTTTTTCCTCTTCCCGGCTACGCAAAAAAGTGTAGGAGAGAAGAAGAAAAAGAGAAACTGACAAAAAATGCAGGCAACGTGGGCTTCCTCACCGGCCCGCCCTTCTTCGACGCCCTGCGCACTTACATGAACGGCACGGGCTCCATCGCCATCCAGGGCGTAAACTCCTACCCGGCCCAACCAGCCGGCTTCTTCGCGGGCGGCTCCGCCACCGGCGCCGCCTTCGCTGCGCAAGTCGCCTCTCGCACCCTTGCCTCCTGCCCAGACACCCGCCTCACGGTGTCGGGCTACAGCCAGGGCTCGCAGGTGGCCCGCCTCGCCGTGGCCCAGATGCCGCCCGACCAGCGCGCGCGTCTCTCGAGCGTCGTGCTCTTTGGCGACCCGCTGGGAGGCAAGGCCATTGACGGGGTCGATCCGACGAAGTTGCTCGTCATATGTCATACGGGTGACAATATCTGCCAGGGAGGCGACTTTATCTTCAACACGCATCTCGATTACAGCCTCGACGCGCCGACGGCGGCGCTGTTTGTTATGCAGCGGAGCGGGCTTGGGCTGGCGAGCCGCGACGCCCAGAACGAGGGGATGGGGGATACCATGGTGGGCACCGTGCAGGGAATAATGCACTCCTCAAAGGGCGGGATAGCGAGTGATTAACACACACACATACAGGGAGAGAGAGAGAGCGCGCGTGTGTGTGTGTGTGTGTGTGTGTGTGTGTGTGTGTGTTGTGGGATGATTTGTATTACAAGGATGTCATTGTGTGTTGCAACTTTCTACAAAGAATGGGCTAGACGCGGGAAGAGAAAGCTAATAAACAAAATTTGTATTGTGACATGCATCCTACCTTCTTCCCCAGGGGAGAGTAGAACGTCAAACTTTTTCCATAAAATCATCGCTGCAATTAAATGCCATGCCTTTCTATAACAACACAACACACACATGTCTGGTCTAGTAAGTCTTGTACAAGATATCTCTGTTCATACACACGGCATTTCCGTCGGTTCACTCGGACGCTCCCTCCACTGACGACGACGAATCTCGGGTCCGGGGGCCAATCTTCTCGCCCTCGCCGTCGACAGCAGCCCCGCCTGTGGTGGTCGATGATGAAGGCCCAGGCTGTTGCGCCGACAATGCTGAGCTCTCAGTCTGCGAGCCAGCGGCATCTTCCTCGAGATGAGCAAGGTTTCCGTCGTTTGTTTGTGAGAATGGCCAGCTTCGTTGCGCCGATTCCGACGTCTTCTCCGTATTCGCGGCATCCTTCTTCTGGGAACCAAAGACTTCCCTCTCAATACCCACGCCCGTATAGGGCAACGTACGGAATGCTTCCGCAAGGCTCGGACATTGGGCCTTGAAGTCACTGAGCTGGGCCGCCGCGGCAGATGACCACGGCGCCATGCGTTGTAGGTTGTTGTAGTCCTTGACCAGGACGATGATGGTGTACGATGTCGGACGCAGCACCGACGGCACGCTGGCCATGCGACGCTCCGCTAGTGGCAGATTCGTCTTAACCAGCGCTCGCATGCGATTCTGCTGCCAGCCCGTCCAACTCGGCATAAGCCAAGTTTCGCAGATCGTGCAGGCGTCCATCCAGGACCCCAGACGAGCGAGGACCTGAACTGTGTGGTTAAAGGCCCGGCGGTCAAACGAGAACCCCAAATTCAATACCTCATCAAAGGCCTTCTTCAACTGTGCCGGGGCATGCAGACCCACAAACAACTTTAGGAGCGTCTCAAATGGCTTGGATAGACCAAGACGATACCGCGGTATCACCGTGGTGTGAACGTCCTTGAATGATGCTGGACGAGCAATGACCGAGAACTTTTGCAGGATTTGTTCCCACTTTGCAAGAGCCTCGTCGTACTTCTTGTTGGCTAAATCATCCTTCATCAGGAAGTGTAGCCAGTGAACGGAAATATTTTCACCGGTGGCGTTGGTCGTGTTCCCATCTGCTACGCCGATGCTCCTGCGCAGCTGCTCAAGTTCTTTCACCGAAGCGAAATCGCGATACTGGTCGAAGAGTTTGATGGCCTGATCCAGCGCCTGCCGTAGGCGATGCAGCGAGTCTGCGCGACGTAGTAACTCCTTGTCATTTTGGCTGCCATCTCGGCTCGGCGCTTTGTTGACGGTGTTGGCTAGATCCCGAATGTATTTCATCAACTCTTCCACGCCATCACCGTTCTTTGGATCATAATGGTAAGCAAACAACCGTTCCTTGATCGTTCCGCGAGCTTTGATTGTGCGTGCTTTGACTGTCATTAGTCTGTACCGTTGCAGGTGCTTAGTGAGCTTGCTAGCTAAAAGCAGTTGGCGGCTGTCCAACGCGCCCTTTATAACAGTCATGAAGTGTTCTCGAGTCACTTCAAATGATTTGCTAGCAATAGCCGAGCGTAGCATCTTGTACGCCGCTTGCGTTTGCCCGCAACTGATCAAGGCGCTGAACACCAATCTGTGGGTTTCGGACGTCCACTTGACGCCATGGTTCGCCATGGTCTCAAGGACATGACTGAGACCCGCTAGATTGCGACGCAATGAGTGAAACCGTACGACGGTGTTCCAAAGCCTGGCATGGTCACCCGCAACGTTGTTGGCCTGGGCCTCGATACAAATTGACAACATCACATTGGTCCTATAATGCCAAGAGTAGGCTCGGATGACCGCCTCAAGGATAGGGACGTCCGGCTCGATGCCTAGAGATTTCGCTCGCTCGAGAAATTTATTCGTCTTTGAAAGGTCTCCGTTCCTCGAAGTCATAGACATGATGGTTGCAAAGGAATGCCCGTCGGGTTGTGTGCTCTCGCAGAGCTCTTCGAACACGGAAAGGGCGAGGTCGTAGTCATTGCACTCCAAGCAGCTCTTGAGAAGTTGATTCCAGCTTTGAATGCTCGGTGTCACGCCGTGCTTGTCTCTAAGCTCGTCGAAAAATCGTCGGGCGCCCTTGTAGTCTCCGAGGCTCGCGTAGGCGTTGACAATGTGGTTGAAGGTATCCGGCTCTCGAAGAACGTTTCGGTGATGGTAGGCATGGACGTAGTTGTCCCATAAGCGCTCCAAAGACTTGATATCGCCCCGTGATGCGTAGTACTTGAGGAACTTCCGAAACCCCCACTGGTCCAGCTGGCCGTAGCTGGTATGGTAGTCTTCGTAGATCTGCTCGAGGCCCGCTACATCCTCTGGGTAAAAAATATCGAACATACCATGGAGAATTTTCCAGTATGCTATCACGCCGGGGAATGACCGGTAGACACGGTATATCTCGGGTAAACACTTTTGCTGTCCCCGTGCCAGAGCTTCAGAGAGGTAAATATTGTACCACTTCGATTGGTCGATAATTTTGAGCAGAGGCAAGGCTTCCTCTGGCTCACACGGTTGCATGAGCGCACGCCTGGCCGCTTTATTGAGCAAGATTGTGAGCTTCTGGGCTACTTCTGGTTCCTGGGCCTTGATCTCCCGAGCGAAGCGAATGGTGAGGGCTCCGAGGTTGGCAGTTGCAGCAAGTTGGTTCAGGTTTCCGGCTTTGGTACCATGAGAGAGGTAAACGGTATGGTATGATGCCCAGACTCGAATGACGGTTGTCCAATCGGCCTTTTCAAAGAAATGACCAAGCAGCTCGTCCAGCCCGCACACGAGAGCCTTCTCGTCTAGCCCCGTGTGGTATAGCCGCAGCGCTTCGGCCTCTCGTCCCAGGCGTAAATAAGCTGTTACCACTGATGTCAGAACCATTGCAGACCATTGGCTGTCGTCGACTTGGGGGAACAAGAGGACAACTCTTCGTGCGTCAATGATGTTTGCGGACCGATACAAGTACGCAATGACCTCGGGTCGAAACTCTGGTTGCAGGCTCGGCTCTAGTTGTGTGTAGAGCTGCCATATGGACCCAAAGTATTCCGTGTCTCTGTCTGCCATGAGTTCCCTCATCAGTTCAGGTCGCGACCCGGCGCCGGCATATGAAGGACCACTGTGAGTATCGCGCGAATCGGTTACGTCCAAGGCGTCGTCGACCTCTTCCTCGTCCTCTTCCTCTTCAAAGTCGTCTTCCTCAGCCGGATCTACGCCTTCTTGGTCAGCGTACCGCCGGCTTCCCACAGCGGATGCGCCCGCATCTCTGTCTTGCGGCATTGACTGAACACCGCTGGAGAAGGTCTCGGGCGAGTCAGAGTCTTTCGTCGAGGTCGCGACCGTAGAAGATGTGAATGGCCTGGATCGGCGTGGGAGCCGTTGAAGAGGCGTCAGATGATCGTGGGGCAGGCCCGGGGAGGTTCTGCGCAAGAAGGTAGCGGTTCCACTGGGGTAGAGAAAGTCGAGAAGAAAGGTCGAGGCGGCGAGAGTTTCGAGAGGCGCTGACGGCGGATCAGAGGGGGCGGGGTATTCGGTGCCATTGAAACGCATAGCCAGCACGGAGCTGGAAATATCTATGGCTGCGGCGCCATGCTGCCAGAAGCCGGTGTGCAATCTGCGCTGGCTTCTAAGTTGTCGCGTGGCGGATGGAAGAGCATGAAGACTGGTGCATGATTCCAGGGTCGCCGCCGTTCTCTCCAGCATTGGGATTGAGGCTGTCACCAATACGGTACCTATCAATCATGTATGGCGGACATCAAGAGCACTCGGGCACATGCTGGTCATGGGTGTTGTTGGTGTCGTCGCCCGAGGTTGGAAAAGTTTTGGGTGGAGCCGCGGCGTTGGAAATCGAAGACGTCGACGACCGACCGAGATGCTGCCCGAGCTGAGCTAAGCTGAACCGATTAGCTCCGGAAGCAAACACGCAGACTAATCCAGGCGGCAATTGGTCCAAATTGCTCAGGAACGGCTGGGAGGCAATGTTTTTAGTGACTTTGTCTGCAGAAGCGCATACAAAGGAGCGGCCGGGAAGCGTACAAGATGCCTACCCAAGAGCACAGTATCAGTCCACTATCCACCCGCCTTCATGGACTTTCCCCGGGAGCTTCAACCAATGACGAGGCATATACGGGAACATCTTCGACCCGACGTCCGACCCTAAATTTCAGAGCTAAGAATGGGCACGTACCTCGAGCTTACCTAAGGTTTGTGGGTGCTTGTGGTAGGTGTGCAATTAGCGGCCTTCACCACACGCCCTAAATTTTGACAATCCCACATTGAAGCCATCCAATGCGCCGTACAGGACACTGGTGAGCCCCACCAATCCCCCGCGCAGCGCAGAGGTCGATTCGACATCATCCCGTCCCCCTTTGGTGTGGCCTGTCGCGATCCTGTCTCCCAAGCGTCGAACGGACGAATCGACCAAGCTCGACATTGCCACAGCCATGGATATCACCAAATTCGTCGTCTCTGGCCGTGATGCGGCTCTCCTCTACGGAGACTACGCAACCTACCAGACCCAGCTGTCCAAAAGGCTACTCAACAGCCGCAAGAAGCTCGGCATCGCCACGAGGAACCGTGGAAAGTTTAGCAAGAAGGGCGAGGTCGGTGCCTCGCAAATTTCCGAGAACCATGAGTATGTCGAAACGTGTGAGAGAACGAGATGATGGGTGGACTGTTGGCTAACATTGTCGCCAGATATATCCACCTACTCCTACTCACGAGCGAGCGTGCCTGGGCCAATGCCATGGCCATCAAGGCTTCGCACGCCTCGGATGCCAAAGGCATGACCGGAAAGACGAGATCGCATATTGTCTCCCGACTCCAAAAAGCAACCAAGGTTGCCGAACACCTCGCTGAGCTGCTCTCACAGCCCGAGACTGGCGCGACACAGAACGACAAGCTCGAATCCCGGGCGTACGCCGCCCACATCCGCGGTGCCGCCCAGTTCGAGAATCAGCACTGGGAGCCCTCCCTGCGAAGCTATGCTGTGTCACGAATCATCTACAGCGCCATGGCAACGACCACCAAGGGCGACATCTTCAAGGACCTCCTCTCCGATACCATTGACCCTTCTATCCGCTATGCCGCCTACCAGCTCAAGACGCCGCGCACGATACCCGTTCCCGCGATCGCCAGACGAGCATTCCCCCATTCCGACACGGCCCTCTCTCAGCAGATCAACGAGCTCGACCCCAATGTGTTGAAGCAGGTGGATGCCGAGACTAGCAAGGAAGGCGAGGGGGTCGAGAACGCGCCCCGGACACTCACTTGGCGCTCTCGCGAGGTCAAGATTGAAGACGCTGCGATTTCTCTGGCGTGGGGCAGGGCGGAGGAGGCCAAGACAAAGCTCTCCGAGACATGGCCATCTCTCGTCGATGCCGATCCCAGGGACGTGGCCGCCGCATACGACGACATCCTCGAGGCGACACAAGATGCTGCCGACGCTACAAAGGAAGCGATTGACGAGCTGCGGGGCGAGGGCGTCTCCCAGAGCGACTCTCGCATGCAGAGCTTGCAGATCACCAGAACCGCCGTCAACTATGAGATGATTAGCTGGCGTGTCGGTCGCAACCGCGTCTTGACAGGCGACGATGACGGCCTGGTTGAGAGATATCACTTGTCTCGCAGTAAGTCTAAGAAGGCGGAGACGACGGCGAAGAAGCTCAAGGAACAGACCCCTGGACGCAAAGCGGCAAAGCTGAAGGAACTGGTCGCGCTGTACGAAGGGACCCTGCAGAGTCTCGAGGCCGCGAGGGAGTTGCCCGGCGTGGCCAACGACGAGGAACTTGCCGGCCAACTTGAGGCTTTTGCCGAGTATTTCCAAGCTCTCAAGTGCGTTTTCACATCCCTCGCTTCCACTTGCTCTCGGCCATACTGACACGACACATAGGTCACTCTCCATCGCTCGCTCCCACGCCATCATCGGCAACACCGTCAACGCCCTAGCCCTCATCAAGCACGCCACCAGCGAAGCCCAGGAGGCCGCGTCGACCCTTGCCGACGGACCTCAGCCGCAACCCAACTCGCCGCGCAGCATCGAGGTGTCGGGTGAGGACGCAAAGGCCCTGGCGACCTACCTCCAGGGCGAGCTTCAGCGCCACCGCGCTCTGGTCCACCTCTCGAACCTGCTCAAAGAGTCGGCGGCCTCCACCGAGGACGACGCCCAGAAGCTTCCCCTGATTGAGCGGCTGCACGAGTACCCCTCCAACGGGATCGACCTCACAAACCTCGTCAGCATACCGCCCAAGCTGTCCGCCATTCCCGTCAAGCCCATCTTCCTCGATGTGGCGTGGAATTACATTGACTACCCGGGCAAGGAGCCGCAGGAGCCGGTCGCGGCGGCAACACCCAGTCAGGGCGAGTCCGTCGCGCAGGGCGAGAAGCCCCAGGCGCAAAAGAGAGGATGGTTTGGTTTTGGTAGATAAGGAAAAAGTAGTCAATTGAATCAGGCCCAAGGCGTATTTATCATGCTTCACAGCAATTTAAAGATTTGTCTTGCAATATCAACCATGTAACCTGTCACTTTTGAGTACAAGGCTGTAGTCATAATTGTTTTGAGAGGGGATGTAGAATTATCACGTCTAGCTACTCCAGATTCGGTTTGGTTTTGTACATATGCAACCCCGTCTTATCCCCTTGATCCATACCATCGATCATATCATGAATACCGAATAGGTATCTCGTGTGAATGTTTTGATGCTCCAACGCCGGTTCCGCCGACCGCAGGCAGGTATTAACAAACATTTGTAAAAAGGGGTAACAAGGAAGAGAGAGCGGTCAATTCGATTCGGGAATTGACCGGAATATGAGTACAGTTGGAATACAAACATGAGCAAAGGAAGTCTATGCCCCGCCCAAAAAATAATCAAACATGCTGACAAGCCTTGAATCGGCTCGCGGAGGTGGGTGGTAAGTGAGAAACTAAAAAGACAGGTGTAAAGTCATTTAAGGCTTCTTCTCGTCCTTGTTCTCGGAGGCGTTGGCGTCCTGAGCGGGCTGCTCGCCAGACTCGGCACGGGCCTTGTGCATCTTGTCAAAGAGGTTGAGGGAGGCGACCTGGAGCTCGTCCGTCTTCTCCTTGATCTCAGCGGCGGTGGCGTTGCCCTCGCCGGCCAAGCTCTTGGAGACGAACTCCCGGAGGGAGGCAATCTTCTCACGGATGCCGTCGGCCTCGGTCTTGTCGAGCTTCTCGGAGTACTCGTTGAGCGCGCGCTCAGTGTCGTTCAGGACAGAGTCGGCGCGGTTGGCGGCCTCAATGGCACCCTTGCGCTCCTTGTCGGCCTCGGCGTACTTCTCAGAGTCGTCAACCATCTGCTGGATCTCAGAGTCGGACAGACCAGAGCCGGAAGCAATGGTGATGGACTGGTCCTTGTTGGTGGACTTGTCCTTGGCACCGACGTGGACAATGGAGTCGGCGTCAATGTCAAAGGTGACCTCGATCTGAGGAACACCGCGGTGGGCAGGGGGGATGCCAACCAGCTGGAAGTTACCGAGGAGCTTGTTGTCACGGACGAGCTCACGCTCACCCTGGTACACCTTAATCTCGACGGCGGTCTGGAAGTCGGCAGCAGTGGAGAAGGTCTGGGACTTCTTGGTGGGAATGGTGGTGTTGCGGTTAATGAGACGGGTGAAGACACCGCCGAGGGTCTCGATACCGAGGGAGAGGGGAGTAACGTCGAGGAGCAGGAGATCCTTGACCTCACCGGAGAGGACGGCACCCTGAATGGCGGCACCAATGGCGACAGCCTCATCAGGGTTGACAGACTTGGCGGGGTCACGGCCGAAGATGCTCTTGACGGACTCGGAAACCTTGGGCATGCGAGTCATACCACCGACGAGGATGACCTCCTGGATGTCCTTGGCCTGGAGGTTGGCATCCTTGAGGGCCTTGCGGACAGGGTCGATGGTGCGGGTGATGAGGGGGTCCATCATCTTCTCGAGCTGAGCGCGGGTGAGCTTCTGGTTAATGTGCTTGGGGCCAGAGGCGTCGGCAGTGATGAAAGGCAGGTTGATGTCGGTGGAGAGGGAGGAGGAAAGCTCAATCTTGGCCTTCTCGGCGGCCTCACGGATACGCTGGATGGCCATGCGGTCGTTAGACAGGTCGATGCTGGAGTCCTTCTTGAACTGCTGGACGAGGTGGCGGACAAGGTGGATATCAAAGTCCTCACCACCCAAGTGGGTGTCACCGTTGGTAGACTTGACCTCAAAGACACCGTTCTGGATCTCGAGGACGGAGATATCGAAAGTACCACCGCCAAGATCGTAGACGGCAACAACGCGGTCCTCCTCCTTCTCAAGACCGTAAGCCAGGGCGGCGGCAGTGGGCTCGTTGACAACACGGAGGACGTTGAGGCCAGCAATCTGGCCGGCGTCCTTGGTGGCCTGACGCTGAGAGTCGTTGAAGTAGGCCGGGACAGTGACGACAGCGTTCTTGACGGGCTTGGAGAGGTAGGCCTCGGCGGTCTCCTTCATCTTGTTCAGGACGAAACCACCAATCTGCGAGGGAGAGTACTTCTGGTCGCGAGCAGAAACCCAGGCATCGCCGTTGGTGTGCTGGACAATCTTGTAGGGAACCTCCTTGATGTCACGCTGGACCTCAGCGTCGGTGAACTTGCGGCCGATGAGACGCTTAGTGGCGAAGAGGGTGTTCTCGGGGTTGACGACAGCCTGGCGCTTGGCAGCGACACCGACGAGACGCTCGCCATCCTGAGCAAAAGCGACCACTGACGGCGTTGTGCGAGCACCTATTGATGGTTGTCAGTATGCTGATGCGCGGGAAGATGTTTCTATGGATTCTGCTCACCCTCCGAGTTCTCGATAATCTTGGGAACCTTGCCCTCCATGATGGCGACGGCAGAGTTGGTGGTACCGAGATCGATACCGATCACGGAGCCCTGGACCTTGCCCTCAGGCGCTGTTGACTCATAGCGAGCAAACTTGGAGGCGAAGGGCTGGCGAACGAAGCCGGCGGAGCGGGCGACAGAGCTGGTAGCTCTGGGAAGCTGTTGCGCGTTAGCATGCAAAAACTTTGATGGGTCGCGACAGGTGTCACGAGTGAAAACGTACAGCTCTGGAGAAGCGTGCAGACATCATCTTGCCTGACTTTGTGTGGGTATAACAAAAGGGGATGGAGGGAAAAGAAGATGGCGCGCGGAAAGGAATGGAAAAGCGGTTATTATAGAGTACACAGTGGATGAATTGGGGGAGGGAGGAGGTGGAGGATGCGAAGAAATGATGATGGCAAGGAGAGTTCGAAATTTTTTGACCCGAAAAATGATGCGCGCCCCCGGTCATAGAAGCCGACCGAATCCCGCCATGTCGGACGCCGGCATCGGTTATTCCGAATAGCAAGGAGCTCCACCACCAGATATTCTTTGTGGAGCTTTCCAGGTTCTCAGCAGTGGGGGGTGAAGTGCACGTGACGAATGAATGGCGGCCACAAGCTTGAATCAACGGGATCGCCCGGCCATTGCAGGTAATGGCCGTGGCGCTAGTGGACGTGTCAGCGGCCAGGGACGGAGCTAGGGGAGAGCTCGGCTGGAAATTTTTCGAGTCTCTTGAGCTCTTAGCTGTGGCGGCGGATGCACTGACGTGTTGATGTTGCTGACTGGCCGACACGATTCATCCCCCTGGCATGTAGACACTGGAGGTCGAGGAAAATGTATCTCTCACTCCTGCGCCTTCGTCTCGCGCGCCAACCCGCTGCCTCTAAGAACGGTTTTCCCAAATCGTGATGATTTACTACAAGTCGAGCTTCCCTAGTGGTACTTGCACTCCGTCGTCTGATTACCAGCCACTTGAGAGACGCGCATTCTGCTCTACAATGTGCATGAGTAAGAGTTGGAGTGGTCCACCGGCTTCGCGGAAAGCACACCCGATCCAGCAGGCCCCGACGGCAGTGCTTCCGGCCCCGAAAGGTGGATCACGACGGTGGGTCCGCAAGCCCGAGGTCGGATCAAGGCTTGGCGCAACGCTGAGCTTCGCCTAGATGTTCCGGTGGCTCTGATCAACTCTTTCGAGCGTGTATCAACGCATCCAACAAATTCGCGAATCACAGAGTAGGCCGGGGTAGCATATAAACTCGTCAAACTTGGATTTGCGTTAAGCTGTATTCAGTACCAAAATCATGCTGACCTCCGCCACCTCTTGAGGTTAAGAGCCTAAGAGAAGGCTCTTACTGGTAAGGTAAGTTGCCTGGGTAAGACAACGGGAGCACGGGCTAGCGCAAACCCGAGTTTGACGAGTTCTACGGCATGAGAACTTCATACAATTTTTTTCGGTGGTGCTTTGGCGTCGGTCAGTGGTTTCCGAAACCACCGACCTTCCTTACACATTAAGCTCCTCATTGACAGATCGGATTACGCAAGTACGCAAGGTGCTCAAACATGACTCTAGTGTCCATTTCTAGCACGTCTTACAAGTTGCTTTTCACTCAAGTCATCTACCCTGCGGCCTTTATGGTGATTGGACTGAGCGCGGTGAGCCTGGAGTATTTAGGTCAAACAAGTCTAACCAAGGCACTGCAGTTCTCGCTGATAAGTTGTGCCACTCATCCAAGATCCAAATGACCTGATCAAGAAGCAAGAGTAGTTCCCATTGCTTTCTCTCTGGAGCGTTGCTCTCGAATCAAACGCGATGACTGGGCAAGAAATGGTTTGCATTAATTCTACCTACCTCTTACGAGATACCAGTTTAGGTCACGGATATTTGCCGACATTTTGGATAGAGAAGAAAAGCCTGGATAGTCGCATCGAGGCGGGTTGGTACTAATTCCTTTTCTAGGTACCTTAGACACATCGGAAGATGCCCTACGAAAGCGCTAGGAACCCCGTGTTGAAATGGCGTCTTTGGGCCAAAGACCAAGCCAACAATTGGGTTGGATGTCTGTTTAGACCCCTGACGACCTAACAACACCTTACCCAGGCACTATTGGCTGGTAACTGAAGTAGGGTAGGTAAGCAGCAGCCCAAGCTCCTGTCCCGAGGCATCAGCCCCGAGGTACGTACTGTAGAGGTGCTCCCCTGTCCTGTCGCCTTTTAAATCGAGAGCGCACCTCAGCGCCAACCAACCACGACGAAGGGGAAAAGCAGAACAGGCCCCTCCTGCCATACACGGACGTCATGCGGGAAGTTGCCTCTCGTCTCGCGCAACTCACATCGTCCCCAAACATCCGACACCCCGAATCATCCCACGGCTTCTCCAGTCGCTGTATATTCACCGCTGTCGCAATTGCATCGATCAGCACGCGGATGGGATTGATTGCACTGGCGGCCCTGCTCACGATCACACGTGCCTCGGCACATACATGTTTGCTTCCCCACGGGCGAACCCTCTGGCCACTCCATAAGCCATCATGGCTGTGAAAGATGGCGTCTCGTATGCCCCTCCCAAGACGACAATGGACTCGATTTGGCTTGTCAGGCTGACTCCGATCGCTACAGTTACTATCCGACAAGCGACTTGATCTCCAAGAGGCCACGGAAACACTACCGCATCCCGGTCCATTCTCAGTGCGTCGGCCTCTCCGTCATCTATTTCCACAACGCGCACTTTGCATGCAGCGAGTACTAACCACTTCTTATAGACACTGGCAACTACGATCGCTCATCAGCGCCGAGAAACAAAACCTTGTCTACTTCCCCGGGGGCGCCGGGGCCGCTGGCAGCTATCATGTTCAGCGGCTGAACACGACGACCAAGGAGTGCGAGACCGTCAAGTTCCTCTCCTTTTCGCCACGGTGTCTAGTCGCCGAGAACGGCTGGGTGTGCTGCGGAGGAGAAACGGGCGAGTTCACGGCGATACAGATGGACAGCGCTGGCGATGACGATAACAACCTTGATTTGCAACTCAACTTGGAACCCAGCGCCGGGTTACCCATCGGGGTCGACTCCGAGTCCCCTCGACCGCAAGATAGCATCTTTGGGCTTCTAAGCCATTCACGGCGGATGAATATGGGCACCCGGCTGGATAAGAGCGTCATTGCCAAGAGCCAGAAGCTCGCGCGCGACCGTGTCAACTGCATAACGATGTGGTTCCCCCCAGCGGCCGGCCCAATGCATCACGGAGCGTACACAGAGCCCGCCGCCGTCCTGGCAAACAACGACAAGACGGTGGTTTTGGTCGGCTTGCGCGACTTTGATAATCAGGACAAGGTCGAGCCTCTGGATATAGTGACGTATCCGGACTATGTTAACCGAGCCATAATCTCCCCGGATGGTCGCCTATTGTGCGCAATCCTCGATGACCCTTATTTGTACATTCACCATCGCACCGAGGCACCAATCGACGAGAATGGGCCATTCCGCAACGACGACAAGGTCGAGTACCGCTGGGAACTGTGTGGCAAGATCCTGCTCAAGAGCCAGCGTCGAGACGACGGATCCGACAGCAGAGGAAGTTTCGCGGCGTGCTTTTCCAATACGGGGGCGTATCTGGCTGTCGGAACACAATACGGCACCATTTCAGTATTTGACGTTGCGAGCCTCACTGATCCGGATGTCGCCGATCCGCTGCTAACGTCCTTTACATCGTCACGGCCGATGGCCGGGTCGGGCGCAGTTCGCGACATGGCTTTTTGTCCTGGACCGTATGACCTCCTGGCTTGGACCGAAGATCGCGGCCACGTTGGTATTGCGGATCTAAGGAGTGGGTTTGTGCAGCGTCAAATTTTGGACATTAGCGCCACAGACGACTACGACCAAATCCCCGTCCTTGATCGTGCCACGATTGACCCGCGGCTGCTAGAGGGTCGTGGCGAACCGCACGATACCCTCTCGTCTATCCTGCCAGAGGCTAGCGAGAGCCGGCGGCGGCGACTCGACGGCCCAGGGCGTCAACATCTAGCACTGACACCCGACGAGACGAGGGTGCTTGAAGCTCTGCAGGAGGAGCGCCGAAGGCGAGAGCAGAGGGACCGAATCGCGGCACGAATGGCAGAGCAGACGTCCCAGCAACCGCCGATGCAGTTCTTCGGGGGGTTACCTCCCATAGGCGGGAGAGGTGCTCGTATTGACCCCGAAGCAGTGGCGCGCGCACGATTGTTTGCGCAACGAGACCCAGCGCAGAGGGCGCAGAGAGGAGAGAGACCAGTAGCACGTGCGAGCCGCGACCATACACCTGGCGAGGCAGGCGAGGCCAGTAATGACGCGAACCAGAACGTGTCTAGGGCGATCGGAGACCTCCTTGGAAATATCCGTGACTCGAGAGAGCGAGCTCAGGAGCGCATACGTACCGCTCAGCGTCTCATACTGCAGTCCAACTCGGGCCGGGACAGTATGCTGGACTTACAGTCCAGCTCTGATCGAGACCTGGGCCTGGCGACTCCCCACCCACCACGACGTTCAGCGAGCATACGGCCGAGTGAAACTTTGGCGGCGGCACAGCGCGGATCAAGCGGCCTGCGCAGCCTGACGCCGTCGGGTAGCGGCTGGGCAGACCTGGAAGCGCTCTACACCATGTCGTTTGAGAGCAACATCCAGGATCTCCGGCAAGCCGTCCGGGACCGCGACAGGGAAATACTGCCGCTGCTCAACAGCGTCGCCATGCGTGAGGTGGAGGAACGGCACAACAACAACCGCCGACGGCTAATGGCCGAGCACGGCGTCCACGAAGCACCTCCCGAACCCGACAATACTGCCGGGATCTCGTGGAGCGAGGATGGCAGAATCTTGTAAGTTACATTCGTCACACGTCCAAGGGGAATCTCACTGACAGACCAGGTACGTTGGTGCGGAAAATGGCATCTATGAATTCCACGTCGATGTACAGGGCCGCAAGTTCCACCCCAGCTTGACGTTGCGGTAACGTGTATACCTTTGAAGTCTAGTTCGCTGGCGTTGGCGGGGCCAATGGTAGGGCTACCGAGTGATTGATTGTACAGCCGAAACTGAAACAGCTGCCCCGGAGGACGGCGTCGCGGAGTTTCGCATGATTTATGATTCGGGGAGGGCACGGGATGTTTTTTGACGACATACACACACACACACACACACACACACACACACACACACACACACAAACACACACACACACGCATTCTCTGTGAATAGTTTGCAGCGTCATTCTGGTTTTGTTTGCAACATGTGGTTGAATTTGTGGTAGGATGGATTATATCTAATGCGCTCGACCGCAGCCAGGTCTGGCCCAATGATTGCTTTTCTTCGCGTGTGTACTACATTAGTCTTGCAGAGCATAGGATAGGTATCCTAGCGTTTCGTTTGGTTTGGGATCGGATTCCTCTGCGTCAGAGACACAGAATGAACACAAAGCCATTACAGTATACCTTGATCCAATCTCACCCGTACACAATCTCGTCGACCCGTTCCGCAATCGCCAAACAGCTCGTGAGTCCGGGGCTCTCGATGCCCAGCAAGTTCACCCATCCCTCGTACCCTTCCTCCTTGCGGACAATAAAATCGTGGAACCCGCTGCCCTCGGCCACGGCCTGTTTCCTTCCCAACTTGGGCCGTATCCCCGCGTAATCCGGCACCAGGGCACTGGCGTCGATGTCGGGCAGGTACTTCTTGATGGCCTCGACGGCGTCCGGGAGCCGCGCGCCGTTGACGGCCAGGTCATTGGGGGAATCGACCCACTCCACGTCCGGCCCGAAGCGCAGGCGGCCCGCGAGGTCGAGCGTCAGGTGCGTTCCCAGACCGCCGGCGCCGGGTTCGGGAGCCGGGTAAATCAATCGGCGGACTTTGGGCGCCGCAGCAGCACCACTACCACCACCAGAGTAGGAAAAGTAATTGCCCTTTGCGTAGAACATGTCTTTCCGTTGCGAGGCGGGCACAATCATGTTGTGGACATCCACCGCGCCCAAGCCCGCCGCGTTGACCAGCACCTCGGCCGTGACGCTGCTCTCCTCCCCCGTAGCCGGATCCCGCACCGTCACCTCCCACCCGGCGCTCCCCCCTTGCCCGAGGGGCCGGACGCCCACCACGGCAGAACTCAGCGCCACCACCCCGCCCGCGTCCTCAAACAGCCCCGTCAAGGCGACCATGAGCCCGTGCGAATCCACAATGCCCGTCGTAGGACTCTCCAGCACGCCGGCGGCGGCCCTCACCTCCGGCTCCAACCGCCTCGCCTCCGCCTCGCCGACCCACCGCACGGGGACGTCAATCGTATCCTTACAGAAATCATGCACGCGCTGCAGCGCCGCCCGCTGCGCATCATTCTGCGCAACGATCCATTTCCCCGTGTTGGCGTGCCCCACGTGATGCTTCTCGCAGAAATCATACAGGAGGTGCTTCCCGCGCACGCAGAGGCGCGTCTTGAGGGTGCCCGCGCCGTAGTAGATGCCCGCGTGGATGACCTCGCTGTTGCGCGACGACGTCTCTGTCCCGACGGCGCCGTGGCGCTCTAGCAGGACGGTGGACGTGCCCTGGCGGTTGGCGAGGGTGCGGGCTACCGCGAGGCCGACGGCGCCGCCGCCAATGACCTGCTCATGCGGTCAGGTGTTTGTTATGGGAGTTTTGTGGTCGCGAGGTTTCGAGGTTGTGAGGTTTGGTTCATATTGGGAACACGCCCGCGAAGAAATGTTGGGGGGGGGGGGGGTTGTTCTCTCCGGGAAAACTCACGACATGGGTAAAGTCGACGGCTCTAGCGGGAGTGGTCGGACAGGTCCTGTGTGGACCACGCCCGCGACTAAATGTGGGGGGGGGGGGGGGTTGTTCTCTCCGGGAAAACTCACGACATGGGTAAAGTCGACGGCTCTAGCGGGAGTGGTCGACAAGTCCCGACGGGAGGTCCGCGCGAGTCCATTGAGTACGTGCAGAGCTGGACGTCTCAGCGACATGTTTGACTTCTCTGCCGCAGGTTCTCGTCTTTTGACTGACTTTTTGTGTGTGTGAAGATGTTTGTAAGTGTGTTTCCACTCTCCGATGACGCAACCGGCGGGTTGCAAGGGTCCTGGACGTCCCATTTATCGTTAGTCAGGTACACGATTCCTCCACTATGGATTGCAATGAGTGGCTGTACCTCGCTAATGGTCGACAACGACATCTAAAGACGTCGACCAGCGTGGATTGACACGATACTACAGTCTACACAGTTCACTCGCCGTCAGTGGCATTCTATAAGACAAAGCCTCGTTGTACAATTCTTAGAGTCATAAAAAACGTCATCTCATCGATTAAAAACAGTATGTATGTAATGTAGGTATTCTCATGTGCACGCCGCCAGTCCCCCCCATCTCCTGCCACATTAATCCACGCCGCCGTCATCGCTCTTGACATCACTCTTGGCGTCACTCTTGACATCAGATTTTGTGTCCAGGTGGGTGTTAGGCTTGATGTCCGGCTTAGTGTCCGGCTTGGCGTCCGTCTTGGTTTCCGGCTTGATTTCCGGTTTGGTCTCCGGCTTGGGCGACGTTTTCCGACTCGATCCCCCTCTACCCACAATCTTCTCCGTCCAATTCCACCCGCCGAGCGGCGTCGACGACCGGTTACCCTCCTTATCCTTAAACTCCGCAGACGTGGGACTCTTGACACTAGCAGTTGTCGCAGTCGTCTCGCTGTCGTCGCTATCATCCGCCCAGTCCCGGTCACTCCACGTCATGGAGTCGACTCTCTCGGGGCGCGGCGCCCTCGACGACCGAGTGATCCTGGGCGGGCTGGCCGACGAGCTGCGCGAGGACGACCGTCGTTTAGGCTGCGCTTGCATGTCTGGAACGCGGTCTTCCGCTTCACGCTGCGAGTTGGGAGACAAGAGGCCCGCGATAGGCCTTTCGTCCGATCCGTCGTCGCCAGTTGACCCAACACCGCTGTCTCTGACCTCGTCACCGTACTTGTTGGGTGGCTGTTCCATATCTAACGCAAGCTCGCCGGAGCCCTCGTCCTCGTCGCGTGTTCTCGCCGTGGCGGAATCGCTAAAGTGGGCATCGACCAGGTGCTTCACAACCGGCCAGCCGTAGGCGTTGGCAAACATCCTGCGCACGATAATGTTGTTGTGCGCGTCGGGTTCCAGCTTGACGAGAACCTTTCGCCATGCCAAACCGCGGTGGTAGGCTCGGGCAATCTTCTCCTCGACCCGCATCTGCGACCCGTCAATTTCCTCGTCGGGGCCCTTGTCGGGGTTCGTATTGACCGTGTCGTCGTAGTCCCGCGTGGAGTCCATGGTGCCCTCGTGTGAGAAGCGCTGCGACGGGTGGGGGGACGAGTCCGTACTAGTCCTCGAACCGCCAGACCCCGTCGAAGCGGCCCGTCGGAACGTGCTTCTCCGAGACGCCAGGGATCCGGTGGGTTTCTTCTTCAGCGGCGGAGGCGGTATGTCACTCGGGTGATAGACGCGGTCATGAAAGATTGCCCTAGGACGCTTGGAAGGGTCGATGAGGTACTCCGTAGTCGGGATTTTGGGGTTGATAATATCGTGCGCGGACTCGAAGAAGCTTGTCCTCGGCGGTGCGACGTGTTGTTGGTCCCGCTCCATCTCGTGGCCGGCAGTGACCTTGTTGTTGTTGGTTCCGGACGTCTGTGGGATCTCGTCAAAGTTGATCGTCTGACTGCGCTTGTAGATTTTGTTCTGCTTGTTGGACATGCTGGGTGTCTTTGGTTGCGTCTTGGCCTGCGTCTGCTCGCTGCCCTTGAACAGGGAAAAGAAGCCGGCAAATGGACCGCTGTTTGAGTCCTTGGCACCCTCGGGGCCGCTCTCGTTGAACGGAGTCGGCACCGACCGCAGACTCACTCGGTCATCTTCCACCATGGCATTGCGTGATGGCTGTGGCACCTCGACGGCATCCGTCGGCGCCGTCGGCGTGATGTTGCCAGAGTGGTCGTCCGACGTCTCTCCCTCGTCTGGGGTAAGGAATGCACTCGATCTCCGGGGTGTCGGTGCCAGACTGCCGCCAGTGAGTTCGGCCCAGCCAGCTCCTACCAGTGTCTCGACCAAGCCAGCCTCCCGTCGCGCCTTTTCCACGCGTCCCAGTCCTTGCCAGTCCAGGAACAAAAGACAGCTGGTCCTCAGCGGCACGATGCCGTCGTTGACAACGTTGGAGTAGACCGTTCGGTTGCGGAACTTCTTGAGCGCCGTGTGCGCGGGACCCGTCGGCAGGATCCGTAAAAGAGGCTTCGACTCGGGCTGCACTTCGCCCATGACCCTCTTGTGTGCGCTCTCGCCGAGGTTGCTGACGATGGCTCCCCACCCGCTCCTCGCAATGGTGGGCGCTCGCCACGTGAGACCGAGATCCTGACCCGTCCTGCCGACCAGGCCAAAGTCCAGGGCGAACTTGACATACAGGGGGTTTTCGTTGCTGAGGCCGAGAAAGGGTGTGGCAAGGGCGACAAAGTTGATTGGTTTAATAATGTTGAAAAAGTCTGGCGAGTGTTTTTGTATATAAGCAACCGCGTACGTTTGTATCAGACCACCCAGGGAGTGCCCGATGAAACTGATGCTGGTGATCTTGAACGGACGCTTCTCGTCTGATACCCTTTCATGTATCGTGCTGTGTTTGTGGGCTGCCTTGCCGCTGTCTGATTCCGGCTTGTTGAAAACGGCAGAGACGGCGGACTCTGCATGTCCCTTCCTGGACGGCAGGAATGGCTGGTCGGGGTACGACATGGATAGGATGTACCTAGCCAGTCTCTTACCCAGATACTTGATACCCCTTTCAGTCTTTGTCGCGTTGCCCGAGAAGCCACGCACAATGACCTCTTCATCGTCCCCATCGTCTTCTGCAGGGCTGTCATCTTGGGCCTTGTCGTTGACTTTGACATTGGCCTTGGCTTCGTCAGAGCTACCCTTGTCATCAGTGACATTCCTCTCAGCGCGCTCCTTGGCACGCCGGGCCTTGGCATCAATCTTTGCCTGTGCTACGGTCTGATCAATGCTCTCTTTCAGGTACAGCATATCAGCGCCCAGGTTGCTGTGCAGGCCATGGGTGATGACAACCAGGTGCACCTTTTTCTGCTTGATCTCGGGCTTTTCCTCTGCCGGTCTTTCCTGGGTGACGACGCTCTCCACAGCCTGGTCTTTTTTCGCGCGGCTCTTGAGGCGGTCAATATTGAGATCGTCCCAGCCCGGAAGCCTCGGGGTGTTCCACAATGCGGCTGTGTCCTCCACCTTGAGCCGTATCGCCTTGGAGAAGACGCCCTTCGGCTGCGCCGGATGATGGCCGTCCTTGGCACCCATGCTCTGCTGGTGGTCGGCGACCTTGCCGGGCTGCGGGACCTGCGCCTGGCCCCCGATGACGGGCAGCGACGAACTGAGGTTGAGCGACTTCGCGTCCCTCGCTATCGTAACCTCGTACCCGACGGCGGCCGAGGTGGAGAAGATGACCTGCGATGACACCTCGACGATCCACGAGGCGCTCTCGGTCTCGGTCTCCCCGGGTGCCCCGCCGCCGAAGTGTCCGCCGCCTCCGGTGCCCGCGCTCTGCCTTATGTGCTCCGGCACGATCAGCTCGCACTCCCACGAGCCGCCGGCCTTGAGCATGGGTTCGAATTCGGGAACGCCATAGCGGCGGGGGTTCGCAAACTTGACGTTGGGGTTGAAGTTGGACGGGTAGGCGGCGGCGCCCAGCGTGTACGGGCCGTGGACGAAGGCGGCGCGCAGGGCGATGGCGGAGGTGTTGCGGACGCGCAAGTAGAGGCGTTCGGGCGAGGGCAGGATTCGGTCCTGGGAGGGTGTGTAGGTGACGGTGTAGCGGACGACCTCTCCGATCTTGACACTGCCGACCTGGTATACGAGGAGCATTGTGCTGCCGGGGAGGAGACAGGCGGGTTGGGGGGGCTGTCGTGGGTTGCTACTGTCGGTTCGTTGTCGACGCCGTCATCTCCGGGTAATGGCTGCTCGAGGTGGGGGAGAGGGAGGGTTTCGATGAGGAGCTGGCGGTGAAGAAGCCGAGATTGGCACGGTTGGAGCTGAAGACGTTCTTTAATGTTTGAGGGAGGCCGGATCGCGTGTTTGGAGGCAAGGCTTGAGGAAAAGTCGAGAGGGCATGTGAGGTGTAACCCGAAGTAGGAGGGTCCGGAGTGGAAGTACGAATACGTGCTGTCCTAGTGGAGGATGTAAGAAAGGATGGGGAAAGGAGAAAGACGATGGGGGAACACGGAGCTTGCAGCTGGATGGCCCCGGCCCCGGTGGTACAGCTGGCAAAAGGTAAGGTAAGTTATGTTGGGTTCCAGGTTGATGTACAAAATAGGGCAAAGCTTGCATTGGCAGCGGAATGAATCCCCGACGAGAACGAGAGCGGCCAGCAGATGCAGCGAGCAGGCCGAGAGCGATGGCGCCGATGGGAAAGAGAGCACGAGGGATCCGGCAGACCAGGGACGGGCAGGGGGGGTGCGGGTGCAGTGCGCCGCTAAAGAGCGTACAGCATGCACAGACAACGTCATTGGGTGAAGGCGAAGCCTTTTCGGCAGCCCTGGTCACTGGTCACTGGGCAGTGGTCAGTGGTCGGTCTCCTCCCCGTCCATTACCTTTACTTTCTTCTCCATTGACAACAAGTGAGTGCTAAGCTTTCAACCCCACCGTGCCCGCCGTGCCCGCCGTGCCCGCCGTGCCCGCCTTAAATGAATCTGCTAGATCCACGAGCACACGAGGCGTAGGTACTCACTCGTCGCCTCATCAAACGGCAGGGTCCCTCTTCGCCAAGCTTGTCGGGCCTTGTTGAAATCCAGACCCTCGATTATACTTCTCCGCGGTCCGATCTGAGAGGAGGAAGTACGTATAGATGTTCGTATGGATGGATGGGGTTTGGGGAAGAGCCAGACACCCAGCTTCATTCTAAAGTCACGTTCGAATCATGACAGGCCAAAGTTGAGAATGCCATACTGCCCTAAACCCCCCAAAACCGCAGACACGGCGCGACCAAGAAAGGGAAAAAAGAAGACCAGCATTCTCCGGCCTTTCAATTCGTCGCCAATGGTCCGAGCAAAAGATCAGTCCAGCTCAAACCCCACCGTCTGGGACTGAGGACCCCAAGGCAAAGCTGTGTTGCAGGCATCGAAGCAGGGAGAACCAGGCCAGACTTCCATCAATGGAACATTGAATCGAGATGTCCATTGGTGTGGGGAGGGGCCCTGCCATCCATCTCCAACGCTGCCCCAAACTCTACTTCCTCCATCACTCGACCTCACAGAGTGACAGACTACGGATAGATCTCGTGTGAGAAAATCCCATGTAACTTGCCTTACCTCTACCTACCTCCTCGATACTTTGCGCCGCGTACGTGCGCTTCCATATGCGAGATGTGGTCTGCCGTCGGTGCAACGCATCTCATCCCATCCCATCCCTCCCTACCTCTTCCCAATCCCCAATTCCCTGGCTGAGAATCGGAGCGTCACATATAAACGAGTCGCAAACCAGCAAGTTCCCTGAGATGGCCAAATGGCCCGTCAATGCAAAGCTGCGAACCACGTCCACGTCCACGTCCACATACACGTCACGAGCACCGGCGGGGAAAAGGGAACGGGAATCACCCACGAACGAGTCAGCCGCCTCGGTTCCCCAACTTTCAGTCCGACGTCAGTCGCCAGCGAGATGACCCAGTCGACCCCGGACCCAAGTCCGTAAAAGCTCCCATACCTCACAGATAGATTGCCCACATGAACATCGTGACATCCCACCAACGTATCATCTGCCAACAAGACCAAAAAAAATCAACCACCCATCAAAAACCGCAACCTAACTCAAACAAAGCATCTCCTACGGGAAAACAACGTGCAACATACACTTGGCCATGCTCCAGCACCCAAGATAGGCAATCTCCACGTCGCCTCCATCCTCGGTTGGCCCACGACATCAGACGGCCAGGCGATCCCAGCAATACAAACCACAAGTTCACAACACAACAGCGCGAACCGACCGAGGCAACATAGTTCACATGAAGAACGACCGAGCTGTGCTATGCTGTGCCGTGCTGAGCGAGGGCAAGCAACGCAAGGCGAAGCACCAAAAACGAAAACTCACGTTATGCTTCACTTAAAACTCTGTCAACTATAATTCCCCGAGAACCTTGCCCCTAAGCAACCCATGTCCATCCGAGGATATATCACGCCTTTAGTATTATATGCATAAGTAATAATCACCCGCCCTCCCCACGAGAATAGCAAAGAGCCTTTCCCAACCCGCCAACGCGTAACATGGAACAGAAACATGGCCAGAATTCGCAAATCATAAGTCGTGCTGTGTGCTGTGTCTCTCTGCTTCACTGTCTTTAAATACTTTCCTTCTCTGTCGTAATACTAAGATTCCGCCTTCTCAGTCATATCATGCCACGACTGCATGTTCTCCCTCGGGCCTACCCGGCCACACGTAGTTTCGCCATTCGTGCACCCGGTTCACGCCGCGCCCAATGCCCGTGAGCCCGGCGAGCGTCGATGACTTGGGCTCCTCTCGCATTCGTCTCCGGCTTCGGGGAGTGTGCGCCGCCGCTTCCATCTCATAGTCTTGTATCATCCGCCCCGGCACCACCCGCTCGGATGGTCGCGTCGTCCTGGCGCTGGTGTACACATCCTCTTCCATTGTGTGTCTTCTCAGCATCGGTATCGGTGGCGGCATCGGCGGCGGCGGGCCCATGGTCATTGGTCCCATCATGGGAGGAGGAGGACCCATGATGGGAGCTGCCATGGACGCGAGCGGCGGTAGTGGCGGCGGCGCCGTCATGCCCGGCCGGGGACCACCTGGACTCGAACGCGACTCGGAGAATCGCTCAGCCAAACGCTGCCCAAGAGGATCCTGAGGAAGACCTCTTGCCCGGTTGACGCCCGACATGTAATCGGTTGGCAGCGGTCGCTCAAACGCTGTCGGTGGCGTTGGCGCCGGCGGCACGGGCGCGGATGCGAATACGTCTGGCTCTCTGCGATAGTCTTCGTTCATAAAGTGGCCGGCCGTGTTGCCGAGACCGATGATATCCCCGTACCCTCTGTCATAAGCATCGTCGAGCTCGTAAGTCTGCATCGTCCGCGCGAGGTCTTCGTCGCGGTTCTCTTGGAACCTCCTCATCAGTCTGCTGTCGTACTCTTGGGATCGCGAACGAGACATCGTGGGCCCTACGCCTGCTGATCGGATGCTTCTTGTGCTTCTCGGGGTCTCGGCACCCAGCTCCGGCCGCTCCATTCGCTGGCCCATCGCCAACGGCACATGCATCCCATTGAGCCGATCGGCGTCCGCCGTCTCATAATTGAACCACGGACAATCGCAGCTCTTCCACTTGGTGCCGCACACCATGCAAAACTGCGCTCCGCAAATACTGCCCCACAGGTCAGCAAAGATATCAGACAGAAGAACCAAACTTCGCTTACCATGTCATGTGGTTGCAGCCCTCCTTGAGCTCAACCATGTGACTGCACTTGTAGCAACGTTTCCATCCCTCATCCTTGGCGTGGTCCAGGAACTTCGTCGTCTCCTCGTCGTCGGGGCATTCCCTCGACGAGTGCCACCGGCCATTGCAAGAGCAGCATACCTTGGTCCTGCAGTGACCGCATTTGGCGGATTGGCGGCCCCCTTCATTGCGCATGCATTGGGGCTTGATCCACGCGCCACACTTTCTCGAAGGGCAGTAAATGCGGTTGCGGGCCGTATATTCTGCAAACTTTCTATTCCACTTCTTCTTGAAGTCGTTCGTGAACAAGTGGTCGACATGCTTCAAGGGTATATTTGCGGCACAGCACTTTGGAGGCATTTGCTGCGGATCGGTGATGGATATCTTAAAGTGCCTCTTGAGGCACGGGTCACACATTCGATGACCGCACTTGAACTTTGCGACCCTGCTCGCCGGGAACTCATCCATACACACAAGACATTCGATTCTGGTTGACGGCGTTAGTAGTTGCAGATGGAAACCTTTGGGCGACCTACCTGGCTGGCTTCTCTGACGAGCGGGAGACGGTACTCCCCGTGAGTACGTTTCCCAAGAAAGTAGACGACCGCCTATTCGACGAAGTCGTGCTTTGCGTGTGCGACGTGACATGCGATGCCCCCGAGACGGTATTGGAGCGGCGGATTGGCCGCGTCTCTGAGTACACAACCTGGGGCGGGTGTCTCTTGGAATGCCTGCTCGGGGTCAATTCAAGACGACCCCGATCCGGACGAATCTCGTAAGCCAACCTCTTGGAGGCGCTAGGAGGCTGAGAGATCTCGTACGTCTTGGCCGAGGAACGATGGCGGCTTGATCTCCTGACGGGACTATGAGAATGCTGCCTGGGATAGTATCTGTCGGACGCCGGACGCGACGACGACGGGTGAGAGCGGTGCCGCGACGACGAGCGGCTGAGGTCGCCCATGGACTGCCGCGGCGTAGGCTCCGTAGAGCCATCCTCCTCCAAGTAGATGATCTTTTTGACTTTTCTACGGCGCTTCGGTGTCTTTTCGGCTGACGGCGGCGTCCGCCGCTCGACAATGGTTTGGGTATGGCGTTTTGCCTTTTCGTACCCTACCCGTTCCCGCTCCCGCCTGTCTCTTTCACGTCGTCTTTCCCGCTTCTCTTCGTGTGATGAGACGGTAGTTTCCGAGTCCTTGTCCGACTCCGTCTCCGAGTCAGACTGCGAATATCTCGACGACCGCCTCGACTCGTGGACCCGCGGCGTCCTCGAGTGATGGGCCGTGCTGCGGCTCCGGTGTCGACTCGAGGTCTGCTGCCGCCGCCGTCTACCTAGGGGGGATTCCTCCTCTTGGTCGTCCTCCTCGTCATCCTCGTCCTCGTCCTCGTCGTCGTAGGGGTCATAGCCGTTGTCCACCGGTACCCTTCCCCTCCTGTACGGAGCAGCAGCCTTGGGGGTTCTGGGCATCGTGGCTCCTGGGGTGGGAGGCGCACTGCTGAGCTTTACGATTCTTCTCGGTCCCAAGGGCGAGCTCGTCTCGTCGGGCCCTTGTATAAAGTCTCTGGGTCTCCGGTAGGGCATCGGGTCGTAGGTCGACTCAGCAGCGGTGGGGTGAGGGTGCCAATCATAGTCGGGCATTTGCGGCGGGCTGGGAGGATGCCGGCGTCGGCTCGTTCTCCTGTGCAACTCTGCGCCATCTCGATAGGCCATTGGGCTGGGGTCAGCCTCATCCGGGAGTCGAGGAAGTTTTTAGTAAGGGGAGCGGGAGCGGGACGTGTGGTGAGGTGAGATCTCTTGGTCGAGAAGGGGTGTGCACCCGGACAGCTGGTTGCTCGTGAGTGGGTGGTTTCAATTCATGCCGTGGAGCGGTGATTGGGTTTGGATGGCGGGTTGCATATCGGACATGCACATGCGGTGATATTGCACGCCCTACTTTGTTTTTTTGCCTGCAACGACGACGGCAAGCTGCGACTGTTTGCCTCGTCTCGTCCGTTGGTGCCCCTCGATGAGGTATCAATCGGGCAGCAGCGGGAGCTGTTTGGTCGGACGGCAGCTTGGTGGAGGAGACGACCACAATAGGTAGACTAGGTAGACGAATGCCTTGATGGATCACAACTCGAAGGATCGGTTTAGTTGGGCCGGTCCATGTGCGAGAGGACTGGTAGCCTGGAGCAAGGTCCAAGTGAGGCAGAGGGAGAGAAGTGTGCCGGTTGGCGAATGGTTTGTGACAGCCCAGAAATCAGTCACTTGGGGAGCCAGGACTCAGGAGTCATTGGAGAGCTCTGCCACTGGCAGGAACAGGGCGCCGCTGAGGCACAGCGCAACCGATTGGCCCCTGTTGCGGGCAGCGGGGGTGAGCTTCACCTCTGTGTTTCCTCTCTCTCTGTCTCTCTAATCATTCACATCCAATCCCAAGGTCTTGGTGAGATCCAATTGTCTCTGCCTGTGCCCGCCTGCCGCCCCATGCCCTCTCCTCTGAGGTGTCTGACTCTGCCCCCCCTTTGGTCCAGAACCATTGAACCAGTAAGGGCAGCTGTTCGGCGTCCGTTTGACCCGCCCTCGTGTTCAAATGGATCGGTCCGCTCGCTCGTTCGTTCCAGCCTCCTCAACGACCACGAGAGTCCCTGCGCCTCGTGTGTTCGTTACAAGCGTCTTACAGTCGTCCCAGCTAGCGGCCAGTCCGATGTGCGCCTACAGCGCGGGAGCGGCTGCCTCTTTGACAGCAAACTATATGAGGCGAACCGAACCTAACGAAAAGGGGTGACGCGGGTGGGTGAGCAGCGGCAGGCTAGCGGTGCGCTGAGCCCTGCGTTCCTCCAGTGGAATCTGCGTCCCTGCAGGGGACTGCCTGCCACCGTTTTCTCTCTCAGGTACCTTACCTAAGCTCGCTACTGGCCAACGCCTGCTGCCTACCTGAGGTAGGTACCTCAAAGCGAGAGAACCGCCGCGCTCACCGCAGCTTCAGACCTGACGCGCACGTGCCTCAGCCCTCGCATTCCACCGACCACAGCCCATAGGGATCCCAGCCCGCGGCAGCGGTGCCGGGCTGCCCACGGACGCTGTGATTTGGCCGACAGTCTCATGTCGGAAAGGGGGAGTCACGGCCGATGGATGCAGGTCATGTCAATTAACATTGGCTATTCATGCGTAATCTTTGAGGGTCTACCAACTCCTGTACCCTAATCGTAAACTTTCTATCGTTTCGCTCCCACCAACAAATCTCCCATGTGTGCATGCTTAAATTGAGAGAGTTCGGTCCACTTCTTCGGCCGAGCCACAAAAGATAGATCGGAGCCACAGACGGGGCCGATTGGCTAAGGTGGGGCCGATCCGGCCGTTGCACTTTCCGCCCCGAGTCATTGACGTGTGCAGACCGCCTCGTCACATCGACCGCTAAGTTTCGATGACTATTTTGCTTTTTTCCCGGGTTTTCTTCTCGATCCAACGTGGTTAACGAATCGTGCTCTCTTTCTTAGATGACCCATCCACATATACACTGTACACGCCACACCAAACACACCAGACCGCCTGCCTTCGCAAGCCCTCAGGTCTCGCGAGGGAGTCGTACTCGTTGTGGTTTCGAAAGTTTGTGTGGCCTTTTCCTGCTGCCGATATCGCGGCCGTGCTCAACGCATCTCGCGCCAGATGGAAAATTTCAAACTGGCGCCAGGCAGAAAAGATTGGGAAACAAAAATGCAGACCAACTCCTCGCATCCATCACCTTTCTGGAACCGGGCCCAGCCCACTATCGATTGGTGGATCCATCCCTCGCAACCCACCTCGTGACCCCATTCCACGAAATCTGGTCCCTCCGATACCCCTCCCCGGTCTCCGCTCCGCGCACCGGCACTCGAAAAATGGGCCACTTACACGGTACACCCAGTCGTTCCGGTGCTGTCCAACAAACATGCTGGCGGCATATTAGCAGGGGCGTATATCAGTCCTTCGGCACCACCACTATGAGTAACGTCACTCGGTATTAGTCGATGCTCCCTCTGCCTGCCTGGAGATACTCCATAGGTACGCAAGTTGGCAAGGTTGCTCTGATGTGTCCTGTCTGACGACGGAATTTGACGAAGAAATCGAACGCCGGTTCCCGAGACTCGGTCGAGACGGCAGGCAGGCTCACGTCGCACAAAGCCCTTACCCGTCCCCGTGATCAGCTTCATAGTCAAGAACTGGCCAACTTGGTGACAAAAAGCTCTGCGAGACCCAGCCAAGCGGACGGGAAAGTTTCCGAGCTCTCAACGCCACAGACGGAAAACCCCCTTATAATGTCCAAATTCAGCTCTGGCTCGATCTTGTGTTGATTGACTCCAAGTACTGAAATGTACGCCGCGGGGCGATGTCATGTGGGCACAATGGTAATGTCGTAGGATACAGAAACAGCCACAGCACCGCCGCGTGACCGTAAGCCCCTTTCGCTTTCGCGTATCCGTACCTCTGTAACTAAACAACGATGTCCCGCGGGGAATACCTACCTACTTTACCCCGCATAGATGAGCGGTTGGGGTCACGTCACTATGTACCTGCGAACGAATCGCAAGATCCCGCGCAATCTAGGTCGGAAGCACATCGACCTTCTGCATTCAGGATGCTGCCGCGGCTGGGTGGTGTCGAGGTCAACGTCCGCAGCTCTAACGCATGCCAGAAGGTCACATTCGCATACAGATAGATGCAAAGATGCTTGGGACCGGCCTTGCCAGGAACAGACAGGAAATGGGGTATTTCTTCATCGGCAGTGCTGTGTTGTACAGTTACTATGTCACCATATCTCGGCAACGCTTTCTTTGGGAACCATGGCCCCGGGCCAGAAAAGGGTACCGTCCGTCCTCACAACAGCCAACCCATGGCGGCTGGCTTGCACGATTTCAGAACCGCCCAAAATAGAGCCTTGTCCTTCCCGGGGGAGGGAGGACGCCCGTACGCGTCCAAAGTTGCATGTGGATATGAACCTTCTTCGCCTTTTACCTCGTGATCCCAGCCACCGTGAAGCGCTGCCACTACGAGCGCTGGATAACCATTCCAACAGACTTTTCCGTCTGTGAAAATTGGCAGCACCTCGCCTCTTTCCTTCTCTCTTTCCGTCTCGATGCCACTCGGGAGGTCGACGGGTGACCGATCTCGAAACGGGTTGGCGTCAGGCTGGTTCATTGGCCGGATGGATGGACGCGCCGGGGTTTCGGTCCGAATACCGAGTAAGATCAAGTATTACCCGCCAACCAAGCCACGCCAATTCACAGGTCGCGTCCAACCCCATTTCCAAATGGCGTGACCCCGGATTTTTGTCTGCACCCCAGATGGATGCCTCTCTGCCATCCATCCACCGTCCAGAGGTAGCTCGCACGCGCGATGCTTCTACTGCGACTGCACGCCTGCTTCCCCCGGTCTAACGGGCGGCGGGGCGCTGAACCCCAGCATAGATGTGGGAGTCGGTTGTTACTGAAGGATCACACAGGTCGTGGCCCTGGCCCATGCTCACCGTCAGCAACGTGGGGCTGGAGACCTCCACAGGTCGTATTCCTGAAGATGGATGGCCTGCTGCAGACAAGTAGATGTGAGTCGAATAGGCGGCGGACCGAGCGGCTTTCAACCGCTGAGGTATGCCCTCCTTCTCACTTCGGCCTCCTTGATGATCTCGGCTGCCAGGCTCAGACTCGGGGCTAGCGTCGAGTATCGCTCGATTTCCATGACCACGTCATTGATGATCTGGTCAATGGTTTCCCTATGGGGAACGAGTGTAAGGAGGATACTGCTCAGAGAGGGTGACATGGTCGCACCCATGACCAGTAGCGTCTGCGACACGATGGAGAGCGCTCCCTGCCACAGGTAAGGCATGTGCCCGGCGTGACTGCGGCGAGTTAGCGTCATGACAAGACAATGATTCAGCACTTAAATTGCGGTGACTTACTGTTGTGAAATGTGCTCCAGCTGCCGGATGGAGGCTTCCAGGCACTTGTGGCAACTATCACGCACCGCAGGGTCAAGGACGGCCTGCTCATTATCCAATACGGCCAGGATGTACGGGCGGTAGATGATCGTCCGGCAGGCAAAGAAGCGCAAGCGCAACACTGTCTGCACCGGATCGGCGAGGAGGGTGCGGGTGAAGGGAAACTGCAGCGGCATCGGCAGGCTCTCGTACCATTGCGTGAGCTGAAAGTCGAGCTCCGCCACCACCGGCTCCAGGCTGGTGGTGGAGGCCATCGAATCTTTCGAATAGATGAGCTGGCTCACTCTGTTGAGGAGCCGCCGCAGCGCAATCTCGGCCAAGAAGTACCAGAGGTCGTCTCGGCCAATGGCCTCCTGTTCCTCGCCCTCGAAACCCCCAGGCAGGCCGACGTTCTCCTCAAACTGAACGACACCCGAATGTGGCAAATCCAGCTCGGCCAGCAGGTCGCTCTCAAATAACAGCGAGTTCCAGTAGATACGCTCGGTTAGCTCCCGTTGGTTGGGTGGGACCCGGTTGGGGGACATGAGCAAGAGTTGGAGTTTGGTGCTGGTGGTGCAGAGCAGGTTCCAGGCCTCCAGGGGCCGCACCAGATAGAACAGATAGGCTGACGCCAGTAAGTGACACTGCGCCGCCAGGACGTTGTTGGATGTCATCATACCGGGCAGCAGCGCCCACGCAGCCGTGAAGTACTGCAGCCCGGGTGCATCTTCCCCTGGGACGATCCGCGAGATGCTGCCTCTCAAGCTTGCTTGGCCTAGGGCCAGGACCAGCAAGACGATACAGCTCTCGGCACCCTCGCGGAAGCCGTTGGAGAGGGCCGTTCGATAGTGGCTCCTCCACGTGTAAGGGTTCACGCAGGCGTACCATACGTTGACTCGCTCAAAGTAAGCTTCAATGTACGCGGTCGTGTTGGACAGGTCGACACACGGCGTCTTCGTGAGCGAATGGAGCGGTTCACGGGCCATTTCTAGCTGGAGCAGGACTTGCGGGTCATAGGGGCGAGATACAAGGTCGCGAATGAGAGGCCACTGCAAAAGGTGAAGTGCCGCGTTCGTGTGCATCTTGGGCATGGTCGATATGTTTGTCGGGTTGTTCCACGTGCCCAGGCCGCCGTTGGGGATAATGGAGACAGCGTTCCCCGAGCCCGGTATGCCCATCAAGCTGTCCCCGTTGAGGCCTGATCCGTTGCTCATCGACGGCGATTCTTGGTTGATGGCGATGCCGTTTCCCTGTCCAGCGACCATATTCATCTGCAGCAGACTTTCAATGCGGTTGAGACGCTCGAGAATCAGCTTATCACCGGCATCCAGCTTGATGCCGGGTTCTCTGTAAACGCACTCGGCGCCCAGCTCGGCGCAGAGCTTACACTTTGGTTTCGTGCCATCACAGCGAGACTTGCGGGAGCGACACACCTCACACTGTCTTCAGTTAGCTCTTGCGATGGGTATCGCTCGCTCTTTGGATTTCACATACTGCGATGGTGGCCCTCCTCCGCGGGTAGTCGACACCAACGTCCGTGTTCCTCCTCTTCAGCGGGTTAGACCCCTCGTCGCTGGGCGCCTTGTGCATGCCATTGGTCAGAGCATCGGGACGGTTCTCAGATGACTGAGACATGTTCCGGGCCTTTTGCACGGAACCTAGGAAGCCATCTCTACTAAAACTGGGCGTTCTTTGCGCCTTGAGCGAGGCGGGCGACTTGAGAGGGTGGATGCCGTTGGCCATTGAAGGTGAGGGAACATCGATGTTGAAGGCCTCGCGCGACGGCACGGGAAAAGACCTCCCCGCATTGCCGTTGCCCGTCGCCGAGGGCGGGGAGTCACCCGTCGACGACGGGGACATGGCGTGCTGCGTCTGGAGACGAAGAAGCTGAGTGGAAGACGTAGTGGGCAGATGGTGGTGTGCCGCGACAGCGCAGCACAAGTCGGGTGGAGCGTCAGGCGGATGTTTGTCTGGGTGAGGCGGCGACTGGGCGGGATGATGGATAAATAGCTGCGATGCGATGGCGGCTTGCGAGGCTGGAGTCGAGTCGACAGAGGCCGGTCCGATGCGACTAAGTTCGGCTGAACCGGGGGGGTTGCCACGTGCGTGACTCGAGGCGAAAGTTGTCAGTCAGAACACTCTCGAAGCTATCGAGGCAGCGTTTCACGGTTTCTATGGAGAAACCGTGGTTCCATGGAGCAGAAGGGGGGGCAGACGACGGGACAGAGAAGGTGAGAAGAGATAAATGCACGGCAGTGGAGCAAGGTGGTTATTATGGGAGAATCGCGGAGGCGGAGGGGGGTGAGGGGGAACAAAATGCGGAGGAAGCAATCCTAGGACGGCGTTGGATGGCTAAAGATGGGCAGCAAGTCGCTGCTGAGAGCACAAGAGAGTGCCCCGCAGGTGAGCAGACGGGAGCTCTAGGCCAGCTTCATTCCCCTTTGCCCCGGACCACGGCTTAAGGTCGTTGGGGCGATAATCCATCGGATTGGTGCACTGTGACAGTTACCCCATCCCGCAGTGGCAGACATCAGGTCAGGCTAGGCCAACCAGAACCGGCGGTTGCAACGGGCATGGGACGAAACGGGCATGGGATGGGATGGGACGGGATGGGATGGGAATCGGGGGGAGGATGAGATGGGGAACAAGGGTCAACGGCGCACGCTAAGCTGAGGGGCCACCGCTCGTGGTGTCTGGGGCGGAAGAGGGAACTTGGTGTGCTGCCGAAGTTTGTGGGTTGGAGGAGAGAAACATATGGTACTCGTTAATAACAAGGTATCTTACCAAAGGAAGGTCCTTGGAAGTGTTGTTCCCGCGTGGCTTACCTGACTATGGAGGGAGTACTCCAGTCCAATTGTATGGGGAAAGGGCCGTCCTCTGCCAATCTACTTAGGTGATGGGTCACGACTTGCAAGTCCTCACGCCTCAAGGCGGTTCCTTCCTGTTTGGAGCAGATGCGGTTCGAGTATCTCCTTCCCCTCTCTCTCTCTCTCTCTCCAGATAATCTGTACCTTCCTACGAATACATACGTGCTTACTAAGGCCACCCAACCATTTGGCATTTCGAACATCCCTCGCAATTTCACCGACTTCGCATTGCAACCTCGTTCCATGGCCACAACTCCATCCCGAATGAAGCCCAACCCCGAATCTCTGCCGTTGTCTGCCGTGCGGCCCCAGTCTCCCTTCTCCGCATGTACCTGCATGCCGACTCTCTTCGTCACGCTCACGGGTACTTGTCGACAAGGCTTTGACCAAGTAGGTAGCAAAGCCCCCCCCTGCAGACCTCATTTCGCTCCCGCGACTCAACCCAGCTTGACTAATACTTGTAGAAATCCCTCGGGTCCAGCCTAGACAACACCCCAGCCGTGCCGCTGTCAAGAAGTGCCAGACTGCTGCCGGGCCAATACCATAGGTATTGCCTCCTCCAATGTTCAGCAAGGCCATGCCATGATGCTTGACAGACCCAGAACGCCAGGCAGGTCATGAGGGATGGGTGGGCGAGAACCGCCGGAACGTAGATTAACCACCACCCCTCCAACACCCGAAACTGCTCCAAATAAGATTGACGAGCTCTCGCCTCGGTCCTCATGCGTTCAAGGCCAGGGAATCACGAGCGAGCCGTCCACACAGCGCGCCTCCTCGTGCTGGAGTACATTTGGACATCGCTGGCTACCTCGCCATCTCTGCCACAAAGGCCCCACATTGCAACTCTCTCCCGACTACCCGCTTCCGAGATTCTAATTCGACACCAGACTTTGACACTCTGTAGTTCTGCTGCAGGTCGACCGACCAGGCCAAATAGCAGCATCCCTCTGCCGTGTCCGGCGGAACCTCTCTTGAGTCCATGTTGGTAGTGGCCCCCAGGATCATGGTGGTATCGAACCAGACTATGTCGACGACTTTCGTTCCGTCACTCGAAATGCCAGCCGCGAACGGACACCTTCTGATGCTGATGGCGTACTCACTATCTACCAGGGCAGCAATATGTCTGCTCGAGCGTGCGGATCATGGAAGCGGAATGGGCGGAAACGTGCACACACTATACTCCCGAGTGCCCGTCTAAAGCAAACAACTGGTTTGCGCTGTGACATCGCGTCGGTACTGACTCTGATTGTGACTTTCGATGCTGCGAAAACACCACTCCGCTTCCGCGACTCTGGGCCTGTAGTGTCGGACTCAAGTTGCCATGCACATCAACGGCGTAGCCTCACATGGAATAGACAAGTCTCAACCACCTCACGGGTGGGCTGTTTCCCTTCCCGCCCAAGACTGCAGAGAATGGGCCCCGCCCGAAGATACGAACTTCGCTCAAAGGGGATCAGTCACTTTGAGCACGTTGGCTTATTCGCGAGCCGCCTGTTGATTACCGCATTAGGAACCCGTCATCTTCCCAACTCGGTGTGTGTATATGTGTGCTGACCTACCTATGTAACCGAGGGGGGGTTCATAGCTCATGGCGGTTGCATAAGCGAATGGTGAAGAACCTCTCGGGTGTGCCATCGCTCAGTCTCTTCCCGAACTCGTACCGTGGATTCCGAACTTGTCAACCTGGCGCCGCTAGAAGGGGTCACGACGAGTTCCAGCTGAGAACCAGCGAGCCCCAATCATCCAATTGGGATTGATTTGATTTGCTATCCAAAACCTGCTGATGGTACGGATACACAATGGGTAAACCAAAATTACGCGCACATCCGCTATGCCTCATGCAAAATGTCTACTCATCGAAAATTACAGCCGTAACCTCGCCATCCACCTTGGCGCTCGCAATGATCTCGTTCAGCTTCCCCGACACGGCATCGCGGCTAATCACAACGACCCGGCTGTCGGACTGCAGACCGACGGCCACAAGGTCGCCAGCCTTGCTGACGGAGAACTGGCGCGGGGTGCGCCCGCCCGCGGGGAACTTTTGCAGGAGCGCGAGCCCGCCCGTCTTGGCGTCAATGGAGAAGGTGTTGAGCGAGTCCGAGGGGATCTGCGCGCCCTCGCCGGCAGTGTCGGGGTTGCTGATGCTGAACGCCGAGTCGTTGCGCGACGAGACGGTGAGGAATTTACGGTCAGACTGCCTTGCTCTCAGTATATACAAGAGAAATGTGGAAGAGGGGAAACATACCGAAATCCAAATCTCGGCGGCGGCAGCACCAGCGGGCGCAGCGGCCCCGGCGCCGTAGGTGGAGCCGGAGAACACCTCGGTGAAGCCGAGCGTCTTGTTCACTCGGTAGGCAACGTCGTATGCGGTGATGGTGTTGGCGAGCTCGCTGATGAGGTACAGGTACGTCTTGCCCTGGGGTGTGACGAGGAACTGGACGTGGCGGGGCCCGCTGCCGGGAGCGGCCACGAGGGAATCGACGGCCGCGAGGTTGTTGGCGCCGTCAACAGCAAAAACCCGCACGAGGTCGGCGCCCAGGTCGGGAAACAAGACGAACTGACCCTTTGGGTCGAGGAAAGCCTGGTGCGGGTGCGGGGCTTCCTGGCGCGACGGGTTGGGGCCCGGGCCGGACATCTTGAACGTCGCGGACTTGACTGCCGTGAGGGCGGCCGGATCGGCGATGTCAAACCAGCTCACGGAGGAGCCCTCGCTGCTGAGGTTAGTTCTGTGCTCGTCATCACCAAAAACCTGCTAGAACGTAGAGACATACTACTGAGCGACGGCAAGGCCGTGGCCCTTTTCGCCAAAGACGACGGCGCTCACGGGACCGCTAATGGTCTTCGTCTTGGCCAGCTGCTTCAACGTCCCGTCGGCGCCGGTCTTGAAGGATGAGAGGGTGCCGACGTTGGTGGTCAGACCCTCATCCATGCAAAACAGCCTCGCGTTGGCCTTGTCCAGCTGGAGCCAGGACGGGCTGGGCGCGCAGCCGTTGGAGGAGGAGAGCGATTGCAGGGTGGAATGCGTGGCGTTTGTGCCTGACAGAGCGAGGTTCAGGGTAGTGATGGCGCCGCTGTACGATGAGGCGTAGAGGAGGGTGGCGGCCGCCGGGGAGGAGAGTAGCAGCGGCACGAGGCCGATCGTCGCAAAGAGGTCTCGCAGCATGCTGTGCAAGAGCTGGATCGCGGCTGAGATGAAAGAATGGTGGTGGAGGCAAAGCAGCAGCACGGCGAAAACGAGGCACGGAAGGAGTGTGATTATGGTAACGAGTGAGGGCACGGGGAGGAGCGAGAGAATAAGAGGACGACGATGTCGCCGTCTTGAACTTGAGGAGCGAAGACGGCCCATTTTCGCGTGGCCACCCCGAGGTCCCAGGGGCGTCTCGGGGTTCTCCTCTGAATGTGTCAACGATTGTCCCATTGACCTTGGTTTCCCCGGTCATGCGGCTCTCTGCGCCTTGGAAGCGTCCACACAGACGGCTGGGACCTGGGTTGCGTGGGACTTCGAAACGGGACTTGGTTTCCGCTTTGGGAAAGCGAACGGTATTCCTCCGTGCTTCTCGTAGCTAACCTTAACCGAGTCCCAGTGCTCTCTCACTCGCCACGGAACTACCAAGTACCGGCAGCGCAGGCTACATACACAACGGCGGAGTAGTCGGAGTGTGATTCGGAATTAAGGTGTGGTGCGGACACTTTTGTCCCCTTCCAAAGACAGGCTCAACCCTGACACGACGTTAGCAAGATGATGGCCTTCCCCTGTAATAAAAACGTTCCGGCCAAGGAAGGGGAGGGGGGGATAGTTCACGGTATTTTCGTCTGGTACGATGGATAAAGTTTGCCACAGAGATTCAGATTGAGTGCCTCCCGAGACCATCGAAACGCCCGCCCCTCCTCGCTGCCCTACAAATGGACGGGATGGAAGAGGCAGGATGAAAGTACTGGAACGGTTCCCACAAGAACTCGACGAACGACTCGTCGTTGGATGGAAAATGTTTTAGTGTCACACAAACTATGAAAAAAAAGGTGTCAAGTAGTGGTGGAGAAGGTTACTTTGACTTCCTGTCGTGTGTCGTGCGTGGATGCGGAGAATGTGGAGAAAAAAAGGAGGAGGAGGAGTCCAAGACTCCAAAGACTGGAGGAGCAGGCGGAGAGTGAGGGGGAATCATGGAGATGCAGTTGGCCAATCGGCGCTGCTTGTCGCCTTATGTGGGTACCTACATGTACCGTCCAGTGGAGGGTTCTTCGTCGTGGGGTTCTTTGAAATTTCCCAATTTGCGGTAATTTGTCCTCTTCCAGTAGAGACGGTCAACGGTCGACGGATGGTGGACCACGGTGTCCACCGCAGGCACGGGACGATGCCGGTGCCCGGTGATGCCTTTGATCGGTCTCATCCGCCCATCATACTCTCACCTACGACGCCACCCAAACCACATCGCCAGGTTAAACCCTCCTCTCGTCTGCCATCCGACCGAGCCGTCGGCAGTCCAAAGACCGTGCGGCTTCACATGGCGAGCATTCAAGTGACGCTTCTCACAGTCCTCGCCAATCACCTGTCATGTCAACTTTCGGCTGGCAAGCAAATGCCACACGCATCGTGGTGCCATGTGGCTTCCCCCGCACAGATCCAATGCAGCCACCGCCCACCTTATTCTAGCGTCCCTCCGGCTTGCCGTTTGTGATTGCGCATCCTCGTCATACAGAAGCTTACACTTGCTGTGCATGTCTAGGTCTGCCATGTGCCGGCGAGACCCATGTGGGAGTTTGTGTACACGGCACTGTACCTGAATCGTCTAACATCAGGCACGAATACATGCATTTCAAACCAAGAATGCGAGAGAATGCGAGATGGCGCCGTCAACAACCATTACACTGCGATGAGACGGGCGTGACGCTGTGTGAGCTCTCCACCGTCGGCAGTGACCATCTCTTCACTTCGCGTCAAGGCTATCCGGCACGCATATTAGCCGCGTGGCGGACATCACCTGGAACTGGGCAAGCAAGACTCGAACGTAACAACACTGGCCCTTGAGGTCTCCCTTCAAATCTTGGAGTGACATCAAGTGAAGCGGCTATTAAGAGCCCAGACTATAACTTCATGCGGGGGGCGTAGCATTGTCCCCATACTTGAGCAGCCCAGCGCCGGTACCACCTCTTCTTTGCCTAAACTCGAGGCCAATCGAATCTGCGAGAGAGGGTCATCTTGTGGGTGGTTCTGCACGACTCACCTCCAGGCCGTGGGCACCAGGAATTCCAGGCCGTCCTTCCGTGCCGTGTCTTTCGTGGGGCCCTACTTTCTGTTCCGTGAGGCCGTCAATTTTGCGTACCAGAGTTGTTGTGGTGAATGCAATCGCTGCAGCGCGGTCATGTTATTTTTTTGCTTCTCACGCTAAGGTAACTCACGGACGCCCATCCAAACACTCCTTTTCCATCCTTGGATCCTTTTTCTCGTTCGCTGCGACGGGGTCGGTCGTCTCTCGGGCCAAGGGGGACCAACATGCATATTTCCAAGCTGCCGTGTCATCAATTTGAATGTGTACGCCCAAACTTTTCCTTCCCAAAGTTCCAATAGCGATTCGCAGATCACGAGCGTAACCTGGTTCTAAAATAATGTGAGATGCAAGCGATTTCAGGCCTTCTCAAAGGTTATAGGAGTGCTATTTCCCTTAGAATGAGACAAACTGTAGGGTGCCTGTAGACTGTCAATCCCCATAATCCGCCTCGGGTATGGTATCAAACTTACCAGAACCTGCTTCGCGTTGCAGATTCGCCAGGCCATCTTCTTGACGTTTCCGTCGGCAGGCACGATCGCAGGGGCAAATTCAATGCCAAACATTTGGTGGATGGCGTATACAATTCTCTTGGCATACTTGCCGTCCCGCTCGACGTGGCCGCCAAACGGCTCGTCGACAGTGGTGGGCGCGATGTCGTGGTCACGGTCGCAGCAGTTCTGCACCAGAGGCAGCAGGGCTTGCTCAACAGCCTTTTCGTACATGCCGTTGGCGTCAACCTCCACGTCGTCCTCGTCGAACTTGCCGATGCGGATCTCAAATGGCTGGGAGATGGTCATGACGTGATGGTTGCCGGCGTGGTGGTACCGGAACTCGAACACGCCCTGAGTCCACCAAAGCCGATCACCCTCAAAGATGACTTCGCCCTCGACAATGTCGGGATCCGACGCGTCTTGCTTCTGAGCCGGCCGGTCGGGAACCAAGATGGCCTTATCGGCGGTGGCAGCGTCGTAACTGCCGGGGGTGGTAGGCACCCATCGGCCCAAGGACGATACCTCGGTCGCTTCCCTAGAGCGGTTGTCGGTAACCATGTAGAGTCCGATCCAGTCCTTGCTGTCGTGCTTCGCGGGAGCGCGCCACTTGACCTTCAAAGGGGAGCCATAGTCAAACATCATGGTCTCGACACCGCGATGGAACCGTGCCGTCAGACCCTCCTTGCCCGTGGCGCGCTCATTGGCGGCCGACAGGCTCGAAGGAGTGCCCTGGACGGAGAGGGAGTAGAGCTTGGGATCCAGGCCGGCCAGGTCAGGAGATAGACGCGTGACTGTCAGACGAGCCGGGTACTTGTTGAATAAGGCCGAGGTGTCGCGGACGATTGTCTTGATGCCAGAAGCGAACTTGGGGCGAGCGGTGTCAAGGAACTCCTCGATGAACTGTGCCGTGTCGTCAATCACCTTATCGACACCGCGCTGCCAGCCCTGTACGGGCGGCGGCAGAGAACGTTTGATGAACTTGGTCAGGCCGGCTTCTTGACGCAGGCCGCGACCATAGGTCTTTTGCATGTGCGGCTTCTCAATAAAGTTGATGAAGCCCAACGTAAACAGTTGGCTGACCAGGGCCATGACGAAGATGGCCCTGCTCCATGTGATGAGGGCAGATCCCCATAGGCCGGCTGTGCCAAATATGCGCTCAGGGTTGTTGAGGAAGCGGTAGATAGACTTGTACGTCAGTCTGGCGGTCGAATCGTAAAAGAAATCACCGTAAAACCAGCCAAACTCGCCGAGAGAATCGTATACGCTGATGAATGTCCAGACCTGAAGGGAGACAAGACCGGCCCCGACCACGTGCTTGAGGAGAACCCAGCCGTAGGCCCAGTCCTCTGGCGGCGAGTACATCTTCCAGCACGCGGCGATGAAGGATCCCGTGCACATGACGGAGCTCAGATGGTACATGCCCTTCCACTGATTCCAGGCTTCGGTGTGGCTCTCTCCATACTTGAGGAAGTGCCTCGTCCAGAACTTATTACGAGACTGCCACGCCAGAATGGCACCCAAGCCAAGGTGGTACCACACACGCCAAAATAGAGCATGCAGCAAGAACAGGACTTGGTACAGAGACGTCGACGGGGTCACAAGGGTGAGGACTGCCATGTAGAAGCCAAGCAACAGAACCGAGGTGTCTGTGATGCGAAACAGGTCGAGGTTGTTCAAGCCAATCAACTTGTGCACCTGCGCAGGCGCCTCAGGCGACGTCTCCTGGGACGTGGCGGCCTGGTCAACTAAGATTTCCTCGTTGTCTGACGACTTGATGGCGACAAGCTCCGGCCGGCCGGTAAGCGGCGTCGAGGCGGTACGCTTACGCGGGGCAGGCGGGTTGTACGTCTTCTCAATGTGCGGATTCTCAACAACGACGAGGAAGGCGAACTGGGCGAGGTGGGCAATGATTGAGATGAAGAGAACCTCGTAGCTCGCAGCCATCATGGAGATGCCGTAGTAACCGGCATAACCGATTGAGTACATGGGGTGCGGAGCCATCTCAAAGACTCCGTCAAAAGTCAGTTCTTGGTCGACGAGGTAGAAGAAGTCACCCCAGTACCAAGCGTAATCCTTGACGACCCGGTGGGCGTCCAGCTTGACCCAGAGGTTGAAAAGGACCAAGAGAATGCCGATGGACCAGCGTCCAACGCCGACGAACGGATTCTCGCCGGCGGGTGTGTGACCGCAGATCACGGCAAAGAGGCAGTAGGAGACAAAGTCACACATCAGGATCAGATCGACGACACGACGGAAGACAAGCCAGGTGTTGTACTCCATGGGAGCTTTCTCGAATTCGTAGTCCTCGGGGATCTTTGCCTCGAGCTCACGCTTCAACATGTTGTAGAGCCAAGGGCGGGGCTGTTTGCCTGTGCTGGGATGCTCAAAGAGCTTCCACCGCGCGGCCCACGTCTCCAGCCTGCGGTGGTTGGACTGGATGGTGAGGAGGTAGCCAATGCCAATGTTGTACGAGGCTCGCCAGAAGAGAAAGACGAGGGCGAACAAGGGACGCTTCAAGTTGCCGGGCACGAAATAGGCCGCAACAATCTGGAAGGCGAGAATGGCCAGAACGAGCACGTCGGAGAGGTTCTTGGGCTGTCTCGGGTCGAGCAACTGCGACACCATGTCGTGAGTGGTGGGGACGGTGAAGACTAGCAGACAACCGTCAGCAGACAACAAGAGAAAAGACTGCCCACATCACCACGAAGCCTACCTGTGCCATCGGGCGTTCGACCAAACGTCTTGTTGGGCTTCAGCTCCAAGTCGTCGTCGTCGTCGACAGTGCGGGACTGGCCGTCTGCGGCGGTTGAGGGGTTTAAGTCATCCTCGCCGTTGCTAGCCGAGGACGTCCGCCTCTGGCGCTGACGCAGAGAGCCAGCATCATGAGCGAGGGGCGCGGCGGAAGAGCTCATTCTAGGCCGGGCAAACAGCGTAGCAATTGACGACGCCGATGGAAGGGTTTAGGTTATTCACACGCAGGGGGGTCGGTAAGGGCGTTGTGCGACGATGGTTCTGTTGCTCAGGCTGTCCATGAGCCGCCAGTGTCTGGATACAAGATTGAGTGCGGAGGGTTCCAGGTGGCTTTGTATGCGCGAGAAATGCGGAAGCACGCAAGAGTTCAGGCGAGAAGAGGTGAGGAGAAATGAAGCGAAGAGGCGGACGTTGGGTAGAAGGACGACGTGGGAGAACGTCACAGACAAGGGTTGAGGGTGCAGCTGGAGGTTCCAAATGAGAAGCAGCGTCCTGCACAAGGTAAGGTAGGCACTTACACTGTACGAATAGCCCCACTAGTCCGGCGGGTTAGGTTAGGTTTGGTTTGGATTGAGGATTGCCTGAGAAAGCCCGCCCGTCCCGCAGTTGTTGAATTCGTCCCAAGGGTCGCTAGCCAAGTACCGTCGGTACGAGGGAAAGTACCTACACTTTGGGGCCTTTGGCTTGAACTTGGCATGTGATCCGCGGGAGCTCCCCCGGTTCCGTTTCAAAGAGGCAAGAGTAACACACGCTGAGCGAGGTCAAGTTGAGCATTTCAGCCGCGTGCGCGACTCAGGACCGGCAGAGAGAGCTCTTGAAGACAGAGAGGGCCCAATCAGAGGTCCCACGGATGACGACCGACTTGGAGGTTGCCTTACATAAGGAACCTGTGCAACCTCGCACCTACAAGTAAATACCTGGAACCGTTGGTCGTGGACAAAGAAGCTGACTACCTACCTAAGCCTCGAAGCTTCCGACTAAGGTGATCACCACTAGCACTGTACAGACAGGACGTCCAGGGTGTTTCACTCGCACACGTGTAATTGCTCGCTCGCTCGTTGCCCTAAGCACCCCTGCGCAGGGTAAGGTGTGAAAAATCCTTCAACCTTCCAGCGTCTTCCCTCTCGTTCGGAGCGCGAGCGGGAGATGCAGCTGCGGCGCCGTCTTCGTGCCTGTATACCATTGGTACCTCAGGCAACATGCTGCAAAGCGACCTACCTTCCTCTACAAGTCTACAGCGCGCCATGGCTAGCCCAGATGCGGGGCCCTGCCTCCGGTTAGCGGGACATGTCTACTAAGCCCAAGCGGCTCTAGCGCCACGGTGCTTTGAGCGCTTTAGGCGAGGGGCTTTGGCGCTGGGGCCATGTACATACACTCTGTTCATGCACGTGCCGATAAGAGACCTCTCTCCGATAAGGTTCGACTCCCTCAAGAAACATCAACTCTGAACTTGGACATCAGGCCAGCACAAGCGATGATCAAGGTCAACACTGTAATCGAGGCCGTTGCTGCGTAACATCGATCAAACCCGTTGCATCAGCAACTACCTTACTTCAAAGCCTAAACTGAGTGAGCTCCAAGCGGAAGCCAGTGCAAAAGGCAGTCCAAGCAGTCCAACAAGACAGGGACACACCCCGTCTGCCTCGTGCGGAAGAAGCAGAGCGACCATGAACCCTTTCCATCAACATCCCGTCACCCAAATCACGCGAATCCAAGCGCGCCACGCGTTTTGATTCTGTTGTCATGCCACGGGAGTCATGCTACGAAAGTGACTCTCGCAGCCATTCGTTCGTCAAGGGGCCTGCTATAATGGAGGCATCCCTGTACTGGATTTGCCTGGCTGTCCGGGGTACGCCGGCCGTTTGCATGAACTTCTAGAATGACAACCATCAAAACACAACCCATCACAGCAGGGCCCCATTCTGGAATCTGTATCAAATCAAATTTCTCGCCGGGTCGCGTGTTTTTTTTCCATGGCTTTGGCAGAATAGGTGGCTAGCATCGTTCGGCAGTTGTATAAAAATGAGCCCGAAGAGTCACCGGCCCTCCTCCTCGTCCTTTACAAGTGATTTTGCTCACCAAAAGAGTCTATACTGACCTCTATCCATTCGTTGCATTGAACCGTCATATCTGACTGACACACACACACACACACACTTAATAAACCCCAAACCCTATCGATACCGCAAACCAAAAGCAAAAGATGGCCCGCGAGACCCCAACCTCATCCATCGCCGGCGACCAAAAGCCCCTCCCAAAACGCCCCGGCACCTCGGGCACAGAAAACCTCCTCAAGACGAACCGCCGCCAGGCTTCGGACAATTACCAGCGCGCCCAGCGCGCCGAACGGGCCTACCGCGCAAAGAAGCGCGCCACCGCCGCCCGCGCCGACCTCTCGGACGCCAAATCCCATTACGCCGAGTGCTTCAAGCACCTCGGCCGCGGCCTCGCCGTCACTCTCAGCGCCGTAAAGTCCCTCCCGTACGTCTTTGACGAGCGCCAGGAGGCGAGCCGCCAAAAGGCCGAGGCCAAGAAGAAGCAGCGCGCCCTCGAGAAGAAGAAGAAGCTCGAGGAGAAGCTCGCCAAGGAGAGCGCCGAGGCTGAGGGCGCCGAGGGGGACGCTGCTGCGGCGGATGGTGATGCCCCTGCCGCCGAGGAGGAGACGCCCGCTGCTTGATCGGCTTTCCGTAGAGTCGAGTCGATTACGTTGTTGAAAGCGATCAGGGACTGAAAAGGCTTTCTGCAAGTGGTTCCCAAAATGACGTCCCTTGTATAAAGGTTTCCTCGGCTTCCTCCTCGCCTCTTGGAACTCGCTCTGCGGCGAGATCCTCCTCATTCGCGCCGGCGCGACAAACGACACGTCGACGACAAGCATCAACATTATCGACACCACCGACAATTCCAACAGCCACCAGCCGCGGATGGCTAACCAAAAATATTCGTTCTTAGCCCTCGAGGCACCCCACACTCGCTTTACTTCGTCCACACGACATCAAACCAACATCTCCCTTTTTTTTTCCTTTTCTGTTTCCCAATCTCTACTACTTGATACAGTATTGTCTTTTTGACAAATGCACTCTCACGGCCTTGGACGAGATAATGATAAAGGAACCAGCATGTGCAGACGGACTCTCTTCCGTAATACAACGCTAAAGCAAGCGGCACCAAAGAGGGGAGCATCCGCCGGTCCGTACTTGTGTTCTATACCCGGCGTATCGTGGGAAAACCTAGTTTGCTTTTTGTAATCATTTTCCTATAGTCACAATCCATTTTCTTTTGTATAGGTCTCCCTATGTCAATGCTTTTGATTTTGATTTGGGAGAAAAAGGGGGCGGAAAGGAGTCGAGTCGGGGCTTCCCATCAGATACCTACTTTGCATTAGTCACAGAATTTGAGTCACCATTATGCTGGATTGTGTCAGTTTAGTGGCCTGTGAGCGTTTCAAGGCCATAGTCCCGTCATGTTCGAAGCGCGCGTTCGTTTGTTGTGAATCCAAATGCCTTCTCACACATTCGAGTCTGGGTCCCGTGAGATCATGTCTTTGCATTCCCGAGGGGAGAAAAAAAATAAAGGGATAAACTACCGTATCCCAAGGATGCCAAATTTTTGTACCCGTTGCCGTAGCCGTGTCTCCAGTAGTAGCATCAAAACAACATTCGTTACCGCACCGCCTTCCACCACATGCCCTTCTCCACCACCTTAGGCTGCCTTCTTGGCGAACTCGACTCTCAGAATCAAGTGCTTGAAACCGAAACCGTCCATCTTGGCCGCGGCCTTGACGGCGTCGCCCCGGTCCGCGAAGCTGATAAAGGCGAAGCCCTTGGCCAGTCCCGTCTCCCTGTCCTTGGCGAGGAAGACACGCGTGACGCGTCCGAAGCGCTCAAACATGTCGCGCAGCTCCTGCTCCTCTGCCATCTCCGAAACCTGTACACGATTCTCGTCAGCAACGCAACTCCAGCTCTTCCTCCAAGATAGCATGCTGCATCAGCGGGGGTACGCACGTTGGTGACACGCAGCGTGGCGAGGTCGTCCCGCTCGCCAAACTTGCTGCCTCCTCCCATCCTGTCGCCTGCAGCCGAGCCGCCAGCCGCACCCGCTCTGAGCGCCGGCGGGACGTAGCTGCCCTTCTTGGCGCCAGCACCACCGGCCGCCGCCGCAGGGGCAGGATCGTCCGGCAGACCGGCAGCGACGTCGGCGCCGTCGGCACCGACAGGCGCCATGGTGTCCTTGTAGGGACAGCGGGCGGTGAAATGCTCGCCGTTGCAGATACGGCACTTGACCTGCTTGTCCTTGAGCTTGTCCTTGAGGGCCTGGGCGCCGGGGTCCTCGCCCGCCTCCTTCTCGTCCTTCCGCCAGTTCGTGCTGGGGCGGAAGATGATGTTCTCGCCGACAGAGGTGGTATCCGGGGCTGGGCCTGCTGGGTCCTTGGCACTGAGGCCGAACTTGGACCACGTCTTGCGGTCGGCGACGCGCGGGTTCACCTTTTCGGTGTGCGTCGTGTAGCGGATGCGGCGGGTCATCTTGACCTTTTTGCCCTGGTCATTGTAGCGGAAGGTGATGATGGTCTTGGTGCCGTCCTTGTTGCTGATGGTCTGGGGCGCGGGGAGCTCGGTCGACGTCTCCTCGACGTCTTCGTCGTCGGCCCAGTCGTGCCTGAAGAGGGGGTGCGAGGTTAGCTAGCTGTACTCTTTTTTTTTTCTCTCTCTCCCTTCCGTTCGGATAAAGTTGTGGGGAGGGTCGGCGTACTTGGTCTTGGGCGTAGCCATGTTGATGATTTGATCTTCTCGTATACGTGGCGATCGGGTTCCCTCTCTCGATTATCGTTCGGATTCGTCAGAGGTTTGCAGTCCTGAAGCGGGTTGTCGCGATGGTCAAAACGTTGGTGGGGTCCTGGACTGGAGGAATTTTGATGTTGATTGATTTTCGTGGTGCGCCACTCGGAGTTGGTGTGGGGCAGATGACGCTAGGCCCTTCTGGGTCTCGCAACCGTTACCTCAGCCTGCGCATCAGGTCACTGCATGTTCGGCCTACCAAGGTACACACTTCTCACACTTCTCGCATTAATCTCACATTTCACTCTCGATTTCGCATCATGATATACATCTCCATGTATTGTACCGCCCCAAAAGGCGTAATCTACTGCTACAAGTCATACATTGCGTCACCGATCCCCTCGCAGGGGAAATCTATCGCCTTCTCCCTTGTCATCCAAAACCAGCTGTGAGTTGTACATCACCGTCACGAAAACACTCTGAATGCCGTCCAGATGGCATATCATGGAGAGGGCGCCTTTTTATCCATAAACGCCGATTTGCGCAGCAAAGGGGTATGACGCAAACAACAGAACCAAAAAAAAAATCAAGATACATAGGAAACGTAACACCCGCGCCGCCATGGGCGGTTTTTATAGGCCGTGGCCAGAAGGATAAGGAAACGAGTGGTCATACGAATCGGACCAAAGTGAATGACAGACAGGCTACGCTTTGGAGCGTGCCTTCCGGGGAATAGGCGGCAGCGCGCAGCTTGGCGGCGGTGCCGGCGGAGGTCCTTCGACGAGCTGAGGCATGCTGCGTCGGCCCAAGACGACTCTGGAGTGGTCCGCTCGAAGCTGCTTGCTCGACGGTGTGGGAGGCGTTGTCGGCGCCCGGGGCGATGATCGGGGCACGGTTTTTGGTGACACGGAAGCCGACTCGGGGAGCCTGGGAAGCCCAGTGGCTGCATCTTCGCTGCGGGGCGAATAGCTCATGACGGAGAAGGCGCTGAGTCTCTGGGTGGCTCGCTGAGCAGGAGACTGAAGCAGAAACGACGACTGGGGGCGAGGAGACGTGTGAGATGCTCCGCTTGACGAGGCCGGGGATGGCGTCTTTGAGGGGAGTATAAAAGTCCGGAGTCCCGGCGACGAAGGCGACCCTTCCAGCTGGTTCAGAGACGGCGAGCTGGCGTACTTCCGTGGGCTGGTGCGGAAGGTGACCGTGACGGCTCGCTCCTTTGGACAAAAGCTTGTTTGCCGGGGAGGGAACCCTGACAAGCTATCACGGTTCGGATTCGGACGCTCCCGCTCTTCTTCGCACACCTGCGAGATTTCTAGGCCCTGCGCCGGAGACGCCGGTGACGGCTGATCCGCCACGATCGACAGCGGGCGAGCCATGGCGAGTGCCGTTGGTGGGGGCTTGCGGGCGATCCTGGAGATGGAGTCGCGATTGCTCCTCGTCTGCTCGGGGCTCGACGGAGGGCTCTTGACAGCGCTGTAGCGCCTGCTCATAGGAACGCTAAAGTTTGCGGCCACATGCGCAAAGTCGGCCTCGGTAAACGTCGACTGGGGTCGCGACATGGGGGACCCGCGCAATTCCAGGTAGCCCGACGTCTGCAGGGACTGTCTGCGATCGAGGATGGCCGCGGCGTTGGGCCTGGGTCTGGCGGCGGGCACGTCTTGCTCTGCAGGAGGAAGCTCGTCGAGGTGGCTGCTGGCAAAGCTGTCACGCACGGGGGAGCATGCGGGTGACGAGCCGGCCGACGTGAGAAAGGTACGTTGGCCGGACGAGATGTACGACAGCCGGTTGGTGCTGTCACGCAGGCTCTCGAGCTGCCGGCCATCGTGAGAAATAATACTGTTGGTCGTGGAGATGTCGTCGATGGAGGGGTCGCGCGTCACGTCGGCATCCACGACGGACTGGCGGCGGTCGTCCTGGTGCAGTCTGGCCTGCTCCAACTGCAGAGAAAAGTCTGGGGGAAGCGCTCGCGAGAATCTATCCGGGTCGCGTACAACCAGGGTCCTCTGACTTGGCTGCCCACGAAGCTGTACAATCTTGGGATCCGCCTTGGGCCTGCCCGTCTCCGAGAGGGTCTTCTTCCCGCCGAGCGACTCGATTTCCCGGCGCAAAATTGCGATCCAGGACTCCATCTCCTCAGCGCTGTCGAATACCATGAGGAAGTTGGCGGCGTGTCGCTTGTCGGCGGCGCGGAAAGGCAGCCGGGACAGCAATCCTCGCGAGTCCGTCGAAGAAACACCGTTGGACTCCATGGCCGAAGACACTTGGAGAACCCAGTGCTTGCCGGGAATCGCGTCGCTGACGAACGCGGCCGAGTCTTTGCTGAGGTGCAGCACCTTCTCCGGGAGTCGATCAAAGTTTCCGTCGCCATTGTACTGCAACAGGTACCCGGATGTGCAGAGGACGTAAATCTTGGATGTCCACTCAAGCCTCACCGTGGAAAGCGTTCGCAGGTGCTTCTTCCGCGCCCTCTCGACGGCCCTGTCGGCGAGCTGCTCATCAGCAAGCTCCGGGGTAAGGGCGAGGTGCGTCAGGTCCTCTCGGATGCTGACGCTGCCCTTGCGGTCGGTGAGGCGGAGGATGACATCGGCGGACGTCGTGGCCGTGGGCAGCTGGGCGTGTTTGATGGCTTGGGGGTATGCCTGGAACAGTGGTGGAGGGTCCCAGGTCGCGAGGTTGCCGCGAGATGATTTCGCGGGGGCGTGTTGTGGCTTGGTTCTTTCGGTGGTGCTGGGCCGTCCCTGGAGGGAGGCGTCGTTGAAAGGCACGTTGTTGTTGGCGACGGACGTCGGTCGTGATGAGCTGGCGCCAGGTATGGCGAGTTCGGACCGCATGTACGGCCAGTTGCTGATTTCCGCCAGCGAGGCGCGGATGCTGTTGGGTCTGCCCGTGTCGAAATACGAGGCCGAGGGGTCGATTTCACGGGCAGCCTTTGCCCTGCCAAAGATGCTCCTTAGTCCCAGTCTTGAATCACGTCTGCTAAGCCTGTTTTCTGAGCGCAAAGGAACGCGGTTCGACGAATCTGCGGTGGCGGGTTCAACGGCGGGCGGTCGTGCTCTGCGGGACTGTGTCGCGCGGTACTGCAGCGTTTCCGCAAAGTTGGCAGCACTGGGGCTGCTTGGCTCGACATCGGCCATGGCTGTTCGGTCAAATCTACCTAGCCAGACGTGTCGAGTAGTTAAACGGTTGTTTGTGAGAGTGGCGGCTTCAGCAAGCTCCCGTGATGAGAGAGCGCGGGCGGTGACGTGAGTATAAGACAACTGGAGTGAGAGGTGAGGATGCGCATGGGCATAACAGAAGATGAAGGGTGGGTTTGGCAGTGTGAGTGGTAGAGCCCTGTAGGCATAAGAAACAATTGACTGTTGGCAGGGTTTTGGAGTGGAACCTTATGGACCAGGCTCTTGAACCCCGGCAACAGGCCTTTGGGGGGTGGGTTTGGAAACTATGAAGGTGTTATGAGGCGGATGTTGTGAGGGGAGACCAAAGAGACGAGCGAGAGATTTGCGTGCGATATCTTGTTGTCCTGCGTGGGCGGGAGCCGGCTGCGTGTCCGATATGAATGGGATTTCGCGTGTGTAAGACGACGGGGCGCGGCGGCTGGAGGCTGGAAGTTGGAGGCTGGCTTGTACTCTTGGTGTCGACAGAAAGAAGCAATTCACAGAACTGTGTTGGTGGTCGTGGTGGACACGAAATTGGACAAATTCGGACTGAGAGAGGGCCTGCCTGACGGGCCAGCTGTACCAAAGGGGGGATAGGGGAGAATAGCAGAGGGGGAAGAGAAGAGAAATAAAACGAGGCAGCACCCGTGGGAAGCGGGAAATGGGAGGGTATTCGGGCGATAATAATAACAACAATAACAACAATGATTGGGGAGGGGACATTGACCACGCCGGACCAGATGGGATGTGCGGTGCCACAGCGTGGGCACTGGGTGCAAGTGAGCAGCCCAGCTCGGCCGGGCCACTTAGCACTACCTTAGACCAGGTCGGTGGGGTTTACTTTGCCGTTAGCTGCTAGCACAGGGCACAGGCGCAGGCACGCCGCACAGGCACTGGCATAACGTACAGGCGCAAGCGCACCCGCTGCACACTGCACATCTGCAAGACACGTACCGCCGCGGGTACCTAGGTATCCAACAGACTATTTCCACCTCAGGTTTCCGGATTATTAGGTGCGGATTACCTCTTCTCCCATCTACCTTAGGTACCTTAGATACCTTCCTTACCTTACCTTGTCTTAGCACGCTGTGGAGGTTCCTCTCCCCCTGACTCGTCCGCTTTGGCTTCCGATGACGAGAGACACAAGGGAGAGACGCCGAGAAGACAGCGCATCCGCCGTTTATCATCCAACGTCCAGGCTGGAGCTGGAGCTGGAGGCTGGAGCTTGGAGCGCTGGACCCCGTGAACTTCCACCAATCTTCCTTGAACCTTGCATCCAACAGGCTACCGATGGCTATCCTTACAGATACCCTTCTTCTTCCTAGGCGACCCCTTGCTTCGTGGCCCCGGCATACGTCCAATCATTCAGCCCCATCCCGTCCCATGTAGCGAGCCCTGCACAGCGGAAGCAGAAGCAATGAGCAGACTTTGGGGCCTCGGACGCTGTACCAACCTACTCTGCAGAGGCTGCTGCGCAGAATACGACGGGAATTACAGAGCACCTACAGACTCTGCACCTGTGCCTGTCTGTAGTCTCGGCAATGTGCAGAGGGATGGATCTGGCGGCGCACACCATCGCCATGTTGGGCACTCTCGGACAGGGAACTCGGGGATCAACGAAGCTGGGGAGGGGAGAAAGAGAGTGAAAACTCTTCAAATTGACAATTAGCTGAGGTGCTGGCAAAGGAGAGCAAGCGAGCAAACAGTGCACGTTGTCCCCAAAACGCTACTAACTAATTACGACAATGGCGAGTCACTTTTTTAAATCCTGACTCCCTCGCCCGGCACCCATGACACACGCTCGGCGAGCCCTGAGATGGCATCTTCTTCTTTGGGATCCCCTGGATGCCCAAATCCATCTCGGGTCGTGTGGCCACCACGTCCCACCCCTGGTCGATACTACCAAAGAATCCTAGGTTTGGGGCCGAACGGCAAATGAAGCTTCAACCGAAAGAGGCGTGACCAACTGACAATCTCGAATTGACAGTGAAGGCGAAGGCGTGGGGTCGGTTTTCGCCGGTCGGCAGCACCCAGCATGAAATGACGATACGACACCGGTGATCGCTCATGTCTTTTGGTGATGCTTTGAGATTAGGCTCCGTGCTACGGATACTCCGTACGTACCCTTGATAAGACACAGGGCGCTGTGATGCTGTATGCCTTGCCTTGCCTTTCATTCGGAAACAGTAGGAAGATGTATCCGTACAACGCTTCTTGACTGAACTGAAGTGTTCCATCGGCTAGGCACACAACTGCGGTTGCCCACGAGAAGTAGCTTCACAGCATCTCCATCCGTGCAACCACACCCCAAACAAAAACAAGAAATGTTCGTCATGACTGTGTGACGTGCACAGTTGTGTTTAGGTCTGCCATGCCAGATTCTAAGCCGGGCCACCCTTGAGACGCGCAAGAAGAAAAGACGAACAGAGGCTGATGGAGGAGCTGGTGTCCCATGCTCCCAATCGTCCGGGGATGCTTTGGTAACACCTTCTTCTTCTACACACATTGCAGTACAAGGAATGTGCCTCCAGAAAAAGGAAACACGCCAATAAGTGACCCCTGCCCACTCCAGCGAATCCCCGTCACGGATTCGCCCAAATTCCGACGGGGCGGGCCAGCGCCGGGCTTTCTGCAGGGGCAAATAACGACGTTCCATCGCTAAAGTGGCAAAGATCCATTTCCTGCTTCCAAACTTCCCTACTCCCCACTCATCTACCAACCGCACCGAAGCAGATATCCTGGAACGGAAACTTTTCCCCACCCCGGAGCGAGCCACTTCGAATGTTTGGAAAAGCAAATATATGAAATGAGATCAAAAGGAAACAAGAAAAATCTTTCTGCAACCAAGAACCGACAGTCATCTTATCCTGCGCTCTCACGAGTTTGGATTGACGACTGACGACTGACGAGTCACAGGCCACATCCATCAACGACACCAACACGGCACAGCCTCTGACACCGATGTGTTGAAGCTCCCTCCCGCTTCCTTCCTTCAATGGCCACCTAGAACCACGAGGACCTTGTGCACAGATGATGGCTGGTGAGCTTTGGTCCCTGCGCATGGCCCCTTATTCTTCTAGCACCGCCATTTCTCCGAGGTCTCGAAACCTTGGCTTCGTGACTACTGCTTGAAGTCGCTTGTTGATTCCCGCGCTTCCTGGCTTGCCGCTTCTCTCCCCGTCCCAAGACTGAGATGCTGGCTTGCTTGAGCCTTGCGGCAGGGTTTGGTGTTTGGTTGTAGGCGCCGGCGGGGTGCACAATGCAGACCACATCGACGCTCTCTTGTCCAACACTGTAGACCCTGGCCGCTTCCCGTACAACATTGTCGGCCCTCTGCGAACCTTATGAAGATGTGCACCTCCTGCTGCAGCCCCACGACTTGACCCCCTCATTACAAAGCTCTGGTTCCAGCACGACAAGATAAATCCACTCGAGTCGTCTTGCCAGTGCCCGCAGCGGCGCAGCTTCAACTTTGAATACCCAGCCCCTTGGCCAAGATTGGAGGCGCGTCGAAGCGGATCAATCAACTCAAAGTCCTTGCATCTCAGCACCCCCGTCGGTTGTACGTTGGCCCTGTCCTTCCCCGTGTTCTGTGTCAATCCACCATGGTCCAACACATCACGGCGTCTAGAATCACGTTAGCCTTCCTTCATTTCTGGTGCGATCCATGGCGTCGACTCTTGACACTTTGCGAAACACTTTCACAAGCCACCATCGCCACTTGAAAGGGCTTAGAGGGATGATCCTCTGTAGAAGGTCAGGTCAGCCATAGATGATGGACCGTATCCCATCCTGCGACAAAGTGTATCGAAACAGACGCGTGGCGAGAGCAGATCGTGCGACTCCATGATTCCCAATCCTGCCGAGGGCATCCCAATCCTGCCCCCCGACGTGGGCTGCGTCTGCATCGGCTGATGTTTTTGAATCGCTCGGTCACTGCAGATGCCATCCAACCCTTTGCGGGATGAAAACTGCGGCGCTCGTGCAAAAACATGGCATCATATCCCAAGCAACGGTGGCCAGAGTGTCCTACGGTGCATCTCTAGGTGTTTTTCTGCAAGCTGAGGCGCCATTGAACTTTTCCCCGGAAAAGTTTCCGCTGGACCCGTGTTGTGGACGAGATCTGTTCACGTGGCCAAATTATCCCACAATTATTTGACGACGGCGAGGGAGGCTCCTCGGCTCGTTCAGTATCGAACCGATCCTATTGATAAATCGGTCGTCGACCTTGTCCGCAGGCACTACCGGGTGGGGGCCCCGATCTGTTACGTCCAGGTAGGTCGCGCACACGAAAGTAATCGGTATTGAACTGGCGCGATGGTGTTCTTGGAGTCGCGTTGTTCCTGCAGTAGCGTCTTTCGAATTATCCCAGTTATCCATAACTCTCGGGGCTCGACTGGGTCTAAGCCCCTGCTCGCCGGAAAACCAACCAGCGAGCCGGGTTGTTGCGTGTCCTCAAAGCAGGCATGCCCCTGTCCACAAGGCTACGGCTCCATGAACCTCTTGGTAAAGGCAGAGCTTTTTGGTGAACACAGATCAGAGTCAGGCAGCCACAGGCGACAAGCTACTGCAATAGCATCTGGGCTCACCCGATCGTCGCGGCGGCTTGCTTGTGGCGATGACTGCTCGGTATCGGCGTTAGGATTTGACTTTAACGGCTTCAACGCTGTCGTGGTCAGACCGCCAATCCCTACGTAGGTAGCTGGCCAGATTGTCATGATGCATAGGTCTCGAGATAAGGAAGCTGCTGCAGGGAGCGGGACCACATCGCCAAGTTGCCTGTGTCTTTGGGCCTGTAGCTTTGGTATTGCAATTTTTCAATCTTCGGCCGGGTTGCACTCTGGCTACTGCACACCATGAACGCAACTGTGATTCAAAAGTCTTAAGTCGTGCGAATGCTTGCAAGCCAACCCGATATCGAGGCTTCCAGTGGCCCTGAATTCACCACGTGCGTCCAGACGCTGCCATGGGCACGCGGTTGTACGTGCTCCTCCGACACGGCCGAATGGTTTGCAAGCTACGTCCGTAGCCTTGGGCCCTTGACCGGGGACAGCACGGAAGGCAAGCTGACGGGCTCGATGGCCACATTCCGGCGTTGCGTCAATTCGTGAATTTGCCATGGTGATGTATGTCTCAAAGATTAATAAGTTTGATAGCTGTAACGGTCAAGTGCGGTAGTCCGGGAGGTTAGCTGGTTCGTCACACCCACATCCGTAGTGGAGTCAGCTATGCTTCTCTTTGGTTGCAAACACCGTAGTCAGCAGATAAGTATCCCTCGGATTATGTCTGGCAGCTTTGGATCCAACCGAATTGTCAGAAGTGAAACCGTTTCTCAGTGAGGCATGCGCTGCGCCATTCTAGCTCGGGCATGGCGACAGACAGACTTTGGGGACAGCGACGCCACCACCCGCTGGCCGATCCCTCGGGGCTGGACTTCGAAGGCCAACAGCTCTGCCAGGCACCGCAATTGCAGTACCGAATAAGGCCATGGCTGCGCCATGATCGGGATCGGTCGCTGCACCGGTTGCCCAGTCCGGCGGCTTTGGCGGGAGATCTAGCGGGGAGATGTCCAGAATAGAAGGCTTGGGCCCCGTTGCGCATTACCTCACCCACCAGGCGGCGGCTTGCCGCTCGCGCAAGGTGCTCACCTGAGACCTGTGTGCCCAGCTAGAACGGGCCCCGACGAGAATAGACACCGGAAGATAATCAACGGGAGCCCGCTCGCAAGGCTTTTCGGTGACAGCGCGTCGTCTGGCTTGAGTATCTGTTCTTGGAGGTCCCTTCAGGTGGGAAACATACGCGAAACGCAGCCGTGGTTTGCCAGGTCAGGGTCACGTTGAAAAGGCAGGCATAGGCGATGTCTAGGGCCCGTGAATTGCCGATTGGGAGTCAAAGGCGGTTTGGTTTGCTCGTGATGATGAAGGGACCTTGGCAAGGCCCAGATCCGGTATGCGCCGAAATTGTTGATTCGGTTGGTCAGAGTCTGACGGCTGACAGAGGTGGCCTTCGGACGTGTAAAATCAGTTGCTAACGTGACCTTGGCCAGCTGTAGTCACGGTCCCGGCAGACGGGCGACATGATGGACGTGGTGCCATCATCAGGATAGGATGACTAAGAATTTGCACTCTGAGAAGTGCCCCGTCGTAAGGTACCTCAGGCACTCTGATTCGCGGAGCAAAACGTCACACTCCAGGGCACCTACCATGTAGGTAGGTAAGGAAGTCAAAACCGGAAGGCACCATAGTGAGCTGCCCCTCAAGCATCTCCTCCTGCTGCGGTTTGTAGATCGACCGATATCACTCGTGACCTGCAGGAACGAGAAACTCAGGACTCAGGAATCTTCGGTCACCGGACATCCCAAAAAGCATGCCACCAGTTACCGTGTCCGGTTTTTGACGCCCCTTTGTTATCTTTTCCTCTAAGTCCTCCAAGCTCTCCAACCTCCCCCAGCTCCCATAGCTCCCACCGCCCTGGCACTCCCCCAGGATTACCTCACACTGGGTACCTCACGCGCCACTTCTGACGCACTTTCACCCCACCTCCCGCCTGTCACCGATAGGTAGCTGCGGCCATCGCAACGACGATTCAATTGCCTGGGCCACGCAGCAGGCACAGCATCAGCCACTCGATTTACCGAAACAGTCTCCCACAAATGACATGGCACCGGACTTGAACTCTCTTCCTTCATCTCCTCCATCTCTACCCATCCGATCCAGAATGTCATCCTCCAACGGCGAAGCCCCTCTCCCTCCCGCGTCTGGCGGTCCAGCTCCTCGTGGGGAGTCCCCCGCTGGCTCACCGCGACGGCAGTCAACTTCGCTGCAGGCCGCGGCTACATTGAACGCTAGCCTTCAGAGCGAACCGTCTCGACGTATGTGTGTTGACGAACGCATCAGGATTACTTTGCTAATTGACCAAGGCTCCTCCAGCGGTTCCGTATCCCGAAATCGACAGTCACCCAACGCCGGCCGAAGGCTGTCCACGGTTCTTATGAACCTACAACTTAACGATCCTTCTCTTCCTGGCCCAGGTGAGATGGTCGCAGATGCCCAACACGGGCAGTCTGGCGGTGCGACCACTGCCAGTCAGCAGCCAGTGGGAACCTCCCCGATGATGGTTCCCGGTGGTGATCCCCATCACAATCGTGCGCCCAGCCTGGGAGAGCTCCACCAGGAGCTTGAAGCCGAACAGGAAGCTCAAGTTGTATGTCCTCTATCGGATGCCAGACTGGAAATCCACAAGCTAACAAGACATCAAAGAACCGCCTGCTCCACATGATCCGTCAGCAGCAGCTCCAACTCCAGCATCTCCAGGCTGGCCAGGGACAGAGTTCTTCCGCCGTTGAAGACTCTGCCATTGCTTCTGAGAGATCTAATCAAGGTACCCACATTTCGCAGCAGCCATCGGGTTTCACTCCGCTGCCTTCCTCGGGCTCCTTCTCGCGGTCACCGGTTGTGCCCCATCCCCGGAGCTCTTTCGATATGGCGAGGGCAGATATCCAGCGCCGCTCCAGGACCCCGAGTCGTGGCGCCTCTCCGAGGCTACGCTCGACATCTATAAGCGGTGACAGCGGCGAACAGTATACTCTCGGAGGTCGAGACGAAAGCGCCTTTTATCAAGCCGAGACCCAGATGCTGGTCAGGGAGAACCAGATGCTCCGCCACCGCATACGAGATTTGGGTAAGCGTCTTTCGAGAGGTGCCGGTACGCCTTGTACTAATCATGTTGCATAGAGAAACAATTGACAGACATGCTGCCTGCAACCAGCACCCAAGGCAACCCCAGCGAGCCCGCCCATCCATCTCAACTCAGAGCTGCTGCTGTTGGGGATGAGGACACAACTACGCCCTCGATCACTCAAGGTTCAAGCGAGTTAGCGAAGGAGGCGTGATCGATATGTACACTTTATGACAAGGGGCGAGCGGCCTCTGACGATGGGTATCTGGCGTTACGGAAAACTTGCTACATCTCCTCACGATTGCAATGACATGGCTTAGGCGTTGGTCAGGCGGGCTGGATGGGATTCCAGTCCGTCCCTGTGTTACTTTGAGCTCCCAGTATCAATAAAGGAGTGTGAACATTTTGAGATGCGGTGACGAAGCTGTTTGCTTTAATTGGATGAGGGTGGCCAGGGGGTGCAGAAGACAGTGCAAAACGAGTTGATTCAGTCCATTGATGATGGGTTGCGTGGCTGTGCCGTCGACGTATCACTACTTTGAGCGCACCTGAGTTGGCTAGTAGCCAACCAAGCACCCCTTGAACTCTAGCAGGACATCTCTAGGTATTGTCAATCTTTTTGATGGGGGAAAAAAAGCCAGCAGGTAGAAATTGCAAAAGTCATGTGGACGATCTGGGAATCGAACCCAGGACCTACCGCATGCTAAGCGGTCATTATACCACTAAACCAATCGCCCGTTATTGGATTTTTCATCGAACCTTAATCGCTATATTCCGATGGCACAACAATGGTTTCGCGCAAATCACGAACCTCACATCAACACAATTTATCGCCTTGGTGGGCTTGTCTCGCAATGCAGGCAGCAATTTCCAGCCAGTTTAAGGGGAATTTACTCGCGACTATTCCGTTCAAAGTCTCCCCACACATGCCGAGCGGCTTATCACCAAGGTAAGGCAGTAGACTCCCTTCATTTCAAGAAGGCGAACGTATGCAGGAGACAGTCCTCATCATCAACCTAAGCTCCTTTAAACTCCGTAAAGGCGATCCATAGACACCAGAATGTCACCAATATCAAAAGAGCTTGCTTGAATGATTGAATTGCTGAGATGGCTCTGCTGAACTACCTGAGCCTGCACACGACAAAGAAGAGGGCTCTCGCAAGCGCTGATAATGCAGCCATGAATGAATAAGCGAGATACGGATTGCAACCCCGACGGCGTCTCCCTATGATTGATGAGGTCACAGGAACGAGCACAAAGCGCATGAGACATACATATGAAAATTCAGTTCGTGACTTCATTGTCATGTTCGTTGAATTAATTGTACATGGCCCATGCCTTCCAAGTCCGGCACTCCATGTCTCAAGTCTCATGCTCGACTTATTACACATCCTTTCCCAAGTCCTGGGGTATATCAGTTGGCTTCTTCTTCATCTTCCGTGTTCTTGGAATGATATTTTAGTCTGTTACAATGTTTGCCGAATCCCGCGTCATCCTGCTTTCGTGTTGGAAACATGCTCCAATGCATTGCCGCCTCGAGCTTGGTGTCCTACGACTTCGTCTTCATCATAGTGTCGAGATATGAGACATGCTTCAGGACACATTGAAAAAAAAATCTGATTCAACTCACGCTCGTTTCTCTGGTCCAAGTTGCCGCGGCTGTTTCTGCCCTGGTCCTCGCCTTAGTTGGGGGAAAGGTCGGCCGTATCCTTGGCGGAGCGATGCTTCATGTTGAGCAGTTCTTTTTCGTCGATGAGGTCTTCATGCGACCGTTTCCGAATGGCTTTCGAGGTCTAAGTTTTGGCCAAAGACGTACGAGCAGCCAGTGAGGCGGTTCTTCTTGCTTACTGGTGGTGCGAAGTACGATCCTCCTGGTCTCGATATGTAGCTCGGTAAGCCCCATGACTGTCGGTTCCAGTGAGGGCACGAGAATGACTGGCAGGGGTTAGAGAGGGCCTTCTCTCCCGTTGGCCGCGGAGGCGATTCATCGATGCCAGTCTATTGGCGCGTTCTTTTTGTAGGTCGTAGTTGCGGTCGTTCAGTCTATAGCTGGCGGTGGGCTGAGGGGGGGCCTCCAGTGTATGTGCGGTGCTTGTGATCCATATCCGCCAGCTTTTTGGCGCAATATTGTCGTAGGTCGTTAATATAATCCATCGAGGCCACTATGCTGTCAGGGTCTTGGCGTATATCGTACCCGCGATCCATCAACGCCAGCTTCATGGCGCGCCATTCTTACAAAAGCAAGCGCTCCGGATCGGCCGTTTTGTCGAAATCAGCCACTCTTCACCCAAAGAGGTGTCGAACCGTCTCTTCGGATCAAATACTCGTCAGCGAACAGCAAGGCAGTGGCGGTGTGCGTGGCGTTAGTTAAAAATTTTCCGATACCTTCCACTTGTTGAAGAGCATCTTCCTTCGTACTCTACAAGAAGGCAAGACCTCCTGGAAGAACCACCGCCTAGCTTCCAGGCTCGATACCGTACTGAAGTGCGCCCCTTCTGAACAATTCAAGCGCGTTATCGCGAATCTTGCTCTCTGGCTCACTAATTTTCCCTTTCCTCGTGCCTTTCCGACGTTAGCAGCAGAGACGAAGGAGAAATCGTGTAAGTGGCGGTGATGATGTTGAGGTGAGTAAAAGGTGGCAATTTGGCAGATCAAGTGATCTACAAAAAAGGATGGACGAGTACATTAGGTACCTAGGCAATAGAAAAAAGGCTCATATCACATGAACTAAAATAAATTACTGAGAACATATACTCTTTCCGGTGGCTGCAGCCGGCAGGGCGGTGGCTCGTATACCGTCCGTTGATACCTCACATACCTTGTGTATTTACCTCTTCAGGGGCCATATGGGGTTAGAAATTTTGAATGACCAATATCTTTGCGAGGGTATTTATCACGATCCTTGAAGGGGAAGCATGATGTGGCGAATGGATAGGTCGAATAGGATAGGCTTGCTTAGCGAAGGGTATAAACATGACTACATCAGCTTGAGACGGCATATCTTTTTGAACACCAAGCAGATAAGTGATGTCAAAGAATATCAGAATCATTGTTACTTGTGTATTTTTGGTTGTTAGTCTGGACGCAATTGCAGCAGGATTCCTTCTTTCTACGTGAAATGTTTCTCTGCCCATCGTCAAGTTATCCAAAAAATCCTTTCAGTGTGGCCGCGTCACCGACACTGATATCGAAAGCTGGAAAACCCCGAAAAAGCGATGTAATGTTCAAACCAATGGAAGCTTTTGATCGAGAAATCTTCTTCTACACAAGGTTCCTTCTGTTACGCGACATGACATAGGATCTCTTGAAGACAACTTCCGCCTGAGATATCACCATTGGCCGGCTCTGAGACCACAATGAAAGGAATTTCAATGTTGATAAATGCAAGTACGCAAAATTCTTTCAGTTAGCTGGTCCAGGGAACGCTAGTATTTGACTCTACAGCTTCCGAGGGACAGGACGACTGAGCAGTGAATGGCCGAGGCATACGTGCCATTGATGTCTACATCGACGGCCGAGGAAGACATTTTCCAGGAAGAAGCAGATATCATCGCAAAATGATGCTACCGACTACAAACAGGGATACAAACGAGCTCTCAACCAAAAATTCTTGCGCAAACTCTCACAATAGGACGTTGGCAAACGTGGACTTCGACCAAGACTGGACCAAGAAAGACGAAACTGACTTGAGAAAAGCCTGGACCGATGACACCAACCGTCGTGCGCTACTTCTGAATACCGAAGCCGACAACGTCAGGATGTGGAATACGATTCTGCGCTGGTTCCGCTGCAGTCCATCCGAGATTATTTCGGCAAAGAATCGACTAGAGTACGATCCGTCCTCCCATCTGTCAGAGAAAGCCAAGAGCCCCGATGGCTCGACGACCACCATAACACGTCTTTGCATGAGTAGTTGTTACTGCAAGCGACTGGCCGACTTGGCATTCCATCCAATGTGGCATCACATGCTACAGTTGTTCGTCTATGCCATGCAGTACGCAGTCATCGTACGACAGACGACCGTCGTGCGTGGGAGCTTGTCAACCCAACAGTGGAAAAGTTTTCGGATATACTTGTCCAAGTGATCCATTGAAGGCGCGGTCAGAACGAATCAATACGCATTGTTCAAGGAGAAGCGCGAAGGCGACTCATGACATCGGGCCACATGCGGCCGGACTTTTCGAGGCTCATGTCGAAGCTCGAGGAGATATTCGCCGCCAACGTCCGATATTGGGAGGCGGCGAAGGAGATTTCTGATTCACTTGAACCGTACATGATCAACTCAGCCGACCTACTCAACATCATCAACGCCTTGACAGCAGTGGACATCAGTGGGTTCCCGATCTACGGTGGCAGAGCAGGGAACTACTGGGCAGAGCTCGCAGGCAAGAATTTGATGAGCTGCCCGGACAGACACCGTCTTCGACCTCCAAGAACGTGGTATCTTTGTGACACGGCGTCTGGCCGCCACGGAAAGGAACAGGCGAACTCGCCTCTGGGCCGCAGGCGATACGCCCAGTCCGCAGCCACAGCCGGAACAACAGCCGGCCGCGGTGTCGAAGGCAGACTATAATGCAAAAGTTTCCGAAGCAGAGCGTCTCCAGGCATAACCAGCGCCTCAAGGCGCAACTAATCACTTCGAGCCAGGCAGCTGGCAGGTCGTCACAACGGCCGCCTGCTTCGTCCCTACCCGATTTCGACGGCATGGGTATTGTGAATCAAGACGACGACTTGGTGACTGGTGCAACTGTACCAAAGGATGATGAAATTGATGAGGATCCGAAGGGTATCTGGAGGCCGTGTGTCCCGGGCCGGTATCAATCACCGACTTGCGTTACGCTACGGGGGGCCTGGCCGGGGGTTCAGCCCTTGCGACCCAGCAACGGGACTTCCCACGCTGCTGTAGACGTCGGCCCTCGGGACCGATGAATAAAACCATGATTTTGTACATTGCCCGTGGTCGAACTGCGAGGCGTGAATCTCCGCAAAGTCCCTGGTGCCAGGAATCACAAGCGATAAGGGTCGGTGACCAGGTATGCCAATGTAGACCGCGAGGGATTGCTAATGCTGGAGGTAAGTGTATCCCAACCGGCTGGTGAGAGCTAGGGGCTTTTAAATTTGATTTTTAATTTTAGATAAGCCACAGTAGTATTACATTGCGGCCCTTTAATTGCTATTTGTTTTGGCGTTTATTTTTTGGGGGGTTAGAGAAGAGGTAAATTATTGGGCTTCATGTGGTTCCACACCGGCGTCGGAGGTGCGAACCCCATACTCGGCGTTGATGGTCTCGGTACTTCCGCAGCGACGTATGGGTGCGGCGAATTGACCAAGGTCCGGTACCGCGACTTGTTGATTCGGCGATGACATCCGTGCACCATACCCACATTTGGAGTGTTCCCGGTCACGTGACTTTGTTCATCCGACTACAACGGTTCATCAGTAAACCACATGGTTGTGGAAACTACAGCAAGGTGGACTCAAAACTCTCCATCCTGGCTGAGAGCCTCAAAATCAAGATTGATGCGCTTTGTGACACCTATTGTAAAAATCCGGCCCCTCAACGCGCACTCCCTCTGCAAAATTGTCCTCCGCGAGAGCGCCTTCCTTCAGATCCACGTCCACCGCGTTACCCCTGACTTTGCGCTTACTATGTCAGGCAATTTGTGCACCTGGGAGTCTCTGTGAAGACGGCTCCACGAAGAATTTAAGGAAATACACGATTGCTTCTCAAAGTATGAGGGCCAGGCTGAGAAGGAAACCACCAATCTTCTCAAGGAAAGGATGGAGACTGGAAGCTTGGGATAATAGAGGCATGATACCTTTTTCCAAAGTCGCTCTGCAACGACGGATGTACATGCTTGTGGTCCGTCGAGCTCGAAAACCTCCGGATTGCCACAGAGAGAAAATGGTATTCCCTTGTCATGGACGCTCCCCGCAGGAGCCAAGACGAGAGCCCTTTATAGTAGACCTCTCTCTCAGCGGGATCATGTCTGCTTCAAATGTCTCAAAGGATGGGGTTCCCGTGGACCCAGGCGTATGTAAGGTGGCTGCGCCCAAACAAACTGAACATGATGCTCAACTACAAGTACAAGTACGCAAAGGAGATGTACTCCCGTCTACCCATTGATTGCGCTACTCAGTACATGGCAACCCTGTTGGAATACCCCTGGCATGCGTGGGAATACTGTGGTGGCCACAAGGACTTTTGGGCCCAGGAAGGCCCAGACGTGTCCAGTCGGGCTCCGGGTAGCGTACCTCGCAAACTCATGTTTTTCCACTTTGACTCTGCTCCGGCCAAGAAGAGGCAGTGCCGGTGAATGAGGTTCGACATAGTCCTTGCCTGGTGTGATGCCAAAGGGCGTGGGAGCGTGGAATGGTTGGAACAGCTTTGCGCAATTTATATCGTCTACTGACACGTCGTTGTCCTGTTACATCATGATGCGTCTGATGCGTGCCGCGGTTTTGATTGTGATCTGTAGCATAGGATCAACGCGCTGCCACGCAGCAACTTTTCTACTTGTAATGTCTTGTCAGAGCGTCATGTAGTGAGTTGAGTACGAATAATTGTAAGCATGGTGAGTCGGAGTGCATTGGAGAGGGAAGGCGAAGTTGATCTCTGTGTGAGTAACTTGGAGGCATGGTTTTGAGCTGGCGCGTCGCGATGTTGGTCTTGGAATACACCGCTCCAAGGAAGTGTTGATGAAGTGCACCTCTGCGAAGGATTAGTGGAGCGAAGTAAGACCTCATTCTTCTTCACAGCCTGGTTTCTTTGAACATAAATAGGTGTGATAAGCTGTCATTGCGAGTTTCTATTTGGTAACTTGTTCTCTTTGACAGCTTTTCAATCTCTTTAGTAGGAGCCCCAAAGAAACAAAACAAAACCCAACCCCAGCAATTCAGTGATTGAGCTTGAGAGAAAGCGAGCCACTCGATAAGAACCCTCGCTTGCTAGTATCTCTCCATCAGTCTCGGGCCAAACCACTTCTCTCTCTCAGACATTAACAATAAGAATAACACATATTTAAGAGCTTTTCTAGACCTCAGCGACAGCTTGTCGGCCGCATTACATTCAAATCAGTTTATGACCATGGATATTCCTGCGCCCCCACAACTGCGCGAGAATGAAGAGGGAGAGGTGCCCAACGGGGTCGAAGAGATAGTTGAGCCGGCGAGCTTGCTACTAACCATTGCCACAACGGAAGCCGTTGGATGGCATGAAGATGCTGCCGTGCTTACAGGACTACTGAAAGACATCATCCAACGCGACGTAAACAAGTTGAGGTCGGAAAGAGGCGCATGTTTACGGCGGCATGGATCTGAGCAAAAAAACCCGGCGGTACGTCTCCGACAGTCTCATGGAAGAAGTAGTTCAACTGAACTGAGAGGAGTTTCAGGATTCTCGCAGACGTCTGATAGATGAACGGTTCCCGCCGTGGTTCCCGCAAGCCATTGACGTTGGTGAAAGCAATCCAGATACAGAAGATACGCAGAGTCCGTGAACCATATGCAACGGGTGAAGGCAGACAACCTGGAGGAATGTCTTGCTTACTTGAACGACGCTTATGGGAGTCTCTATCTCGACAACGCTGCCAGGATACGTCGGTGGATAGAAATTCGTCGCGAACTTGAGGATTGGGACGACGTTGACATCTTCGACCTCATTGCTGGGCCTGGAAGACCATCGAATCAGGCACGGGGGAATTTCAGACGTGGTGTGTATCGGCACTGAGAAGGACTTGCGGGTTTATTGCGCACATGTCCGTTATTCAGGTATGTTTGCTGCGGACGCGTGGCTAGGGTGCAGGTCACCCAACCAATACACGTTCTTGGCTCAATGATGATCCCGCGTGTCCTGGTGTCCGTGTGACTGCTGTGTATGCGACGCTATATGATGATGTGAAGGCCGATCTTTCGGAGGGAAAAAATCGAGCCTGCATGAGTCGGTAGACATTTGTGTAGCTCGCACAGGCTGGCAGAGCGGAAGCAGTGAAAATCGAGGATAGCAAATTTGACGAACAGAAACTGTTCAAGATTCAAAACAAATGTTGACAGTGCCATCCAAAGTGCTGGGTGCGTATCTTGACGTACGTCGAGGATAAAAACCGCTTAGGCCAAATTGAAGAAAGCGAAATATGAGCTCTTGGAGCTGAGAGAGCCGAGCCGCAGAACTGAGGAGGATTACGAAGACCGGATAAGGGAGGCCAGGGATACTTGTCTCAACCTCGAGAGCGAGAAGGCGACCCTCCAACATCGACTTACGGAAGTCGAGCCGACAAGGTCGCGCTAGATGACGGCGACCAGGAACAAGAGCGTTGCGCAACTGGAGACAACTTAAGAAAAGTTCTCCATGGCCGAGTCTGCCGCTGACGACAATACCCGGGACAGGGAATAAGGGCTCTACAGAGCACTGGAGGAAGCAGCAGAGTCCGCAATGGAGGTGGCTATACTGAGAGAAGGGTTGAAAGTCGTCTGGGACAAGGCGATGCGGATCGCATGGTTCATGGACCCGAATTGTGTGCGCAAAAGTGCGCCTCTCAAGTATGAGCTGCGGCCTCCGACAGGAGCTGAGCCCGGTGATACTCTCTCTATTCGTCGAGAAAGTGAGGCAGAGCTGGCTAAAGAGCAATTGGCAGGTGTGGAGGCCGTAAAAGACTGGATGTTGTGGCACCAAGCCGATCGGTAACGGAAGGGGTCTGACATACCAGTTGAGGGGAGAAGAGTGTTCCCCAGGGAACATATTCTCTGAAATTGGTGGTCGAAAATATAGAGTCAGTTGATTGTGACAAGATAAGTGAGACCTGCGTGCCACACTTACCTTATTGACCGAGTGATCGTAATGTTGCCTTCTGTTTGTCGCCTGGCTCTACATTAGGCACAAAAGAGAGAGGTGTACTCCGTAAAGACTCTGAGGACGTTCAAGAAACGAGATACACTGGCATGTTCCAACCCCCGGACTAACCAAGTGCTGCAAACGGATATATACGATGACCGACTAATGGCTAGTTATCTATTTACAGCCTGCGCAGGTCGGCATACATTAATTACAACGCTGGACCTTCGGACGCAGTGAATTTAATTTTGTTTTCTTCTTCTTCTCGTCTCTTGTTCTTACTCTATTCGCTGTATCTGCGACAATGCAGGCAAAAAGGGGACCCCTTGTCTGACACCCCTTGCACGAACGCGCGCGGGGGGATATCTCAGCTTGACAGGCGGGGGGAGAAAAAAGGACCGAGGTGGAGCTGCTGAATGCGAGGCCGCGCCTCATAATGCAAAAAAATATACAAGGAAGCCCGACCTATATTCCTTCCCCCAGGGTATCGCCGTTTTCCCAGCCACTTTCCAACTCCTCGCATGTCGTGAAAAGAAGCAATTGTGATGCTTCCCACCATCCAGCTCTTCGCCCCATGTAAAGATCCTCAACACAGATACAAGATATTAAAAAATAAAAATAAAAATGGACTCGGACAACCCCGACCCGCCCGGGAAGGGCGGGAAACACAGTGACACCGAGTACGTTGATAGTAAGGGGCCGACCTAGGTCGACCCAATGGTAGAAGGGTATTGTAGACAAAAGACAAAAAAAGAAAGAAGTTTCTCGAGCAGATGGGCTCGTGGCCGAGGGCGTGCCCTCTCTAAATGCCGTCGGTGAATACCGGGCAACCGCCTAGCATCTTGTTCAAACAGGATCCTCCACATGGGTATCGAAGCGTAAAATGGTGACAGATATGGAAATGGCGTCTATGTCGTCAATCAGTTCCAGCCGAGAGAGTTCTCAGCAGCAACGGGGGCCGAGATGTAGGCCGTCCTCGCAGAGTTGCCGGGGCCGCTTCCCCTGGTCCGGCCGCTGCCGTGGCTTTCGCGACCACCAGCGACGCCGCCGTAGTTGGAGAAGTCCTGGCTCATCAGGGCACCGCCCATCATGGGCGGACTGCCAGCACCGTTGTAGCGTATCTCGGATGAGGTGAGGGAGCTGGCGCGGCGGTGGGCCTGTTTCTTCTGCTTGTAGCGGCGGGCAATGATGAACATGGCAGCACCGTACGCTGCAGCAACACCCACGGCTCCGATACCGATAGCGGCGGCCGTACCCTTCTGAATGGGAGACTGTTGGTTGGAGCCGTCATTGCCGGGGCCGAAGGGGTCGTTGGGGTTGTTGGGGGGGGAAGTCGTCGACGATCCGTCTCCATCCGGGGAAGTGCCGTCACTCTCCTGGCCGGGAATGATTTCAATGGCAGGGTTGATGTTCTGGGTGAGGTTGAAGACGAGCTGATCCGGGTTGTTGTACAAGGCCGAGTTGGGAATCTTGATGTCCATGCGCAATGTGTCGACCATGCTCTTGGGGTAGTAGAATTTGGCCAGTGTGGTGATGTAACCGAGAGTCTGGGAAGTGTCGTACGGGACGAGCTTGGTCATCTGGATCTGGCTAATGTCGAGGCCAGCCGCATCGGCCAAAGCCTTGGGGAGGCACGTGAAGATCTGAGCAGCGGCGTTGGGGTTCTTGCTAACGAAGTTGTAGTTCTCGCCTTGCAGGAAGCCGATCTGGAGAATGATTGTGTCCTTGGGCTGCTCGATGTTCGGGTCCGGACCGCTGATGACCTTAGGAAGATCAGAGGGCAGAGGGATCGTCGAGGTCGGGGCCAGAGCCTCCGTAGGCGTGCTGAGCGAAGTGGACTGCTCCACAATGATGGTGCTGGGCAGCCAGGATTGAGCGTCGGTGATGGTGGCCGTGGCGGGAATGCTGGTAACGATAGGAGTCGTCGTGGGGGGCGGCACAGTGGCACTCGGCGTAGGGGTGCTCTCAGTCGACGTCTTCGAGAGAACCGTGGTGGTAACGGGGAGGGTCGTGGTCGCCGCAGGCTCAGTGGCCGAGCTGCGAGACTCGGTGGTAGACGGCACAACGTTAGTGGCCGTGGCCGTCTCGTTAGCGGCTGAGCTCAACGAGAGGGTGGAAGCCGTGGCCGTAGGGGGCAGAGTAACGCTGTCCGTCTGCGTCCCGTTGCTAATGGTGGTGGAGGCTGTGGGGAGCTCGGACAGGGTCGGGAGCAGCGTGGTAGTCGGCAGGGCCTCGGTAGAGGTACTGTTCACAGGGATCTCGATGGAGCGGGTAGCGCTAGTCGTCGGGACAGAAATAGTGGTGCTGTCTGTAATGGTGACCGAAGCGCTGGTGCTCGAGTGTCCGACGGGAACCTCAGTCGAGGTGACGTTGACAACGTCGGAAGTAGGGAGAGCGGTCGTGGAGACAGACACGGGAATCTGGGTCGAGGACGTGATGTTGACGACCGGCTCGCTGCTGGCGATGGGGAGACTGATGGTGGGCTTCGTAGAGATCTCGATGGAAGATGTACCATTGGTGACGGGCTCAGTGGGTGCCGGAAGAGACGCGGTGGGGGCGGTGGAGACCTCGGCGGAGGAGGTTACGTTGGCCACAGGCTCAGTCGGGATGGGCAGTCTCGTTGAGGTCGGGTCGGTGGGAGCCGGGAGAGCAGTAGGCGTGGGGATGACAATGTCGGAAGTTGAGACAACAGCAGGTTGAGACGACGTTGCGTTGGCGATGGGCTCGGTGAGGTTCGTGGGAACGGCTACCTGGCTGGAAACAAAGGATACAATGGGGTCCAGCGGGTTGGTAGGCTTGCTGCTCTCCGAGACGGTAGCAGAGGTGGTTCCAGTGGAACCGCCCAAGGTCACCTGGACGGCGGCGGAGTTGGTAGTCTCGACCGTGAGAACGACGGAGCTCGGGGATGACGACACGACAGGTTCGGTAGCGTTGGCATTGGGAACAACGCTGGTAGTCTCTGGGTTCGCAGTTGAAGAGCGCTGGGCCCGCTCGGCAGAGGTGGTAGCCTCCGTGCTGGAAGTCTGGGACACGACGCCCGTAGGAGCCAGAAGAATACCGGACGAGGACACGGCCGTGATCGACTCGCTTGCCACAGCCTGGGTGGAGGAAACAGCTTCGGTGCTCGAAGCAGCTCGAGTCGAGGAAACGGCCTCGGCGGTTGAGCTCGCGGCATCGCTGGTCGGTGCGGAGGATGATGGTTCGGCCGTGCTAGTTGACTGGACAGAAGTGGTAGAAGTAACCTGCGCTGTTGAAGACGGGACGACGTCGGCCGTGCTGGAAGTCTGGGAGGACGAATCAACCGCCTTGGAAGTACTGGAAGGAGCACCAGATGTCTGGACAGACTCCACAGCGCTGGGCGCAGGCGCAGACGGCTGAACAGCCTCGGAAGAGGTCGTGGCGGCACTGGATTGGGTGGTGGTAGTTGTCTCGGGAGTCGTCGACGTGGACGGGGTGGTCGCGGCGGCCTGTGAGGTCGAGGGAGCTTCGCTGGAAACTGTCGAAGATTCGCTGGTCGTCGGCAGAACAGTCACCGGAGGAAGGCTGGAGGAGACTCCGGCGGAACTCGTCGTGTCAGTCTTGTCTGTCGGGTCGAAGATGACCGTACTCGAAATGATGACGGTCGTCACGCTGCCATCGGGGAGAGTCGAAAGTGTGGCAGAAACGGTCGTCGTGGGTGTGGATTCGGGGGCCGAGGAGATGGTGGGAGTCGGCGACGGCGTGGGAACGGTCGACGGCGTGGGAACGGTCGACGACGAGCCAAAGAGAGAATCCGATAGGCCGGTGAGGATGTCACCAAACGTCGAACTGATGGAGGCTGACGACGTGGGCTCGAAAGGAGTGCTCTCGGGCGCGGTGGGAAAGGTCTCCTGTGTCGTACTCGTCGAATTCGTAATTTCTCGTTTGATGTGACGTGGAAAGTAGATCTTGGGCCGATCCTGTTCGGCGCAGGCGGTGGAGGCCAGGCCCAGTGCGGCGGCTAGAAGAGCGGTCTTGGCGTGCATGTTTCGTTCCCGATTATCGTATATTCAATTGAAGATCTGTAGCGATTGTAATGATACCAGTATTGGTGTTAAGTAGATGGGAGGTCTCCATCTCATGTTAGTGTGCGTCGACATATACAGGCAACGGCGGCGACTCACTTGTCAGGGTGTTATAGAACGAATGTACTTGACAAGGGATTGTCAATGAGCGTGGCGTTGGAGTTTTGTGTGTGAGAAATGAGCGACTCGACGAGATATCGTCGGATTGGTGTGGGCGAGGACGTCTATTGATCCGTCGCGCCTTTAGAGATTATGGCAGTTCCTGAAATCGAATTCATGGGGAAGCTGGCAGTTGTCGGCGGAACCTCCACGACGATCATCAAATGCGTCCAAAGCACATAAGGGGGCGGCTAGATCGGCTCGACGAAAAGACCCCTTTCACGGCGTGAAGAGGCGCAGGTTGAGAATCGGAGGAGGGGGAGGTTCGACGTCGCCGGTAAGATTCTTGACGGAGGCGAGAGGATGTCGAATTCGACGTTCGAAAAGACGAGGTCGGGGGAGAGGTGGGGGTGACAGGAGTGAGCGAGCGTGAGGAGTAAAAGGGAAGGGAAGAGGAAGAAAAAAAAAGCGAGGGTGGTGTAAAGGAATGGAAGGGGATGCAAGAAGGAATGTGGATGGACGAGGCAGCGAAGGATGGGAGATTGATTGATTGATGGAAACACACGACAAGGGACGAGGGACGAGAGACCGGGGGGTCCAGGACGGGGGTGGCAGCGGAAGAGACCTTGGGCCAAGAGAGACAGAGCAGAGAGGAGGGAGGGCTTAGGTCAACCGCCAGGGAGGGAGGGGACGAGATGGGATGGGCCAGCATGGACCGGGTGGGTGGTGATGGGATGGCGGAACGAACTCATCAACGGACCAAGGTACCGCACCACGCAACCTGCGCAGCCAAGGTACCCGTGTACGAGACTAGGTACTTTTCGGCCCAGGTTGTCCGCGGTGCTGAGGGGGAGGGAGGGACGGGAGCTGGCTGCTGGAATGGCAGAACTAAGCCGGGCACTGCTGGGCTGTCCTTCTGTAGGCAATTAGCACATTCAGGCACAAACTCGAGGGCGTGCAGGGGGGCGTGCGGTACTAGGTGCCTTGGCTATGGTGGTGAGGTACTTGCCTTGCCTACCTTAAGTCAGGTAGGTACCTTAGGTACTCTTACATGGTAGAATAATAATTTTTTTCTTCCCGTCGTCCCAAAGGGCCCCCCCCCCGGTCTGCAACGTCAACCCCTTTTTGCTACCAACAGTTCACGAGGCCCTGCAGGTGAGTCAAGGCCCAGCTGGCACAGGTGGATGGACTACGGACGACTTGCCTACACTATTCCTCACTTTGTGCACGCGGCACACATAGCCAGGTGGTACGACGACTGTGGTGCCCTCTCCGGCTGTCATCTTATTACTCTCACCACACCTGAGCGCCGTCGTCGAGTACCTTTCCTATGCCAGCTAGTCCCGACTGGTACGAGTTATGCGTCCCCCCGTCAGCATCCACGGCCGAGAGGGACAGCCAACGTCGCCCGACGATTACGCAAGTCCCCTGGGCATAGCAAAGCCAGTCTGATTCTGACTGGGTCCTGACGGACAGTTCCTTGGAGCCAAACGGATGCCTTTTGGAGAATTCAGGCCGACGAGTCTCGTAAAAGCCTCACCCAGAGCGACAACGCATATGGACGGAACGGTTTTCGTCCAGGAGGCAGCTTTTCTCTCTGTGTTGTGAATTAGGTACTCGGCTCAACCCTGACCAGAGCTGGGACGAAATCGTTGGATTGGGTTTACATAGAATGGACGATTGCTCGGAGACGAGACGAAAAACATCACGACTCGACCGTCACGACTAAACTCTCGTCCCTGTATCCGTACACAACCACCGCCCACGCGCCACGAAGTGACTTGTCCGGTGTCAGCACACCAGGGTGGTCTCTGCTGCGGCAGTGCGGCGTGCCGCCAAAGGCTTTGTTTAGTCAGGGCGAAGATCCCATTGTGAGCAAAGCACAAAGACCCCCGGGATCTTCTCCCCCCCGAATTTTGCAGACGCGGACGTATTGTATTTTTGGCTGAACAGACGGGCCGTCCAACAGTCCAAGAAGCCAACGGTGCAGCATCGCGCGCATCTGTTTCCCCACTCGATAGCACCCCGGACGAGAGATTGTCCAGAATAGTCAAGCCAGGAACGGGCAAACTCTCGACTCTCACCGGAAAACGCTAACATTGACGACGGTGCATGGCATGACATGGTTTGGCTCTTTGATGAGTGGTGAGTCGTGACCATGTGTTGCCCCTGTCCCCTATCAATGCCCAGTGTAGGACGTCCACGGTGGGACGGGTGGGAAAAGTCGCGAAATGACATTGCTGTTCTGGTCATGGTCTACCGTCGAGGTCTCTCTGCCATGGCGTGCTCGTCCGAGTACCTGTTCTAGACTCTCGTGGTTCTTGGTCGACACGGCCAGGGGAACAAGTCGCTTCTCGCTAGTCAGTCCAAGATCCGGTGCCTGATCACTGGCCGGCCCCGCGCCCAGCAAACTGGCAAGCAGCAACCCGGGCACTGATGGTCCGCCTTGGGGACTTCAATTGCAGTCTGGCATACGGATAGTAGTCACGGCAGTGTAGTCCGTGGGATGGCGGGATGGAAAAGTGGTGTGGAGAAAACGTAGGTTTCTTCTGTACCTCCGTACGGTATCCTTTCACCAAAGCCTATGCTGCCAAGCACTCAAGCAAACTCCAGAGGCGGTCGTTTGTTGCTCTGCTTGGAGCTGGCTGTGGATGATCGAGTCGAGTTGCGGATCAAGTGGAAGATCCTGAGCAGCCGTTGCCCGCAGGAAATAGAGTGAGAGAGGCTTACCGTAGTAGCTTTTTCGGGGCACGAGCTAAAAATGGGCAGAGATGGTTGCCGCCGGGTGCCCAGTACGTACCGCGCAGTTTACTCAGGTCTGGTACACTAGATGATGTGAGGTGGGGCGGCACGGCGGTGATGGAAGGGATAGCCCAGGCCCTCGCCAATATCGAATACTTGCTTTTGGCAGTCGGCCCTGCAGAGAAGCAAGTCTCTCGAGTCTCTCCATCGGCCGTCCTGTCAACTTGGCCTGTTCGTCTCTGTCGGGGCTTGTTGCTCCTTCAAGGATGAGCCAGGTGGGCCAGAGAACAGGGGCAATCTGACAAGCGAGCGTAGATCATTGGCCGAATCTCGGTGATGCGACGCTACGGGCAATTTTGCGCCGTTCAACCCCTGCAGACCCTTGCCGGGGGTGCTCCTCCTCCCAGATTCCTTCTCCAGGCTTTTTCCAGGTGGGCTATCCCCTTCCCGGGCCACAAGTTTCCAAGGCGCGTTCCCTTCCGTGGCCTTGCTGCTGGGTGCACAAACCTGCACCGATGCATGCACACATCGGCCCTCCGACTGTCCAACAGGCACACACGAACTGGACAAAAGTCAGAATCACCAACGGCGCCGATCCATCATCCCCTGTGCCCCCCCCCCCCAATTCTTGCGCACACATGGATCCGTGGGGATGGCTGACGAGATGGACACTCCGGACCGAGTCCCGCCGTTGCTCGTTGCCCTCGACAGAACTGAGTACATAGTATGGCTGACGAGACTCCGCAGAGTCTAGAGAGAGCCTGGAGATACTCGGTGTCTGTGTCTGTAATAAGTCGCTGGAAGAATCCCAACCGGGACGAAATGCTAACCGGAGGCAATCTGCAAGGCTGCACGTCCTCTTGCGGAAATCCCTCGCCAACCTCCGCCCGGCAACAGTACAATCAGTGCTGGCAGCCCACGTCTTGTGACCTCGACGGTATTGCGGGGCGTGTAGGTACGTTGCGTTGCTGCCGTTGCAACCCGGCATCACGCCTAAATTGATGTGTATGAGCATAGTAGATTACACCTGCCGTGCTTGGGAGTTGATGTGCTCAGGCCGCCCGCCACCTGCAGTCGAGAATCAATAATGCTTTCGCCCTCACCACTCGGGTAGCGTCCAGCGTCCAGTTCTCCAATCCGCATGGCACCATTTCAACCACTACGACAATCTGGACCACCGCGGTCTACCGTCCGTCTCCCAGAGGACACTTGACTCTCTCATCAGACTCTCAGTCTCATCAGAGTCGAATGCCAACAAAAGACATACCAATGCCTACGATCGGCATTTCAACTGCGGGTCGGCGACACGCGCCTTGCGCTCACCATGCACCCAAGAAGCTGGCGGTTGTCGGTCTTTGATCGGACCACCAGAGGGAATCGAAGGAACGTTGGCGGTACAAAGCGGATACTCGTCGACAAGCCTGATATCCGCTCGTTCGAGGTACCTTTCGCAGGAGGCGCTCGTACCGCTGGCCAACAGGGCTACCGTTGGAGCGACCTGCTCTCGTCCCTTTCCCGTCGGCGCCATCCCTGCTCGCCATCCACCTTCCCCATGCAATTGTGTGGATAGCTAAGAACACACGCCCAATGGGAGCCGACGCTGGTGCTCTTAGCTTGTCTCGAATGTCCCGCTGATGGACGGTGGGCTTGAGCCTTTAATCACAACTGCACCAACGCAAGCCACAGACGAGATTTGGAGCTCTAGCGAGAAGAGAAGGCGATGCACAACGACCCAGGCTCTAGGATATCATTCCCATCAAGACTCAGTACCGGTTTCGCGCACAATTCGAAAGCCTTCTCGATGCCCGCAATACGTAGCGCGAGGGCCCAGGGCTAGCGGGATCCTGCCATTTCTGTTGTTGTCACAGTACCGGCAAACCGACAGCCGTCAATATCTCTGCAACTCGTCAAGTGGAGTGGTCTCCGTCGATCAACCAGTCACCTAGAGTTCTGATCAGAACGCACCGACTTATGGTGTGTTTCCCCACGTGGGTACGGACAAACAGGTCAAAAGAAGTTTAAAAAAAAAAAAAAAAAAACTTCGAAGCGGCTTTCTTTTTTATCCCTCTCTGGAGTCTGGGCTCGTCTCAATCTCAGCCTCTGCGGGTTCGCGCACCGGGATTCATGCTGGGTTGGTTCGATACTGAAAAGGTAGGCCCTGTTGAGCTCAGGTTTGTTTACAGTTACACGCGAGTTGCACACGCGACTCCCTGCTTCAGCGCTGTTCAAAGGCCACAGGAACACTCAGCCGTCAGCCTTGGGACGACTTTCTCGGCACAAAATAGCCCCATCACCTATTCGGCCCTGGCTTTCGAAGGTCCTCTGGAAGTGGCTTCGATGGCCGTGACACCACACGAATCCCTCTATCCGACTCTGTGGAACTCAAGCTGGCCAGGGTCGGAGTCGGTGGCCCACACTACCTGGTTCAGGTCTGGCTGTCGTCCTCCCCAGTGTCGTCACAGATGCAGGACAGTGTTGGTGGCCCCCAACTCCCAAGTCTTCCCTCGTCGGATCCTGAAGCCATACCGTGAGAGGAGGGAATGAGGGTCGGTGGAACATTGCTCCTGAATACACGACAGATTGAGGCTGTGCAGCACTCGCACGCCTTGTCTCTGCCTTTCTGCCACGGCCACGTCCGTCCCCATTCCTCGCCTATCCGCAAGTTGCCGTCCGGCCCGTCTCGTGTTGTGTCGCGTCACATCGTCGAGCTTGAAGCGGCGGTGTCGTCAACGTGCTAGAATGTCTGTTCCATCAGCAAACGTCACTTGGAAGGTTAGCCATGAACGGGAGCCCCGGCAAGCATCGATATGATAGTCGCATCAATCACTGCTTTCCCAGGTCCTGGCAAAGACCCAAAAAGCTGTCTGTCCGGCTCCGAGTCCCGGTGGCGGTTCCCGCTCCAACGGTATGGACTGTGTCGTCCCTCTGCTTCACGCGTGCCACCATCACTAGCGAGCGGACCGGGCTGAATCAGAATAGCACCAAGACACGCGCCATCGCTGGTGCGTCAGGTACTCGAGGTACGGCGCGGGCGTGGCTCACTGACTAATTTGAATAGCTACGTGCTCTCCATGGAAAGCTGCAAGCCCATGAGTGACGAATTTCAGTTCCTGGCGGCGTCCAGGGAGACGCTATGACCACGCATCGAGCCTCCCAAGGAACCCCTTTCGTCACCACCAGCGTCTCGGCTATCCACGCAACGCTGTGTCTTGCTTCAAGATCGCTTCGAGATCGCGTTCTCCTTTGTTTAGTGCGCTCTCGCTCTCTCGCGGCTTGGTTCCCGAGGCGTTGCCGCACCTGAGAATGTGGGCTACACACCCTGAAACCCTGGTAACGTACTGGACAGCTGGGAAAAGTGGACGCAGTGACTGGTAAAATCGAATTTGGACCCATCCCAGCATTTTTCCAAGGTGTTTCAAGATGAGCTGGGGAGTGCTTGACAGTCTCCCTCTGGTAGCGAACGGGGGTTGTTTACCTGCCGATCATTCTATTGCCCGCCGCATCATAATACCTACCGACGTCTTCCGTTCCAAGCAGTGAAATCCCCGCCATATCTGCCATATTATGATCCTCGCGGTATTTGCCCATGTCTCTGGGAAGCGAGCCCATCCGTCCGCACGATCCACGGGAATCCGATGCGGCCCAGGTAAGATTGATTTGACATGAATTCAGGACTGACATGACGACCCAGGCATTCTCACGATTCGAGCCTTCGTCTCGTATCTTCCCGCACGTGCTCCGGCCCGCTGCGCGCCGCAGAGCCGATTCGCGGTTTGTGCTGCGCAGGCGTCAAGTTCGAGATGTCAGGATGAAGTCTGGTCAGCCAGCCTCGGTGGTCTCGTCACCCTCGACGCTCGCGAAGAACGGACCAGGCTCTACCAGCGTGTTTCAGCATGACACCAGAGTACGTTGCTGGAATGTGATGGGAATCGGGGGATTCCATTGCAGACTCATCCAGAAGGCTGCGGTGGCACCGGACGCTTCAGCCACGTGTTTCCCTGTTCTCGTCTACGTGCGAAGATTTCGTAGTCGGCCACACCACAGATACCTTCTGCAACGCTCTGTTCAACCTGTGGCATCAGGGATTTCTGGGGCAGGGATCCCACCACCATATCGTGTTCGTCGGGCACTCTATATCCTACGGCGCTCGTGTCAGTTATGGTGCACACTTTGAGCCGGAGGCGCATCCCAGGCCAGGCTGTTCGGCCTGTAGGAAAATGGGAATCGAGAAGAAGATGGCCACACGCCGGAGCCTCCGGTGCGGCTGGAGATTGACTGACGGCACGGAGGACGGGCTCGGCTCAGGGCCGTAACCCCGGTGCTTACCCGCCCAAGTGCCGTTTGTTCAGCGATCACCGGCGCCTCAATCACTCCCCGCTCCGACAGGGACTTCTGCCGGCCATGGCTTCGCGACTGCCGAGTACCACCTGTGACGATGAATTTTTGTCTTTTGCTGGCTACAGAGCTCAGTGTCGATTACTTGTCGAAGCATTTCAGGTTTGTGAGTGAAGGTCGTGATTATTGATGTTTTGAGCAGTTCATTGTGATCATATGATGGCTGGCATCCCCTCGACTGGAAATACATGTCATTGGCCTCGATCGACTTCAGAAGAGGGCAGACTCCGCTCCGTTCAATCATAGTACACCGGCTTGATGTGAAGAAAGAGCAAACGTTGCGCAGATCGGACGGTGTCGGGAAGCATGAAGGTATATACATCTGGTCGAAGCCGCAGCCGTCGTGTCCAACATCCATTACCCGGCTTGCGAAACCACTCATCGGCGATAATCCATCACCCTGGAGAGTTCACCCGGCTTGCTTCTGCAATGCATGGTCATTTTGGTGCCCTTCCTTGACGACTGATCTGTCTGCAGGAGGTATTCCGGCGGGCACCCGTGGAGCCGCTCGGAATCCTGTCAGCCTGTGAGGGCCAACGTGCCCTGGATTGACGAGTATGGATGGCGGGCTCTTCGCAAGCATAACCAGAATGGTGTTGCAACAGCCGCGAAGATGCATATGCAGATGGAAGATGGATATGAGCAGTCATATTGTGTGCCCGCCGCCCTAAGGACCAAGGAGCCTTGAAGTCGTGGCGCCTCCACGAGAAAGCCCCAGCCGGTCGAAATCCACATTGTCTTCCTTTTTCTTCCGTTCTTGGCCTGGGTCTTGCCTTTTCTCACGGGGATGGAATGGAGGTGGTTGGCAGACGCAGTGGGGATGCGTTTCCTGTCATTTTCTCCGTCGGGCCAGACGTTCCCCGTCATTTTGCTGGCAGGGCTCGTCTCCATGGCTGGATGGCGCCGTGGGGACACGAACAGGCAAAGACAGACAGGCCAAGTAGCCAAGAGACACATTCGGCGGTGCTGTCACGAACGTCACGAACGATGTCTTGAAGTTTAGTTGGGCGCCGACCTGGCTCAGTCGACATCCGAGGTTGGTGTTTGGCCGTGGACGTTGACGAGTGGCGCGGCAGCGACAACGAGTTGGTTGGACGAGCGTTGATCTGCGAATAGCGCAGTGGGATGGAGGGGCAGTGCAGGACCGGGAGGTGAGAACTGGGGCAAGCCAGAACCCCTCGTTCGCAGGCTTCCTGCAGGACGACGTAGCGCTTGGACGCTAGTCTGCCAAGGGGCGATTACCGCACGTCGCGATGCAGCCTTTGACACAGGGAACGACGGGAGGTGGGAGAGGCTGACTGAAGCGGAGAAATCGGGCGGGGGCCGCAACAGCAATTGGCGGCGGCGAGGACGGCGGTGGTGGTGGAGATGACCAGTCAGAAGCGTTGGAAACCCGGCGGAACCATGGGATGCTGCGGCGGGATCAGCGCGAGCGGCCGAATCTCCACGGCTAGCTACGTTTTGGCTTTTTGCAGACGCAAGAGAGCCGGATTGGCGGGATGTGCTTGGGCGGTGAGATGATGTGACTCGCATCCGAGGTACTTCAAGGTGAGTAACCCGGTCAAAGGTTGAGCAAAGTATCGCGGTATGCAAGCCATACCTATGTGCGTGGTTGGGTCGTTGACCTTCGGTGTGATTTGCGACACCTGGACCGCCACCCCAACCGGGGTTCGTGGGAGAGCTGCGGCACTCGTTGCCAACTTTTTGGTCTATGATTTTGTGACCATGTTAAATCTGAGAAACTTGCGCACATGGTGACAGGCTGGACGGGACGGACGTGTTTGCCCGGTCCTCACTGTGTCGAGCTGGCGCAAATCTGCAAAGCTTCTTCCAGGTACTCCGTACACGCGGTCCATCCGTACCTTGGCTACCTCGGAAAGCCTAAAGGTTACGTGCAAGGTGAAGCGAGTTTGACCGGGAGTTGATAGACTCTCGAGGTTAAATCAGGTCCACGGGTGTTGACTGTTGACTGTTGAGGAACTGCCCGCTGCTCCTGCTGTTCTGACAGGCCGCCCTGACGTAAGGCACAGCCGGTTGTTTGGCGGGGTCGGGTGTAAGGTAAGCTAAGCTAAGGTACCTCTGCTCGCCTGGATGGTGGGGGGGATAATTTGGCTTCGGGATCGCCCATCACGACCGAGTTTGTTTCTGGTAACGGTACCCAAGCTGGGAGTAGACTTTTCGCGAACTCACAAGCAAGAGGATACATTGTCTGCAGGTCTCTGCGACGAAAGGGCCGCCAGTGTCCCGGGCTCGTCATCGGCCCCTTGGCTACGGCGGCAAGTACCTTTTTCGCGTTGAGCACCCACGCAACGCATGCGAGGCGATGTGTGCGAGTCGGCCTCCCGTCCCTCAGCTGTTGCGCGCAGTGCTTCGTTCGGTTCGGCATCCCTTGTTTCTCTCTACCGTCAACTACCTGGGAGGTAGAGACACGAATACCTACTTGAGATACGTGAGATACATGGCCCTTGCCTCACCCTGCCGTGCCCCTTCCCACTTCCACTCGAGCTGATCCTGAGGTGACGAAACTATTTAAAGCGCCAGGCTGCATCCACCTCGCTGCCTTTGCGATTTTACCCCTCCATGAACCCCACTTGGTCTTCCAATCTGCTTTGCTGCCCTTGTCTAAAAGCGTAGCTTCTTCCTTCAGCTTCTTCTCCTTCTTCTTCTTCTTCTCTTCCTCCGGTCTTCCCACCAACATCGCAAACTCACACAGAATACCACACCATAAAATCCAAACCACAACCGACAAAATGGGTGTTACCAAGACTACTCACCAGGCGGGATCCGGCGCCATTCCCAAGCCAGGCCAGACTGTCACCATTGAGTACACTGGCTACCTCAAGGACACCTCCAAGCCCGACAACAAGGGCAGCAAGTGAGCACAAACCCCATTATCCCGCCCCATCGTCATTCTCGTTGACCATCACGCTAACGAATGCTTCAATTGCCAGGTTTGACTCCTCTGTCGGCCGCGGCGACTTCGTCACCAGAATTGGCGTCGGTCAGGTCATCAAGGGTATGTCTGTACCGAGACATTCTCAGCCGCGGAACCTTCTCCTCCTCCCTCATTCTCTCCCTCTCGGGCTACTCGAATAGACACACAAGGCCGGTAATGCGGGACTGAATGCTCACTGACGCACGATCGCAGGCTGGGATGAGGGTGTCACTCAGATGAACGTTGGCGAGAAGGCCACTCTCGACATCACCAGGTAAGGAATCTCACACACTCTCTATCTCTCTCTCTTTGAAGCCCCCGTTTCGGAATGTCCGGCTCAACCCAACTCGGTATCGAATTTGGCTAACATTTCTTCCCGCAGTGACTACGCCTACGGCGAGCGGTAAGCACCACTCACCACCAACAGTACCCAGGGCTATGCCGAAGGCACCTGTTGCTTTCATGTCCACGGCCAATGGATACTAATTTTGGGCCTCCAACAGCGGCTTCACCGGCCACATCCCCCCCAACGCTGACCTGATCTTGTGAGTTTTGATCCTGCCTGGGATGATTGCCAGACGCCAGCATCATGGCGTCAAGGAATTTCTTGCTAACCAAGTTCCACAGCGATGTTGAGCTCAAGAAGGTGCAGTAAATTACTGAAGCTTTGGACTTCGTTTCGCGCAAGTGGTTAGCTGGAAAGAAAGTATGAATTAGGCACATTCGGCCTGCTATGCAGGGCGATCGGACAGTACAGATTCCATACGGACTGGAACATACCTAGGCCAGATCAACTCTTTTCATCTGCCACATTTCAACAGTTCAGGTGCGAAATACTATGTGATGCCATCATACAGCTACCGGGTCATATGCAAAAAGTTCACGTCTGAACATGGCCCGCGTCACACGGCATACGGTGCTAGTGATACACACCCTCATGTGTCTTAGGTCACTGTTGGGCCAGCATCAATCATTCCAACCGGGAATGCATCTCTGCAACTGGGTTCAAGTGGTTGGCCAGTTATTCGACACTTCGGTTGATTTTGTAAGAAACGCTATACTCATCCGGCTGGAGAGAACAGCGACGCGGCCGGCGCATTGAGGACTCGTACTGGTAATACTTACCCGGAAGATGATGTGACCAGTATCCACGTCGGCTGGACTTTTTTGGATCCAAAAAAAAGGGTTGGTAATAAGAGACAACTCTGGCTCACGTTCTATGGTTTAATTAAGTGCCTCGATGTTGATGGGCGACGTGAATGGATTTATTTGTGATTTAAAACATTGTTTTAATCCAACTTGATACAAAGATTCAATACATTACCTCCCGGTAGTCGGCTTTCCCACTGCATCGAAAATCGACGTCTTGAGTTGAGCTACAAGTCTAATGATACTGACAAGAGTTTTTTTGTACCAAGCCTATTCCTTAACCCAAACAGCCAGGCCTGGAAACCATAATCTGCTCAATTCCGAGTGGTAAAGGAAGTCGGTAGATTCGCGGAGAAGGCGAGACACAGTGTTTATAGGCAGTGCAAATTAGGTAGCATAGGCTCAGATACTTCAAGCGCAGCGGATCTGACGTGAATTGTCCTGTATATACAGTGCGAAAACCACTCATTATCTGCCAGGACAGGAAGGGCACCCTAATTACTATCCGTACCTCAGGTACCTTACCTCATGGATGCATTGAGGGGCAATTGTTTAGAAATCGGCCAGTGGAGCTCTTTACTTCACTGCATCGCCCGCCTTACGTGAGGTAACCCAGGCACCCCAGTGCCAGCCACTAAGCACTTCCTGCCCCTCGTCAGCACCTCCACACCCAGGCTCCACGACCACCTTTACATCACCAGAACGAGGCTGCTTTCCTGCCAACTGCGTCCACATCAACCGCAACACGATTTTTGCCTGGTGCATTTTCCTACCTTTTTCGAAACGCAGCGAAATCTCTCCTTGACGAAGAACAGAGAGAACAAACTGCAAAAGAAACAACCCCCCGCTGGTTCTACGATACGAACCGAATACATACCACACGAATACCTTACGCATCTTTGTTTGGTGGGGTGGAAGCTTCATCGTCCCACCCGCCTGTGTTTCCCTCCACGTCATAGCAAACGACGTTCCGGTCCGGCATCGTCAAGCTGGGGAAGCGCAAACTCTCCAACGGGGAGACACCTGATCCCAATAAGAAAGCCATGGCTGTACGTTGTTTCCTCGCCGTATCTCCTCGAACCTCAGTCTACGACGGCATACCCCGCAGCGCCCTCGATCGCCAGCTACCTGCATTCATCGCATCATGCCGCTGACTTTGACCTCTCTCTCTGCAGGACAAGAAGCTACCGGAGGTCGACCTGGTGACCCGCATGCAGGTCGACGACTCTGTCGTTGGAAACACTGAGATTGATGAGTCGCTCTACAGTCGCCAGCTCTATGTGCTGGGCCACGAGGCCATGAAGCGCATGGGCGCTTCCAACGTCCTCATCGTTGGCCTCAAGGGCCTGGGTGTCGAGATCGCCAAGAATATTGCCCTTGCAGGCGTCAAGAGCCTCACCCTCTACGATCCCGGTCTGGTTGCCCTAGCTGACCTGTCCTCACAATTCTTCCTGCACCCCGAGGACGTGGGCAAGCCGAGAGACGAGGTCACCGCGCCGAGAGTCGCCGAGTTGAACGCATACACGCCCGTCAAGGTCCACCAGTCGTCAAGGTGAGTTGCGATGCCTGAGCCCTGTCCAGACACGGCTAACAAACATACAGCCTGGGCGAGAACCTCTCCCAGTTCGACAAGTACCAGGTCGTCGTCCTGACCAGCCTTCCGCTGAAGCTGCAGGCGCTTATCGGCGACTACTGCCACTCCAAGGGCATCTACGTTGTTGCCGCCGATACTTTTGGTCTGTTTGGTTCGATTTTCTGCGATTTCGGCGCCGACTTCACCGTCATCGACCCGACCGGCGAGATCCCTCTGACCGGCATCGTTGCGGGCATCGACGAGGAGGGCCTGGTTTCGGCTCTCGACGAGACCCGCCACGGACTCGAAGACGGCGACTATGTCACCTTTTCAGAAGTCGAGGGCATGGAGAAGCTGAACGGAGGCGAGCCGCGCAAGATCACCGTCAAGGGCCCCTATACCTTTTCAATCGGCGACGTTTCCGGCCTGGGCCAGTACGTTCGCGGAGGTCTGTACCAGCAGGTCAAGATGCCCAAGAAGATCAACTTCAAGACGTTCTCCGCCGCGCTCAAGGAGCCCGAGTTCGTCGTGTCAGATTTCGCAAAGTTTGACCGCCCGCAGCAACTGCACCTTGGTTTCCAGGCCCTGCACGCTTTCGTGGAGAGCCAGGGCCGGTTCCCCAACCCCCTGGACGACACGGACGCGACGGTGATCCTGCGCTCCGCCGAAGCATTTGCCAAGGCAGAGGGCGTCGACGTTGAATTTGACGAGAAGCTGCTCAAGGAGCTGAGCTACCAGTCCCTTGGTGACCTGAACGCCATGGCCGCCCTGTTTGGTGGAATCACGGCCCAGGAAATCCTCAAGGCCGTCTCCGGCAAGTTCCAACCCATCCAGCAGTGGATGTACTTTGACTCGCTCGAGTCTCTGCCGACCAGCACCGCCCGCACCGCCGAGCTCTGCAAGCCCCTCGGTAGCCGATACGACGGCCAGATTGTCGTTTTCGGCCGCGAGTACCAGGAGAAGATTGCCAACCTGCGGCAGTTCCTCGTGGGTGCCGGTGCCATTGGCTGCGAGATGCTAAAGAACTGGGCCATGATTGGTCTCGGTACCGGTCCCAAGGGCAAGATCACCGTCACTGACATGGACTCCATTGAGAAGAGCAACCTCAACCGCCAGTTCCTATTCCGTCCCAAGGACGTTGGCAAGATGAAGAGCGACTGCGCCGCCGAGGCTGTGCAAGCGATGAACCCCGACCTAATTGGCCACATTGTGTGTCTGAAGGACCGCGTGAGTCCCGAGACGGAGGAGACCTTCAACGAGGAGTTCTGGAACAATCTCGACGGCGTCACCAATGCGCTGGACAACGTCGAGGCCAGAACATACGTCGACCGCCGCTGCGTCTTCTTCCGCAAGCCCCTCCTCGAGAGCGGGACGCTCGGAACCAAGGGCAACACACAGGTCGTTCTACCCCATCTCACCGAGTCTTACTCCTCGTCACAGGACCCCCCGGAGAAGGAGTTTCCCATGTGCACGGTGCGCAGTTTCCCCAACAAGATTGAGCACACCATCGCGTGGTCCAAGGATCACATGTTTGAGAACCTATTCATCACGTCTCCTTCGACGGTCAACCTGTACTTGACGCAACCCAACTACATTGAGAGCACATTGAAGCAGGGTGGAAGCGCAAAGCTTACGCTTGAGACGCTTCGCGACTACCTCACCACCGATCGCCCGCGGACCTTTGAGGATTGCGTCGCGTGGGCGCGCATTTTGTTCGAAAAGGAGTTCAACAACAAGATCCAGCAGCTTCTGCACAACTTCCCCAAGGACTCGACGACCTCCACAGGCACCCCCTTCTGGTCCGGTCCCAAGCGCGCACCTGAGCCGCTCAAGTTCGACCCCAGCAACCCTACACACTTTGCGTTCGTCGTGGCGGCCGCGAACCTTCACGCATTCAACTACAACATCAAGTCTCCCGGCACCTCCAAGGACATTTACTTGCGCGAGCTTGAGAACATTATCGTGCCCGAGTTCTCGCCCGCGGAGGGTGTCAAGATTCAGGCCAACGACAGCGATCCCGTAAGTGAAGTACACGCGAGACCATGAATGAAAGATGCTAACATTAGCAGGACCCTAATGCCGATGCCGGCGAGGGCAGCTCTTTTGACGACAACGACGAGCTGCAGAAGATCATCAGCAGCCTCCCTTCGCCTAACGAGCTTGCCGGCTTCCAGCTGCAGCCTGTGGATTTCGAAAAGGACGACGACTCGAACCACCACATTGACTTCATCACGGCCTGCAGTAACCTACGTGCGGCCAACTACAAGATTGAGCAAGCCGACCGCCACAAGACCAAGTTCATTGCCGGCAAGATCATTCCGGCCATTGCGACAACAACGGCGCTCGTCACTGGCTTGGTGATCCTGGAGCTGTACAAGGTCATTGACGGCAAGCAGGACCTCGAGCAGTACAAGAACGGGTTCATCAACCTGGCGCTGCCCTTTTTCGGCTTCAGCGAGCCCATTGGCAGCCCCAAGGTGGAGTTCAAGGGCCCCAACGGCATCGTCAAGCTGGACAAGATTTGGGACCGTTTCGAGGTCAACGACATCACGCTCAAGGAGCTCTTGGAGCACTTTGAGAAGCAGGGGCTCACCATCTCGATGCTCAGCTCCGGCGTCAGCCTGCTGTACGCTAGCTTCTTCCCTCCGGCCAAGCTCAAGGACCGTCAGAACCTCAAGCTGAGCCAGCTCGTCGAGACGGTGTCCAAAAAACCCGTCCCGGCTCACCAGAAGGAGGTCATATTCGAGATGGTAGCTGAGGATGTGGACGGAGAGGACGTTGAGGTTCCTTACATCAAAATGAAGATGGCGTAAGGTGGTTGGTGCAATGGAAGATATTTGCCGGAATGGCGAGGCTAGAAGCGCTGCAAGGGTTTAGAATGACCAGAGATTGTGGTCAGCCAAATTGGCAACAGGATCATGGAATAGAACCTCTATATTTTCTTCTATGCGTTTATTCTGTCCATGCATTTACATGTGCTGCTCAATGTATTCGAGATGTCGAGTATAGTATGCGCCTGCTTTACTAAGCCCGCAGCCGCTAACGCAGACATTTGTAAGCACCCCTGCAGCCGGCGGCTCAGCGTGGGGAAGCGCTGCTTTACGTCACCATTAGCAATTGCTTAGAACCGTCAAGCTGCCTTAGCTTAGCCGCGGGGTTTGCGAGTCAATATTGTAAGCTGTGCTCGATCATGGCGGAAGAGTCGGCGGACAACAGTCAACTAGATAGATCCACTTCTTGTAGATGAAAACCCCTGAACCTGTGCGGATTACCCGCGCGCGTGGTTGATGGATTGAGTTCCCCATGTTTAGCTTTGCCTACCGCATCTGGATTGATTGCATATAATAAAGCCATTTGCCACCCCCGCTCTGCGACTCCCAGCACCGCAACGACGAGCATTCATGAACACTGGCAGTCTTGGTCTTCCTCGTCTCGCGAGATCTCTTACGCCGACAGCAAGGAGGATAGCCTGCCGCCACCAACGTCCCGTCCGCGTATTTTCATCCGTCCCAGCGAGTCTAGGACCACTTGTGAATTCCTCGGAAAGCGTTACGCACAAACAACCAACCACAATGGTGTGTGTGTGTGCATTATTGTGGCCCTTCAATCTCCCAGCCAGGCAGGTGTAAGGAAGAGAAATGACCGAGCATAAAAGACTGACGAAGGTATTCCCCAGGCCGGAAAAATCACCGAGTGGGTCAAGCTCAACGACAAGACGGGCGAGTTCAAGCGCCAGCAGAGCTCGTTCCGCAACTTCATCTCGCGGGAGGAGGGCGCCCCGTTCCCGCCCGAAAAGGGCCGCTATCATCTCTACGTCAGCTATGCGTGTCCTTGGGTGCGTCTTGTCCATTTTTGCCTTTGATAGATGCCGATGCCAAAAAAAAAGGGAAAAAATAAATAGGAATGAGTTTTTTCCTGACGTGTATTAGGCCTGTCGGACATTGATCACCCGTCAGCTCAAGGGTCTCGAAGACGTTATCAGTTATTCCGTAGTCCATTGGCATATCGGCGAAAACGGTACGTTTCTCCCACGTCTTCTGGTTTTCAATCTCAAAAGCCCATTCATTCTTCTTCTTCTTCTTCTTCACACAGTCTCTTTTTGTGTAGGAGAAATGATTTGATGGGAAACTCACCAACTGACCAACCAAGGATGGCGCTTCGTCACAAAAGACGAAAAGGACGTCCCCGGCGACTACGTCATCCCCGATCCCGTCCCGGGCCACGAGAGCTTCACCCACCTCCGCCAACTCTACTTTGAGTCCGAGCCAGACTACGAGGGCCGCTTCACCGTGCCGGTCCTGTACGACACCAAGCGCAAGACCATTGTCAGCAACGAGAGCAGCGAAATCATCCGCATGCTCTACACAGAGGTTAGTTCGAAACCACCATATCCATATGCACTAACCGCTGCGAAACCTCCCCCCCCCCCCGTCAACGAGCCACTCACTAAAACAAAATTAACTTTTTTTCTTCTTCTTTTTTTGCGCAGTTTGACGACCTCGTGGACGAAAAGTATCGCAAAGTCGACCTCTACCCGCAGGCCCTCCGCACGCAAATCGACGAGGCCAACGAGTGGACGTACGACAAGATCAACAATGGCGTCTACAAGTCCGGCTTCGCCACCACGCAGGAGGCCTACGAGCGCAACGTCGTCGCCCTCTTTGAGGCGCTCGACAAGGCTGAAGCGCATCTCGCGTCCACTGCGGCCGAGGGTCCGTTTTACTTTGGCAAGGAGATCACCGAGGCTGACATACGACTGTGAGTTTTCTTTTCAAAACCCCCTCTCTTCTGGAGGTCGCTCGTTTTTGCTAACGAACGGATACACAGCTACGTGACCATTATCCGATTTGATGTAAAGTGGCCCCCTTCACTCTCTCCCTTCCTCCCCCCCTCTCTCTTAACCAGGACATGAACCTCCAATGTTTTTCTCTCTACACGCCCTTGACTAATACCTTCCCAAAGCCCGTCTACGTGCAGCACTTCAAGTGCAACATCCGCGACATCCGCTCCGGGTACCCCTTCATTCACAAATGGATGCGTAACCTGTACTGGAACGTCCCGGCCTTCAAGGACTCGACCGAGTTCGACCACATCAAGTGGCACTACACAAAGAGCCACATCCAGATCAACCGCTTCTCCGTCTGCCCCGTTGGCCCTCTGCCGCACATCCTTCCCCTCGACGAGGAGGTGGCGGCCGTGAGCAAAAAGTAGATTGCGCAGAAAAAAAAAAGGTAAATGGCGCAGAGTTTGGGCAAACACAATACAGTGGATCAAATTGTCAATAGTGAACAATGTTCTTTTACGCAATGATGCTTGTATATATATATACTCTGTAACAGTGTGACAGCGAATGCTATAAAACTCCGGTCATCCGCCATGCCTTCAGGGTTTCCCAAAACATAAAAACAACAAAGACACAACAACGTCTGTCTGCCCGGGCGGCTTCATCCAGTATTATGCTAAATTCCGTTTTATATATCAAAAGTAACATGCTCCTCCCGGGGGCCCCCTTGTCAAATTCAAATGAGATCCGTGAGCTTGATAAAGTTGGCCTTTTTTGGTGTTCCCGTATCCAGGAAATAACAAAGATGATGCATTAAATTAGCTATAAATCACCAACTGTTCTTACAATTGGCCAGACAGCAGTGCCTCCGTTGCTAATGAAGAGTTAGTAATTGCCTGGATCGATTGGGGAAAAAAAAAAGAACATACCACTGTTGATGTATTGCCGCTTGGCATCGAGAGGAACGCCAAAGCGGCGCTCCAACTCCTGCTTGATGCCCTTCTTCGTAACCGTCATCAGGTCGGCCGTCCGCAGAATCTCGCGGATCTCGGCCAGGAGCGCATCGTCGCTGGGCAGGCCAACCATGTCCTCGGGGGAGAAGAACTGCGAACCACCAAATTGGCTGTTGCGGTTGCCGCCGGCGTCCGAGGCCGCGACAGACATGCGCGAGTGGTTGCGCTGCTCATAGCCCATACCCGGGGCCCTCGGGGGCGCGTAGCCGCCAACGACGGAGCCAGGGCGGCTGTGGTAGCCGTACTCAGAGACGGGGATCTGGCCCTTTGTGGCGTAGCTGTAGCCCGAGACCTCGGAGTGGGCGTCCTCACGGACCGTCTGCGCGTCCCAGAGTTCGGCCTGGTACTCCTCCCACTTCTTCTTGGGGATGACGGAGGGGTCGAACTTGCCCTCGTCGGAGATGACAATCTTTTTGCCAGCTTCACCAGCAATGACACGAGTGTTACCCCAGTTGAAGTCGTCCATGTGCCAGAATGCGTACAACGGCAGGGCGAAACTGAAGACGGGAATAGCCAAGATGTACAAGATCATCCAGCCAATCATCTCCCACTTGCGGCGAAGGATGAAGATGATGGCCTGCAGACCGTAAATAGCACCAAGCATGACGAAGGCCGTGACAGGTACCACGCTGGGGTTCGAGGCGACCGTGACGATAAGATAGACGATGTAGGCGACGAGGACAGGCTGGACCACAGTGGAGAGCAAGTCGACAAACACGATGAAGCGCATAGAGAAACAGCAGAAACCGCAAAGCTGAGACATGGGGATGAGCTCCATGAGATTGTGCACGGTCGAGTTGATCCAGCGACGTCTCTGCGAGAGGAATACGGACCAGGAGTCGGGTGCGATGGTGTATGCGTGGGCTCGGTTGGTGTACTTTGTCTTGTACTTGTTGTGGAACTTGAGCAGCAGCGTCGTCAGGTATCGATCCTCACCGAGGTGGAGCAGGTTCTTCATGTGCAGCGTGTCGACACGGATGGTCGAGTAGGCTTCGACAACTTCGCGGCTCACAAACAGGGGCTTTCCGCTCTCGGAGGCGCGGATGCGGTACATGGAGAAACAACCCGGCAAACAAGTGACACTGCCGAATAGACTCTCGAAAGCCTTGGTCAAGTTATGGGAGATCCAGTACTCGTAGACCTGAATCATGGTGACAAACGAGGCCTTGGCGTTGGTCAGCGCCGTCTCACCGCACACGGCGATGAGGCGGGTGTCGTTCAAGAAGGCAGCGACCATGCGGGTGGCAGAATCAGGTGCAACGACGGTATCAGCATCGATCTGGAACATGAACTCGTAGAATGTCGGGTTGACGCCAATAATGTTGCGGATTTGATGGTACATTTCGAGCTCGAGAGGACTCATCGCCAGGTTGTAATGGACGCGGTTGAGGAAACGCATGATGACCATCTGAGAGTCACGCTTGCCACGGTTACCAGGGCGGGAAACCTCAGACGGCTTGCCGATCTTGACGACGACCATGAAGGGAACGATATGGCCCTGGACTTCGTAGAGGCCGGAGTAGATCTTGCCCATGTTGTGCTGCTTCTGACCTTCACCGAGTGACTCGAAGCTGAGGGGTTCGGGATCAACAGTTTCAGAGACACCCAGAATGTCGAGCACGATGCGCGGCGTCGGCTTGTCGTTACCTTGACCGATAATCATTCCGTCGCAGATCACAACAAGGAGCTTGCGCTTATCATCATAGTGCATTCTGGCGACGGAATCGATAGCACGGCGAAGAGCCTCCTCGTCTTCCGTGTAGGCGGGAATCTGACACATGACAAATTTGTCGAGGTTCTCAGGTACGTTCTTGCCACCGAATTGCAGCGCCGCAAGGAACTTGAAACCAATGATGGCGCAGAGGATGATGGAGATGACGAGGGTGAGGTACGTGGCAAATTGGCAGCGAGCCGAGTTACGTGTGTCAACGTCGCCGACATAGAATAGGTTGTCGAGACAAGTTTTCATACGCTTTTTGGCGGCAGTGTCAAGTGAGAGTTTGCCCCAAAGCTCTGAGATATCGGTTCCCGACTTGCCCTGGAACAATTGCACGACGGCGTCGTCCATAAAGTTGGAAAGGGAAGAATCATCGGGGACCGACTCGCCAGCCTTGGCCTGCAGCTTCAGACCACCGTTCATGTACTGGGTGAGGTCGTACACCCGGCCGCCCATGTAGGCAATGTTCTGCTGCTTGTTGGCAAGCGTCTTGACGTACTGGGGCGAGTAGCCGACGGTGCCCTTTTTGTAGTTGGACTTGAGCATGATCATCTGCTCGTAGTACCAGTCTGGACGACTGTCGTTGGTAAAGTAGCGGAAGTCGTGGTACTTGAAGTTCAGGTCAATTGACGTGAGTTGTGCAGAGCCCGTGAGGTTGGTATTACGGTAGTCCAGCGTGACATGGGGATCGACGGAGCCGTCCTTGCCCTGGCACAGAGCGTTGACCTGGACGGGGAACAGAGAGCTGATGTCCTTGCCGGCGTAGGCCTTGAGCTGCTTGTTTGTGACGTACGGCGGGTAGTGACGGGGGGCGAAGGCACCCAAGTCAATGACAACGCCGCGGATGGCGACGTAAGCCGAGTGATCGTCCTGGCCGTTGTTGGAAGAGAGTTCCTCGGCACTGTAGACGTGCTGTGTGGGGCAGATGACCTTGGGGAAGGCGATGATGAAAAAGGTGGCAAAGAGACAGAACAACCAGATGAGCAAGTTGATAGCAAGCTTTTCCCTCCATGCTACGCGGATGTCCTTGCGGGGCATGCGGCCCATCTTGCGGATGGCAATGTCCGGCACGAACCAGGTCATGAGGTAGACCATGAACACCCATCGCTTACGACTGGCGCTATCCTTGAACTCCTCGACCTCCTCCAGGTTCTTCTCATTGCCGCGCTCGGCCATCTGCTCTCGGGTGTCGAGATTCTTGAACATATCGCCGCCGCCAAACGCAGACACGCCGGCCTCTGACCGGGCATCGGATCCGTCCTGGCCGCCAAAGTAACCATTCTTGCCCTTCTCGCCGTACAGGAGAGGGGTGCCTCCGGCGGAGAGCAGGCGCTCCTTGGAGGCGGCGAAAGGGGTATCCTGAGGAGTCAGGCCGTCGCCAGCATCGGACGGCAGGGCGTAGCGGCCGGTGGCAGAGGCGCCATCAGACAACTGGGCGACCTCCATCCAGCATCTCTCGCTGAGGAAAACACCAGTCGATCCAATCCTGACCTCGTTGGCTGGCCAGTGCCTGTCTTCGACTACGAGCTCGACCCGCTCCCTCTCGGTGCCGACAAGAATGGTGTCGGAGTCGGCGAGACCGAGAAACTCGCCAAAGGGGAGGAAAAGACTAAAGTCTGCCGAACGCAGGCGCTGACTGATTTCGGCGATACCAAACGTCTGGACTTGAGTGCGAACGCACTTGCTGTCGAACTGGTTGGCGATGCGTCTATCGTTGGGCTTCAGGCAGAAAACGAAGTACGAGTTGCTGCTGGGGTCCGCAACAGACTTGGTAACGTTGTCCAGCGACGCGAGGAATTGACCAGAGGCGCCCTGCTCGGACGCCTGCAGCTTGGAGCCTCCAGACTGCGAATTGCCCTCGCTGAGTCTGTCCAGCTCGTCCTGGGCGGCCTCGTCCTGCTGCTGCTGGTACTGCTGAATTCTGCGCTGGTTGCGAGCGGTTCTGGTCGTCTTGCGGGACATAACGCTGGGCGCTCTCGTCGGCTTCGAGCTGATGGTAGCCTGCATGACGGTTGATCTCTCCTTGGGGTGGGTGACGGTTTTGAGAGCTTCCTGACCAAAGAGTCTGGCGACAAACTCGCTCTTGGTGGAGTTGATCATGTTGAGCAGATCACCGGAAATGACTTCGCCGTTCTCCTCAACGATGTCCTTGACAGGGTAGTCCACCTCGCCGGCAAAATGCTTGACCGTGAAGAGGGCGTTGGTGTTCTCGGTGTAGAAGTTGCTTCCGGGCAGTCTGGTGTTGGCGGAGCCGGGCGTGATTGCCGGGTTCTTGCCCTCGAAGCGCTTGCGCAGGCTGTCGAGGAACTGCACGTCGGTGCGGTTTCTGCGCGTCTGGTCGTCCAGGATGCTGAGCAAGCCGTTTCCAGGCTTGAGCAGACCCCTGACGGCGTCCGAGTTGTCAAAGTAGCTTGTGGCCGCCACACTGACCTCCTCGTTCTCGAGCATGTCTGCCTTGCGGTCGAAGAAGTTCTGCAGGGTGAGATTGTAGAGGGCCTCGCAAGCGGCGTTGTTGAGCAGCTGGTCAAGCGTCGAGTGGGTAGACGCTTGCTGGGCAAAGCCGGGGAAATCAATTATGGAGATGGTGTTGGCAACGCTGTCCTCGGGAGCGCAGATTCTCTGGTTGATAGACTCGACAATGTAGGCAACCAAGAGCGAGTACAGAGTCCGAGCGAGCTCGTTGGCGTGTGAGCGGGCG